CCAGTCACCGTCGCCGGAGTACACAGCTTCGGCCGCGGTTGCCTCGAATGTGTTTGCGTCTCTGATGTTCGAGAGCGGAAAGGTGCGGATCTACCACAACGCTGCCTCCGAAGCCTTGCGTGCCAATCCTGTCTCTCATGTTGCGGATGACGTGGATGTGTTCAATCTCCCCGAAGTCTCGGTGTGGTCCGAGTATCGCTCCTCGGCCGATGCGAGCGACCCGAGCATTCTGGTGTTCAAAAGCACCATCCACTCGAGCCAGAACACTGTGCGGCCCACTACTCTGCTTCCGTTTTTGACGGAGCTCGTGGGTCGCGTCGAAAACAGGATGCGGCAGGCCACTGATCGCCGGCCCGTGTCAACCGCCGATACTCTCGTCGTCCCCGATGCGATCAAACCCGCCGCGGAGGAATTGTCCCGCGCACGACGGCTGCAGATGACGTTCAGCTTGCGCATCGATCAGTCCAAACTCGAGTTCACGTGCCAGCCCGACGTGAATGTGATTGCGGGCCTGCATTGGGATAGCGGTGGTTTCGTATTGCATGTGGCCCCGGGATCGAGGCAGGTCACGCTCTCGGCTACCATCGCGGGCTTGACCGTCGGGCTCAAGCACGGGTTCCTGAGCGAAGAGTGCGCGAGTTTGGATATGCGCAACTTGACCTTCTCAGTCACGTTTGCGAAGATGGTCCACGGGGGAAAGACGATCAACTCGGTGTCCTTGGTGTCAGACACGGAGATTCTTGGCGCGGTGAGGTTCTCCCGGCTGCAGGACATTCTTTGCTTCAAGGCAGTCTGGTTGGATCGGATCCCTGTTTTCAATAACCAGTCTGCGGGGAGCTCCAAATCGTCTGTGTCTGCACCTGCTCAGCCGGCGAATGCAGCACTGCCGATCACACAAGAGTTCACGACTCTCCTCCTCATTCGGGTGCGCCAGATCAGTCTCGAAGTGGACCTCGGCCAGTCGATCAGCACCATCAATCTGGATTTCAAGGACGCCATGGCCCGCACCAAGATCACTGAACAGCTCAGCGACGTGCTGTTGTCCGTCGGTCACGTGTCGATGACTGCCAAAGGCCATCTGTCCGGCACTGCGCAGGTCTCGAATTGTATATTCCAGACGGTCAGGAGAATACATCTCGGGGATGTGATCACCAGGGATTGTATGCTCGAGCTGCGGATGACCAGTGATGCCCTTGTCGTAGTGCTTGAGTCGGACCATCAGAAGCTGCTCCACTACAGGTATTTATATCTCGCTGCAACGAATTCGCGCTGGTCTGATCTATTCTAGGGCTGAGCCGCTCGAGCTTGAAATATACGATGACTGGTCGATGATCTCACCTCAAGTTCCGCTTGAGGACCGTGCCGTCCGGTTCTCGGTCTCGGTCGAAAGCCCTGAGATTGTGGCCGTGGTCACCATCGGGACACTCCCAAAGCTGTTGTCCTACGCCAACAAGTTCAAGGCGAACCTCGATGCTCAGCGGGAAGGCGCCAGCCGAGAGTCAAAGGCGTTCAGCATGAGTCAGATGCCCAACCCCGACAACCCGCTCTCCGCTGTCGCAGAGGCTATGCTGGTTTCAGCCAAGACCCGATTCAGGAAGGAGCCCGATTCGGGACTTTCATATGCTGTCAAGCAGAACATGAGGCTGCGACTAGGGCTGCTGAGGCTCGTCGTCTCTGCACGGTCGATGACGGATGGCGAAGTCGCGCAGTTCATCGGGAGGAACGTCTGTGCGTCGCTGGAACGAATCGTAAAGATTTCGCAGCCCCCTCAGCGAAGACTGGAGCTGGCTTTCTCCCTGATGACCATCGCAAGACTGCAGCACATTTCACCGCAGCAACTCGATGTGGATTGGTTGGCTTCCTTGCCGAAAAGCATTCTGGAAAGCACAATCGTTGGCCTGCCTTCGATGGAGATTCTGATGACAAGTCAAGAAGCCCCAGACGGCGCTCTGGAGTACGAGTTCGACAGCCAGTTCAACCGCCTCGAGGGACTCGACACCGAGGACATCTTCATCTCACTCAACATCGCGCTATATCTCTGGCTTACTGGCCTGCGCAAGAATCTGACGAGGGAGATGGAACAAGTCAAGGCGACAACTGAATGGCGGACATCTGTGTCCGCCACTCGCAAAGAAGCCACAGCTTCGAGCACCGATGCGTCGAAGCGCATGTCGAGGATGACTGCTCGCGCGCCCGCGCTCGGACACATACCCGAAGTCGCTCCACCGCCTCTGGACAAGGACCAAAACGACCCGCCATCATCGTCAGCGGCGGTCGTTTATCGTCCCATGAAGCGGCACATCGAGCGGCTGACCATGAGGCAGTTGGGCGAGGCCACACCCGATGTGATGCATCCCTTCTTCATGAAAAAGGCCGGCTTCAATCTCGAGGACTCGTTCCCCCAGTACGTCAATGAATACGCGACCGGTCCCTTGGAGGAGATCATGGATGTCCTGCTCAAGTTTTACACGCGACAGCTATTGGCTGGGAGCCGCAACCTCATCCGGATGGACGACTAAATTATACCTAATTAATCCTGCTACCACGTAGTCCGTTACAATGCATCGCGTCTTTCCATGGCACCGACTCACACGAATCATATTTGTATCTCATTTACTGATGACGCCGCCGCTGAACACACTCAGCAACGCAAAGCATCCGTATAGCAAGCCGATGGGATACGCGACCAATAGACGTTGGTCTGACATCCGTAACACCGCGACAAAGATCCCGGATGCGGCATACGTGCACCAGAGAATCGACAACGTGGACAGCAAGTAGCCGAAGACACCACTAGCAAGCGTCAATGCCGGGATAGATAGAGAATCGAAGGCTAGACGCACTCAAGAGCCACCATGACACTGACCACACCCACGCCAACCAGTGGCAACAGACAATAGCCAAGTACTGCAGCGACACGGTACGCGTCTATGCCGTGCTCAGACATCAGGTTCAGCAGGGTGTAGATCGACAGCGACCCCAGCAATCCAACGCCATAGACGTAACCGAAATTCGATTTACCCGACTGCGAATATGTCAGCCGGGAGACCAGAACAAAACAGACCGGTTGATGCGAGCTTACAAGAAGAAGACAAGTGGCAAAACAGAAACAGACGAAGACGGGGCCAGCCAGATCCGCGTCGTCCATTATGTGCTCGTCGATCCGGCCAAGCGGGTTTAGCACGGTCAACGATTTTGTGCGAATATGCGAGAGATTGATCCCGAGCTCTTGTGGATCAAATGAGTTGGAATTGCGCACATTAAGAGCATACGCGACGCGCACCTTCGAGTAATGGCGGTTCCCCCTCGAATCCGCCCGTTCCGAATGCAGTCCACCAGCCTCCCTGAGATTGGATGCTTCCGCCGTAGCCAGAGCCCGAACCCATAGAGCCCTGCACGCCAGACATGCTTCCCTCCAGACTGGGCCGCGAACCAGGGTAGAAGCCCGACGAGGCAGAGAGGGCATTGGGGTCAGAGCCCACGGATGGAGGGGCGGAGTAAAATTGCAGCGGTGTGCCCTGGGGAGGGGCGTAATACGATGAGGACGCGCCGTATGCTGAGTCTTGCCACATGGGAGGGATGAGAGCGACACGTTATTCTGCTTGTTCAGGAATATCCGCCTTGAAGTGATCCGGTAAACATCGCCAAACTCCGCTCGCTTTCTCCAGACCATGGTATGCATGCTTGATCGGTTCTCGGGATACGATGTTGACTCGTTTTCCTTAGCCTCAGGTTCGCTGCGACACACCGATACCTGTTATGTCGACGCTGAATATCCTCTAGAACGAGTATATTGAGGAGCACATCAAGCGACATGGAAGGCGGTTAGATCACTTTGAGCGCAAGTGTGTGATCGGCCACTTTTTTCCCTCCTTTCTCATGCTTATGTTCCTACCTCAGGCGCAAGCGAGAAGCTCGTGCGGCCCACCGTGACTCCGCCATTGCACAAAAAGCCTTCGGTATCAAGGCCAAAATTTTGCACGCGAAACGGCATGCGGAAAAGGTTCAACTCAAAAAGACGCTCAAGGCACACGACGAGCGCAACGTCAAGCAGGCCGACTCCTCAGCTGTCCCCGAGGGCGCACTGCCGACCTACCTGCTCGACCGAGAGGGGCAGAAAGATGCGAAGGCGCTGTCGAGTGCGATCAAGCAAAAGCGGAAGGACAAGGCGGCAAAGTACGCTGTGCCGCTACCGAAGGTCCGGGGTATCGCGGAGGACGAGATGTTCAAGGTCATGAAGACGGGGAAGAGCAAGAGCAAGGCGTGGAAGCGTATGGTGACCAAGGCTACGTTCGTCGGGGAGGGATTCACTCGAAAGCCCGTCAAGATGGAAAGGTTCATCCGGCCAATGGCATTGCGATACAAGAAGGCCAATGTGACACATCGTCAGTTGCCGTCTCTTCTGCCTCTGAAGACGCTGCTGAATCGTTTGTTCTAGCGGATCTGAAGGCCACCTTCCAGTTACAGATCCTGGGTGTGAAGAAGAACCCGCAGTCACCGATGTACACACAATTGGGTGTGATGACCAAGGGGACGATCGTCGAGGTGAATGTCTCCGAGTTGGGCATGGTCACCACTGGAGGGAAGGTTGTGTTTGGAAAGTACGCCCAGATTACGAACAATCCCGAAAACGATGGATGCATCAACGCCGTGCTCCGTATGTTGTCTCTATCCGACTCTGAAATCGTGCTAACGATCCGATGCAGTTGTATGATTCTACCGCTAGATATCCACCTTTGTGTATTTTTGACGCATCATTCTCGTTTCTTTTCCGGTGTGAAAATTCAAGTCGACTTGGGCGACCGAGCACGTGACAGCTGTAGCGCGTGATTCTCAGTCAAGTTATGCATCAGCAGCATCGTGTGCTAGTCTCCTAGGATCTGGTCATCTTGGCATATCGGTTTATGATGGGTCCGATAGAGGATACTCTAAGGCTGGCCTAAGTCGATGATGGTATACTGTAAAAGGGCATACGGAAAACTGTTGTAAATAGAGTCAGCCGGCCATGTTCTTGGCGGAGCCCGCTGATTCTTCCTTATTGAGACCTTGCTGCGACTTTTCGCTGACTCTCATGGGCCATTTTCGCGGGTCTCGGCGGGTCCTCGCTGCCCGACACCGCTTATAGTGGTCAACTCGGCGGATTATCGCCGCTAGGGAACAGTATCAGCCTCGCAGCGAGTTTTCGCTGTCTGTTGCCCTTTCACCTTGTTCGGCGGTTTCCCGCTGCCCTGTCACCTCGATACACCGTCTGCGATTTGTCGCTGCCCTCCTCCCGTTTCACCTTGTTCGGCGGACTCCCGCTGCCCTGTCACCTCGATACACCATCCGCGACTTCTCGCTGCCCTCCTCCCCTTTTGACGCGTCAGCGGATTCCCGCCGACTATGCCCATTTTCGCGCCGTCTGCGATTTGTCGCTGCCCCCTCCCCTTCACAGCGGATTCTCGCCGCCCTATTTCCTGTCATAGCCTCACCGCGACTTCTCGCTGCCCTCCTCCCCTTTTGACGCGTCAGCGGATTCCCGCCGACTATGCCCATTTGCGCGCTGTCACCGAATCTTCGCTGCCCCCCGCGGCTCCCAGCGCGCTCACCGACCCTTCGCTGCCCCACCCTCAATAACGTCGCAGTCAGCGAAACCTCGCTGCTGGCAGCGTTTTTAGTACGTCCTCGCCGATTTCTCGCTGCCTTCCTCTGATTTCGCCGCAGTCGCCGAACTTTCGCTGCCATCCCCTGATTTCGACGCCGTCAGCGAAACCTCGCTGCTGGCAGCGTTTTTAGTACGTCCTCGCCGATTTCTCGCTGCCTCCCTCTGATTTTGCCGCAGTCGCCGAACTTACGCTGCCCTCCCTGATTTCGACGCCTTTTCGCTGCCCATGGTCGTTCTGGTACGTCCTCGCCGATTTCTCGCTGCCTCCCTCTGATTTCGCCGCAGTCGCCGAACTTTCGCTGCCATCCCCTGATTTCGACGCCGTCAGCGAATCTGCGCTGCCCCCAACTGCTTTCGTACGTTCTCGCCGGTATTTCGCTGCCTCCCTCTGATTTTGCCGCAGTCGCCGGACTTTCGCTGCCATCCTCTGGTTTCGACGCACCCAGCGAATCTTCGCTACCCTCCCCCACACTGGACACTGTCACCGAATCCTCGCAGCGATGAGGCTCTTTTTTGGCATCCTCAGCGAATAACCGCTACCTTGAGCGGCTTTCCGTCACGTCTGCTGTTGTGTACAAGCACGAGTCGTTGCGCCCACTCTCCGGAGTCGCTCATTTGATAGGGGGGGATAGGCTGGCGGGGTTGCGGGCTTGAATGGCAAGTTTGAAGACGTACGCGGAATCACACATCGCTATTCAAGGCTTCAGCGAGCATGCGCTGCGGCATGCGAGGCTTCAGCGATGATTCGGCACAATTTTCAGTTGTATCAGCGCAGTTTCGCTGCGTCCTTCGGTGGCCCTTTCTGCTGTAACTTGAATACTATCCAAACTGAAGAACTTTGTTGAATGCACTACAGGATTATACGGCATCAAGCTAACAGAAATCCTGGTGCTCCAAGCCCAACCCCTGGTCCGCCTCTCTGCCTTCGGCGCCTGACCCACCTCCGTCTCCACCTTCGGCACCTGACCCACCTTCACCTTCGAAACCAACATTTGCGTTCTTGCCGTCCTCAAGACCAGGCTCTCTGTTCCAGCCATTGAGGCCAAATCCGCCATTCCCCATTCCGCCTCCGCCTTCAATGCCCTCCATATCCCAGCCCCTGCTCGTTGCTTGTGACACTGTCGCTGCAACCAAAGCCAGATAGGATCGCGAATTTTCAACCATCTGTTTCAAGTCTTCGAACCCTGCTGGCCGATCAGCCGGTGCATCAATGGAGATATTGAGGCGTTCAAGGCGTCGTAAGATGATTGTGGTGTCCAAACGTCTGCTGTACTCAATGGAGCCATAGGTCTCGGTTGTATGGGGCAAGACATCATCGAGCGTGAGGCCAGTCCATTGCTGGAACGTCTGGAGAAAGAATTCCCGGTGCCGAGGAGCAAATGTGTCGCCACGTAGGGATTCCTGTGCCGCCTGGATGGGGAATGTATCCTGGAATGGGACAAGTACGTCCCCTCTGATTGTCTTGCGCTGCTTGATCATCATCGTTCTAGAAAAGAAGTAGTCCCACATTGCCACTTCGGGATCGCATCCGCAATTCAAAATCCCTGTCGCAGCAACGTCTCGATCCTTTGTCGGCTTTGGGAGGGCCACAACCCCTTCAAGATAGAACGGCGAGCTGGTGGCTCCGTCACGATACTCCGGATCGCTTCCCTTCTTCTTATGCCAGTGTGTCAGGCACTTGGCATTCCCATCCTTGGTCGTCTCTGCCTCCGCTGCCTTGCTCTTTTTCCCCTTCTTCTTTCCCTCAGCTGGAGCTTCGTCATCCTTCTTCGCAGTGGAGGTTGCTGTCAGGATCTGCATGATCAACGACCGACTGGTAGGAACAAAGTCCTCCATGTAATCTGACTTGCTTCGGAGCATCCTTCGTGTCTTTGCTGGTACTGGTATTCCTTGATTGTTGAAGGCATCGATGTCAGCCTGGCCTTCATCTTCGAAGTTTGAGTTCACATTTTTCACAGACCAGTATTCTCAACGCGTACCTTCAAGATCCTTTCGCCATTGCTCTGGCCCCTGTGGAAAGGTTGTTCCGACGTACTTTGCCTGCTCGGTGAACGACCAAATCCACACATCTTCAACATCTTTAGGGGCGGTTTCTGAAGTGTTCCTTCAGCTTGAGCATGGTAAGCATGTCCACCACCTTGTGCTTACCACGGTCTGTAACAGCCTGTCTAGGACGCCGCTCATTGATCTTGCTCTTTGGGAGGATGCGCTCATAGAGATTCTGTCGGTCTTGGATCTCCTTTTGGAGCGTCTCATGGTAAGCATTCTTTGACTTGCCACGCAGCAGGCCCTGACGTGTTTTCCTCCATTTGATGGATTTTTGCAGCGTTGTGTCCCAGTCTTTCCCTTCTGCCTCCTCGCGTATCTTGTTACCGAACTGGATGACTGCTTGCCTGATGACCTCCAACATTGGCTCCTCTTCAGCTCGAAGTTTATCATCTGCAGCAAGACACTTTGCATCTTCAAGCTCCCCAAACGTCTTTCCTTGAGCCAATGGAAGTTGGATCTTGGTGCGCTTCTTCAACCCTTGGTTGCTGTCATTGTCCGTATCGGATGCCTCTTGGTCAATCTTCAGAAGACCATGCTCGATTCCGGGCTCAAGACCATCTGTGAATACAATTCAGTCCATATCTGTGAGTTCACAAGTAATATACCTGGCGCATCCTCCTGATCCACATTCATTTTATCGTCTGTGGTCTCTTTGGTCTTCTCATAACTCTTTTCTGGACTAGTCGATCCCAGATCTGCAAGACTTGGTGAGCCAATGCATGAGTCAAAATGTCTGACTTACCTCTAGTCTCATTTCCATTGTTCGTGTTCATCATATCATCCACCAGCTCACTCCTCTTATCTTTGACAATGGGCTGATCTTCGATGACAGGCTGCTCTTCGATGACAGGCTGCTCTTCGATGATGGGCTGTTCTTCGACAACAGGACGCTCTTCGATGATGGGCTGTTCTTCGACAACAGGATGCTCTTCGATGATGGGCTGTTCTTCGACAACAGGCCGCTCTTCGATGATGGGCTGCTGTTCAACGATGGCCTCCTCAGCCACAGATTGTTCTTCGATGCATTGCTCATTGATGACAGACTGCCCCTCGACATCAAACTCTACGAGGGCAGCTTCAGCAAGACTAAGAACATTCAATGCTTGAAAATGCTGGTTCATAGTATCATCGTAGTCGCTCTTCAGCTTCTTTCGCTCTTCTTTAGATAACACTTTAGCCAGTGTGACTTTGTGGAATAACATGAGACCAACCTTTCTCTGCTTCTGTTCGATATCTCTTTCCCTTCTTTGAGAAGTATAGCTCACGGGTATTCTCGAGAGCTGCTTCACTGTCACTTTTTTGCCTTCTTGCAATCTCAAGTCCTATAGTGTGCTTTAGTACTGGAATGTTGAATTGATACAATCCAGGTAGCTACGGATGACAAGATCTTCTCGGGATGGCAGTGGGCTCAGCCTCTCGTTATCAAACGACATGGTTGGGTGAAAAAGACAGAAGTAAATGATTACTGGGCTTGCTTACTTCAAAATCACGATCACATGATCAGTTGTCAGTCTTAATGAAAGTTCCTGAAGACCTTATTTGTACTGTTTGAGACGCGCCGGAAGCCACATTCTAGTTGATCCCGTTATCCCAATCATATGTAAGTCTACTCCAATTATTTTGGTGCCCTGTGTACATGTGTGCTAATCAAGATGCATGATTTCATTCAGGCATTCAGAACCTGAGGTTACGCAGCAACAGATGGAGCACTATACAGCTTGCATTCAAATTACGAGGGCACCATGATCTGAATATAACTACTGAAAGACTCTTCTGTAGAGGTGTAAGCGCTCTTGTAGTCCTCAGCCAACACCAAGATATAGGAAGAACTTGATATAAATAGAAATACTATGCACCTGTAGAGGCGTAAGCACTCTTGTAGTCTAGGAATGGTATGAGTAAACGGAGAAAGAGATAGATAAGTAAGCAGACACATACCCTCAGCCAACACCAAGATTTGGGAAGAACTGAGGGCACAGTCCTTGTTCTCGCTCCTACATATAAGGAGCAAGAGCAATTGAATTAGTATTGTAGTGCCCAAACCAATCGCTGTTTCCCATCCGACGCCTTGACAGATCCTGCCTCAACATCTTCCTGTCACCACACCTCATGAAATACCTAGCTGGAACAAGACTCTTTACAAGAATGCATGGAGAACTTGTCGTGGAAGATACACACACATCCGGCTGACATGAAGGAGCAGGTGGCTATACTTTTATATTTAATAGCTTGCACGCCTGAGCAACTGGCCCTGACACTCCCCAGGCCAAACAAACCTGCCACAGATCCACACAGATCCCGTTAGCCATAAAGACGATATAACTCAGACTTACAGAGAACAATAGAAGGAAATAGGGATACAATAGAGAGCCCAGTGTATCCCTACCATATCACACACGATCACGGGAAATAATAAAGATGACTTTAAAAAAAAGCAAGGGTTAGACAATGTGTAATATAACATTTGCAGCCATGTACGGTGATAGAGGCATTTTGAAAATCTACTTGGATTGTCCTTGGGCCATACGAAGCCGAATCCTATACGACTCCAACTCCAATTCCTTTGCACGCAGCTCCTCTGCTTGCATTTCCATCTGTCTTGCAGCGTCAGCCACATTCTGCTGTGATTGCTCCAATGCAGCTGCTGCTTCCTTCTCCTTCTCCTGTGCTTCAGTTAGCTTCTTGTGCAATTCCTTTGTCGACTCGTTCCGAGCAGCCATGAGTGTCTTGAATAGCTTGCTGAAGTCGTTGGTGATTCGAGTCATATCTTGTTTTGCTTCTTTCAGTAACGCAGGCGATGTGTAATGGAGGAACGGGTCTGCGGCAAATCGATGCTGAGCAGAGAAATGAACCCAGCTGCCGGTTTCAACAGACAGACGTTCACACTGTAGAAGGCATTGAGCTGAGAGGACTTGGAAGCAAGACATGCATACTCGTTCAATGATGTCGGCGCTCAGACGCAAGAAGCGAGCGCTGGCCTCGGATTTGACTTCGACTTTATCTCGGAGCGCTTTGTTTCTGAGTATGGCTGTAGAAACGTTTAGCAGAATACGAAGCTCAACAAACAAAGAACATACAGATATGCTTCGATCCTCTCATTGCACCCTGGACCTCTCCAAAGACCGGATTCTTCTTGGTAACGCGATTCCTGGGCTTTCTGGACCGTTCCGAGGTCACAGCAGCGGTCAACAGTGAGCCTTCGGGCTCGGAAGTGCATATAGGAGAGGAGGATCGTGGTGGACTGCTGCTTGGCAACTGCTGAGCCGCAATTTAGCAGTAGCAGTAGATGTATCAGTGCACAGAGACTTACCGGCGGTGTTCCAGACCCCAAAGACCGCTCTTGGCTGTTGAAGTGCCAATGGATTGGCTTGTAAGTTTGGTATGGTGCCACTCGCTGATTTGGAGGTGTTAGCCACTGCCGATACACAGCGGGAAGAGGCGTCTGCTGTGGCTGAGTAACACACTGTAAGCTGGGCGAGTGCAAAATGTTTGTGGTCGTACCTGTATTTGAGCAGGTGAGTGGTCCAACGAATCCCCAAATCTTAGAAGCGAAGGGAGAGGGCCGGGCTGAGGAGTGTCGGCCATGGTTAAAGGGTAAGAGGAGAAGACACACAAGCTGAGGCGGAGGCACCGAGATTGCGCTGAAAACCTGGGTGCGTCGACTGGACCTTGATGGCTAACTCCAATTCGGACGATGAGCTCATTCTCCTGCAAACTCCTCCTCCATCGCCACCAGCCCTCATCGTTCTTGGTGGAACACCATCCTACCCAAACGTCTCTCAAGCCCTCGATTCCCGGACTCCAACACGAAAGCGACGCCGAGTTGAAGAACAACCACGAAATGCCTGGTCGAAGAGAACAAAACTTGAGGATTCCGAGCCTGCCAATGAATCTGAGCACGAAATCTCGTGGGATGAAGCCGCAGATGCACTGTTGCTTGGAGGCAAGCCTGACGGAGATCCCCCGCCAATGCGTTGTGCTGAGCAGACAGGTGACACTGGTGCGATAACGCCTGGATACGCAGCATTCTGTGACCTCATAGTGGAAGACGGGGGCGCGTTCTATCAAATTACTGAGGACTTGTTTGTATCGAGCGGGTGGGATCCGGAGAGGAAGAGTTTGAAAGTAAGTCGACGTCTCCATGATGGGTTGACTGATGTCCAGTGATCTCCAGGCTTCATGGCACCATCTACAACGTTCTATCATTGGAGATTCTCAGGTCGTTGTCTGCCAGTGCCCTCTAGCTCGCAACAGCGACTCTGGTGTTTGCGTACACACTCGGTTCTTGGATGAAGAAGGACAGGAGCACTTTCCCGCCGAGCAAGATCATTTTGGTACTGCTACTCTCTGGCACTTACAATGCGCGTGCTTCAGCTGACGTCTTTCAGACTCTGCATCCGATGCCACACTCTTTTCGCGACAAGAGACTGGGGAAGATACTTGGCTCAACGTGTTCTCCTGCTGTTTGCAGAATGCAAGGTCTCTGAATGGCCGAGTCATTATCGAGCATCTGGGTACAAACAATGGGGCTGGTAAATGGACCTGCTCAAAGGATAGTGGAACTTTGCACTGTTTGCATATCCACAAGTGCCGGAATCTTCTGCAGAAGTTGCTTCGTGTTGATCCCTCTGCCCGACATCGTGCTGGAGAGAATGAGTTTGAAGCAGCGGGATCTGTTGAAACAGCTAGTGAGTGCCTCATGAGTCATGCCAGAGATATCAGACAGGTGCTGAAACAATCCCGAAGACCCCATCCCAACTTTCGAGGCGCGCGGAACAAGATTTCAGCAAGCCATATCACATTTACCTGTACTCGCGCCAACGTGGGCTTCATTGACATCCGATCCCGCCCTGTACCAGCGGAGCGCACCTGCAGCACCCCCGGAGATAATCAAACTGACCGAGACGTCGTCTTGTCTATGCACCAAACCGCGTTATCGCTTCCAATTGGCCGCCCCCACACTTTCGCAGTCATGCATTGTCTATGGCCTATCCTCATCTTCGCGGGTCACCATTGAGCTGCAGCGGTGTCAAAATCCGCGCTGTTCACATCGTTTCATTGGGCCGGATTGTCGGGAGCTTGGGATTTTCAATTACAACAACCAGCGACTCTTCACACATGAATTGCTCGATGAATATACCTCAGCCTATACATCGTCTGAGACCCCGTTCTCTGCCTGGGTCTCCGTTGTCTCCCGCCGCTATGCACTTCACAACAGCACACACACATTTCCCAGCCCTGACATCTTCCGGTCTGCATGGTTCATGTACGTGTCGCTACAATATCTCGACAACAGCATGATCTGTCCACGATGCGGGCCGAACCCGGATACGACGATTTGGGACGGAGTCACGCTGGCTTTCAATAAGAAGCATCTGCTTTCGAGCCTGGAACCACCTACAGTCTCCCAACTACACTCCTTCGAACGAAAATCGACGCGATATCTGCCAGGTCAGCAGCTCATTTCTGCGTCCAAGCTTCGTCGCATGATGCGCTCGGTCTTGGTCGGTCCGCCGCTGACGAAAACGGAGTTGGACAAGCTCATGCAAGCGACGCCGGTGGCCGAGAGCGAAGACGAAGAAGACGATGAGGATCATGACGAGGAGACGGAGACGGCACCAGTTCTGAACCCGAGAGGGAAGAAGGCACTGGAGAAGGCAAGGAAGACTTTCCTTGAACGACTAGAGATGTTACCGATGGTGGTAGAAGGATTAAAGGTCGTGGATGAAGGGGTTAGTCGTTTATTTGACAAGTGTTTCGGGCCGCTGTCTGTTCTCAACACGCGCCCTACTGCGGACGTGTATCACCGCTTTTTCCTCCAGGTGCGCTCTCACATCCTTTCCAAAGTTCTTGCCAGCTGAGTTGACACAATCAGCTCGCCGCAGAGGAGTCGGTTTTACAATTTGCGCCTCCCGGAGTATTCAGTACACTTCAGGCTTTCCTGGACAACCCAAACAGACTCACAGGCTCCGCACTGAGCGAAGTTCCGGCACTTCACGAGGTTCTTGCGCACGAGAGAGCTCAGCTCAACGGCAACATTTCGGAGGAAATAATTCATACGAGTCGCTGGTTACTTGCCAGAGGTCGGGCCGTATTCAATGCCCTGGTACGGGAACCGGCGCAGCTTCCCGGAATCACTCAAGTCTACGAAAAGTCCTGGAAAGAGGCAAGCGAACTATTGCACATTGCATACTTTCTGACTCAGTTGTAGACCGGATGCTACTATGGTCTTCCCAAGGTTCGCGAACGACCCCAATACCCAAAGCTGAAGTACGACGCAAGCAACGAAGTGGGAGGGAAGCGAGGTGCAAAGTGCTCGAAGTTCTATTCACAATACGGCGAGCGTCGCTTGACGGGAGGAATCATGTGCGTATGGTGCACTCATAGTGTCTGCTACGGATTCCACTGCATCCCGAAGGGTGAGGGGCGAAACGATGTATTCTCCGCGCTCATCACACGATGGGAGAAGGCACCAAAAAGAATCATCTATGACTTCGCCTGTGCACTGGGCCCATACTGCATGATTCGCGAACCATCCTTCTTCGCGAACACTCAATTTCTTATCGACGACTTCCACTCCGTTGGGCATACAAAGTGCTCTGAGGCCGCTTTTCTCAAGACCTACTGCGGTGTCGATCCGAGACTGTCTCGTATCAACTCAAGTGCCGGAGAATGTGGTAATAGCGGACTTGCGCGTATTCGAAAATCGGTCAGCTACATGTCTCAAAGTCGGGCTATCTTGTACACACGGGTTTTCTTATGTATTTGGAATCGGTTGCGTATCAGGAATATGGCTCGGTAGCTTAGTTATTATCTAAATCCCGTCGAACGAAGTGAACTTGAACGCAGTAAAACGTCAATGGGAAAGCAGCGGAAGGCACAGCGAAATTGCAGTGAAACCCATTGCAGCAGTTATTGGGCGAGAGAAGCCGCCGAAGATACGGACATCCTAACGCAGCGGGATTTCGGCGAGGGTAGCGAGGATTCGGTGACAGTGTCCAATTCGTGGGAGGGCAGCGAAGACTCGCTGATGGAGTCGGAGCCAGAGGAGAGCAGCGAAAGCTCGGTGACTGTGTTAAGACCAGAGGGAGGCAGCGAAATACCGGCGAGAACGTGCGAAAACAGCCGGGGGCAGCGAAGATTCGCTGGGTGCGTCGAAATCAGGGGAGGGCGGCGAAAGTTCGGCGACTGCGGCAAAATCAGAGGGAGGCAGCGAAATACCGGCGAGAACGTACGAAAACAGTTGGGGGCAGCGCAGATTCGCTGACGGCGTCGAAATCAGGGGATGGCAGCGAAAGTTCGGCGACTGCGGCGAAATCAGAGGGAGGCAGCGAGAAATCGGCGAGGACGTACCAGAACGACCATGGGCAGCGAAAAGGCGTCGAAATCAGGGAGGGCAGCGTAAGTTCGGCGACTGCACTGATGTTAGAGGGAGACGCCGAGAAGTCGGCGAGGATGTACTAAAAACGCTGCCAGCAGCGAGGTTTCGCCGACTGGGACGCTATTGAGGGTGGGGCAGCGAAAGGTCGGTGTGGGCGCTGGAAACCAACCGCGGGGACAGCGAGACTTCGGTGAGCGCAGCGACAAGTCAGCGATGGCGTCTTTTTGTGGAGGAGGCAGCGAAGATTCCCCAGTGGTAGCCGTCGAAATCACTCAGGAGGGAGGGAGGAGGCAGCGCGATATCGCCGAGACGAGGGAAATGAGGTGTGCTGTGTGTGGAGGTGCAGCGGGCTGTGTTTGTTTACAAGGCATGACCGTACGTGTTTATACAGCTGGTCATCTCGTGGTTATCCGCTAAGGCTGGAGGTTGAGTAACTATTGAAACGCGAATCTTCTCTGACGTCGGGAATGTCTGTGGCTGTACGTCGTCTCCATTGCCACACGGGCTATTACATGCGAGTCCCCTGAGAGAATTTTTGTTCTCCCATTATGACCTCACACGGTTATGATCCTGTTGACCTTCAACCACGACGTAGTCTTGCCGCACATTCCTATACCGCGTCTCTCACACACGATAACGACACGGATTCCATGTCCATCCCACTGACCAACATCCCCGCGTCTTCTCGTCGTCCATCGGGATACGATATGGAGCGTGCTGCAAGCAGCGACCGTACTACGGGCTCCTGGGACATGTTCGCTGGTGCAGAAAGATATGAGCAGTCTGACGCGAAGGCCAGCAACCCGGCCTATGCTGAAGGGGATATCCCCGACAACCAAGCCTCCAAGTTGTATCATTATCTCCTCAATGCTTCAATTGTGGGCTCAGATGCACTCCACTCGTGTTGGACTCCACTCATCCGAGGCACCAGATTACCCGTTGGATAATATTCATTGTCCCAATACTCGCTATCCTATGGATACCCGGGATCCTCGCCCTGACGGACAAGACCAAGTTTGGCCCTGATGCTGCATCAGTATGGGGGGTTCCATTGTTGTGGTGGTCCATATGGCTGTCAGTCTGCTGGGGAGGTGCGCTTTCCCGATCATGACTTCTGTGCATCCGTGACTCTATCTCAAGGCTGGTGGGCTGCCTCTGCCTTTTCGTAAGTTCCCGGCTTCTGGAGCTCATTGGTGGCGGAGGCTTAGAACAGTGCCCAGGAGGATCGCACCTATTGTCATCCGCAAGACCGTGGGAATCATCGCTGTGGGTACCCGAAGGTACCTCGACTGGTTGCAAGCCCTGCACCGATATGTCGCCACATTTTTGTGGACTTTGGCCATCTTCGTATCGTATCAACCATTGATCGACTCGATGCAGAACGCCAATGCATCTGCCAAATCTGTGCAAATCATCCAACTAGGCCAAAAGCTGTTTTTCGCATTCTTTTTGTGTGCCGGAATTCTGCTCTTTGAAAAATTCTCTATCCAATGGATCGCAGGCGCGTTCATTTTTTCCCACATCCGTCATGGCCTGCAACGTTGCGCCCTCCAGGGAAATTCCATGAGCGTAGCTACGCGGAGCGTATCGCAGACCAAAAGTTTGCCGTGTCGGCGCTGGTCACGCTCTACCGCAATTCGAAAAGCATTACCCGGCCCGACATGGTTCCCACAAACAGTGTCAAAGACATGCTGAACCCGAAGCGGTTTTTCCGCAGGGCTATGAAAGGTGTGAGGGAGGCGGCGACCACGACGACCACTGTATTTGGGAATGTTGCGTCCGAGATCGCTGGAACGTCGGTCCTTCAGGTCTGTTGTACTCGCCAAGTTCGCATGTTTGCAGCTCTGAACAACATTGTAGCCCAATTCTCCCCAGAGCATCGTCAAAACATCGCTCCAGTCTGCTACCCGGTCTCAAGAGCTCGCGCGGAGACTCTTTTTCTCGTTCGCGAAGCCGGGCAACCAGTATCTGCTGGTCGAAGATATTGCTCGGTTCTTCGGAAGCCCTGACGAGGCCGACAAGGTCTTTGCTTTGTTCGATCAAGACTCGAATGGGGATGCTACGGTGAGGTTCCACAGCGCCCACCTTGGCGCATTGCTGATGCGAGATTCAGCGCGAAGAAATCGAGATGTCCATCATGCACGTTGATTGCCCCTCTTGATGGTCTGCCCTGGTGGCTGATTGGCTTATTCCAGGGAGATTCACCGGGAACAGCTTTCGATCGAACATTCGATGCAGGACCTCGATTCTGCTGTTGGCAGACTCGACAACATCTTCATGTCTCTCTATGCAAGTCTTTGCGGTGACCACTGCTGTTCTGCCAATTAATTGACCTTTTAGGTCATCATAGCCATTCTCATTATCGCAGTCGCCCTCGAAGCTCAAGTCGCCACGCTAGTCACCAGCGCGGGCACCTTACTCCTCGGGCTGTCGTGGCTTATCGGCGGTTCTCTTGCAGAGGTCTTGACGAGTATGTGCATGTTATTCCTCGTCGTTATTACTTTCTGACCCTCGTCTAGGCATCATTTTCTTGTTCATCAAGCACCCCTTCGATGTCGGGGACCGGATTGTGGTCACGGGATCATCCTATACTGTAAAAGAGGTGCAGGACAGTGCTGTTCTATTGACCCGACGCTGATGGCCCTCAGATCCGGCTGCTGAGCACCATCCTCATCGATTCCCATGGCGCTTCAGTGCAGGCACCCAAGTGAGCTTCGTTTTGCTTATCCGACCACTTTTGACGTCCCTCTAGCACTGTACTGAACAGCACCGTATGTGCTTTTGTGGTCCTGCCGCTACTGAGCTCTCATCTTCTGTTTTCTAGTTCATCGAAAACATCCGCCGCAGCCCTCAGGTGAGATAATTCTCCTCCGAATTGCGGCGCTTTCTCATCCAGTGCAGATGTCAGAGACCTTCACTTTCGACGTGAGCTACTCGACAAGCTTCGAGGACATCGAAAAGGTTGGTGCACATTCGCATCGCTTGGTGCAAATTTTCTCAACATTGGGCACAGCTTCGTCAACGCATGCTTGCGTTTGTCACCGCCGAACGTCGCGACTATCGCAGTGAATTCGATGTCCAAGTTCTGGGTACGCCGCTCCTGACGACGATGAGCTGCAAGCAGCTGACTTTTCCCTCAGATTTCCCGGATCAGGCCAAGATGACCTTGTCAGCGAACATCAACTACAAGAGCAACAGTCAGCATAGCGCTTTGAAAAGTGCGTCGGATCTGTGATTAACCTTACTGATGACCGACGGCCGACCCAGCAAAACGAAGGAACAAGTGGGTCTGTGCTTTAAAAAGCGCTCTATTTGAAGTCGGCATCTTCGGGCCATCCGGCGATCCAAATGCAGAACCGGCCGCCCAACGTTATACTCAAGTCCCGTGGCATGAGGTTAAAGCAGAAGACGCCAAGGCGCACCAGACCCAGAGCGAGAATGTCGGATCGAGAATGCCAGAAGCTGGATGGGAGTTGAGCGGAAAGGATGCAATTTTGCGTCAGTTGTTACATCTACCCGCCAACCACGACTAATCTGGCTCCAGATGAAGGATCCGATGGCATTTTTGATGATCCTGTCGAACCCACTGTTCGTGCATCAGCAACCCTCAAAGCTTGATTCTCTAACCGGCCCTCTCAGGTCCAGATGCCCCAGCCCAATACAGAGTCGAGAACCATGCCTGTCCCGCCGACTTTTAGACCATCTTGATTCCAGGGACATCCATCATACCCAATAGACAACTAGATTGCATGTAATTATAGAGTCTCATGAGGAGGTGTAGCTGCTGGCGGCGGTTCTGAGTGCCTCTTGGGCTTCAGTATCAACACCACGACTAGCCCAAATATGATAAGTATCAATAATAAAATAAGTTGTCTCCTTCCTGTGTTCTTCTGATATCTACCGGGCGGCTGTGGTCAGCGAAAGGAAGGGGAACAAGGTAGGGGGAACCAACTTTGTTGCAACCTTGAGCTCCCGGACCGCATCTTCGACTTGATCTACGGTTTGCTCGATGTTGTATTCTACACTGTCCAACAAAGTTCCCTGATCAATCACCAGGGCGGACAAATCTTTGAACAGTTCAGCCAGCGAGTTGATCGATTTCGCAATCTCGGTCAATTCCCGGTCTCGAGAAGCATATTGCTGGGATGGATCGTGCAGCGTCGATTGTGATTGCACTTGCGTCGTCGACTAACGATGATGGTTTCGATTAGATAACATCCGGCACAAGATGAGATGTGCTCGACGCACCGCAGCTGCCATATCGTCATCGACTGCGGACATTCCCTCCGAACCCTTGAGCGAGATTGTACCCGAGGCGATCAAAAGATCCTGGTTTTTGATCGCATGACCTTGCAGCTCTGCAGGCACAGGTCAATGCGCGTCTCGTGGCATAATCGATGGACAACGTGTTGCGCGAATACTCACTCTCCATGTATACACGCTGCTTCTTCCGGAAGGTCCCACTCAGCTGTTGCACCTTCGCAGCCAATCCGCGCTGGACATTCTTAGCTGCGAGAGACGTATGTGCCGACGGCTGGGAAGGAGGAAACGAATGCGGCTGCGTTCCGATACGCTGAATCAAAGCGTGGCATTGGCGAAAGTCCTATGGATGGAGTGATGAGCCACACAGTGGAGATTGTCCCGATGAAGGTCGACCTTGGTGATATCCGTCGTCATGGCCTCGATTTCATGTTCCTCGAAAGATCGATCTGTAAAGCCCGGCAGAACATGTTTCGCGTGGAGCTTTTCCAAGGCGGCAACTGAAAACGAGTTGATTTCAAGGACGCTCCGGGACAAAGTAATACGCCGCGCGTATGCACGGACTTTTTGCCTGGGTATCGGCGAGAACTTCGTGCACTTGGTCCGAGATATCGACCCTGCGCGTCACATGAGAACCGCCCGGGAGTTGATGACGCGGTGGAGAAAGAAAAGAACCATTTGGGAGGAAGGTCGAGATCAAGTGTTGTGTGTCTAGCAGGTGAGGCTGGAATAAGGCCCTCCTGTTCTTCGTCGGCAGTCGCGAAGGGTGACTCCGAGTACGAGTGCCGCGGTCGGGCACGCGAGTCGCGGTACGAAAGAAAAAGACCAGTCCTGCTTCTGACGAACACGTCCATAGGCAACCTGCGCCGTAACCGGCGTAAACCTACCCGAATTAGAATGTGGACAGCCTGTTCCGCATAGCCACCGCTTCAGGTCAATATAAAACTCTCGTGGCCGGACCTTGGATCCTACTCCAACGTCTCGGTCCGCGTTCCACGATTCTTTTTTTATAACTCCGTAAAACTTTCAATGTGCCAATACGACACGTACGTGCACTTGGTCTGCTCTCGACAGTGATCATAGCGGCTAAGTACCGCGATCTCTAGCACTGGAGTCGAGTGAGACCGCCCCTTTGCGCGTTAGCTTGAACTTACGACCATGAGGTATGCCTGTGGCCACTACATAGTGGTGAGTGCGCGTCTTCTTCATGTATTACGCGTCTCAATATTCTGCCACACAAGACGAGCTTGGACTACGAACACGATTGCAGAAGCCGGTACTGCACCAAGTCGTCAAGGCATCCCGCCACATGTAAATCGCTGGATTGCATCCAGGTGCGCATGTTTCCTGTACCACTATTGTTCTCATTCCGTTATAGTATCATGGGCCGGACCGCACCCAGACGATATCACAAGTTTCCTCCGCGTACTGTGATCCATGTCAAAAGGGCTTTTTCGACGCACGTCCTTCGACCCGCCGCTGATGGACGCGACTGCTCAATCGCCATTCCTACCGCCATTTGTATCACCCCATGTTGCTTTCGCAGGACCGTGACCCCTGTCTGCTTTGCTTGCTTTCACTCTGCGCAATAATACATACACCATCATCTAATCCAACATCACATCCTCCGTACATATTGTTAGACCTACCACTTGACAGTTAATCCTACGATATCGCTCTCCACCGCCCGATAACTCGTCCGAAACAAACTTCTGCGACGGACGTCACGCTCGGGGTCATCCAAAGTGCCATTTGTGGCGCATAGATCATCAAGTACCCAGTCCAGCAATCGATTTGGTCGATAATCGAGATGATAAACCGACCAGTATATGCTCTCTACTTTGGCGGTCCACTCGCGATTGCCCCATTTCGGAGTTTTCATGACCCCAGTCTCCTCCCAGTCCCTGGTCAGGCCTTCCTCATCGAGAGCGACGGTCAGTGGCTTGAGTTGGCCGCCCCCGTTGACACATCCGCCGGGACAAGCCATGACTTCAACATAGTCGTAGCCTCGGTCAGGCTTGTCCGAGCCGGGTTTGTTTGAACGCCGGGCCACGGCACGCCCAGCCAGGCGGCCGGCTGCCCCCGTGCCAGTGCGGATTCCCAGGTCTTTTCCCACCTTGCGCACGACATTCTGTAGATTCCGGAAGCCGTAGCACTTGGCGCCCTTGAAGACTTCGGCCTGATCGTTCTCTCGGCGTAGAATGTACTCCTCGTGATCAGCATTCCGCATCGTTTTCACGGACAGAACGAGTGGGGTGGGACTGGTGGATTGGAGATGTGATATGATGGAGTGCAGATATGATCCTGAGGACGATCCCTCGTGCACCAGGAGTTCGGGCAGCGTTGAAGACTCCACTGCTGTGGGCTTGGTCGACCAGTTTGAGATGGGCGGTACATCAGATTCGCCGGGTATGGGGATGGTGATGTCGTAGCCCTTTTCGATCAAGATGAGTTCCAGCTCTCCGGTGGTTATCACACAGTCGACATCGCGTGTTGAGTAGACGGAATTGTAAAAATCCGTCCTCGAGGCCTCCAGCTTTTTGTCATAACAAGGCATCACAGTCACATGGTAAATTTCGTTCGGTCTTCGAAGGTGAACGAGGGGAACACAGCAGAAGAACGGAACTTACAAACGACCCCACTTTTGACCCATCCAGTTCTTGACCAATGTACCCATAATTTGCTGGGGGCTCTTGGTCTGCGCGATGAAAGGAAGCATTTCCGGATGTGTCTTCTCCGCGTAGCAAATCCATCCTGGACAAGCACTTGCCAGCATAGGGAGCTTCCCCTCCAACTTGCACCGTTCTTCAAACTCCGCCAAGTGTTCCCGAAGAGCAACATGCCTCGCAAAAGTCGTATCGAACACATGCTCGACTCCCAGATCTGTTTCGCAGAAGTGTCGTATCCTTCGGAGAATTTGCCGTGGGGACGTGGCCACTCCAGATCTGGTCGTGACCGAAGCAGCAATGGAGGACAGACTTTGTGGCGCGATAGAGATGACGGGGATTTGTTTCGAGACGCCGGCCGTGGCATTGGTTTTCAGGAAGTTCAGAACTTCGATGTGGGATTGCAGAGTTATGAGAACCGATTCGGCTGAAGTTATGCATCCACTACCCGGTGTTCGTCAGATGCCGAGAAGAAGGGTGGCTGATACATTACCTACAAGCCAGGCAGTCATTCAGGTTGATCTGGGCCTGTTCCAGCTTTCTGGAGCTGGAAGCCAATGGCCCAGCGGCGGAGACCTCATAATACGCTCCGGCCGAGTCCACTTGTATTTCAGTCTTCTTGAAAGTTGTATCGGCGCAGAGACGGAAGCGAGAATCCGACTCACCGAGGCAGCTCCCGCATGCTTTTCCGCTGGGACATTCGTTTGCTCGACGGGTTTAATACAGGCTTGGGACGGCGTGATGAAGTCGTTCAGATCGCTGAGTGTCTGAGAGAGAGATTTAGATTCGTAGGCTCGCGAGTAAATAGCCCTACCAGGGCCCCGGAGAACGCCATGACAAATGAGAAGAAAAGAGTATTGCCAACTCCGAGTCCGACTCAGACTGGGCCGTGCCACTTCGGCCGAAAGTCGGATGACAAAGAGCGCAATCTTATCTAATCTGTGAGCTACCGCTGTGATGTGACATCCACTTAGAATGTGACGTTAGCACCCAGCACCGATGACTTTGGCCAGTTCATCCACAGATCCATTCGAGCTCGACCGTCTCGCAGAGGAGCTTGTCACTCGGGAGCTCGATAAAGATGCGACGGACCATGAACTGCCCATATACATCCCGCTATCACATACAAACCCGCATCTAACGTCCGACGTGTTCGATGTCGAGGCATTTCTACTCTCCAGATCACATACCTCTCTTCGCGACCTGCGCTCGGAACTGCGGGACTATCTTGCGACTCTCAAAGAGGAGCTGGTGCAGCTTATAAATGACGACTACGAGGCGTTCATCAGTCTGAGTACGGACTTGAGGGGGGAGGGCGAACGACTAGAACGGCTCCAGTCCCCGCTAGCAGATCTTAGGCAACAAGCTCTGGTCCGGAATATCAGACACGTGGCGTAGGGTCATGACTCATATGGTGAACAGGAATCGAAGCGTGAGTTGCAAGTTATCCAGGATGCTATTCAAGAATCGCTGGAGAAGAGGTCAATGCTCAGGGAGGAGAAGGTATTGGCTTTCTTGCGGTTTGGGTCTCGCTGAACCATGACAGGCACTGCTCCACCTCCTGCTGAAAATATCTGAATCTGTGACGCGACTTGAATCTTTACTGCTAATCGCGTCGTCAACTACAGAGGAAAACGAGCGGACAGAAATGGACGCGCATTCTACACATCTCAGCCTCACCGAAGACAGTACTGAGGACAGAGATCGGTACGCGCTCTCTTCATGTCTCTAATAGGATGTCGCTTGACTGAATTGCAGAACTCGCGGCCAAGCGAAGCATTTGTCTCGTGTGGCCGCAGAATACAGTCAGTTGCTATATCACGCCAGCAAAGCTCGAGCGGAGAACTGTGTTTTCGTGGATGAAATTCAGTGGGTATGTGCTTTCTTTGACTCGATGATGCAGTTTACTTCATGCACTGAGCAGAGAATCGATCGAATACGTTCCACCCTCTCATCTGATTTGGACCACCTCTTTTCCGTCACATTAACGAATCTGACGACCCTCAATACCGACACCAGACTCTCAGAACTTGAAAAGACGAAATCTCTCGCTGACTTGAAAGAATGTTTGCATACGTATGACACGATGGGCTTATGGAGGGACGCCGAGGATGTTCTGAGAAGAGACCTGGTGAGGAGGTTTGTCAAAAGGGTGTGTTCTTCCTGCTCGGCTGCGCATCGTCGAAGCTCACAGTGACAAGTCTGTATTTTCCGGCGCCCTCGCAGCACCACCATCGCCTATGGTTCCCCATACGCCTTTCCGCTCTTCCACGTCCGGAAACTCTGCTTTGGAGCCCAATGCCCTTCCACCGAGGACCCCATACACTCCGTTCACCGCGTTCGCTCTCAGAACGCCATTCCAATCAACACTGGGCTCCGATACTTCGCCCTATTCTCATCTCCTCGAAGACGATGACGATCCACTTGCGAGGTTGTACACGCAGATCCTGCGCTTTGTTGAGAGGGATTTGAAGAAAATAATGGTCATTGCCGACGAACTCTCGAACAAGAACTTGTCTGCCAAGCAGGGCCGACTACCCAGCGATGCACCGTCGGGGGATGGTTTCGAAATCCTAGCGAACGTTGTTTGGGAAGAGCTGGGGCGAGCGATCATGGACGAGCTCGGTGTTGTAGTCTTTGCCTCCGGACGGCCCAATGAGTTCCGGAAAGTAAGTACCTGATGAACGAGTTACCTGTGGGGTTCTAATGAGCATTCTTTAGCACTACGAGATCACTCAGGCGTTTGTGCGCTCTCTCGAGTATCTTGCGCCCTCTGTCCACGCTGTCGAAGCAATGCGGGCGCATCCAGTCTACGGAGCCTTTGAGCGGCGGTGGCAACTTCCGGTCTACTATCAGCTGCGGTGGAAAGAGATCGCGAGCAAAGTGGAGGAGGCCCTGGCTTCTTCCAAAGCCGATGCGTCAACTGGGGATCAGACATTTGTTACCACCCAGGCTCAGGCGATCTGGATTGCCATCTCTGCATGCTGGAGTGCGGAGGTGTTCATCCCCGAACTGGCGCATCGATTCTGGAGGCTTACTCTGCAGGTTCGTGAATCTATTTTTGCCTCATTCTCCACTAATTGACTGAAATAGCTTCTGAGTCGATATAGAGTTTGGCTGGACAGCACTTTGGATGACAAACCTGTGGACAAGGTAAATACGTTGTCGCTGGCCTTTATCGAGAACTCATGTTATCAAAAACGACAGGGTTCTGCCTCGATTGCCCGGTCCGGTACTCCTGTTGACGGTCAATCTGCCGACAGTCTGGCTGCGGACGACTCGAGACTGCGGCAATATGCCCTGATCATCGCTGATGTGCGCGCACTCAGGGCCAGTGTCATGAGATTGTGGAAAGAAGAGATCAGCCTTCTTCTCCCGGAGCTTTCTGGCGACGACCGCTCCAACACTGAGGAGACGCTCTCTTTATCTCTGTCCGCACTGGGCGACGCGACTGAGCCCATGTCCAGCCACGTGGTCGCAATTCTGACTAAGCGATGCTGCGACGCGCTCAATCCCGTGCGGTCGATCTCGTCGCATTTCCGGGCGATGGCGAACAAGTCTATGCCGAAGGCCCCTAGTGATTTTGTCTCCTCCGTACTGAAGCCTGTGAAAGGCTTTTTCGGGATTGGTGTTGCTCATGCCCCCGGCGCTGCGCTTGTGGATCACTGCTTGGAGCAGTACACGGCGGAGATTTTCGAAAGTGTGTCTCAGAGGTATAGAAAATCTTATCCGCCTCTAACTGTTTCTGAAGTATCCCTAGATACGTCTATCTGATCACGGGGATGAAGAAGACCGAAGAGTCGTTGCGGCGGCTCAAAAAGGGCAAGAAAAACACGTTCTCTCTCTTCGGAAGCAGTGCCAAAGACGATGATGGAAAGGACGAGGAGAGAATCAGAACGCAGATGATCCTCGACGTCGAGGCTTTCGGGGTGGATGCCCAGTCCCTCGGGGTCGCAGTGAGCAAGAGCGAATGCTTCAAATCCCTGCAGGAGATGGTCCATGCTCCGGTGGATCGTGAGTCGGTCTAGTATTCGGTCTAGCCTCTATGTACACTACTGACACCATTTCAGCGTCGGAATAGTCTAGTCCATCTCTGTGTTTTTGATCTGCTTGCGACGGACATCGATCTTCTTTGCATCATCCTTTCCCTTCTGGTACAGTGATCTCGCCTGAGCATCCTTGAACTCCAGAGGACGCGACTTCCGTCCCTTCTCAAGCTTGATCCCCTGAGATTTCAGATAGTCATCACCAATGGCAGCTGTGGCTTCCCTAAAGGCGACAAGTTGATTCACGGAGGCCCAGGGCGATTCCTCGTCAGCTTCGGGCTTGACGGTGGCCTTGGCTTCCACTGATGGAGACTCTCTTCGTTTCAGGGTAGGCCGTTCTGCGTCGAGATCGAGCAGATTATCGACATCGTCGTTGTCATCAAAATCTGGCGCCATATCACCTAATGTCGCGGGACCATTAAAGTTGTCTTCTTCATCAGCGTTCTCCTCGTATTTTGATGGGAGTCTCCTGTCCCTGAAATCGTCCTCGTCGTCGACATCTTCGATTTTGACTTTGCGTTCCTCATGCTGTTCCATTTTGACGGCCCCATCCTCTTCCTTGATCTGGGGCTGTTCCAAGCGCACCAACTTGGCCTTGGTCTCCGCAGCCTCTGCTTCTTGTCGAGCTTGGAGCAAGGTTTGCTCTTTTTTCACTGCCCTGGATTTTTCGTCGGCCTTTTCCTGCTGAGCCATCTTATATAGACCATAAGCGACACCGGACCGGTAGCAGCTGAAGCTCGTTCAGCGTTTGCTGATATGGACAAGTGAGAAAACCTTACTTCTTTGCGTGTGTCCCTTTGCCTGCTTCAGGTTTCTGGCTCCAGGCAAGAATAAGGTTGTATGTCTAGGAGAACAGTCAGAGGTGCAGCATCTATGTTGATTTCGACACGCTACCATTTCGAATGCGTGAGCGGCTGCGACAGTTTGCTCTTGTAGACCTGATGGTTACGACAGTCAATTTCCATACATAGATGAGGCGCGAGATTGACACGTACCATAGAACGACCAATCTACCTTGGGTCGAGAGCCAGTGAATTTCGTGCTGTATGACTGGCAATCGAAAAAGATGTCCATAGCTGTGGACAAGGTGGAGGTCCAAGCCGGCAGTTGAAAGGGCGTCCCAGCGTCATTCCGGATAGACACGACGCTGCAGACAATTGTTAGAATCGCTATCGACGATACGCCGCAGAAGACTTGCGATGTGCCAGCACTGTTTCACCCAGGTCGATCGGACAAGTCGCTCGGAGGTCACGCCACCTACCGCTTGAGTTTCTCGGATTCGGACTCTTGCGACATGATATCGGCTTGGGTGACGCTGACGGCTACCTGAGCAATGTCCGGCAAGTCACTTCGACGCGACGTACTTGTGTCTCTCCAACATCTTGGAGGCCATTCTATCACCTCAACGTGTCAACGGCATGGCTGATTGCAGCCAAAGTAGTACCCACCTCAGAGCCGCACGCGCTTCATCCTCCCCGGTTTGCGGATGTGCAGCCAACGCGAGAGCCTTCTTGATACGTCCTATCACAGCAGCGTCCATCCCTTCCACTGTAATACAAGCCCGAGGTGAATCGAACGAGCCCCCTGGCCCACTTGGAAACTAGACGCACGGCGTTTCTGGGATTCTGTCTTGTCCCGGATGGGCGCGTCAGTCGCGCGTATCGTCACTTCTGCTTTGGTGGCAGGACCTTTGCTGCGTGTCCCGGTACTTTTGGAGGCCGAAGTCCGCTACGCAGGGTTAGAAATGCATATTTTTTTACCGAGCAGCACAAGGGAGATTGAACCTTTGCCCTTTTGGGCCCCTTGATTTCTTTCGCCTCAAAGTCGCTGTCCGAGTATTCCGAATCAGATGTCGTGTCGTATCTACGTTTTGGCATGGAGGAAGGAAAAATGAGCACTGTGGTTGTGATGCCGGAGCGAGCACTGCTCCTGACGCGACGGCCCGTTGATTGGAACTTTGGCCCTGTTAGGGACGCGTTCGAATCAACCCTGATCAACTCGCATCATGTCCACTCCCGCCGCAGAAAGCGCTTCTGCACCCGCAAAACGACATGGCCTCTCCGCCGTCGAGAAGCAGAAGTCCCAGTTGGACCGACTGCTCAAAGATCCCACCAAGGCTGCATTCATACCCGCCCCGCCGAAGGAGAAGACGATCCGAGCGGCTCGAGAAATGATGAAGAATGTCCAGGGTTCTAGCGCCGGTGCGGGGAGCGGGGAGTTCCATGTGTATAAAGCGAGCCGGAGGAGAGAATACGACAGACTGAAACTCATGGAGGAGGAAACAGCCAAGGTACCACCCACCCCGGATACTCTGTACGCCAAATCTAATCGGAATTGCTTCAGGAAGCCGAAATTCGTGAATACGAAACAAGAAAGCGCGCGATAGACGATTTGGCGGAATCCAAAACAGCAAAGAACCGCGCGAAACGGCAGAAGAAGAAGGAGAGGGCGAAGAAGGGAGATCCCTCGGACTCGGCGAAAGGCGACGGGACCGCAGGTTCATCTGATGCTCCTCTGAAGAAACGTCGACTTGTTAATGGGCAGGAGCTGGTTTTCCGGCGACCTGGGGAGAGTGATAGCGAAGCAGAGGATGAACCAGGGCCTCAACTGCTGCCCTCCGAACCTGTCGACGACCCGGCAGACGTGAGCGTCGACGCACCAAATGCAATAGTGACTGCGAGAGTTACCATACACGAGGACGATTGAGGAGTGTACGATGTTCCTTGCCACATGTGCTCATATAATATACATATTAGGATCAACAAGAATAGGACGTGGCTATGAGTGCGTGGAACCAATGCTTCAAGAGCTCTTCCTCCAGGATCTGCCTTGCCAGGACATGAAGGAAGTGTCGAGGGAGGGCAGACCGTTTTCGTCCAACACAGACATCCGAGTCTGGTCTGGTGCCCGGCAAACAGCTGCTTCTCGAGCAGATGGAGCAAAGCCGAGCCCATTCCTGAGATCAGTCGGTCAGAATTCGCCATGAAAGAAAGCGTTGTTCTTACCCGACAAAAGTTTCGAGGACTCGGATGAATCTGTCCATCTCCTCCCGTAGATGGAGCGAGTGCGCGTTGTGCTGGGACAGAGAACGAGAGAGGACTGCGGAGGTTGTCTTGATTTGCGACAACAGAGCGGCGAGACTGCCGTAAGAAGCGTCGTCTCTCGTGCAGCTGTACGCCACCGGAGACAATCCACGTGCCTGGTCCAGAGGCAACTGGGGTGAAGAGATGAGTGCCACCTGAGGCCATGGACTGCAGACGGGTGATGACGAGGAGTGTGAGAATTTGGACGGATCCCAATTCAAGAGGTTTGTCTGGTCACCATCCTCTGCAACGAACTGCAATCGACCCTGTTAATCCTGGCTTCGTGCGCGTGATCGCGGTGCTGTCTACAGCTCACCTGGAGCGCGCCACTCTGCTCTGACACCCGGCTCGAGACCCTCGAAGGGATCCTGGCATTTACTTGGTAGACACAGATACTCGTCTGTGAGGTGTAAATTGATGACGTCCAAGAAAATGGGGGGTAAGGTTACCAGTCCTAATTGTGAACATCGCGAACACGGCCTTTGTCGATCGCACTGAAGGTCTGGTCAGTCATAACAGACACGCCCAAGACAGCACACAAACCATCCGCTTAGTGGCATGGCAGTTGAGGCAAGACTGTGTTGTGCGATTGCGGCGACTGAGCAGCGAAAGAGCGGAGGGCTGGGTGAGTAGGGTACTACCGGCAACGAGCATGTGTACCGTTTGCGATGATCCCCAGGAACAGAATCGGTGGCAGGCATTTCAAAGTTGTTCTCGAGGCGCTCTCAGTCAGACAAGATCTTAAGAAAGCTTTCATACTAACTTGGCGCCCAGAAATCAAGACGTGAGTATGGCAAGCAAAATATTCGAAAGAAGGTGGGACGGGACTCATGCTGAGGGCGGGCACTGTCTGCACTCGCACGAGACCAATCTAACGATCGGCTTCTGAGGAACAGCGACGTCCGCCAAGACTCGGAAAGCTAAAAGGACCAGGGCTTTCCCGACTAGTCCCAAGATGCGTCGTCATCTGCTTATCTTGGCACATCGATTCGACAGGATAAGATTACAATGTGTGCAGGGATTTGATTTCAAGACAAATCGAGTTACGCCAGAGCACTAAGTAAGCCTCCCAAAACAGTGACCCACCAAGCACGGTACAAGGCCTGGAATCCTTCTTGGTTGATAATTGTTCTCGCGCAATCAACAAGTCCTTGATATGGCTCAGCATCGTCTCGCAACCTGATTTTCGATCAGGACAAGGCCATGTAGGACTGGAAGTAGACGACTTGCCCTATCACGTCTTCTTCAGCCCCAGCAAACTCAGGAACATCCTCAGCATCTCCATCAACTTCTTGGGTGACGGAATTGTACTCGGCGGAGGCTTGATTACGCTGGATGGCAAGTCGAGTCGAAATGACTTCCAGAGGTGTGAGCACGCCGGCGCTGAGGATCACGACCAGGAAATACACCGCCACCTTCCAGGCAGAAGTGTCAGGGTAAGAAATGCCGTTTTTGCGGGTCATGGGAACAAGGACACGATGCAAAGGCGCTAGAAGGAATGTCTGCACGTTGCAATTAGAGCAGAATGTCGCGGACAACGTCATAACGCACCACGAAAGCGATGTGAAAGTATTGCGCAGGCAGCAATCCTGGAGTCAGATAGATTAACCACGGCTTTCGTCTCTCCGTGGGTGTCAAAAGAACGCGCAATGACTTCATCGGTTGGAACCAAGGAAGCCTGAGCGGAGTAGTCATCGCCCTAGTAGCGCCGTGAGTAGAAGGCGAATGCGTGAAGCGAGTAAGCGCACCGGTCTACAAACAATGAAGTTGAGCCTAAAACACAATCGGGCGTAAAATACACCTACAGGTTATCACTGCGCTCGGTAGACTCAAAATCATCATCCCGACGCCATAGAGAAAGGCGCCAATCAACCCAGAGGTTGGGGCTCTGTAGGAGCCGTGACGGTGATGGGGCGAGTCGAAGAATATCAAGATGACAAGAGATGCGAAAAGCGCAGTTGCGAACGTGGGCACTGGGGTCGATGAGCATGGAATCCGGAATGTATAAGAGTTGACTTACTTGATCCTTTGTAGAAACCTGCAGCGCCTTCAAGCCGCCAGACTCGTGCAAACATGCTCCAGTAAGAGGTCACGACAGGTCCAGTGTGAGGAACTGCTCCTTCCGCATCCAGCGCCAAACCTCGCGGGTTATAATTCGCTCGGAAACGCACAAGAACACCAGTAAGAGGAACAACAATCGCAAGTGAGATTGCGAGCGAGGGAATCAGCAGCAGATAGTCGAGAAAGCCCATGTCGAGGATGACGCGTAATGAAAGCGGCAATTCCGTGAGTAGCGGTCTGCACGGGGTATAGGGCGGTGCAACTACGCCGCAGTCTCGCTGATCGTCAGCGTCACACCTGTGACAAGCGTCGGAGATTCAATTCTCTCTTGCACTCCTACCACCATCTGCGTATCAGTTAAGGCTCCTGAAAAGCTTCCTCGGCTCTCTCTGCTCTAGGAATCCGACATGGAATCACCCACTGGGGATCATGATCGTCAAGTCTCCTTCCGCACGTATTGACTGTCATCGCTGGTGGTTCCATCGCATTCGCGCACTACGCAGCAGAAAGGCGGTGGGAAACTGTTTGGCAAACTCGTATGCACAAAATCTCTAGGATCAAACTTCCTCCCAAGTTGTCACTATTTCTATCGATCGTTGACCTGCAAACGACATGCATTCTGCTTTGCCTCGGGGCTGGTTGGCTCAAGGAATCTCATGGCTCACCCGCTTGGGTCAATCCTCCGATGGTCAGGAATATGATATACATTTTCTCATCTCTGTTGTTCTTTGAGGATTATCTTACGAAGTCTGGCCAAGTAATATCAAGCTTGTTCACACTACCCATCTGCGTATATCGGACGCACGCTCGCTCGATTGGGCTTGTGCCAACCTTGGCTCCCATTGTAGAGCAGGATACCGCGGAATCGTTCGAACTCATGGTAACATCGCTTCGCCTCATACAATCATCTGTCTACCTCTACCTGAAGGTTGGTGCCCAGCAATCATCGTGCTGAAAGCTGGGTCTCGCGCATTCTATTGCCGCATAAGCTATTGCACGCCTCGTATTGTGTTCGACCGGGGCCACAGGGCTACTTGGAGGCTTCATTTCTCTTAGTTCACAGTTGTGTATATACGTTGTATGAGTAGTCACAAATCATCATTCCCTTGTTCCTTGACACGAACCACCAGACTTCGGAGTTTCTCGTAGTTCTCAGCGAACTGAGTGCTAGCCCTCCAACGGCTCTAACTCTTTCTACTCTTCATCGAACCATCCACGACGACTCTTCATGGCGTCGTCGTTGCCCTCGGAGGCCCGTCTATTTTCTTTTTTTTTCCGCGATTTTTCTGAATTTCTGTGGGCCCACAGAGGAGAGCTACCGCATTAGAACTATTGAAATCTTCGAGGCGACCTACAGGTCCTTCCACTCCCCGTGCCGCGTCGTCGTCAAATGACGACGTGTCGTCCCCCGTATCCCACCCGCTGCCACCAGCGCAGTCGCGCGATGCCACAATTCCGTCTCGCTACTTTCCTCCAGCCAACAGCGGCAACATCTTAGTCCCCAGCTCGAGCCCCCTAGGCCCATCCGCCTTGTCGGCGTACGTCCCTTACGGCCATGCTCGCCCTCATGACGTGGGCGCCATCCAATCCGCCAAGACCCAATTCCAGGTTACCTGGGACGATCCACTCACAGCATCTACTTCATTCTCATCCAACAACACTCTCGGTCGTCACCCGCGCGACAGGAACGATGTGAATGGAGCGGAGGGCCCTCCACGTAAGCGCCAGAACCGGGGGCACGGGCAACTCATCGACCTGACGATGTCGCCCGATTCTCCCGACGTGCGGGGGCCCGGTATCAAGAGACGCACAGTACCAACCGCCGGTTCGTCTTCGGATGACGATGACTTCTTGCCTGTTGCGGACAGTGCAGCAGGGCCGTCAACATCCCGAATCACACGCAATCGACCCTCACCACCCGTGATGTCGACGCCGAATGTCAGTACATCATCACCTGGTCCGGACGCAATGTTCTTGCGCTTCAAAATCACTATGCCGACGGAGTCTCCTCAGCGTATCGAGGCGGCATGGCGGCAGGCTAACCACGATGTGAAAAAGGCCACGGCGCTACTCACAGACCCAAACTGGGCGCCGCCGACGCCGCCATCAGTGACGACGTCCTCTCCAGCTCCACGGCCAGAGGTGGTTGGGCGTGTAAGAGAGGTCGACGAAGCGACGAAAGCCCAGCGACTGGCGGCCAAGGAGACGGGCAAACGGTCAGCGATCTACGCCAAGCGGCCTGTGACCACCACTGCGCGCGAAACCCAGTTCCTGCACTATACGCCCCCGCAGCCCAAAGAGCGAGCTGTCTCGTCCCCTGCGCCTCGTGTCATACCGAGGAGAAAGGCGGCCCGTAAGATAGTCGATTCAGACTCCGACGAGAACTACTCTGAAAGCGATGATGATGCAAGTCGGGGTCGGCCAGATAATTCGGAGAGGTTCAGGACCAGAGCCCTGGAATACTTCAATTCAGCTGCCCCTGAAGCTTTAGCGGAGCTGACTGGTACGTCCATTGCTGTACGTTCTCACCGTGGTTCCGTTTGACTCTGTCCAGGCTGCACGCCAGAACAGGCTAACATCATCGCGTCTCTGCGGCCGTTTGAGGATGCTGATGAGCTCGAAGCGAAGCTCAAGCAAGGCAAGAAGAAGGCTGGGCCCGGGGGAATCAGTCCGAAGATGTTTGCGGACTGCGTCAGCACATTTGAAGGATATGGCACCGTCGACTCGATCCTAGAAGATTGCGAGGAGACTGGAGTAGACTTGCAGACAGCGATATCCTCATGGGGAGCTACAGACCAGACTGAGGACGGGGCCCTCAGTCTACACGAGATGAAAGTGTCATCCGACAAACCGAAGGATTACCTCGACCGGCAGCCAGAGCTCTTGGCCGATGGGATTCAACTGAAGGACTATCAGCTCCTCGGGGTGAACTGGCTCAATCTGTTATACCGACGCAACTTCAGCTGTATCCTGGCCGATGAAATGGGGCTGGGCAAAACAGCGCAAGTCATCAGTTTTCTTGCGTATCTGAAAGCGCAAGGAAATGTCGGACCGCATCTTATCGTTGTCCCGTAAGTGTGGAATTAACTGGGGTGTGTCGTTTCTCACTGCGTCTCAGGTCTTCGACGCTGGAAAATTGGTGCCGTGAGTTTGCACGATTTGCACCCTCGATCGAGGTGCAGACGTACTATGCCGGGAAATCGGAGCGACCAGAGCTCAGGGAAACCTTGCTCGAGTCTCAACGATCCAAAGGCGATGGTTCCGAAGGCTGGGATGTCTTGATCACGACGTACAACCTCGCGGCGCAAGGGGACGAACGCGATCGCAGATTCTTCCGAAAGATTGAATGGGATGTAAGTGGCCCCGTCTCTATCCGAATTCCCGTGTTCATGCTGGAATAGTGTTGCGTCTTCGATGAGGGACACGTTCTGAAGAACTTTCAGTCCCAGCGGTATCAGACATTGCTCAAATACGAGTCCAAGTGGCGGCTTTTATTGACGGGCACCCCCCTTCAGAATAATCTGCAGGAGCTCGTGGTGAGTGGATGCATGTCGTCTCTTGTATCTCTCAGCCTGATACCGATTAGTCTCTCATGAATTTCATTCTACCTGGCAAATTCTCGGAGTCGATGGAAGCCCTGCGGGCCATCTTCAAGGTCAGAGGCGACACCAAGGTCTCCTTGTTGTCCCAGGAACGGGTCTCTCGTGCTAAGAAGATGATGACACCGTTTGTGCTGCGTAGGAGGAAGGACCAGGTGCGCAAAAAAAACTCTCTTCGCGGACTAGGCTCCAGTCTAATCGATGAGCAGGTGCTTAAGGATCTGCCCAAAAAAACCGAGCGTGTCGAATGGTGCATGATGACACCTTTGCAAAAGTCGATATATGCGGATGCCATTCAGCGTTCCCGAAAGTTTGTGCTGGAGACAATCGAGGACGACACAGACGCCGCAGACTCGAAGCCATCTGGGAAGAAGCGTCCAAAAGCAGCCGCGGCAGTCAAGAAGACGTACCAAGAGAACAGCTCGAATGTGTTGATGGATCTGCGCAAGAGCGCTTTGCATCCCATGTTGTTCAGGACCCTGTTTACCGACCGGACTTTGGACGGAATCACCAAGCAACTGCTTAAGGAGCCGGACTTCAAAAAGCGCGGCGCTCGTTACGATTATGTCAAGGAGGACATGTCCGTGATGACTGATGCAGAGCTGCAGCATTTTTGCGGAACGTACAAAGTGAGTGCTTGTTGGAGTTCTCAGTAATCTCTCTCTGATCGTTGTGTAGTCCACTCAGAAATTCCTCCAAGACGATCAGTCTTATTTGGATGCCGGCAAAGTCGAGGCTCTGATGCGTCTGCTCGCAGAATTCCGTGAGCAGGGCAGAAAGGTCCTGATCTTCTCCCAGTTCACTCAAATCTTGGATATTCTCCAAGCAATCTTGAAGCAGAAGCACATCCGATTTCTCGTGCTCACTGGATCCACCCCAGTCGATGTGCGCCAGTCGTTGGTCGACGAGTTCTCGGAGACGGATTCGATCAATGTTTTCCTGCTGTCGACTAAAGCCGGTGGTATGTTTTATGATTCGATTCGGCACACGTCGATTCTGAATATCTCAAGGCATGGGCATCAATCTTACCGCGGCTTCTGTTGTCATAATGTAGGTCCCACGTCCCTGCGCAGGTAGTTTGCTGACGCGGAGACGCAGGTTCGATCAAGACTTCAACCCTCATAACGATCGCCAGGCCCAGGACAGAGCCTATCGAATCGGCCAGAAACGCGATGTAGATGTCATCAAACTGATTTCTCGCGGGACCATCGAGGAGGACATGCTTAGATTGGGAGAGACCAAGTTAGCATTAGACCAAGCTGTCGGCGGCGCGGCAGCCGATCCCGACGACAAGAGCACCGACGACAGCGCACCCGAGCGAGAAATGAAGACGTCCTTGCTGCAGTCTCTCCGAAAGCAGTTTACGGACACGACGGATGCATCGAAAGCGGAAGTGACGGAGATGGACGTCTCCTGAAATAGAACAATCAATTTATAATCTCTTGTATAACAACTATGAGGAGAAGTGACTGCTGCGTATAAGTCTGTCGACGCTTGCGCGAAAATACTCGTTGTCGATTCCATACTCGCGCGAATCCATGTCCACCAACGGATTGCGCACAACGTATTCAAGGAACGGACCCGTGTAGATTTGTCGCAGCATGAACCGAAGGGACTCTGCACCCGGGTCGCTGAGCATCACCAGCTTGTACCCAGACACCGATTCAAAGACGTGCATCTTATACGTCGACGTCCGGTAGTTGGTGAACTGCTCATCCCTGCCTTTCCCGTATGAACGGCACGTCAGAGACGCGAAGCTGGGTCGCGCACCTCCCGGAGATCTTTTTGACCATATTCCTGAGCGAAAGAATGACACCGTACACCAGTTTAGCTTCCTCATCGAACGATAGCCCTGTGCTGGTCATGGGCGATGGCGATGGGGGTGTCGGTTGCATCAGCAACGGTGTCGACGGAGTCTGAGCACCCTCATTCACAGCAATAACAACGCCGGAATTGGACGAAAGCGTGTTTCGGGGGCTCGAGTAGCCTGAGTAGGCGGAGGTCGGGTTTTGAGACGGAGGAGAAACAGCTTGCGAAACGGCAGGTAGTATCCCGCCCTCTGTGGCTAGTTTTGGCCGTCTCGTACGGTTCCAATCCTGGTAGTACACGCATATGCAATGTCTGCAGCACCGTTAGCCGAGAGCTAGCGCAGAAGACCCCAGACGCGCCTGTCGTAGATGTAAAGACTGTATATGGTCATGGTACAAAGCAGGTTTCTGTTCTCATCACGTCTGGTCCACGGAAACCATCCAGCAGCACGTATTGGCAACGCCGGCAAAGCCAGATCCGTTCATATAACAAGTAAGTAAGTAGATTACCGAGGCGGTCCCAACAGTATCCTATCCGTAAGTCCGAGTACAACATACTCTCTCAAGTTCTCCTATCAAGACGGGTGTCCGTTACTCAGACCTTCTCCCTCCCGTAAAGCTGTGCCTTCTCATCATAAAGAGGGACGGCATCCATTCTCTGCGCGTCTAGAGCGAATGATAAGCACAAACGGAGAGTGATAGGTTGAGATCCTACCCGCGTAGTAACGGTTGGCCCCAGCGTCGATGGGTGCGTTGATGAAACTCGGGTCCAAGTAAGCGTTGAAAGTGAAAGCGGTGGCAGCCTTTCCAGGAGGAAGATGGATGTTCAATATCTGTGCGTTGATTAGCCAGCAACCAATAATCACGAGAGGTGAAGAAGAACGTACAATGCTACTTCTGAAGATGCCTGGTGTCTTCACTACCCACACCGAGGTAACCCGTCCTTGCTCCAAATTTCTCCACTTTGTCAACAACATGTTAACCTGTTTTTGACCCTATAAATAGTTCAGCGACCCTGCATTGGAGGCTCTTGATGTGACCGACGATATATTTCCAAATCGCCATGGGCACGAAGAATAGAAGGAGCAGTGCCACAAAGATTACCATCGAGATGGAGCGAGCCTATGAGAGGCTCTTCAACGTGTACCGGTCATGGGCTTAGGAACCTACGCACCTCGAAAACATGGCTGACCGAGTCGTCTCTGAAGTGAAGCGCGCGGAGAATGACGGGGAAGACAGTCACTGGCACGATGAGGATGGAGAGAAGGGCGAGCGTGATCCAGATGCGCTCAAGGATGGGCTTGTTGTACCGGGCAGCAATCTCAGTCACAGAGTTGAGGCGGTGAGTCCACGCATCCTGAGTGACTTCGTCATTGATTTCTGGAGGACAGGGTGGGGCAGGATGGTTCGGGGATAGATAGAGCACGATAGTGTTGCTCGCAGTGCGGATCGGAGCGAACTGAGCGTTCATGTTGACAATGAACAGGGTGCTTGTCGAAAAGGCGGCTGAATGGTGTTACTGAACGAGTGGATAGCAGCGGAATCTGAAGGAGTCGACGCAGTCGAGAGAAAAGAATGAGATAAAGGCACGGCCTGGAATGAAGGGAGAAAGGAAGGAAGAGGATGCCGCTTCACCACAAACGTTGACAACAGGGTAACCGTCGTCGATCATTTGACAGGTGGCAGTGAGTGTGTCGACTGGAATATCTCATTTTCGTCTCGAAACTACAGGTAGTCTGTACGTGGGACAAGTGAAATAAGCCCTCGAATTACCCCAGCGGTCCTTTTGCTGGTGAAGGTCCACATCCGCCCACTTGACATCGAAGCCGGCCTCCGCAAGATGTATTTCCGAGACGCGGGTGTAAACATCATAAAACGTCAGGTCTGCGTTCATGAGCAATGTCGACACGCAGTGGCACTCATAGGACCTACTTGTTGCCCCTAAGCCGTTGAAAAAGCTGAATCTGGCCTGTGGGCCGAGTAACGTTGGAAGATGTCCGAAGAATTGTCGCAACGCCTCGTAATCCTCACTGAACGAATCCGTGTAGACGAGGTCGAATCCGCCTTCAGGAACGATAGAGGCCAGCTTTTCAGGGTCATTTATGAAATCTTGCCATTTGCCTTCCAGTACTCGGACACCAGGTTTGTCATACCAACCGAGATCTTTCATCCTCTTCAGTACATCTGGATGGGCTTCGATAATGACGTGAAGCGATGGTGAAAGCGCCTGGAAAAATGAGTCGATCTACTACAATTGAGAGAAGTGACGCGGCTGAGGAGAAGGAGGGACATACGATCCCCAAACCAAAGCCGACATTGAGGACTTGTGCGGATTTTGAATCTCGTTCAGAAGATAATCTCTGAACGGTCTTCCGCATGATCTCGGTCTCCCATCCCATCATCACGCCAATCTCATCTCCATCAGCCTCGACCATGCAAATATCCTGCCCATGCTCATCCACAGTAAATCGCAGTTTTGAAGATAGAAATGTATCAGTTGAGGCAGCTGCCGTTTCGTCTGTTGAACGCAGGACCAACGCTGATTCAGATTGAACGCGACCAAGGGCTGACATGCGCGCCAATAACAGCTCAGCACGGATACCTGCGTTACGGATGATGGTGTAGATGTCTTCATTATTGAACGAGAGCGCGATGTCTCCAGCAGTATTTTTCAGATAGTCCACTGTAAGCATAGATGTCGTTCCGGAACATGTGGGATGGAGCCAGTCAAGCTCACCCGCGTTCCATACAGCGCCTTCTTGGATCAGATAGCGTACGAGCTCTGTATTCTGAACATACGCGGCAGCATGCAGACAGGAGATGCCTTCCAGTTCGTTTTGATACCAGAGAGGTGCACCGGTTTCGACGATTTTCTTTATGTTGTCCAGGGACTCCCCAGCCAGAATCACGTTGATGAGATGCTCCCCAAATATTGAGACGGCGTCGATGTCATCCTCGTCGATGCTTGACGCGTCTATCACCTCTGGTTCGGACATGTTTATCAGGAGTGCGCGTCGAATTGACCAATTCAATCTGGAACCTTCGGGAAGTGCCGGCTTTGTCATCACTCACGCCTCTCATATAAACACCCATTCGCTGGTTGAGAGCGCGAAACATTTCGGATTGCTTGCTTTCAAGTATACACATATAACACATAATGGCGTCCCATTTGGTACGCGTTCCTTCGAAAACAAGCCGTTTCTGCGCTAACACTCCCTCAGGCCAACATTTTTGGAACAGAACAGGATCGAGTCAATTGTTCGTTTTACTACAAAGTGCGATATATTCCTCTCTCCGAGTGAACACATCTGAAGCAGCCTTCTTAAAGATTGGTGCCTGCCGTCATGGTGATCGGTGTTCACGAAAGCACATCAAACCCCCGTTCTCGCAAACAATTTTGCTCCCGAACGTCTACCACAATCCTGCACACGACCCGGTCTGCAAACTCACTGAAAAAGAGCTTCAAGAAGGATTTGACGCAGTCTATGAAGATCTCTACTGTGAACTGACAAAGTTTGGGCACCTGCTGGAGTTGCATGTTCGTCTCATTCAGTGTTCCTGCCGTAGCATCACTCACAATGTGTCAGGTTTGCGATAACGTCGGTGATCATCTTATTGGCAATGTATACGCGCGTTACGAGTGGGAAACGGAAGCACAGGCGGCTGTTGATAATCTCAACGAACGCTGGTATGCAGGTACGTGTATATGATCTGAACTACCCAATTCTCGCATTGATGATCGACAGGACGCCCTCTCTATGCTGAGCTGTCTCCCGTCACCGACTTTAGGGAGGCTTGCTGCCGACAGAACGAAAACGGTGAATGCAACCGTGGAGGGTTCTGCAACTTCATGCACTTGCGACTCGCGTCGAAGGAGCTGGTTTCGTCACTCCGGCATGGACAACGTTTGGAGCGGCGAGTCAACCCACCCAAGACCACTGGCGGAAGTGGTGGATGGGAGCCGACAAAACGTGATACTGGTCGGGGCCGGAGTGCTAGTCCGCCTTCGAGAAAGGGAGGCAACAATGGGGAGGATCGTTGGACCAGGAAGGCACGCTGAGGGGTTCTCTTTTACCGTCATCTTGGACTATGTATCAAAGTGTCAAACCAGCAAGCCGTGGTATTCGGCCCGCTTCGCTACTTTCTTCAGTTCTGGCCATTGGACTATGAATCTACTTTCTCGTCAGTGGGTCTGGAGGAACAGACTGCATGGCCGAACCTGTCCACAAATGGGTATAGAAGTGAACCGGACAATGAAAGCGACTGCACACGGGCAAAGGATTCGACATAAAGTGTCTGGGGTGCTGCCAGTCCCAGAAACTGGGTTCATAAGTTTACTGGCATGCCATAAGAATGCTGGACACGAACCTTGTTGAGAAGCACTGCGAAACACAAAACGCAGCACGTTCCGGGCCCGTTTAAGATGAGCACGTCGGCAAATCGACTTTGGGATTGAGAGAGACCAGCTACTTGTGCCCAGGTTATATGATAGATGCAAAAGAGCAACGAGTACAAAGCAGTCGGAGGCGTTGTAATGAGGGGTTGGTGAACACGCCGCGCTCGAGGAATAGTGATGATTGAGTATTGAGGGGGACACTGTGCGTTGAGAATCACTGGATGCTCACGCGTAGATAACTTACTGCAGCAGTTGCTTTCACAAGTTCAAGGTCTATAGCCTTCTGGGAACTAAAAACATCTCCTTCGCTGACGAGATATGTTCTCGGCGTATAGCGAGCAAAGTCCAGCGCAGAAAGCATGGCCAAAGCTTCGCCCGTGTGTCCGCCTACACGCCGTTCAGCGTGATCCACATGGAACAAAAGGAAATTCGCCTGAGCCAAGGAATACGGCGACGGCTTTGGTCTGCCTGTGACCTGAAGAATGTTGTCTTCTAACGAAAACCCGAGCGATGCGGTACGCGAGTAAGCAGACTAGAAGCAGCAGCCATAGCATTGAAGGTAGTGGTATGGTATCAAGAGGGAGTAAACATTATGTATGCAAAAAATACAGAAAGCTGCTAGTACAACGATAATAAACGAGGTCAATAAAGAATCGGCGAGACGGTATGTGTGTATCATGGTTCATCCTACTCTCCGCCTGGCACCCGGTCCAAAGCGCTCCTGAAATTTGATCAGCTCCTCCATTAGTTCCTCCATCATTTTCATCGCATTTGAGGCTTGCGTGGGGTCGCACTTTGGGATGGCCATGTTTTTTGTGGACGAGTCCAGAGCCATCGAGTTGTTCGGAGCAAGTCCATTTTCGGCGCTGCCAGGATACTTGTTCATTCCGTCTTCCAATGCCTTCTCCAGAGCTTCTTTGCGTTTCGCGCGATCTGATGCGCTGACCTGTTCTCGCCCAACCCATTCGACGAGAGCCCGGACGCGCTTGTTCATATCGCCGACACTCATCCGCTTGGCAGGCCATTTGACCTTGACACCTCTCTCCATGGTCCGTTCCAAACTGCCTGCGCGGCTCGCGGCCGATCCGCCACCGGCCATGACTTCCAAAGGTTGAGGCGCATTTGTTGGGAGAATCGCCTCCAGATGCGCAAGGTAGTCGGGCAGACCCCACGAGGTGAACATAGGCTGCTGCGACACCGCGAACGCATGAGAGTTGCGATAAGCACGCGAAGCCTCATTGACAGGTGTCACAGCAGTGACATGTCCTCTGCGAGCGTCACCGTTCCCAGCACTGGCAACGGCTGCTGTTGTCGTGCCCCGCTTTCCAGCACTCGCGCCCTTGGCGCGTCCACCGCGTTTCGTTGGCTGAACCAGCATAGCTGCATGAATTGTCACGTGGGCGTCACGGGCACATCCGGCAAGCACGCACCCTCTTCGCCTTCCATCGACACGACTGGGAGCTCTTGAACGACTGCTTTCCGCCCACCGCGACGACGTGCATTGGATTTCGGAGCCGACATCGCTTTAGAAATGGGAGCAGGTGGTGGTGATTCGTCCCGTGGCACAGCCGATGCCACTCTGTGATCAGAGACCTCGGAGGCTGATCTCGTCCTCTTTTTAACCGGTCTTTATGTATGGCAAGTCAGGTCAAAGCCAAAGGTCGGAGAGAAAGGGAGCGCACGCGTCATCTTCAATCCGCTTTCGTTTCTTTCGGTTAGACACCCCATTCTCCATGTCTTCTTCTGCATCCCCTTGAACCATGGCGCTGCCAACGGAGGCCGATTCAGGAATCGTCCCGGCTTCAGCAGCGGTCGTTTCGAGAATCTCCTTCAGGTTCTCGTCGAATGCGGCATCGCGACTGTTCATAGTGTTGCGCCGTTTGGAAGGCTGCTTGTGAAGGGAGGGGGAGTGAGAGCGAGATTGGCGAGCAGGAGCATTATGGGATGCAGCTGAGGATTGGCGGGGCTTTCGACGTGACTTCCTATTGGACCCGGTCATCAGTGGTGGAGGGTGCCACGGGTCTGCCCACATACCGAAGATGGTCGCTATGAAAGTCTGGCCGACATTGCTCACAGTAGTAGTCATCGTCGTGAAGCTGAGCTTCGGAGTCGTAGCCCATGCAAAGGCCGTGTTGCCAGACTTTGCACGTCTCGCACTGCACCATAAACTCTCCCGCGTCTGGGTCGTCCTCTCCTTATCGACACGCGTCAGCAGAGCAGCACAGAGAGAAAAGGGACACATACTACCGCAAATGCATCGCGTAACTCCATTATCCTCCTCTTCGGCTGCGCCTTGTACACCATCCACAGAGTCGTCCATGGGGGCATCGTCGGAGCGCATGCGGTCCTTGTCGAACTTGTCCTTGTCCTTGTCCCGGGTGCTCGACTTCCGCTTCACCGATCTCCCATTGGAGGCGGAGCTGGTCGAAGAGGCAGCATCGACAGGTGCATCGATGTCCTCCTGCTTGAGACGCTTGGGGCGTGAGTCCCTAGGTTCGGAGTCTGGAGACTTCGAAACCGCGGGTGATGAGAATGGACGATTTGAGCGCCGGCGGGACGTGGGGGATTGAGGAGCCATGATAATGGTGCGAGGGCCAGATGTGATGTGGTGGCCAGAAACAACAACTACGACACCCTCCAAGTCCGGCCTCAGGCCTTGGGATCGAAAAGCGTCACGTGCTACGCCAGCCTAATGATCGATCACGCCGCACTGGAATATTGATCCGTCTCTCGCAGCAAATTATCCCTATTTATTACCATCATGCAAAACACGAGCTCACCAGCGCTCTTCAAATCATCTACTCATTCCAATATTGTCCATCCGATGTTGTCCGATGAACCCGACTACTTGCGACTTATACTGACGTCGAAGGTCTACGACATTGTAAAAGAAACCCCGCTGGTGCATGCCCGGAACCTGTCCACCAAACTCGGGAACGAAATCTGGTTAAAACGGGAGGACGTACATGACGTTTTCTCCTTCAAAATCCGGGGCGCGTACAATTTCATGGCAAACATGCAGCAGGACGATCGATGGAAGGGAGTGATTACCTGCAGTGCTGGTGCGCCGGATCATGCTTTATGATTTTCCGATCTTCACACGTTCTAGGTAATCATGCTCAGGGAGTCGCCATGTCAGGCGCGCGTTTGGGGATCCCTTGTACCATCGTCATGCCTGTCGGCACACCGTCGATCAAAGTCCGCAACGTCGTCCGATTAGGCGCCAAGGTGGTCTCTTACGGAGCGGACTTCGATGAAGCGAAGAAAGAGTGCGCGCGGCTCGCCGTTGCTCATGGTCTCACTTTCGTTCCTCCGTATGATCATCCGCTCGTCATTGCCGGCCAAGGCACCGTTGGTATGGAGATTCTCAAGCAACTGCCCAACAGCGAATCGCTCGATGCGGTTTTCGCTGCCATCGGAGGCGGCGGGCTTGTCAGCGGCGTTGCCGAGTACGTGAAGAGAATCGGCAGTCCGAATACCCAAATCTATGGCTGTGAGACAGTGGATGGGGATGCCATGGCCCGCAGTCTCGCCAAGGGCGAACGGGTCACATTGTCCGAAGTGGGACCGTTCAGTGACGGGACTGCCGTCAAGATCGTCGGCGAGGAGCCCTTCAGAATCTGCCAAAAACATGTGGATGGTGTCGCAATAGTGGATAACGACGAGCTATGTGCCGCCATCAAGGATATTTTCGACGGTATGCTTTGCTGCCTCCTTCTGTTGATGCAGTTTCGATTCTCGCAGAAACGCGGTCTGTGACGGAGCCGGCCGGGGCTCTTGGGTTGGCCGGCCTAAAACATCACATTCTCCAGAACAACCTTGTCGGGGCAAACAAGAAATTTGTGGCCGTCGTCAGCGGAGCAAACATGAACTTTGATCGGCTGCGGTTCGTCGCGGAACGCGCCGAGCTTGGTGAAGGGCATGAGGCATTGCTGAGCGTGGACATCCCCGAGCGGCCGGGAAGGTCAGTCATCCGTTCATCGGAAGATTGTGGCCGTTTCTCATGTCTCCAGTTTCGTCGCGCTGCACTCGATCATTCACCCTCGCGCCATTACTGAGTTCATCTATCGCTTCAATTGTCATGGCCCGCCTGAGCGTGCTCACGTCTTTCTGTCATGCAAGCTGGACACTACCTCTAGACCACGTGAAGTGGCGGCGATTCTGGAGGCACTGGCCGCGAAGGAAATGATCGGATTCGACATCAGCGACAATGAAATGGCGAAAAGCCACGCGCGGTACATGATAGGCGGCCCGCAGATTGTTCCGAATGAGCGCATATTTAGTTTTGGCACGTCTTGGCTCGCAGCTGCATGACGGGGAGTGTGACTAACAGAGCTGCAGAGTTTCCCGAGCGACCCGGGGCCTTGTGCAAGTTTCTCATGGGAATGCGTAAAGATTGGAACATTTCGTTATTCCATTACCGAAATCACGGCGGCGGTCTGTGCTCTGTTCCTCCTCGCTTCGATGCCGGCTGATTTTCGGACAGACCTGGGGAAGGTCCTCGCCGGAATCCAGGTCCCCGCTCAAGACGCCGACGCTTTTTCCGAGTTTCTTGTGGAGCTGGGGTATCCATATGTTGAAGAAACAGAGAATCCAGTGTATCAGAGGTATCTGCGGGCTTAGTATTCAGATGTCTGGGAGATGACTATCCGCTTGTCCTTGAGGAGATGCTCTCGCCAGCGGCAGTCGGCGATCACTCGGGTTGGTGATAAGAAGTGTCAGCAGTCAATTAGGTCATGTATTACATATACTGTTGTACAACATTCATCTACACATCATACACCACCCACTTGCACAGAGCGTGGATTCCGGTGCAAGCGATGGAGTAGCTTGTACAATGGCCCGAGCCGCGGCGGGGAAGATATCGGGCCGGATAGCCGAGTCAGCGAAGCCAGTGACAACCGCCTCGAGGTCTTTGGCTCAGCGGACGTTTCCAGCACGGTCTGTGTTGGAGAAACGGGAGGCGAGAGATCCTTGACAGCCGCGATGGCGCTTATGGCTAACGCGGTCGAAACGCCACGGTTCCCGATTCGGATGCTGTATCCCGGCGTGTCAGCATGGCCAAGAGAAGCAACGTGTAGGCTCGGCGTACTCTGAAGACCCGTACTTGTAGATCCACCCGATATCGAACCCGCCGTCTTCCATCTGCATGGACAGAAGTGTGCGCATGTCCACATCGTCTCTGATCCCAGCAGACGCACAGGCCAGGATGCGCATGCCAAGCTGGAGCACATCTCCCTCGACTCCAATCCGTTCCTGGACACGTTCCTTGAAGAGACTGTCCATCATGACATGCAGCTCGACGTCGTCAGACGACTCAAGAAGCCGGCTCAGAAAATATAGGAAGCATTCGGCTGTCTCGTAGTAGCGAGTCCCCTCGAGATAGGCTCTGTTATCCAGCACATCGCGCACCCAGACCAGCGTCGACTTGAGCTCGGCCTGTCGCCCATATTTGTAGAACAGCGTCAGCACATTCACACAGACAACAGGATCAAATCGAGGGCGTTGGTGGTCAAAATATGTCTGCAATTTTCAGAACTCGGGTTTCACCGGACAGATCGTTGCGTACCAAGACAATTCCATCCGAGTCGATGTATTGGAGCATGTCATCCATGACACTCTTGACCGTTTTCTCATCTCGTGGGATGACTGTCAGACCGATCGATGTCGTGTCGAGATCAAACGGAAACGCTGTCGTCGTCAACTGGCCTTCTCCGGCGTGGAAGAAATTCCAAGCGCGGGGATGTTCCACTATATCGATCAACTCGCTAGTAATTCAGTCAGACAATCCTGCATGGCATATTCTGCCAGCTCCAAGTCAACGCACTGGTTTCCCGTCAGCTCCAATATCAGCAGTTGTGCAAAGTTCTCCTTCAGCGTGACCCCCGTGTTTGTGACAGAGAGCAAGGCGCCGGCATTGCCGAGCAAGTATCGCTGCGCCCGGTGCACAGGGTCCCCCAATAGATTGCGAAGAGCGCGCTGGACAGACTTGGATCCTTCCGGCGGGAAGACGATGCCGTGTAGACCCAGTGAGCGAGCGGAGAGAACATTTTCTAGCTTGTCATCAACGAATATCGTCCTCCGTGCGCTGATGTTTGCCTCGTCCAAAACGTGACGATAGAAACCAAGATGGGGTTTGCCTGGGTAAAATGAGTCGAAGTTGCGGTAAATGAAAGGCGTCTCACGTTCGCCGGCTTCCCCAGATGTAAAGATGCGGTCGAATATATCCCAATCAGCATCCTTGCTTCGCAGAACAGCGTAATCAGGCAACGATATGTTCGACATCGCAAAGACCGAGAGCCGCCCGTTCGACTGTTGCTTGAGCTCGCGGACTAGACTGATCAGCTCCGTGTTGGGCTGGAGCGAGGCGCGTGCTTGCACAAGCGCCTCCCGAATCTCGTCCGGAGCGAGCGAGAAGTCGCGGCCGACCTGCAAGTAGCATGCTTCTTCTGTGAGCTTGCCCCGTTCATAATTGAACCATGTGGGCGAAGAAAGAATCTGGCGAAGGACCTTGGGGGAGATGGACGTCTTGGTGTTGGCACTCCAGGTGAACAGAACATCGCCAATGTCAAAGATCACGGCGTCGAACTGCGGTGCCATAATGGGAGAGAAGATGAGCGGAACTCGGTTAGGTTGGGTCGATTTTATCTGGTTCTCTGGTGTCAAAGATGAGTGAACACATGCGACTAGGCATCGTGTGCAATGACGCTTAGTCTTTCTTTCGGGGAAAAAACGTTCGACTACTTTTTTTAGATATCTCCGGTTGGGCGGCGCGTGCTCTGTGAAATGAAAGAGCCGACTGTCCATGCCAGTTTAACCCCAAGGAGGAGTGTGATTAGCCGAAAGGCCAAGATGTCAGAGGGCAGCTGGCACTGGGGCAAAGATTGTGCGATGTCCTGTCCCTGCATGAGGCAGCAGACGTTGAACCCAAGATGCTGCGAATTTAGCTGGAACAGACTCGAGGGGGGCGAGACTCACTAAAAGCAGGGGTGCCCAGTAGATGAATTGTGGGTCCCTCTGACGGATGGCATCAAGAAAGAATCGAATGAACAAGTCTGATGGTGGTGGCCGGTAGACGCGTTGCAACAGGACAGGTCAGCAGCGGCAGATATAAAGCAACGTGGACAGAGAGGCGTCGCCAAGAATGCAGATAGGACTAGATAGGTTGATGGTGTACATCGTCCCGATACCGGGTACATATGGTTCGGCATCACCTTCCGAAACAGGACTGAGCGAAGGGTCGGCAAGGCATGGAACAGGTTGAGAATACGCGCGGCGGTGTCTGGTGGGGAAAAAAAAGAAGCGGGATTTTGAAGTCTCGACGCTCAGGGTTTCCCCGTACCCTGTATAACACTTGCCGTGGGCCGAGACTACAAAACGATTCCGCAACAAAGCAAAGAGACAGCAATGCAAGGATGCAGTGGCTATTATTTCGATGGTTCAGGCACGTATCGAATATCGACAATGGGATATGGTCGTCATCTAGAGTGAAAGGTTCCCAGTGATCGCTATATAGTCCAGGTGATACTTACCGTACGCCCCTCAATGATGAGCGGATTCCGTCTTTTTGGCGCTCAATAATACGTTGTCCACCACCACATATGCTGAGAACGCGACAATCGCGATACCGAGACCCGGAAACAGGTTACTGAACATTGCGCGATTGGAGAAGACCGGGTGCTTGCGCCAGGCTTCCCGCTTGGCCCAAGGATCATTGAAAGGGAAATTCGACATCTGTCATCATATGAGCCAGCATTTCAATCTATGGGTGGAGGTTACCAACTGTCGTGGTCTCGGTAAAGAGTGGGTAGAGGACCGAGGTCAAGGCTGTGTGACTACGTTATGCTTAGTCACCTCATGACAGCGAAATTCCAAGTCCACGTCTGCTGTTGTAGCCCAAAAGCTCCTTTCTTCCCAACTCCCATTACACCTTATTTCGGCTCATGGCGCACTCCGAGATGTCAGAAGATGACGATTTGCCACTGGTTGGGCGCAATGGTGGCTCTAATGGCCATCATCAAGCCAACGGCAACGGAAACTCTGGCAGACGCGTAGCCTCGCAGAGCGACGATGAAGATATGCCATTGGTTGAGTTCTGTCTCACCATGAAACGACACAGAATGTCTAATTATTTGAAAAATATATGCAGGCGACCTCGTCAGCACCGCCTCCACGCCTGCTTAAGCGCAAAGCACTGTATGCTGAATCGTCCGAGTCGAGCGATGATGACACGCCGCTCGCAACGTCCCCGGCGAAGCGAACGACTTCTGCAGCCGTTCCGATGCCTGGCGCCATAGAAGCCACGACTGTTTCAAAACGCAAGGGGAAGATGGGCAAGGTTAAAGCCGAGTCCTCTGGCGAGGAGTACGTCGAGGACGCTCCGAAGAAGAAAGCGGTACGAGGCAGGCCCGCGAAGAAGAAGGCTAAACAAGAGGCTTCCTCGGACGATGACGACGACAAGCCTTTGACAAAGAAAGCTCCCGTTGCACGCAAACGGAAGGTCAAGGTCGAGAGCGACGGCGAGTCCTCTGACGACGAAAAACCTCTCATCCAGAAACCTGCGGCGAAGAAATCGCGTGTCTCGAACGTGAAGAAAGAGAGCCCTGCTTCGGGTGAGGAATCAGCGCCTGCGAAAAAGTCGCGTACGACGAAAGCGAAGAAGGAGGTAACCGGCGATGATTCGCCGGTCAAGGGCAAAGGAAAGAAAAAAGAAAAGAAAGAAGACGAGGAGGAACAAGAGGTTTTCAGGTGGTGGGAGGTTGAAAAGGGCGATGGGTCCGTAAAGTGGACGACACTGGAGCACAACGGTGTGCTGTTTCCTCCGCCATACGAACCGCTTCCTTCCAACATCAAGATGAGATACAACGGTACGAAGTGTCTACGTGCATCATCGCTACGTTGTCTGATCCTTCGAAAGGTCGGGTGCTTGACCTTCCTCCTGCGGCAGAGGAGGTCGCTGGCTTCTATGCTGCGCTCCTCGAATCTGACCACGCTAGTGACGCGCAATTCAATAACAACTTCTTCGGCGACTGGAAGAAGGTTCTTGAGAAACATCCACCCGTACGCTCTGTCTCCGGCAGTCGAATGACGAGACTGATGTCCGTAGCGTGACGGTACAAAAATTGTTGATTTCGAGAAATGCGACTTCCGTCCGATGTTCGAGCACTTTGAGGTGCTCAAAGCCGAGAAGAAAGCTGTACCAGCGGCTGAACGAAAAGAGCTCAAGAAAGCCAAAGATGAGCTCGAAGCCAAATACATCAACTGCCTTCTCGATGGGCGTAAGGAGAAGATCGGCAACTTCCGAGTTGAACCGCCAGGTCTGTTCAGAGGCCGTGGAGCTCACCCGAAGAAAGGGTCTCTGAAGGCAAGTTCGCCTCATCCGTGTGCATCTCCAACTTACCTCACCACAGTCCCGAGTCCGTCCCGAAGATATTACCATAAACATCGGCCAGGACGCTCCTGTTCCTATTCCTAATATGCAAGGCAAATGGAAAGGCGTCATTCACGACAACACAGTGACATGGCTGGCCACATGGACTGAGAATATCAATGGCAACCACAAATACGTCTTTTTGGCTGCCGGCAGTTCCCTCAAAGGTCAAAGCGACATGTCCAAGTTCGAGAAAGCTCGTGAATTGAAGGTGTGTGCCTTGATGCCGGCGAGATTCCGACTAAGCAGTCCAACAGAATCATGTCGATCGGATTCGCCAAAACTACACGGCCGATCTGAGACACAAGGTGATGGCTGACCGCCAGCGTGCGACTGCCATGTACTTCATCGACAAACTAGCTCTTCGAGCTGGAAATGAGAAGGGCGACGACGAGGCTGACACCGTGGGCTGTTGTTCATTACGATGCGAACACGTGACTCTCGAGGCGCCCAATTTCATCATCTTCGATTTTCTGGGCAAAGATTCGATTCGTTATTACAATCGGGTTCCGGTTGATACTCAAGTGTTCAAGAACATCCGCATCTTCAAAGACAATAAGGAAGATGGGGACGATCTGTTTGATCGCGTTAGCGTTAGTGCACAAGTATTCCTTTGGCATGGCATCTCACCATTTTCCCAGACGACCGGTTTGAACAAGCACCTTGCATCAGAGATGAAGGGCCTCACGGCCAAGGTGTTCCGTACTTTCAATGCCTCCAGCACGTTCCAGCGCCTTTTGGACGAGAACAGACTGGAGAACGCGACTCTGCAGGAGAAACTGAATGCTTACAACAAGGCTAACCGAGAAGTCGCCATCCTCTGCAATCATCGAAGGACCATTCCCAAGACCCATGAGCAGTCAATGGAGAAATCCAAGGATAAGGTGCGTTGTTCTGTGTGCGCGCGCCCGTCAACCCTAATACGCTTATCTCAGCATCGTGCTCTCAAGTACGAACGAATGAAACTACGGCATGCACTATTCAAGATTGACAAGAAGTTCAAGAAACATGCAGAGTACAAAGAGGAGGAATCAGACATAGACGACGAATGGATCATCAAACATGAGGAGACGACTCAGGCTATCCAGATCGAGAAAGCGGAGAAAAAGTTTGCGAAAGAGAACGAGAAGCTCGAAGAGGATGGCAAGGAGCCTCAGGATGACTCTGTTCTAGAGAAACGGATTGCCGAGATCAAGGAGGAGTTCGAGGCACTAGCTGAAGAACGGGGGACCAAACTTCATGAACCGAAGAAAGCAAGGCCTGCGGATAAGATTGAGGAGGCCATCATCAAGCTTACGGAGAGGATCAAAGCGAGCAAGCTCCAGCTTGACGACAAGGATGAAGGCAAAGAAGTTGCGCTGGGCACCAGGTCAGTCGCGTTCCAGTCGTTCCTGATCCAAAACTTACCGTCCTCTGCAGTAAAATCAACTACTTAGACCCCAGGCACGCTTTTGTGACTGCCTTGATTCCTCCGCTGATTTCTATGCCAGAATCACTGCTGCTTGGTGCAAGATTCATGATGTCCCTGTCGAACGGCTTTTCAGTAAGACTTTGATGGTCAAATGTTCGTCGTATTCGTCTCGTGTGCGCTTACTCTTACTCAATCTTCTACTAGTCCCTTGGGCTATGGAAGTGGACGAGGACTGGAAATTTTAAGGTATTCTCGGGTTCAACAGTCGGTCGGAATGAGTGAAGGACTCGCACCAGTCTGTAGATTACGTACACACGAATTGTAGCTGATACACGTGCCGATTTTGGCGGTGCGGCAAACGAGCTGCGTTTGCAACTTCAAACTTGCCCTACATGTCTGTCGCGTCCAAAACTGCTTTTGCTTCTCTTACTGTCGATTCTGGAGAGGACACGGAAGATGAGGAGGTTCTTGAGCTTGCTCCGAGGCGCGTTTATTTTGCAAAACCACATTCCATTGATCTCAAACCGCAACAGCGTCCCCCAGTCCGTAGAGTCGGATCCTCAACCGGAGCGCAGACCTTCAAAGACTGCACTGAAAAAGGCCGCGCGACTGGTGAAGAAGCAGAAGGAAGCAGAGCTGGCTGCCCAATCAAGTGTCGTCACTGCATCACCACCAACTCCCAGCTCTTTATCGAACTCGGTAGTTGAGCCCGTGCCCGTTCCCGCAGAAACTGTGGAGTCGGTGGAAACTGCGCCAGTAACAGAGTCGCTCACGAATGGACACGTCGCTCCGTCTTCTCTGTCTGCTGCAAAGCTCGAGTCTGCGGCGGCCCCCGCAGTGCCTCCCCCAGCTCCACCGGCATTGACCAATCCAGAACCTGTGGCGCCCGCTATGAAGACGACACCTTCTCCGGTTCCTGCTGCGGCACAGCCTGCTGCCACACCGGAAGCTGCAGAAGCGACGAAAAAGAGGCAAAACATGTTCACGAGGACGCTGTGGACGTTCATTATGATTGGGACCTTCATAGGTGCGTCCGTTGAACTGAGGGCATTTCCCCCAAACTCATAATTCAAGTTCTCCTTCTTCTCGGACACGCGTACATGATACTCCTCGTCATGCTATGTCAAACACTGGTTTATCGGGAGGTCACGGCGCTGTTCTCGCTCACATCGTCTGAGGAAGAAATGAAACGAACCGGCAAAGATCCGTGGAGTACGACCCTCAATTGGTACTTCTTTGTCGTGACGAACTACTTCCTGTATGGGGAGAGCATCATCTACTATTTTAAGGTGTGCGGTGTTTAGATGCGCGATGGCTCTACAGACTGACTTTCCCGAGCACGTCGTCTTTGCCGAGGCCCAATGGTTGCCGTTCGCGACCAACCACCGGATTATCAGTTTCACGCTCTACACCATAGGCTTTGTCGGGTTCGTCATGTCGCTCAAGAAGGGCTACTTGAAGCAGCAGTTTGGGCTTTTCGGATGGGTGCACATGTCGTTGATGATCATTGTCGTTTCGAGCCATTTCATCGTGAACAACATCCTGGAGGGTCTGATCTGGTTCTGGGTCCCAGCCTCGCTCGTAATCTGCAACGATGTCTTCGCTTACATCTGGGGTATCACGCTGGGACGCACGCCATTGATCAAGCTTTCGCCGAAGAAGACTGTGGAGGGATTTGTCGGCGCATTCTGGAGCACGATGATCTTCGGATTGTTGTGGGGAACGTACTTTGCGAGATTCAACTACATGATCTGCCCCGTCCAAGATCTGGGTGTCAGTGCTTGGAGCAACGTCACGTGCAAGCCCAACCTCATCTTTGTCTGGCGAGAGTGGCAGATTTGGCAACCAGTGGCCGCGTTCCTTTCCACTGTGGTACGTTGCCGGTTATGCTCTTAATGTGGATGCTAACCGCCCTGCAGATTGGACGTCAGGTGACCACAATCCCGTACACTCCGTACATGTTCCATCTGCTCTTCATGTCTGGTTTTGCCTCGCTGGTAGCACCGTTCGGAGGATTCTTTGCTTCCGGCTTCAAGCGAGCGTTCAACATCAAGGATTTCGGCCACAGCATCCCTGGCCATGGTGGAATGACTGACCGGATGGACTGCCAGTGCGTGTGTTTGCCAGGTCTCCTGGGTGCCAACTGACCCTGTCCAGATTCTTGATGGGTGTTTTCGTCTATGTTTACCACAGCAGTATAATTCGAGACCATCACGTGACCGTGGGCTCAGTGCTGCAGACCATTGTCAGCGGCTTGACGGTCGAAGAGCAACTGACATTGCTAGCAGACCTGCAGCACTATCTCGTCGGGCAAGGCATTTCTGTTCCTTGCGCTACTCCGGTCTCTTGATTGTATATATTTTGTGCTGAAGTCAGCGTATAATCTACTCCATTTCGGTTTCAGACGACGGTCCACTTGCACAAGCCGGACCAAGCCATTGCCTTGCGACCCAAGCTCTTTTCGAATGTCCGCCCCGACAGTCCTTTGGCGTCTCGGTTGTCGAACGATGTTACGTAGTTGAGCTGGACGTCGCCCGTAACACCGCCTGGAAAGTAGACGCTAGCACTCCAGCCGCCCTCTGCGTCGGGCACCAACACCGTCTTTCTGTCGTCCGGTCCGTGAATGAAATAGACGTAATTGTCGGCTTCGTCTCGGGACATGTGTTCGCACTGCTTGAACAGGGTGAACGCACACCAATGTCCGCTTGGTATTTCAGCCTGTGATGGTTGTAGATGTTCCGCGTGGAACGCCAGCTGGTCGAAGCTGCCAAAGAGGACAGGGCCTGGAGGCGCCAAGATATAGTCCCTCCAACTCACGGGGCCTCCGTCCTCCTCCCCGAGTAGTTGGAATGAAGGATCAGTGGGGTAATGCCGTCTTCCGAATTCAGATGCCGAAGAGTAGAACCACACCGGAGCGAATCGCTGGCTGTATTCAGATCCCATGAGGGCACCAGCGCCCCAGCAGGGATCGAGCAGGCGCCATTCGCCGTCGAGCAGGGCACAGTTCCACGCGTGATTGCTTTCTTCAGGAGGACAAGGTGATCCCGGTGGGAAGGCTGCGTAGCCATAGCCCTTGCCATGTCCGGTGACTTTGTGGACTTGTAGACCTGCGATGGCTGCGAGCTCAGCAAACAGCCCAGCGAACCCATCACAGACGGCTAGACCGGTCGATAGTGTGTCCCCGGGAGACTGAGAAGCTGCATACGGGATTAGAGCGACCCAGAGCACGACCATATGCGGGATTGACTCACGAAGGCAACCCGAGAAAAAGGACTGGACGTCGTAGATTACGTTGAGGTGAAGCCAGTAGAAGATGGCCCGGGCCTTTTCCGTTTCTGATTCCCATGGCTCTGTCAAAGCATGAGCCAGTTCTGGTATAGAACGGACACTGTGTCGGGGGAATTGGCCGGCATGTTCGTCGATAACAGAGAAGTCGTGGCACTTGATACATGAAGCAGATTCTTCGAGATCTGGGTCATGATCTCCCAGCGGTTCCTCTTGATATGTCGGGTCCACCTCCGGTTCGGGAGGAGGCGTGGCAAGCCGTGGGGGTAGCCGTCTGGGAACGTGTGTCGGAGGAGGCGTCTCTGCAATCTTTGTGACAGGCGGTGGGGGAGGCTGCCGGCTTAGTAGCTGTTGTGCCACTAAATGGACTTGATCTGAATTTGACATGCGACGGACGCACCCTGGCCAGATTGAGTGCCGCATCGTCGCAATCGCTTGCGCGTCTTGCAGGAAGCGCTGGCGCTAGTCCTTGCGCGAGGGAAGAGTCATTACGCCTCGGCGGAGGGCGTGGAGGAGCCTTGGACGCGAGTGAGACTGGTGGGCGTGCGACATGATCCAATTGGAGGTGAGCAATCCTTTCTCGGACGCTGAGCTTGACATCGATATTCTCATCAGAGTCATTGGACAACGGGGCAGGCGGGGCGGCGGCGGCACTCTGCGAGGTGCTCGTAACATGGTAGATGAAGCAAAGTACAATTGCAAGATGGCTATCCAAATCACACAGCCTTGTTCTTTGAGACACACTACTCCCGACTGGCTCTCCAGAATGAAGAAAAGGATGGTTGCATGCAGTCGAGAGTAATGAGAGCATAGTAACATAACGAAGCGAGCATATTTCTACGCAGACCTAACGCTTACGACCGAGGCTTCTCCTACAAGCAAAGATCAGCGATTGAATACAATCGATCGTTGCAGAGCACGACGCACCTTCTTCTCCTTCCACAGAGCAAGGAGACCAACACCAGACACCTTCACCACCTTGAATCGCACACCAGGAATATCTCCCTTGGCCTTTCCGCGACGACCGAAACCGGAGATGAGTACCTCGTCGTTCTCATCGACGAAGTTAAGGCAACCGTCATTCTGTCTGGAATGAGCGCCACATACACAAAAAATGAGGCAGGTACTCACGGGCACGAAGGCAGTGACCTTCTTTCCGTTCTTGATGAGCTGCACTCGGACACATTTGCGGATGGCGGAGTTGGGCTGCTTGGCCTCGACGCCGACCTTTTCGAGAACGATTCCCTTAGCGTGAGACGATCCACCAGTGGGGGAGGTCCGGTAAATGTTGCCCAAGGCACGCTTTTTGTATGCTTTGTCCGCCTGCTCGACGATAAGAAGATGTGGAGGGGAAGATAGTGACCAGGCGTACCCAGCGGTTTTCACGGCGGTCGTTTCGGAGCTTGCGGGCAGCTTGCAGTCCACGAGGTTTGTTGGCTATGAATCAGGATGAGCTAGAGCTTGCGACGATGGAGAGGGATACGTGCAGCCCATTGTCGGTGTCGGTGTCTTCCAAGTTGCGAATCACGGCCCCGGACACTCCCGTTTTTGCAACTGTATAATTACCACGGTCACGGAAATCTCGATCATGTGACACCATGTCGCACGGGGTTAGGGTCCGAGCGCGTCATGCATCCTCGCATTGTGGCCCTCTTGCGACCCAGTTCACGGTTATTGGCCCGAACCTACTCGACTGCACCCTCTGCTCCTGTCGGGTTGCTTGATGACCTTAGCTACCGTGGCTTTGTTCAAGACGTTACGACTCCACAAGCTCTCCACGATGCACTACAAGCCAAACCTCGAGTGGTGTATGCTGGCATAGACCCGACTGCCCCCGCGCTACATGCCGGCCATCTCCTGCCTTTCATGTGTCTCTTTCACTTTCATTTGCACGGACATCATATCATTCCTCTGGTTCGTTCGTCAGCTCTGCATCCAGATTCCTCTGACACCCTGCTGCTCAGATTGGAGGCGCTACGGCCCTGGTGGGCGACCCATCCGGACGAGCAACAGAACGTGAACCAGCGGAAGAAGAGAAGACCCGCTCTAGTGCAGAGTCCCTCACAGCTGCCGTCTCACACTTCTTCGCGCGGGCTCTAGAATACGCCCAATCGCGTATCGTTTTGAAACCAAACCGGTTCATCGAGATACGGCCTAAGAACAACGCTAAATGGCACCGAGAAATGACGATGATGGACTTCTTGCGTGATGTGGGAGTGCATGCGCGGGTGAACACCATGCTAAATAAGGAGAGGTGCGTTGGTTTCGATTGGTGAGGTTACATGCTAGATGGGTGATATAGTGTGCGAGCGCGACTTGCATCTCCTCACGGGATCTCCTTCACCGAATTCTCTTATCAACTTCTGCAAGCGTATGACTTTCACTATCTGCACCGGAATTTTGGATGCACGGTGCAAATCGGGGGATCTGACCAGTGGGGCAACATCCTAGCAGGCATCGCTCTCATTCAGCGTATCACCGCGCAGAATGCGCCTGCTAAACAATACCTAAAGGCCCTCCCCCGCCCATCGCGTTTGGTCTGACCACGCCCCTGCTCACGACCGCTGCTGGCGTCAAATTCGGCAAAAGCGCAGGGAATGCCGTGTGGCTCGATCCCGAATTGACCAGTATCTTCAATTTCTATCAAGTGCGTCTCCGAGTGCTTGTCTGTCAGGCTCGATCGCTCAATCACCCGTACAGTACTTTGTCCGGACAGCAGACACAGAAGTGGAAAAGTATCTCAAACTGCTGACACTCATGTCATGGCAGGACATCAATGATACCATGGAGGCTCACAAAGTGAGTGCATCGCGCGGATCGATGCGTCAGTGCCGCTGACGCTGAATGGAATGTAAGCTCCAACCGGAACAACGCATCGCACAGCGACGGCTCGCCTCGGAACTGACTGAGCTGGTCCATACGAGTGCGCTTCTTCCTTCCCTGGCGCCTGTCTGCTCTGACCAGCGGCATGCAGAGGCCGGGCTTGCCACCGCCGAGACTCTGACGAGACTGACTTTCGACTCGGATCTCTCCGGCGTATCTGCTTCTCAAGTCGTGAATGCTCTGGAAGGCTCGGGCATCCAAGTCCACAAGATAACACGCCTGGAGCTCTTCGAAATACCAATCGCGAAGCTGGCTGTGAGATGTGGGCTGGCCACATCGGGTGGTGAGCTCTCATTCCTGATAACAAGCTTCTGCAGAGGTAACCGCCATGACAGCTGCTGCGAGAATTCTGATTCTCTCACGAGGGCTTTATTACAACAACAGACCGGTGCCGGAAGTACACTTTATGCTGAAAGACTTCCACCTGTTGGACAACAAAATTGTGATCCTCAAAGCCGGGAAAGACAAATTGGCTGTTCTTGCGCTGGAAGATGCATGATATACAGTATTTAATTACGCAGACCCCCGCTCAGCTATTTAGCCTAATCAATACGAATTGCACTATACAGTCTACGAACAGCCCAGTACGACGCGAGGAAACCAATTGTGCCGGTGACCAGGAAGTCGAGGAGCACGAGCAGGAATAAGTACCCGAGATAGAGTATGGCACTGCTCAGGGAATGCAGGGAAAGCCGGGATGCCCAGAAGAATAGCCCGTACGCAAGCAGCCAGAAGGCACTGCCACCACCAGTGAGGAAGGCCCGCCAGTGCCATCTACTCAGGATCAGATCGAGGTCCATGCAGAACGACTCTCTCTTACCGGTATTCTTCAGCACAGAGGATAAAGTAGGTGAAGAGGATGGTCACAGTCGCCGTGGTCAATGCGACGATGCCGGCAGTCAACGCAAGGAATCCAAAGGCGTAGTAGGCACGTGACGCGAACAGACTCGAGAGCACAAAATATAGCTCAACAAACGCCGCACCTGGAAGTTTGGTAAGGCCGGAACAGGAGGCGAAACAAAAATAGTAACTTGCCGAAAGGGAGAATTCCACTCAGAAGCGCGGCTGACCAAGGGCGCAGATATTTCGGTGCAGGAGGAATCTGTCGCGGAATCTGGTGGACACGGACTGGATGCGAAACGGCCTACAAACAAGTCAGATCTGTAGCTGCGGAGACAGACCCTGCCACTGACTCCGTGCTTTGCACCAAAGTATGCCCCACTGCTGACAACGGTGCCGAGATTCCATACCAGAGCAGGACAATCAGCAGCATCGTGCCAAACGGAACGGCTCCGGAAGAGCCGGCACCGAGCAAGAACAGGTTCAGCAGAAAGACGACGGCAAAAATAAGCGTTGGCAAAACGGTCGCGGTCGCAAACGCATTCTTTCTGCGATTGGTTCCTCCCAACGACGCATAGACACGGCTGGAAAAGTAGCCTCCGATGCTGCCGAAGAACGTCCAGCAAATCATCATGACCGTGGCAAGACTTCCACGGTTAGACGGAGACAGGAATCCAAGCAATGCAAACACGAGGGTCACGCCAACCATGGCACAGAGTTGTGCACCATTGCCAACGAGAACAGAGAGAATCATCGGGTTCTTCGGGGCCCTGAACACCTCGCCGTGAACCAGTTTCCAGCCCCAGTCCTCCTGCACGTCCTCACTCAAGTCAATAGCATTGTAACGCGAAATCTGGAGATCCTGTGTCATTGAGGCCGGTCGCAAAGGACGTCACTCACGTCACGAGAGACTGTGCGGAGGAGAATCATGGAGACCATGACGCACAGGAACACGACGATAACCATCGAGTTGATCAAGCTAAACCAATGAATGCGCGGGTCGAAGATTTTGAGATAGTTATCCCAGCGCGTGGCCTGGAAACGTCAAGACAGGTCCAAAATGGGTAAATCAACTCTCACCCAGGGCGTGGGCGATTCCTGAAATATCTCAGCAACGCACAAAATCTCGAAATATCGGCACAGCTTACGTCCATGTCACCCGATACGTGTATCGCACAGCTTGGGACTTGTCTTCACTGAGAATCAACGGAGAAGCGCCCTCTGTGACGCAAGTGGCTTGCCCGTCTTGTGGGCCTCCGATACTACCAGGGACGTCAGACGCGATATTTCACGTCTACGATGCGAGCGACGTACCTCGAAGGCCAAACAAGAACACCGACGACACGGTATTTGTCTGGGGATGGCCTGTGGTATCTATCGCGGGAGCGTTTGAGAATATGGACAATAGCAGCAACGAATCGCGCACCGCAGTACAATCTCGTAGTGATTGTTGAGCGCGGGAAATTCAGAACGTTCTTCGTCATCATTCCCGAGGTTGAAGCCCATGTCATAGAAGACTTCACCGTTCCGCGTGTCCGACTTCATCTCGGCAGCAGGCAGACCGTCTATCAGCCAGTTCAGAGCGTAATCCTCCTTGATGCGCTCGTTGATGAATTTGGCGTCCTCGGCAGTGACGTCAGGCTGGACGCAGAGGGTTCTGCACGTCCCATTTCCCTCCAGCATTTTAATCTGTTGCTCAATGGTCAGACGCGTGAAGGACACAATGGGCATCAGCCACGTACGTCGTATGGCGAGTTGAATATCCGGTCTCCAAACAGGATAGACCCGAGCGACTCCGGCTGTTTCTTGGGACCTCCTTCCGGCTCACAGAATCTGAACTTTGGGGAGTAGTAGTCATCTGGGAGGGTGATTAGACGACCATTCCGTCGTAGCGAGTCGTAGGATTCGTACAGTTAATGAGGGATTTCTGGCCCATGTCGCGTAAGAACAGACATCAAAGCCAACAGCAGTAGTGTACGAACCAGTTTCGCGTTGTCTTTACCCGTGAGCATCGGCGTGAGAGCATTGACGAACAGAGGGACCTGCTCCCCAGAAACGAAGGAATGAGGGGCAGCTCCAGGCAGATAAAATCCGAATGTTGTCGGTACGAGGGAGAGAAGGAGAAGGGAGGACACGCTCAAAGCTGGACGGAGGCGAGGAGCCATGGTCGACGGTCGAATGCTGCACTACTCGCTGCAATGACTGCCTCCGGTAATTCGTGATTGATGTGTGCCCAAACAGATCAAAACGCGATAATCTCTCTGCCGCCAATACGGTGTTCTCATCATGGCACATTTCGAGATCGTGGCAAGATGTTCGCGCACGCGCGCGCGGGTTTCGAAGCTGACTCTAGCTCATGGGACAACTGTTCTTCCTACATTTATGCCCGGTCCGTCCAAGACGTAAGGTCTATGAGAAATCTCGCCCTGATTGATGTCTCGTGCTACGAAATATAGTGGCGACTCAAGCTGGTGTGAAGCTTAGCGATCCTCGTGCCTACGGATATTCAATACTAGAAGCGATAAAGGGTCTCACTGCCCAGCAAGTAGAATCTCTTGGCGTCACTTTACTGCTCAACAACACATACCACTTGAACCTGCGACCAGGCATCGAGATCTTGAACGAAGCAGGAGGCGCTCATAAGTTCCAGGTAGAGATTCTCAAGATCATGTTTGGAGCCTCATCTCACCCATGATTAGGGCTGGAGTAAGAACATGCTCACGGTATGGTCTCGGGTGCGTCAGGTCTCTGCAATCTGACTGTGCGTAGGACAGGTTTGTCCTGCAGGTTTATCCAGCTTCGCTCTTTTGAGACTGTTCATAGTGGTGGCTTCCAACTCGTTAGCCTGAGCAAATTCACGACTATCACTGAAGAGGGGGCACTCTTTGCCAGCCCTTTCACAGGCGAACCGACAATGTTGACAGTCAGCTCTATCCATCTGGTTCGATGACTCCGCCTCAACAGTTTTCTACAGCCGGAAGAGAGCATTGCCATTCAGCACTCGATAGGCGCCGACATCATCATGCAGTTGGACGACGTCGTGCCCAGTCTCACACCAGATCGAGCAAGAGTCGAGGAGGCAATGGAGCGTTCCGTCAGATGGCTCGACAGATGCATCGCTTTCCATCGTAAATCTGGGAAGCAAACGACCCAGAATCTGTTTGCCATCGTTCAAGGGGGGTTGGATATGGAACTACGAGATCGGTGTCTTGCCCAGATGGTTGAACGAACAGATGACGTCGCTGGCTTTGCCGTGGGCGGTCTGAGCGGAGGAGAAGAGAAAGGTGAGCTGGGTCAACCCAGTTAACTTGGCCCAGACTTGACCCGTGTTCTAGACGTATTCTGGAGAGTGTGAGTTTAGTCAATCCGAGTGGATGACTCTGGGCTGAGCTGCTGATAGCGTCAAGCACTGTGCGGAAAAGGTGCATACGACCGCGCACTTGATTTCCAATGGCTTACCGAGGGCGCGTAGCTTCCTGAATTGAAGCCTCGCTATACCATGGGCGTAGGTTTCGCTGAAGGAATGCTCAAAAGCTCTTTTCTCGTCCAGACCGTGCTGAGGGGATGCAACAGATCTTCTCGTGTGTGTTGCTCTGGGAATCGATATGGTGAGGACACTTGAAACCGAATCAGGTGGCATCCATTAGAAGTTTCTAGGCGGACTGCGTGTTTCCTACTCGCACAGCTCGATTCGGCGTCGCTCTGACTCATCGAGGCCCCCTTAACTTACGTATGTCGCCGTCTTGACCCTCTGTTCCCCATCTCCTCAAGCGAAGAGCAGGACTCGCCAAGTATGCCAAGGATCTGGAGCCAATCGACGAAACTTGTCCCTGTCCGACTTGTTCTCGACGAATTTCCCGGGCTTTCCTCCATCACACCATCACCCGGGAGACTTCAGCAGCCCACGGTATGTCCACAGGCGGCCTCTGGCATGGGTGCTCACAGCTTTCCCTTTCAGCAACGACTCTGCACAACATAACATTCCAGGCCCGGTTGATGGGCGGCGCTCGGTGAGTCGCGTCTTGTGTCCTCTTCAGACAGATTTCAATCTGCGAACAGGGATGCCATCATCGATGATACGTTCCCCCAGTATTTGATTACTTTCTTCCGCAACTACTTTGGAGACGCTGGGTATCCAGAGTGGTGTGTGAATGCCTTGCAGAGTGTTGGGGTCGATCTACTTGAAGGCAATCCCGACGCCAAAGTGGTTGAGGGGGGCGGCGCAAAATGGGATTACTCTCAGGACATGGCATCTCGCAGTTGATATGATCTCGCAGGGCAAGTAACGTGCACATGTATTCCACACCACGTACACTACCGACGCCCTTTCTTCGAGGGCCGTGCGTTCTTTGCTCTCTTCCTGTCCAGGGCCTGTCTGTTCTTCCGTATTTGCTCTGATGTTTTAAGCTCGTTTTTGACTCTGCCCATGGGCTTTCCGCCGTATCGACTGGGGCGCGCCTTGCTGGCCTCGCCGTTGTCCTGCCCTTCCTGTTTCTTCTTGGCGTTTCTCATCTTGCGGTCGTAGTTTTTGTCGTTCTTGTCCAGAGGTTTAGCTTCAGTCGATTTGTTGTGTCTGAATCTGCGCCCCCCGGAATTCAGATTGCCTCGTGTCTGGTTCTCAGCCTCGCCCACTCGGGGAAGCGAGGTCCTACTCTTGGCCTTCCATTCATCGAATCGTCCGCTGCGATACGTCGCTGGAAGTCGCGTGCCATTTTCCGTCTTGACCATTTTGACGTTGTCAGCGCCGACACCGTCTCCTTTGATAAACTTCTTTTTCTTCTTGTCCCAGCTGAGCCGGGTTCGCTTGCGATCTGGGGCACCCTCGTCACCCGTCAGATCGAATGTTGCGCCTCGAGCTTGCTCGGCGAATGACGAGGCTCCGTCGTGGAGGGAATAGCTGCAAGCACAGGTTGGAATTGAGCATTGTCCAGAGAAAAGTCACGCACCCTTTCTCGGTATCAGCATCTTTCTGGTAATGTGACATATAGAACTCGGTGTCTCGGAACCCTTTCTTTTTCGTGGAAGAGTCAAATACCACCTGTTGCGCAATAAGCATGCAAGAGATCCTTGATATCCAGACACTCACCGCCAGTTCGGCTTCGTCCGCCATTTCCACCTCCCCGTCAGCGGTCTTGTCGTCCTCGATGTCCGAGTCCGCTTGATTTTCCATGCTCAGAGCAGCGGTCACCTGGCGTTCCGCCGCCCGCTTGAGAGCCTTTCGACGCTGGTTCATGAGCGCAGCATTGGTTGTATTCCCTTTGCTGCCCAGCTCAAGTACAGTTTCTGCGGGTCTGAAGGCATTGACGGTTCGTAGCAACGCTTTTCGCGCCTCTTCCCGGGCCCTACGCTCGGATCCACCGGCCCCGCGGAGCAGCACGGGATGTATCCCGGAGTCCGAGCCAGCCAACAGCCATTTGGGATCCTTAGTCATGTCCTTGGCACGCTTGTAACTGGCGGGGCTCGCTTTCCCTTTACTGCGCTCGTACATTGCTTGGCCGCGTTTCATCACCTCCCGCAGAGTCGGCAAGTTCCGGCTGGTGTCCTCCAGCGACCGGATGTACTCGACGTCTGCATCGATCTTTTCCCGCTCGAAGGTGCCCAGGACCAACGATTCTGTGTATTCCTGGTCGCCGTCTCCCGAGACATCCGGCTTCAGCGGTCGGCCGAGGAAGAGCTGGAGATCCAGAAGATACGGAAGCTCGCTGTGGGTGACGAACGACCAGGCCCAGCCTTGTCGTCCAGCACGGGCTGTGCGCCCCACACGGTGCACGAAAACACGTGCACCCTGCGGGAAGTCGTAGTTGACCACGTTCTCGAGCACAGGGATATCGATGCCACGGGCTGCAACGTCTGTGACCACTAAGATGTTCGTCTGTCCCCTCCGGAACTGCTCCATTTGGAACGAGCGTGCGGCCTGGTCTAGAGATCCATAGATGTGCGACACAGCGTAGTTTGCAGCGGTCAGCAGTGTCAGCATGTATTCCACGTGATGCTTGGTGGCAACGAAGATGAGGGTCTGATGTGGTGCAGTCTGTATCTCAGAATGTTTGGCTTTGCCCTTCTTCTTGACGTCGACGGTCCCTTCGTCCTTCTGTCCAAAGGGCACTTTGATCACATCTCTGAGGAGGGAAAGCAGACAAGCTTCCTTCTCGGCCTGCTTCACAGAGAAAAAGGCCATCTTCAAGTCTGTGCTTATCTTGCTCTCCGCATCGAGTCGCACTAGTTTGGGATCCTGCAGGCCGGCCTTGGCAAATTCCACCAGCGATTTCGGCAATGTAGCAGAGAACAGGAGCGTCTGACGAGAAGCTGGCAGCCGGAGGAGGATTTCGTTCAACGCAGTCTCGAAACCCATTTCGAAGAGTCGATCCGCCTCGTCGAACACAACGTATTGCACGGACTTGAGATCCAAATTCATTTCAACATGAGATGAAGCAACCGTCCAGGCGTTGCGATGATCCTGTATGGTTTCAGCAAGTGTTCCCCGAGAGATTCTATAGGCACTCACACATCTGGATTATTGGACATCATCTCAAACTGTTCATCGAGTCCTTCTCCTCCGACAATCAGACTCCATCTCAGGCTTTGTCCCTTGCCTGAGCCTTCTGCGTCTTCTGCGTCCCCGGCATGGTTGCCTGAGCCTGCGTGCCATCCACGAGAGAGTTCTTTCCCGACCTTGAGGACCTGAAGCGCCAATTCTCGTGTGGGTAGCAAGATGAGCGCTCTGGACCCAAACGTTGTCGAGTGACGGCCTGACAGGCGCTGGACCAGGGGATCATGTATGCCAGAGACTTGCCGGAACCGGTGCGAGCCATTCCCACTAGATCCCGGGGTGGACTCTCGAGCAGTGCAGGGATAGAAAGTCGTTGAATTGGCGTAGGTATGCGATAGCCTTGCAAAGTTAATGATCTGAGTAGCGACGGGTGCAGACCTATGGGATGGTTTGAAATCTGGGTAGGCATGTAAGAAATATCATCGCACCCATGCTTTGAAAGCTCCCTCCCCCCACTTCTCCCTTGGTGAGCTTCTTCTTCCCTTTGATCTTCTTCACAACCTCTGTCCCAGCCTTGATATCCCTCTTCGCTATAGACGTTTTGATGAATTCTTCTAGTTCATCGTCGTCGTCCTCGAATTCGTCAGCATCATCCGTTTTCCTTCGTTTTCCGGTAAGCGCCGAGGAGATGTCGACATCAGAAAATTCAGAGTCGTCTTGCTCCTCTGCCTCCGATCTTCTGCGCTTGGACAACATGAGACTGCAAGCTTCAGAGGATGAAAATAAGGCACAGCCGCCTGATGTGCACGTCAATCTGTCAAAATCGCATTATGTCACATGTGTGACCTCCTCTGACGCGTCGACGCGACATGCAGTCCATCGAGCAAAAAGAACGCGTCGGACGAGAACGTAATGCCCAAATCAAACGTCAGATCGAAGAACTGCAAGCTCAACTTGGAAATGCTGCGGAGGAAGACGAAACAGAAGCAGGCCCATCATCACCCAAACGACGGAAAGTGGAGGGCACAGTGCTAGCGCCGAACACCCCGTCTCCAAGTGCGTTAATGGCCGTCCGATTGGATTTTATTTGAAAATTCATGTCTGATATAGGGAAGAATCACGTCCTACGGCCGGCCAAAGCAACTGCAAGCAGCTCGTCGCGAGATTCCGTTGTCAACTTTCCTATTCAAAAGTTGGAGTTCGTGAAACCTGCACCCTCCGACTTCCTCAGAAAACTTGGAAAGAGTGCAGTGTCCACACACAATGACGTGGAAATCGACCCGTTCGTGCGCTCTACCGCATTCACCGATGCCCCCGCAACTGCACGGGATGAAAGGCTGGCATTGGTAGACAACATCCCACTAGGGCCAATAGATCATCAGGCGCCGTTCGACGATCCTCATTTCCTGCGAATTGAACCAAATTCCGGGATCGCATTCTCGTATGCATTCACCAAATATGGCGCACAATACGTACTGACCGACCCTTTTAGGTCGAGGATCGTTTCGCATGACGACCTTCAAGACCATCTACGCGCGCGACACTTCCTGGCTCCGTCTCAACTCTACTCTGTGGCACGCCTGACCCAGGATAAGCAGGGGTACGACGTCCCAGTCGAAGCAGACTGGGTGACCATTGCCGTTGTTGCCGAGCGTGGGCCTTACAAGCTTAGTCGGGCGCCCGTAGCCATCACATCTGACGAAGGGGGGCCTTCTAATCACAAAGGCAAGGGAAAAGCAAAGGCCGAAGAGGCCCCTCGGTCGTTAGGCAGGAGATATATTAACCTCAAGCTGGTGGATTTCGGTGGCCGGTCAGCGTCGTCTGCGACGGGCGGGAAAGCTGTGATCCGTGGCGACGCAATGTTATCGCTGCTGATGTTCGAGTCGGATACGTTTGATCTTGTGGATGAGGACAGCGACCCACCGAGGAAGAAGAAGGTGTATCGAGGAGGAAGCCGAGGTGCTTTTGAAGAATTTGGGGATCTCAAAGAGGGGACAGTGATTGCGTTATTGAACCCCAAGATACTGAAGCCGTTCCAGGTGAGGCAAGAGGTCAGCGAATCCACTTCATTATTGCTGAGATGTTTATAGTCGTCGCGAGACAAACCGCATCCGGTTTCCAATATTCTGGCCCTGACACCGGAGTCGTCGTCATCCATTCTCGTCATCGGACACTCCAAGCACCTCGGGCTCTGTACTGCAGTGAAAAGGGATGGGAAAACGTGTCGATCGTGGTATGACAAGCGGGCCAGCGACGTTTGTGAATGGCATGTCCAGCACGCTGTTGAACAGCGACGTTCCAGTCGACCAGAGTTCTCAGTCGGGTGCGTTGATCTAATTCTGGTTCCTCGTCTGCATTGAAATGCACTGCACAGCACCATGGGTATGAGCATGAATGCCAAGAAACAACCCAAAAACGAGTACGATCCACGTCGGAAATGGGGGCTGAAACCACTCGACGAGCCGTCCGGGAGTGCGACGTACATCGTGCAGGGTCACATTGTAGGCGGGGGTGTGGATGCTCGTGAGTCGATGCAGATGATAGAGAATATGGGACGAGAAGGCCAGGCCAAAGCGACACGGAAGCTAGCTGCACGAGACGACGAGAAGACGCTGGCAGCACTATTGTCCCGGGACAATGAGGCATGAGGGCTGTCATGATCGCCAGAGAACACGGATTGAACGATTCGAAGAAGAAGAAGTCAAAAGTCGAGAGGAAAGAAACGGAAACCAATCCCGAGACTTGTCAGGTCACCAAAAACGCGTATTCAGCCTCGATGATGAAGCAACTCGGTTTCGATCCAACTTTGAAGCCTGGCCAGCGAAGGAATCCAGACTCGAATATGCAGAAAAAGGTGCGCGGAGCTGGTTGTTGGGCTTCACTGCTAATAACGTACAGTTACAACAACTAAAAACTATCCAAGCATCAAGGAAACCAGTCTTACTCGGACCCCGGCCGGGGGAAAAACATCGAACGAGTGTTTCTGCGCCAACAGCGGAGCAAGGATTAACTGGGGGGTCTGCTGCCAACTGTGTCGACCCGCAAAAGGAGGAGGTAGTGGATTTAGACGATATTTGAGCATGGTTGTATAATCCAGTCCATGGTCGATGTCTATGTGTATAAGTGGGAGGCTTATCATGTTCGACGGATCCCCCGAGTTGAAGAAGTTCCACGAGAGATTGAGGGACCATTACTTGATCCTCGTGCAGTAGGTGCTGTGAACGTCTTGAGAAGACAGATCTATCTTGCTGGATATTCACTCCACCTCCTCGGGTCGCAGTTGCTCCGCGAAGACCACGCATCGATGCCCGGGTACCTCGCACCCCTCGCACAGCACCTCTCGTAGATGCCATCCGCTCTTGCCTCTCTCTCTCAGCGCATTCCCTTTCTTCACGTTCCTTGCGCTCTCGTTCCTCGAGTTCCAGCCGCTCCCGTTCCCGTTGTGCTGCAGCAGCCCTTTCCGCCTCCATCTGGCGCCGTCTTTCCTGGCTGCCTTGCGTTCCTCGGCTAGAAGCGCGTCATCCTACACAGGAACAGTCAGTGACGCGGAAGAAAGAGATCTGAGACAGGCTCACGGCGTCAGCTCCGTGCCAGCCCTCATCGAATATCAATCGCGCATATTCCTCCGATTCTGAGACGATGCCAACGTATTTATTGAGCAGGGCCTCGGTTTGTGCTAATTGAGCACCTACGCGCTACAGATACCATATGAGATCAGCGCGAAAGACCTCACGAAAGGAGAGTGAACCTCGTTCTGAGACTCGATGTCACTGAGCGCATCGTGAAAAGACGCGAGAGCCGCATTGAGTCTTTTGAGAATGAACGCGTCGTTCTGCAGTCTCTCTTCGCGCGATTTCCCCGTTTGCCGTCGCGGGAGGTCGTCTTGTTCAAAGTCCAGATCCTGACCTGCACCTATCGACATTCAGACGCGTGCATGGGCCGTGCACCGTGGAATGGCGCGGACCTGCTTTGAACGTATTGTTTGACAAGGAGAGCTCGGATAGCGATAGATCATCTCCCCCGGGGCCCGTATGTCCAGATGGGCCTTCTTCCGATAGGAGACGCGACCCTCCGGATGTGGATTCGAGCATGAATGAGTCTAGCGACATGATAGATGGGGACAACTTGGAAGATTATCCTCGTCGATGATCTGCATCATGATGTGCAACTGATGTATCACTACATATTGGAAGGAAAGAATTGGGTAGTGATATCTACAACAAGTGCCTCTAAATATTTATGAGAAGGGCTGTCAGCTACTAAATAACATGCTCCTGGAAGCATGTGTCCTTGGCGACGGCCGGGGCGACGATGTGGAGAGTGGACTGCGCATAGCTGATGTGAGACAAGTGTGGACTGCACTTGTAGGAGCGACTCACGCATAGAAGCCCGTTGCCGACATACCGCTGCGGGGTATGGGCGAACGAGGATCGGTCCGACGGGGAAGGGGGAGCTGCCTATCTTGAGAGAGCCCTAATGCCTCCAGTTGTTCAACGAATGTGTCCGTCATCGGCAAGTCTCGTCGATATGTGCTGAATCCATGGTGGCATGTGCTGCACTGGGTCGCAGGTGTGCTTAAATGCACATTGACGGTAATAGGAGGCAGCACTGAAGCACTCGAACTGACAGCCTGTGCCGAGCCAGATGACGAAGAGTGTCTAACGGCTGAACTGCTAGACAGATCAATGGTCGCCGAAACAACCGGGCTCGTTAGTACCCCTCCGCCATTATCAGCCGCTAAACCGGCCGTATTTGTGGCAGCGGCCTGTCGATGGGTTGACCTCGAAGAACGAGATGAACGAGATGAATGAGTTTCTCTCGTGTGTCCTCGAGAAATAGCGGAGACAGAACACCCGAGATGGTGGCCATAGGTGACAAATTGATCACCTGGGTTACACCTGTGGGCGGCGAGGACATCATAGTTGAGCCAGACGATGACGAACATATGTTCGAGCTTTCCTCTTCATCTGAGGTTAAGATGTCGATTGCCGAATCTACGCTCGAGCCACTGGAGTGCCGTCCCGAACGGATGATCGCAGGTGCTCTAGAGACACCGCCGTTTTTCAGTTCTTGAGGAAGCGATTCAGCAGGTCTCAAACTTTGCGCGGGCCTTCTGGCCGTTGTGGCGATGACAGCTCTAGTCGTTCCTGCTTCGACTTTCCGGACGTTGCCTTTACTTCGCTCGTCTTCGAATACATCATGGGCTTTAGTTTCTGACTTGAAGCTCTGGTAGAGAGACCCAGAGACTCCAATTACAAGGGGCTGCGTTTCGAGCCTATGCAGCACATCAATGTGCACCTGGACATCAAGTAGTGCGCCACCTACCATGTATTGAACACACCGACCTCCTTCCCGACTGTGACCACATACCACTTGCGAACCATGCCAGAAGTTCCAGGCCGACCTAAGTCCACGGGCCGGGCTATAGAACGATGAACTGGCAGGGGACGATTGTGAGAAGCAAGAAGCAAGGCGCGTGAATCTCTGATCGCACGTGGTCGTACCCATGATTGACGTCCTCATTGCTCCTCTATCCCGTTTCGCAACCTTTGTTCAACCTCACTGAGGGACGGGTGGTTCATTTGAACGCATCGCGAGTCTCGAGAGATAATTGTGAGGGGGCCGGTGCCTGAACAGAGGGTCTCGATTCTTTTGTCTCTACATATATTCAATAGGACGGTCGCGCATGTATTCTAACGGGTCGACACGTTTGGGAAAGTTTTGCAAAGGCTCACTGATGTGAGTGTATGTAAGCAGCTTGAACAAGCGTAAGAGGAGGGAGATCATACGCACTCCCTAACCTCCCAGACATCCTCACTGCTCTTTCCCAATCGCCGTTTGGCCCACCAGATAGCCTTTCGTCGAATCCAAGCGTCACGCTGTTCCTCCGTAGCCATCCACTTCAGACTAAGACAGAACTTGTATTCCGCGAATTTGAGAGAACAGTCTTCCCTGAAGTGTCCGTAACGGTACATTGACTTCATCAAGTTCTTGAGAGCTTCGACTCGATGAGTAGGTTGTCAATAGGATAGACAGAGAACGCACTGTTACACGCGAGGTACGTGTCCAGCTGGTTAGTACATGATGGAATATCGCTGGGGGTAGGATATAACCGTCTCAGATACCACTCTTCCTGCTTGACCGTGGTCCTGAAATCAGTCCGAAAGTCACTGTCAGAGGGAGAGGCCATATTCGGCGTGGCTGTGTAGACCCAATGTGGCATGCCACAATACACACCCGTCCGCATATTGCCGGGCTTACTCGCATATCAGCGCACGTCCTCCACAGACCGGTTGCATTAGCACTTCCTTTCAACCATGTCACTACAGTAACGACGCAGCTCCGCCTGCGCTGAATTACGCGCCATATAGACATCAGCCAGCCAAAGCAGTGTTTCTACTGTGGCAACTATGCAGCGCTGTCCTTCGCATTCCTTACTACGCTCTCTCGTCTGCCATCCCGTGCGAACTGTTCTTGTCGCATCGAACTGCACTGACCGTGCTCCAAGTTCTTCGCGTCCACGCCAGTCGTGGACGTTCCGACGCGCTTTCCGAGTCAAACTGCTGCGCTACCTCTCCTCGTTGGGCTTGTAGTGAGTGCGTGGACGCTGATTCCCCGCTGTCACCCTCAAGGTCACTAGTGTCGGCTACATTATGAAGGTCCCTGATCACCTCGCACTCAAACTTGGACCCGAATACCACGGGCTGTGGGTCGAGCCTGTGGACATTACTTCACTTCCGGGAAATCTCAAACGCTGGGCCGCTGCCGCCGACATCTCTGCTGTTCGCCTACCAGGTTATTGGATCCACCGCAAGGATGCAAAAATTGAGCTAGGGGCGCCGCTGATGCCTGGCGAAAAGATACTCTATGCGCTGCACGGTGGGGGATATACGCGTCTTTCAGCGCATCCCGGAGACATAACCAGTGCCATCCCCCGCGGATTCCTCGACCACGTTGAGCCTGTGCTTCGCACTTTCTCTATCGAGTACCGGCTGTCGACGACGACCCCTTACCCGAAGGCGCACTCTTTCCCTGCTGCACTCATCGACGCGCTTACGGGATACCACTATCTCGTGAACACTCTGGGATTCTCTGCGGACGACATCATCGTCGAAGGAGACTCTGCCGGGGGCAATCTCGCGCTGGCGCTCGTGCGATATCTGTCTGAGAATCCCAACCCAAAGCTGCCAGTTCCCGGCGCTTTGGTACTGCTTTCCCCGTGGTGTGACATGGGGAACTCGCACTCTTCTCCTGGCTCCTCTATCTTCACCTGTCGTCCGTCGGACTACATTGCAATCCCAGAAAACGGAATATATTACGAAACCGTAGCATTCGCGGGTCCTTTCGGTCTCGGTGCGCTGGATTTCAACGCTTATTTCTCGCCTGCGTCCAAGAATATCCCGGACGTCAGTTTCTCTGGATTCCCGCGCACATTCATTTCTGCAGGAGGATCTGAAATCCTGGTCGATTCGATCAGGACTCTCCGCGACAAGATGGTCAAGAGCATGGGTGCTGCTCGGGTCGAGTATCTCGAGATGGAGGACGCAGTGCATGATTTCGTAGTCCTGGCATCAATCCACGAGCGAGAGCGCACAGAAACTCTGAACGCGATAGCCAAGTGGATCTCGTCTTAGTCTGTTCGTCTTAGTCTGTTACACACACTATGCAATACGTTTCTCTGACGAGTCACTGCTCTGGTCTACGGAGCCCGCCTCAGCACTGGTCGCCCGTGTCTCCTCGGCGTGGTTGTAGTCGCGCAGGTGGAAATATGTTGCGGGCACCGCGACAAGGAGTGCGCCGACAATGTTGCCGAGATACGCCGCCACAAGCGATCTATGATTGGTAAGCATCGGCAATGCTGAGATGACGACGCGGGCCGACTTACTTCCCGATGTAACCGCCAGTCGTTAGCTTGAAAGATAGTCAACAACAATGCGAGCGTTTGATGGCACGAGCTCACGTTGGGTGCCCCGAACATGATTCCTAGAGGGACCGAGAACATGTTGGCGACAACTAATGGGTTTCGTGAGAATGATTGCGTCGTACAAATCCATTACACAAACCATGATCGAAAGAGCAAGCCACAAAGAGCCAGATGGGAAGCCAGATAGCGTAAATCTGAATCGATGTGCAGCGAAATTCGGCTGCTGCGGTCAATACACACACACCTTGCTGATCGTCTCTCTAGCGCCAGCAGCTTGCTAGTTCGTGGATCAGATTTGATTAACAAGTGAACCGTGGACCCACATACCCAAACTGCTACACAAACAAGCCAATTGCAGGCGATACCTCGCAGGAAGATCTGGTGCCACTCGGGGTCGACTGCTTTCTTTCTGCTACAATCAGTCATCTGTGCGGTGGGGACAAACATGCCGCTCACATGGCAAACGCCTTGACGTAGGCGGGATAAGGATCCGCCTCCAGAACCCCGCTATCTGTCGCGTGGTGTCAGATCCGTAACAAGCGCGCAGAGCTATCTCACAGTGGACAAGGATGGCCGCCGTGAAGAGACTTCCGACCAGATTGCCGAACGTGACTGTCACGACCGTGAGTAAGCCCACCGGCAGCGTCGAAACACACGCACCCAGCAGAAAATTGAGCAGCAAGGACCACCAGGGGACGGCCCTCTTCATTACGGCCATGGGAAACACCTGCGACGATCCGTCGATATGTCTTTGACAAGCCCGATCAGATGCGGAAGCCTACCATCATGTTACTGGGTGGATATTTTTAGAATGTGCTCTAGAGTCCGGTGCCCAGCTAGCCGCACCTGGTTAATAGCTCGAAGCCTTGCAAGACAATCCTAGTGTGACTTTCAGGGACAGGGGAAGGGCGAGTGAGAGGGGTACCGACATGACGAGCCCGACGGGGAAGACGAATCCACTCAGGACCTTGACCTATGGTGACGGGTCAGAACTCCGTCCGAGAGCGACGATAGCAGGCGCAAATTACCAGACCGGGGTTGCTCGTAGTCAGGGCGGGCGACCCTCCGCCTACAATCTCCGACAAAAGTCCCCCAAACGAAAGCATGACGCCGGCCATGACCTAAGCAGAGAATTCGATTGGCTTCGTGGATCTTCTCTCCTCGTGTCTGGAGGATGCTACCCACCGCTTTGAAGAACACGGCCTCGTAGCGGTCGCGGTGCTTAGCGACGGCCTGGTTCACGAAGTACACCGCGACTTGAGCTGGCTTGAGGGTGCTGGCTTCCATGGTGTCCGGCTGTGGGTGTCCGTGGGAAGGGCCGTTGCGCAGAAGAGGTCCTTTATATAGGTGTGTCGACATTATTTTCCCTGGAACCGGCCTGATTATCGGCAATCGCGGGAGGACCAAGCTCCGCTCTAAATCCGTCGTCGGCAAAGACTTGATGGGAGGCACTCGTGTCGGCGGGAGCTTTTGTCAGCTGATGGCGGCGTCGAGCGTCGGCCCAATCCTTCCAGTGCACGGACGAGCCGCAACCGCAAAGCAGATATCTTGGTGATTTAGTGTGGACGACGTCCCGGATCTGTTTAACCCCACGGGGTAACTTCCCCATTCCCCTGATCAGCAGACATGCTGCGGCCGCCTGCACTAAGCATTGAAGGAAACAAAGCTCCCAGGGATTACATAGAATCAGATTGTATAGCATTAGACAGCATGCGACTCGGAAAACAAATCAGAGCGAAAGAGTCGGAGGGTCAGCGGTTACAACATCATAAGTCAAATAAGTAGCATATAAAGATTCACTTCTTTGCCAGGTTCTCGTTGTCGCGCAGAAGACGAGGAGGGTACCGCTGGCCCGACGATTGGCGGTCCTCCATGTGTCGGCGAGCACCGAGCGAAGTCTGCAGCGAGCCGGGCCCATACAGCGGCCCCCGGTTATACGAACTCCGCTCCTTCCGACGCAGATGAGTCGGAGCCGGGAACGGTTCAGGCAGCCCTTGCTCGGGCCCTGCCGAATAGAATATCTTGGGCTGCCATTCTTCTTTTTCCTGCAAACGCAGTTAGTCTCAGGTGGCGCTTTTCCAGCAAATGGTGCCGCCTACATCCATGATGCAACTGAAACCAGCTCCGTAAGCATACCACACGACTGATATCATAAGCGAAAACGTACGAGTTTTTGAATTTCTCCACCAGTGCCTCCTTTCCTCTGCGCCGAAAAGTGAGGACCTGCTCTCGGCTCTGGAGAAAAGGAAACAAACTGATAATTGGCATAGCTCATCTGCAGGACCTTCTCGCTCGAAAACATGTTCCTGTATTCGGCGCATCAGTCGGCGACCGAGGAGCAAGTCACATGATCACTTGCCACTTCTCGCCCAGCCTGGCTTTTGCAAAACGCAGTAGATCTTGGACGGAGATAAAGTTGACAAATGCGTAACCAACGTTGCATCCTTGATGAAATTCAGAACTGCACCAATCAGCACCGAAACGAACAAAAAAGCCGTACCGTTGGTAAAATCCATCCTGAGATACAAAAAGTCTATTCTCCGCGGACAAACCTTGGCGACGTAGACCATGAGGTCCTTGTCGCTCATCTTGTTCGGGATGTTCTTTATCATCACAGTCGTGCGCGTGTCCTCCCCGTTCTCGATCTTCGCCAGGTTCAGCAGATTCCGCTCGTTGCTCGCCCCGTTCGAATTCGATGATGGCACAGCCACCCGACTCGGTGGCGGTCCACTTGCCGTCGCGTGACGGTGTGTGTGCTGCGGCGGCGCCGCATAGTGGTGGTAACATGGGATCGGGTGGAGGGGCGCTGGCGATCCCGGCCAGAATTCGGGACCCATCGGCGGCGGTGGCGGTGGCGGTGGCGGGAAAGGGCCTGGGTAGATGAGCGTCGGCTCGTACTGCCAGTGTTCATACGGGTGGTGACCGTGGTGAGTGATGGCCGCTGGTGGGGTCATGAACTGGTTGGCATGATGCGCCGGGAACGCATAGAAGGCTGGTGGCAAGGGCGGGGTCGAGCATGGGTAGAACGATGGATAGACCGGGGGCTCATGCAAATACTCTGCGTGCACCGCTTCCGGACCCCCAGAGCTACCGACGCTGGCGCTTCTGGGCCGAGTCGGGGTCGCGTCGGCAATTTGCCGGACTGCATCAAAGGATAGATGGTTCGACACCGTGCGGCTGTGTGATTCGGGCGTCCGGGGCGTACCGCTTGATGGCGACGTTGGGGGTGACGAATAGAACAGCGGCGGCGATGTTGACAAAGAGTCGAGGCTCTCGTGACCATCGCTGGCGCTGCGTTGCCGGGTTCTCGGCACAAAAGCCTCCTCCGCATCTTCGTCGACAATGGGAAATTGAAGACTAGCTTCCTCCGTTGGACGACAGTCGCGCGGCGAAATGGTCAGACGCGTTCCGAAAAACATGTGTCCATCCACAGTCTTGCACGCGTTCTCCACGTCCCGACTGTCGTAGAACTCCACCTCAAAGACAAGACGGCTGGAGAACTAGAAAAGTTCATGGGCATTGAACTATGCTGCGCAAGCAAAGCAGCATACCTGATTGGCCGTTGCAGAAAGCAGGAACGAGCGTAAAGCACCAACCTCCTTGAGCACGCCGACCGTGGTGGCAACGCTGATAGCATCTGGGTTAACCTAGAAGCCGTTGAGTTAGAAGGGCGGAAGAGAAATTTGACTCACAGTATCGTCCCCTCCTCCGGCAGGAACCAACTCAGCGACGAGGGTGAGCGTGCCCTGTATATCATTGAGAAACGAGGACTTTCCCGCCATCTAGACGAAATAAAGCACAAGCATAAGTCCGAACGCAGAGCAGAGAATAATAAGCTAACACGTACATCGATGAGGTTCTTCTCACTGATGAAAGCACACTCGAGCCATCCTCCAGCTGGCCCAGGTGTCGCTTTTTCGCCAACGCACTGGAGCAGAGGGCCCGTACCCGGGGTTGATAGCACCGTCAGCGCAGCTTTAGCCTGGCGGACGTCATAGAAAGCCAGTACCGCGATGCCGTGAGATTGGTGGAAGCGAAGAAATACGCCTTTGATGACGTCGGCCATGGCCACCGCCTGAGCGATATCGCGGGAGGGGTGGTAAATCAGGTTGCTCTCATAGAGGGTGGCCACGAGCGCAGCCTGGAGTGTATCCGGAGTTACGGTCCGGGACACATTCTTCAACTACAGAGAGTATAAGCCAGTGCCGTAGAACGGAGAATACGACCCACAATCAAGAAACGGGTCGAGGTCGAGTCTGGATCTGAGAACCCAATCCGATCCTCGAAGATTGAAGTCGGCAAGCTGCTCGCGCTCGAAGCCACACTAGCATTAGTACTAGCACTGGATTCTATGCTGGTCGCTGTCCGGATGCTGGACGACGGCGTCAGGGGCGGCGTCAGCGGGATATCGGTGTCGCAGCGCAGCCGCCGCTTATTGGTGTCGAGAGACGCGAGCTGTGAGCGATGTTCGTCCGGTATGCATTTAGTGCTAGTGGGGGTGCGGACATCTTGATCAGGCTCTTCGCAAGTATCTGCTGCCGGACTGGAAGGATTGTGAGCCGCGGGAGATCGAGTCCGGGTCAGAAGACCGCTCGACTTTTCAGTTAGACGCGCAGGAATAGGTCCAGAATGCGGGGGGAACCTAGGAAGGACCGAAGAGTGAGAGGTGTTGACTAAGGGAGTGCCGAAAAAACGCGCACCAAATGTTGGGCATGGAAGGAGAGTGCTGAAGACGCGGAGGATGCGGCCGGACGGAGAGAGCATCGTCAGGACGGTGAAGGGGAGGAGAAGGGTCGGGGCTGAGGGCTGAGGGAGACATGATGGGAGGGAGAGAGAAAACGGTGGCCAAGCGCCAAAAGACGCGCTGACAGCTTATACGTGAACAGAAGCGGGACAAACGAGTTGAAACCAGGTCGATATCCTGACAACGTAGACCATCAAGGCTTCCGATCCGCGCCGGGCTGGAATTCATCAAAGATTCTTCTCGAATTTATTCGCCCAGCCTGTACGTCAGATAAGCCTTTTAATTATGCGAAGAAAGGCTGACAGAAGACTGAGCGTTGCAAGTCTACATGTAATATCCCCGACTCGGAGAGTGTCCTCGTTTTGATTTTGAGCACCAGACGGAGAACAAGGCCTGTTCGGAGTCGCCGTGGTGGATGCACTGCCCCAGAGCATGTGCAGAAAAGAGAGAGCGTGCCGGAGCTAATTCGGGACCGCAAAGAATCACGTCACGCGAGAATCGCCCTCGCAAATGGCGCTGCCTTGGAGCCTGCGTGTGCTGCGCCCGTCGCAACGAGAACTGCGCAGAATAGATCAGAAAGACCCTGCAGGCAACGAAAGGTGCAAAGAAAAGCCGCCGTCGCTACGGCGCGCGCGCTCCCACCGCAGACACAAAGAGGTAAAGAACACGCCAAATCGGGATAATACGTATTTGACAGGTCACGTGTGCGCGGTCTTCCAATCACCCCATTCGGGGGCATCGACCGTCACCGCGCGCGTTCCACTGGATCTTCCTGCTCCTCCCCGCCCCCCTTCTTCACGTTTCAAGGAGGCGGGCACAAGATCAGCGTCAGAGCACTCCGGAGCCAATATTCTCCCCGGGCAAGACCACCAGCACCTACAAAAAAGCTTGTCTGACACGTCAGCCGTGAGGCTGTTTAGGCACGACCGAGTTGATCTGCCGCATCGGCAGCGGGCCAAAGGCGGATTTGCCCACAAACATGTCCCATGTTTTCCTCGGACTTGTGTGCAGAGCCATTGCAAAGCGCAGGCCAACCCTGGTTCATTCGGCGGCGTCAACCTCGGAAAGCAAACGTCTCGAAACAAGCTTGAGCGGTATGCTCTTGAGTCACCGCTACGTTAGCACGAGGCTATAGCCTCTTTCCAGCTCCAACGTTGAGTCTGTTTGAACATTGCAGGTGGCGAGTGCCATGATGATGATGGCCAACATGGCATGATCGTTGATGGGATCAACATACACCCTCTTGCGTTTTCCCCCTCGAAGCCATGCCCGTCTACCAAATGGTCTGCATTGCTGCCCACTTCCCTGATTTTGTTCGTCGGCATTCAAAGTCTCTTCCCAACGTCTTGACTCCATATTCCTAGAAACATATATCCGGCCTCGTCAAGCAGACAGCCACACACGTCCTCCAAGCAGGAGGTGTAGTGCGTAAAATCGACTCGCTAGGGACGAAGCAGCTACCACAGCGCATGAGGCGGCATGGTAACTACCACCACACGGCAGAGTAAGCGTCGGACTTTCTAGATTCGCCCGTCGTGCTCACATTGGAATGTACAGCTACTGGGCCATGCACTTCGACACCTCTCCTCGCGTACTATCGTCCCTGAACGCTCTCATGCGACGAGACCCGCGTGTGATTCGATGGACTGTTCTGAAGACAAGTGGGTCGCGGGTGGAGGATGTAGCAACCGAGGGTCGACGAGTGATATACGGGAACACATTAGACCAGATGGAGGACTAGACCAACCATGAAGTACATTCCCTCCTCGGCCCATCTTTTCTCTTGTGCATTTCGAACTGTCCTACCGCAACACCCTATCCAGAACCTGCTGCAGACTATCAACCACTGCGACCGAGCTGTTGACGACATCTCCGTTCCTGGGACCCTCCTCCGCTCCCGGTCTTCGCAGCAGCAATGCTTCCATTCCTGCGTTCCTGGCTCCATCGTAGTCACTGTGAAACTGAGTCTGCCGACCCATGAGGGCACAACGCACGTCGCACCTATCCAGCTCGTCTCCGACATGCAGGCATTCGTCAGCCCGTATCGGCCGCCCCAGCTCGCTGTTCACGCGTTGAAGCAGTTGCGCATAGATGGCTGGGTCCGGCTTCGACAGTCCCGAACCGTCACAGATCAGGATGGGCTTCACGTATGTCGGGAATCCGAGATCCTCGAGTACAGCATCTACCATATCCTTGAGCCCACTCGAATCCCTGCCTGAGAAAGTGGCAAGCGTACACATGCGGTCATCTGCGTTGCTCACCACAGCAGTAAGGATACCCTCAGCATTTAACCTGTTCACTGGACAGCGTGAGCCTTTCTGAAACGTGACGAGACCCCACATACACGTATCTATCGTATCGTCGAAGACTTTGTAGCCCTCTCGACTGCTGAACCGCTTCATCAGATGTGGGACGATGGAGGAGAGCGAGTCTTCGATGGCTAGGATGCCATAACATCGGCCATGGTGTCAAGGAGAACACTAGAACGACGGTCCGAACCTTTGGGATTGGCACCAGCGCCTAACGCTGTTTGATGTATGACTTCGGTCCACCACCGCGTGGGGTCTTGACCGGCCAGCGCCCGCCCCGCACCCGTGCTGCTGACATTACGAAACGCTTCGTGCGAGTTCTGAGACGGGGATTCATGACATGTGCTGGAGTTGCTGACCGGTGCGAAAAGAGCTCCGTATGGAGAGGGGATCCAGAGAGCCTAGATAGGGTTGGAAGACCTCAGCGTACTGGGTATGGCTTGAGTTTCTAATCGAGGTTCGCGTGGAAATGTTAGACTTGGACTTCAATCGGTAGGCGAGGGGCGATGAGTGTATGCAGCAAATCAAAAGAGACCAAACGGATCCTCGGATTCATAATGATTGGGATGGGAGGTGAAGAGACGCAGAGGCACGTGACCGTGATTCCCATGCGATTGTCACTGTTCTCAAAGCAGTTCCTGTCAACGTCTGACGCCTCTCGATGTTTTTTAAGCTAAAGATGTCAATCTCGGACGGCTTATACATTGACAGGTGATATTTTTCTGCTCCCTAGATCCCAAGCCTCTCCATGGTTCATTCGTCCTCCTCGACATCCCCAAATTCGAACATACCTGAAACGGAGTTAGCTTTGATGCTTACATACACACTCGGTCCATACCCATGCGCTCTTTCTTCGCCTGGGAGACCGCATTCTGCAGTGTGCGAAGCACTTGCGGATAGGCCGAGAGATACTTGCAGCCTTTGCGGTCAATCGACGCAACCCCGTCGCGCAACAAATCTGCGTTAATCGATGCGGAGGGATCTTCGGCTGACGCCGGATCGGTCGGATCCATGAGACGCAGATGAAGCAGCGATCCCTCCTTGTGGTCGATGTTCGCAACAAGTTTCCGGCCCTCGCACAGCGACCGGAAGCGGTCAATCGCTTCAGTGTAGTATTCGCTTTCTGGGCCGACGAGCTTGATGAAACTGAGACGGGCCTCGTGAGCTTGACCGGGCAAGCCTCGGAATTTTTGATCAAGCGGACGGATGTTGGCAAAGGAAACGGTGTCCTGGTTGCCATAGTCAATGAAAGTCACTTCAGCTTCCTTTTTCACTGGCGAGGCGCGTCGGATCTTGGCACGATACCACGAGCCATCAGAGAACTTGGCAGACACAAGATCGCCGCCTTTCGGAACGAAGTTGGCCGGTGCTGCAGACGACGAGCGATGATGCAACGAAAAGTCCCTCATCAGCTTCTCGAGCGCAGCGATGCCTTGCATTGGTTTGGTAAGCTTCGAGCATATCTGTTGGCCCACGCAGGAGGACCCTCACCTTCTGTATTCAGAATCTGGACCGAGAAGCCCAGTCCATTAGTAGTTCGCACATCACTGACGATGACATCAATGTATTCGGGTTTGAGAGCGGCTGAGTCGTCGACCGGAGCGGCAACTACCTCTTCGGCAGATGCGTCGTAATCGTGCCAGATCTACCGACCAACGATTGGTCAGTTGCCACATGAGAAGATGTTTGTCTTACGTGGCGCTTGGCTGCCTTTGCTTCGGCCTAGAGGGTCTCACAGGTCAGCAGTCTATCGAGAAGTCACTGATGAGAACACACCTCAGCTTCATACAACTGCGTGGACCAGCTAAGGCCATCGGCAGAGAAAGAGTGGACAGTGGCGAGTCCCTCCTTAACGAGAGCGATCGCAGCGTTCTCGGTCTTGTTCAAGTAAAGCGTTCCGATGAAGCCTCCCGACTTATCCAGGGTATCCACTTCGAATTCAACATCTCGCTGCATGTATCGGCGAGTTGCAAACTCCGAAGCTTCAGCACCGAACGGTTCACTTTTCTCAGACGGATTCCGGGCAGTTCGCGGTGCCCGGATACCTGCGGATAGGGTTAGATCAAGGAGAAACCAGGGAGATACAGCATGCCTCCGAGTACTAGGGTCAGCACTTGGTTGTCTTTGGGCAAGATCAATCTACACAGGAATCAGACGGGGGGTCCTGTCGAACAGGTTCGGCTGAAGTACTTGAATCTGGACCCAGCGGCAACATAATCCACGACAGCAGGGATCCTTCCAAGCCGTTTGAATCCGTTGAGGAAGGGAGTGGCACGAGCTGTGGACTGTTGGCAGGATCGAATCAGTCAATGATGGTCGAGGATACGGTCATGTGACGTGCCTCAGAGATATTCAGCGGCGCCTTGGGCGCAGGAAGGTCTTTTCCAGCATGAATACCGCGTCCTTCCGATACTGCACTGTGAAATCATGATCAGCACGAGGCCATCGCGTCAGGCAAACAACGCACGCTTGCTCTGCGGCCATCAGCTTGTCATACTCAGATGCACGGTCTTCGTCGTCACGTTTATGACGAACGAGCCCCGCAAGACCCTTTTCGATCAGCTGTTCGGCAACGTTTCTGCCGGCGGGTGAGTTTTCGACTGGAAGACAGGCTGCCTCTCACGTGTTATGAGCGCCGTAACGGATGGTCGCACACTCCCTCTCCTCGAATTCTCCCTCTCGGGGTCGGATGAAATCGATGGTGACTTTGACGTGCTTGCCGATGAGTTTCTTGCGCAAAAACTCCCGTGCATCCTGAGCGTATTGCGCCTGTTTCGGGTCTGACAATCTTGAGAAAAGATCAGCAACAGGCGTTCAGTCGCCGCATGGTGGTCACACACTTGGGACCACGAGTAGAACTCAGTTGCAGCCGACGCTCCCTCTTGCCATCTTTCTCAACCACAGAAATCTGGTCCCCGCTCCAAACACGGACGACCGTCGCGTCAAACACACGTGACTGGCCATCGCTGGCGGTGCCATTTGACTTTGAGGCCATCGCAGCAGAAGTGTTGGCGTATAGACACAACCGCTTCTCTTTCGCGTTTTTCTCAGCAGCGCGGAGCCGCTCCATGCCTCCGCTGCTGGCAAGCATACCCGCGTGCCAGTCCACAACACGTGCAAGACCGGCAGCGACCAGATGCTCCGCAACATTGCCTGCTGGGTGTAGAACTATCGCGAATGCATCAATAAGTAGCTCAGACGAGTCAGATATTCGACTCACCTGTTCCGATGAAGATGCTAGCTGGTGCGGGCGCGCTTCCGCTAGGGCCACTTTGGAATGGCGTTGCAGTTGATGTCGGAAGCGACAGTATTTGGACACGTACAACGCGTTGAAGAAGACGCGATTCAGTGAAGAATTTCGCCTGTGCAACAGTTAGTACACTCAAGAAACGTCGGATTCACGCGCCCTCGCGCACCTCTTCTCCCCAGGGCTCCGACGGTTCGCCCTGCTTTGCAGAGGCGCGGGAACAGCGCACGCCAGCGAGCGCGATGTTGACGATTTGGTGCTCGCCATCAGGCATAAGCAGGCGCACCCGCAGTGTCGATCCATCGCGCACTTGTTCAACCACAGCTGGGTGGCTTTCAGACTGCGACTGCGCATACATCCCAGCTGATGGGGCACGCACCATCAATGGGTTTCCCCTTCCACTCGGTCACGAATGCTTGTGAATCAAGGGGCATGGTGTAGTTCACGACGCGTGCCTGAACGTTGTTGAGTAGAAAGTCGGATACAGAGCTCCGAAACGCGTACTTGGGGGCCGTGTGGGTTCCAGACACCCTTGCCAGCAGATTTAGCCTCGGCCTCCAAATCTTTCTTGCGTGAGTCCTCCTCCGTCGGTTCCCGCTTGAACTCTTTGAGCTTGGCCCATCCGCTCTTGAGCATCTCAGAAGCCAAATCGTGTCCGCCGATCTCTCCAGTTCCAATGTCCCGCATGGTGTCCTCGCCAGGGAGCGAGTGCGATGAGACGAATGTGATTTCCTTTCCGACTGCCTGCGCTGGACACGATTATTGAGTTAAGAATGGGAGGCGCTTCACAATTGGATCTTAGAGTAGACTGACCCCGAAGGAACTCGCGCGATTCATATGCCCACGCCTCATCCTCCCTTGTCGAAGTTCCCAATCGAGGTGCCACGATGTCTGCCAGATGCAAGATTCTACGAGCAGGGATGATTAGACTTCCCTTTAGTGCAGTAAGGATTAGACATACCTTTCCTTCGGGGGCTGGCCTTGAGGGCCAGCACGACCACGAAGCACTGCGAAAGCATGGAATCAGCCGCCTTACACCCCGAATGGCGCTGCTGCAGCGTACCCAGTGTATCACCGGATATAACAGACTTGACAATAGCTTTCATAGACATGGCGAAGATTCAGAAATGCTACAACTTCAAGACAAGGTGTAGCTTGGGCAAAATTTCGATGCACACACGACCACTAGTGATTACATAATGCACCCTGACACGTATCCAGCGCCTGGCCACTGGGCAGTCCCATCGCGACTGATTCGGGTGGCGATACGTTCATCGTAATCTGAGCGGGCAAAGCCGCTGGTGAGGTGACTCAAGCCAATGAATGCATCAGCGACTGTGCGTCTGGTCCTAGCCAACATATCTGATCTTGATGGCCCCTGCTCGATTTCTTGCTTCCAAGGCTGCAAACAGTAAGCGACAGAGGAGCGAGTGGGGGCACGCTCGCACCCTTCAGTTCTTCTGCTTCTTCTCTCTGCTCATAGTCCAGCACCAGCCGTTTCAGGTGCTGTTGCTCCACCCTATCTTGTTGCTGGGCGGAAAGTGTGTGGACAGCGAGCGCAGACTCTGTTGGGACCGCCATTTGCCGAGCCTGGGGCAGAGTCAGTATGTGCAGCCATGTTCTCCAATCGAATGCGGCGCACTTGCTGCTTGTTGCCTCGCTTCGTGAGCACTGTAAAGTTCATGACTGCCTGGCCGTCGATTTCCCGGGGAGCTGTCTCGTCGTCATCGTCGGCGCGTTTCTTTCGAGCGCCAGACGGGATAACAGCTGCATCCCATAGTGCCAGCGCTGTCTTCTTGTCGACCTTCCTTGCCTCCGAAGAGTTATCTGTTACCATTTTCGCGAGTTCCTTGTCGAAGTCCGCGATCGCGTCAGTCGACGGGCCCATGTTTTCTTGGAGACTGTTGCTGGCCGACAACACAACCGGCTGGTCCGGCGAGGGTGCTCGTTCATCAATCTACAGGCATTCAGTAGCTCTCAGGCGCTCATTGAAGTCCTAGGGCTCACTGGAGAGGATTGACCATCGTCGTCATCGTCGTCTTTATCAGTGTCCTGTCGACGTTCTTCGTCTTCGTCTCCACTTTCATCACCGCTGGCGCCAGCGTCGTCTTGTCCTAGTAGCCGTCAGAACCGACCGCACCCTGGGTTTCAAGATCTGACCTTGGAAGTCAACATTGAGCATCTCATCCACGGCGCTGGCCGCCTCTTCCAGGTTCTTCGCAGTCTCCATCTTGGGACGGACGGCCTGGAAACTGCCATCAGCTAGTGCAGCGTAAACAAGGGCCGGATCCAACCTCGAGCGAGTCGGTAACCATAAAGTCTACATCCATCGGCATAGCATCTTTACAGAACACGTAGTACTAGAGAAGAGAAAAAGATTAAGCATTTGGGGAATGGAGTAGGAGTAGCTGGTACCTGAAAGAAGACCAGGAACGTATCCAACTTCTTGCGCTGGGTGCCTCGATCAAAGCACATTCCACACGAGTCCAGAAGCGCGCAAACGAGGCGAACGCGGAAAAAATCGTCCGGCATGTCCAAGGGGCATGCCTGTTGTGGCAGCGGACGAGCCTCAGCTGAGAGCGATTAGGCGGACTGTCGCAGCGTGACAAATCACATACGATGACCAAACGTGACCAAGGACCACAGCGTGTCAAATACGATTCCGGAGCTCAGCAGCCTGTAGATGTAGAGCTCGCCGAGATACTTGATCGTGGCCATCCTCCTTTGATTCGTGTTGTAGATATTGTGCTCCAAGCCGCGACGCACGTCCTCGAGCACCTGGTCTACCACAGCAATGGCAAACTCGGGATGATATCGCTGCAGGTCGTATGTCAGCATAGCTAGCAAGCTAATGTTGCTATATTTGATCTTCCACGGCTTGGTGAATACTTTGTGCAGCAGGCGGCGGATCTCGAGGTCATCCCAGTCCAGCTTGCGGATCAACTTGAGCACTTTGTCGATCGTCTTCTTCGCCAACACATCGTAGATGAGATGACGAATGAAAAGGTCCATCGGTGTGCGATGTTTCTCTTGTCTGGGAGTTCGTTCCGGAGGATTGCACTGTCCGGATTCAGAACGGTTCGATCAACCAATGCTAAGCGACACATACCTGATAATACGCATTCTCAAGCAGGAGCAACTGTCTCTGGTCAAAGTGCTGCATGCTTTGCTTTCGACGCATCAATTCAAGCTGGGGAGCCGTCAACGAAGTTACTTTCGGTCACCATCAGGGTCCAGACCATCGTAGCAAATCGCTGCTGAGTCTCCTCATTTCGCAGAAGGAAACGACCACATCCTTCGAGCAATAGCGCCAGATTTTCGACATTCGTGCCCGAAAAATCATCCAGACACACTTTGAATATGTGCAAGATCAGATGAGGAGGAACAACCCGGAATTTAGTCAGATTGGATAAGAACATGATATTCTGCGGACAGTGTAAAAGATCATGATGATAGATGGGGATGGATTTTTACCTTCATCCGGACTTCAGCAAGTTCCTTCACAACATTTTTCTTGCGTTGGAGGTAACGAAACTCTTCATCAAGCTGCAGAATGTCGGAGGTCAAGTAGCGATCCTTCACGTGGCACAACACACACCACAGCGACCAGGTCAGTTCCGATGTCCGGCATGTACGTGTTCAGGGTTGCTACGAGCCGAGAATAATGCGGCAGCAAATCTGTTCTGTTCTTCGGAACTTGGCCCAAAAACTGCAAGCCTTTGAGGATGAAGATGGTGCAAGGCCGACAACGAAGCTTACTTTCACTAAACGCTTCCTCGCAGCTTTGGAGTTGAGAAACGCGAAATCAATAGCCGCTTGATCAATGAGAGCTCGATTGGTGGCATCGGGAAGTCGAACGAGGAGAGCAGTGAGAAGCTGAGATGGCCCCTGCGGTGCTAATTGGGGAGATGAGGTCGGGGATGTCGCCCGGGGAGTACCGGGAGTGGGGGTTTCCGCGCTTGACATGATGAGGACAGACATTCTTGGAGATATCAGGCACCTACCCCGTTTGTTCAACCTCCTCTTCATCCTGTATTTCCGAACTCGGCTGTACTTGATCAGAGGATGCTGCACCGGTGAGGTTCTGCAGTTCCTCCTCCAGCTTCCTGACTTCTTCTTTCTCCTGTTCCAATCTTTCCTTTTCCTTTTCCTTTTCCTTGTCCGCATCCTGGTCAGTGTCCGCCTCTTTCCCCTCTTTCGACTCATCCACCCCCAAGACGCCTCGGGGAATAAAGTCCTTCAGATCTTGGACATCCTCGAAGAATCTCCGTTCTTCCTCGTCTTCCCATTTCCCACCGGTGAATGCGCTTTCGTCCATCTCGTCCGAGATGTTGGTCGATCGGTTCGTCCCGATGAGAATGGAATCAGTCTTTTGCGAGTTTGTGGGCAAAGGAGGGACCGGGATGTATAGCAGTTCCGAGAGACTGAAAATCTGAATCAACTATTGAGAGAACGGGAAACAGCTGCTCACGATTGACAACTGGCCAGCAATTTCTCATAACCTTTCGTCATCTTTTCGTATGCCTGCTGGCGGTCTTCGAAAATTTCCCCAGAACGTATATAAGCCTCATGATTTCGTCGGTCCTGCTCTTGAAGGCGCTGCTGGGGATGGGCCAATGTGACAATAATAGCAGAGCCGGAGCACTGACCGTGTGCTCAATCAACAGCTTTTTACAGACACTGTCAAAGTACCCTTCGCACATGCGCTTGAACCTATCGCGAATGTCTTGCTCCACTAATTCCTCGCTAACTTTGGACAAGGCAGGGAACGCTCCATCCTCGGATACCTGCGAAGAAGCGGTTTCAGGAGTCAATGAAACCTGCTTAGATGCACTGGGGGCAGAGATGCCAAGAAATGGCCGAGAGTAAGATTTGAGGAATGTTGTCAAGAGCGGCAAGGAGGACAGAGACGGATCATTTGATAACTGTGCAAGAGTTAAACTCGAGAGAAATGCCAGGAGGAATAGACTTTCCAGCTCCTTAATGACTTTCATGATCCATTCTCCACCACTTCTTCCAGGACCATCGCGAATGATTCCGACCAATGCCAACTCGGCACAAACGCGAAGAATGGGGCGTTGTCGAGAAACACGAGAGCTGTCTTCCTTCTCACGCTGTTCCGGTGGAAGAGACGTGAGAGCCGCTCTTGAAGGCGAAGCAAGAGCAGCGGATAGAGCGGTAATCAGAGCTGGGGTGAAGGAAGATGGAAATCGGCGATGCAATAGTGAGATGATCTAAGTCACGATCAGAGGACGAGCTGCAGGTCGAAGAAGGTGCGCACCTCTACTCCACTCCATACATCCTTCTCTGTCTTACACCGTGAAAGACCCTCGACGGCAGCCCCAACGATTTCTTCCACGTATTTCTCCAGCGTCAATGACTCGATGTCCTTGATGATCTGGTCTCGGTATTCCAATGCCATAGACTGTCGGACGCGCTTTATGAGGGCGGTGTGGCGTCTGAGAGAGGAGTCCAGTTTCGAGAGCTCTGAATACGGTCATTCATCTGTGTAAACCGTGTACATCTCATCCCATCACAAGGTACGTACCCAGCGACGGAGGATTATCATTGAGGGTGCGTAATGAGAGCCGTTTAGCCAGCCGTACGCGTTCTTCATCAAGCCGCGCGGTAGACTGGGGCCCAGACACGGACGTGGTCGGATCCATGTGAGTTATGGGTAGGATTGTTCACTGCTACGAGGTTCGCTGAGCGGGTGCTAATCAAGTGTGGGCAAGTTCTCTCAAGTTGATCAAGCGGTGCTGGCTTGATCACTTGTCACACGGCGCATCAGAGGCTTGGCCCTGATTGATTCCCGCCCCTCCTGCCCGCCATCACGCTTTGAACCTCGGAGCTTTTCACTACAGGCCAGTTGCTATAGTGACCCGCTGGGCCTTGTACGATTCATGGGGCGGTTGAAGAGGGTCTCAGCGCGTGTGCTCGATTTTCCCACGCTTTCTTGCACAGACCATGCCCAGGCTACAGGCACAAGTTCGCGGAGCAACTGCCAACAGCCAACCAAGCGCAGCACTTGTCGTCGAAGCGGGCTTGATCGGAAGCTGTGCCCGGATCAATGCTATGGTGGGTCGCGTGTTCGCGTGATGTCACCCGAACTTAGTTACAACATCCTGCTCTCAACCACTGCCCTCCTTCCCCTCATTATCCTGTCCAGAGAGGTGCATGAACTCGACGATAACAAATGACGTTCCGCCGAAACACGTCCGTCACACGAGCCCTGTCATTGCCTTTATCATAGGCCTGTCCATCATTTTATTGGCCAGCATCCTCAATGCTGCGGGACTGAACCTCACCAAACTCGACCATGTACGGATGAGTGCTTTACCGAAATCCTCGAGACCCAAGGATTGGAAGCGTCCCTTATGGCTTCTCGGCATGCTACTCTATATGTGAGCTCACATACAATACTCTGTTTCGTTTGCTCTGACATTCGTTGACAGTTTATCTCAGCTAATTGGCAGTACTCTGGCTCTGGAGTACATGCGGGCGGAATACGTCGCGCCACTGGGCTCATCTTCCTTAATATTCAACTTTCTCTTCGCCCGGTTTTTGGTGGGAACCAGCATCTCCAGTCAGGACATCTATGTGCGTTCCTTTTCCTTCGATGCTTGAAAAATCACCAAATGTGCATTTAAAGGGGACAGTCGTAGTTATCCTTGGTGTCATAGGCATTGTCGCCTTCGGGTCCATCAACAGTGGCCTTGATACTGGATCGGATGTTAAACATCTTACAACGCTGTGGCGTCGCGGAGGTTGGCTAGGGTACTTCTTGGTGATGTCGTGCTCGCTCTGGTTGCTCTTGATCGGAACGAGTCAATTGGACGCGCTCCTGGCCGCTCGAGGCGACCTGAACTCGGCTTCATTGTCAGCAATCATACGGGCTCAGCAACCCTCTGAGCCTGACTCCCGATCCCAAAACCCCTTCTCCAGAGCAATGCTAGCCTTCCGTCGAAGCTGGCATGCACTTCTCCTTCGAATCGCTGAATGGTTAGAGTTGTGGACTGGACCCAAGGATGACACAACTATAGCATGGACTTTGGGGATTGGTTGGGCTTGCTGCGGCGGCGGATTAGCTGGCGGATGTCTTGTATTTGCCAAAGCAATGTGCGTTCGAAGCCATCTCTTTCATGTCCCCGCTGACATCTTGCAGGGTCAAGCTCGTATCCGGCACACTGTCGCATGAGCACACTGGGAACCAGTTCGGCCATGCAGCTCCCATCTTCACCATCATTTTTCTGGTGACCACCGCGGTGCTTCAAATCATCTGTCTTAACCGAGGGCTCAAGGTCTACGATTCAACGCTTGTCGTGCCCGTCTTCTACGGTGTCTACACTGCCTCAGGGTATGTCCTCCTTGTCGCCGTTGGGTTCGCACTCACCCGTTTCATCAGGTTTTTGGATTCTCTGGTGGGCGACATCTACTGTATAGGCATGAGCAGTGCGTACTGATCAACATTTCAGATCTTCAACAACGAAGTGGACTCTTATCAATCCTGGACGCTCTTCCTCATCTTTGTCTCCATCTTCATCCTCATATCTGGTGTTGTGCTATTGACACACAAAAAGCCGGAACCGGGGGCTCTTTCATCCCGCTCCGTCATTGCCCTAAACGAAGATGGATTCCCGCGCATACGACTACGCCAACGAGGATCTCGCAAAGCCAAGGCAGGGATGTTAGAACAAAGTGCGGATGATGACGAGGAGACGATGGTTGGGGGCGAGGAGCAAGCGTTGTGGGACATCGGTGATGCCAGTGACGACGAGAGCGATGATGGAGAGGGGCAGGATGAAGATGTCGACCATCCACAACATCCTCTACATAATGGGCCAACGAGGCACACGCCCAAGACCTCATCACTCGGTGAGGAAGGTGTGCAGTTACTGCCCAGTACGCCGCCTCCTGCCGCACACCCTACCGGAGAGCACTTGCTATAACTGTAATGATATATACTCTACACTTAATACAGAGAGCCCCATAGCGAACAACCATCGATGTTCAAACGCTCAGCCTACTGGGTTGAATTTGATTCTAACGTCTGCAATCTCCCGACGGCCCTCCTTGAGCGTTGCGACAATCTTGTCCTCCAGCTGGCTCGCGTCGAAGACGGAGATGGACCGAGGGACCTCGGCGGTCAGATTCACATAGACCAGCGAGCCGGCGCTCCGGCCATGGAGGTGTCGCACTGCGAGCAGGGAGGGGATACTGACTGATGAAGCTGATGAAGCGAGTAGCGGATCAAGCGTTCGTCGCATGGTCTCTCGCTTTTCGAGGGGGATGTTTGCGTCCGTCAAATCGCCCCACGCGCCGTACAACAGGCCAGCTCCTTGTCTCATGATGACCAGCGCCACCAACATACTTGCTATGGGATCGAGAGGGAGGGCGGGCCACCACCAACTGCCGAGGATAGCGAAGAATGCAACCAGACTGCCGTAGACATCCGTTCGGTGATGGATGGCGTTGGCCAGAAGCACCGGGCTGTTCTCTTCATCAGCTACCCTTTTCGTTATCCGATACAGCCACTCCTTCGAGACGATTCCCAGTGCCGCGAACCATAACGCGTTGGGATCGACACCGTGCGAATGGGAGTGTGCATGCGCGTGCAGATGAGAGTCCTGTGAAGCGGCGGGGGCGGCAGATGTGACGTTCGCCAGGAGTTCCTGCAGAGGCCCGGCGGGAAGGGTTGATGCTGTTTCGGTCAGGGATTGGAGAAGGAGGTGGTATGAGTGGAATCCGATGCCAAGCGCGCCTCCAATCAGAAATAGAGACACTGTTGTGGTCCCCAACGTTTCAAACTTGGCAAAACCGAGAGGGTACCTTTCAGTGGGCGGCTAGAGCGTTTTGGAAGACATGAGCACATGAAGCGGTGATATGGATTGCGAAAGTCGCGTGCCTTGCGTGAAAGTCGCCAGCAGACGAGAGTGACGCCATCCCCGAGTAGATCTGCAGAAGATTAGGTCTGACTTCCGAAGTCGGGGCAGCGAGCGCACCACTCAGGGAGTGTCCGGCGTCAGCGACAAGAACTGCACTATGCGTTAGATAGCCAGCCACGCCTTTGATGGCGGTTAACCCTACAAATAATAATAAGAGAGTGCGAAGTCGTATCACGGCGACACGCACCTATGTTGGCGAAGAGGCCTAACAGTATCAAGTCGCGTCGGACAGAAGGTTAATGCCGGACGCACCTATTAATGTAATTTGACTCCCCCGGTCTCCAGCGCCTTGAAATGCCTTCATGATTTTCTCCGCACTGTCCGTACCATGGGTATGAGACGAGAACACCGAGTGCGAGTGTGAATGCGAGCGGGAGTTGGACTGCGAGTGCGCATGGCCGTGATCGACGTCATGCTCGTGGGAATGGCCGGGACTGCTTCCTTCGGATTTCTTTGCTGTACGACGCATACTGAGAGAGAACGAGCGCGGGAAGCCGTTCAGTGGACGAGGCCTTAACCAACCCGAATAGCTTGGATGGAGACGTGGTTTCATCACATTCATGAATGACATGATCAACACAGGAGCGATCATGTGACGATTCTCCACGTTCTCGCGCAACCACCGATTGCGATTGGACCATTACAGACTCTCAAAAACTTCTACTTGGCATGAACTTCCACGCGACTTCTACGCGTGACTTTGCCTCCGTCTCTCCCCGCCCATCTGCCCCTTTCGTGCGCGTTCGTGTCGCGCGTTAGCGAAGTGGACACAATCGTTTCGTCTGACGCGTTTCTTTGAGTGAAAGACCCTCTTCAACCGGGTAATGAATATGGAGACCAGTTCGCCCTCGTGTCCTGACTTTTTTTTCGCAAGTTTCCTGATTTGTCGCACTCATCACTGAGCTGAGTAATGGCATCAGGAGAAATTACACTTTCTTGTCTGGTGCGTCTGACTCTCAGTCAATCCAGGCTGAACAAGTCACATCGATCGCTCTTGCCTGACCGTCCAGTGGCCAATATCCCATCTCACAGTCATAGTCATAGTTCTACCACACATGTCTTTGATGACCATCCGGTCTCCACTCTCCAGGTGACAACGCGTTCTTGACGATGTAATCGCACCGGATAAGAAACAGGCCCTTGGCTCATCACTTGGACATGAACGTTGCCCCCCCGAGTCCGACTTCCAGAGGAAATCTCTGCCGACTCGTGGGGGGAAACGCTGGCCGCGGCTCCTAATGTATCCTCTGTCGTGCACCGGTTCTGACTGCTGTGACTGAGAACGCAGGTGGATTCAGATGTATAATTTCGGATGGATCGCGCAAGTCTCACGACTGGCGAACAGACTTTGATCAAACCCGCTTGTCCCGCAGGCTGAGCCGTCAGCGTCGAGTGTGCCCTGACCATGCGTCTCTGCGCAAGGTTCTTACTATCGCCTCCGCTTGAGGCAATTCAAGATTCTTTCCGAATTTGACTTTTATTCTTTAGTGATAGCCATCCTTCGGCCTGGAAGATTGCTCAAGTACGAACCTAATACGACTTTCGTCCGTAGCTTAATTGAGAACGGTCATGTGCATACTCCTTCCCTCCGAGTGGTTCCTGAGAGAACACTGAACAGAGCCCATGATGAGTGGATTGAACGACGGAGGACACGAATAATCTGACACATGAATGAATGCATGATCACAGCAGAATTGACTCTGTATCTGGTTCAGCCTCATGTCTAACCAAGGGAACTTGAGGAGACAAGCAGCAGTGAAATATTGCGACGTGGCCATGGACGGTGACGTCTTGATATGAAAGCCTCGAGGTCCAGGAGTCAAGGTTATGTTATGAGACTAGCCAAGAGAAGCGACACCACGTGCCTAATTTTGCTTTCGACGACCTCGATCTCCGTGAGTGCAATACTCCAGCCACTCGAGCCTCGTTTCTGACCTCCACTCAGGTGCAAACCAGCCGTCCTGGCACTTCCAATTGTTCGCCCAGACATCCCTATTACGAATATCCTCATTAATGTGTCATTCCAGAGTCTTCAATGGAGGCAGAACCGCCCCCCGCGGCGGAGGTGCGCACGCCGACTCACAACCTGCCGGAAGAATCTCTCCCGCCCTCCTCCTTCGACCAGCGTGATGTGCGAAAGAATGCTGTCGCACGGCTCAAACGAGCGGCGTCTCTGCCACGAATGAAAGACGGCCGACGCCCTCCACCGATGCATCCTGAGGGCGTCAGCGAAGGGGAAAAGGTCAACACGGATGATGAACGTCAGGTGGACACAGACACTCCTCCCCCGCCCCCCGAAGATTGCACAGCTGAAAACTCAGCGGTGGCTGAGAACGGTGACACTGTTGGCGCAGCGGTCAAGGCGGATGCAGCAGACATTGATGCGGACAATGAGGCGGACGGCGGAGATGATCCCACGGCTCATTTGGAAACAAGTTCTCGGCCAAAACGACGCTCGCGTTCACGAACTCGGTCCCGCGGATCCAAAGATCTCAAGCTGAAGCGAGCTGCATTATCCCCTGCTCCAAGTCCTCTTGTGCCCAGTGATTCTTCGCAAGACGAGGGAGCTTCGTCCCCTCTCGCACCGTCATTAGCCTCTCCGATCCCGTCCAATCTCGCTGCGCTGCAGCGATCACGACTTCTCCGTTCCCCAACGCCCACATCGAACACGCGGCCGCCGACACCCAACCTGCCGTCTCTCGAGGACTTACAGCGTGGGCTTTTCCGGTCTAACAGCGTAGGATCGACTTCTGTGGGTCGCATAATGGCCATGCACAAGTTGACGGGTGGAACGGAAACTTATGAACCTTCGCCGGCGCCCGCAACACCGCCCCTGCCGGGAAAACTGGGCCGTAACAACACGGTGTCGGGTGGAGAGCGGAGCGCGGTGAGAGAGTTTATGCTCAGTAGGCTTGGCGATAGACTTGCCAAAGGAACGGATGCCGAGCCGGTCAGTGAACGGGAAGAATACTCAGCGCCTTCGCCCTCGCCCACCCCAAGGAAGAAGCGAAGACGATCGCGGCGGGGCTCAACCAGTGCCAACGCTGGTGTTTCGGACTCAGAGTTCATGTCGACCTCACCGAATACCCCGATCGTCCCGTCCACACCTCTGCCTTGGGAGCAACTTCCGGAGCCTGTACCTCCCATCGCGGGCCCTAGTCGAGCAACGAGTCCGCGTGGTTTGTTTTCAGATCGTGAAGAGACGTCGTCTCCGGCCCTAAACCGCGATCCATCCCCCGCCCTTGCGCCATCGTCTGCCAGGGACAGTCCGGCATCCCATGATCGACCACGGCGGCGGAGTGTCCTCGTCGAGGACGACGACGATCGCGTCCCATTCCGCCCTGGGCCTCCCGTTGTGGCTGCGTTGCCTAGGACGCCGCCAGTGTACTCGGTGCCTGTGAGCCGCCAAATGACGCCAGAGTTCCCGATGCGCCACAGTCCGTTCGCACGGCCTCTGGAGGAGCGGGTGTCACGTGAAGAGGACGAGGAGAAGGTCTTGTATCCAGGCGATTCGTACGACGGCTACGATGACAACTTTCAGCGCGAAATTAGTTGGGTTGCAGATCCCCGTGAGTTGGATGAATGGTTGTATGCGTGTAACTGCTGACTCCGAACAGTGCCTGAGATCATGGATGATGATGTCGAGGAAGAAGACTACGGGGTGCCGCAGCCGTCATCCCCCGAGTCCTCATCACCTCCGCGCGAACTATACGACGACAGCTCTCCACAGAACTCAGTCATGATCGAGCCCGAGACGTCCCCGGAAATAGCGGCAGCACAAGTTCCCCCTTCTCCGACATCGGTCGCGGGGTTATCTCAACTCATGCGCAGTGGCAGCGAGGACTCGACGTCATATCCGCAGACAGTTCCTTTGACAACTGACCTGGAGTGGGATGACGGCAAGCGCTGGGAGGCCTCGACCAGCAGCAGCACATGGGACAAAATAAAGACGACGTTTAGCCGCTCTGGCTCGGCATCGGGCAGACGCTCGCGCTCGAACAGCATTGTCACGCGTGACAGACGCGACCACACCGACTCCAGTGCCAGCAGAGAGAGCGGCGCGTCGCTCACCAAGGGAGAGCTCAGTCCTGCCCTGATGAGCCCGCCGATCATGATGCAAGCGTCGGCATCTGCTTCGGCTGTGTCCCTGTCGGCGTCCGGGTCCGCGTTTCCGGCCCCGTCCTCTGCTGATCTGCTCAAATACCAGAATGCGAAGCTCTTCCCGTTCCCTGGCATGAAGAAACTGGAGGAACAGCAGCGGAGTCGTAAAGGGAACTTGACCCCATCCGCATCCAGCCCGGACGTGGCTCTCTTCAGCGGATACGAGACAGAAGGGACTCAGAACTCGATCGCATCCTATGCAAACACGCCTCTCCAGTCGCCAGAGCATCGCGATCGCAAATTGTCACATCAGCTGTCGGACTCGCGCTTGCTGGAGCGTTACACGTCGCCCTACTCGTCTCCGCCGTCGTCTGTGACGCCATCAGCGCCACCACAGATGGAGTACTTTACGCTGCCGCCGCTGTCTCCGAGCTCTTCGTCTGTGCTTCCGATGACACGAGCCGCTGTGAAGCAGTGGCTCAGCCGACGTCAGAAGTCGTCTCAGAATAAGCTCTCCCTCACTGATCTGACTAAAGGCAAGGACTGGGAGGACGACCTGGAACTGCCGGAAAGCAAGACTGTGACAGCCGCGACTTCACCTGTGACCACGGTGACTACCCCAGAACCAAGAGAACCGCCGCCACCCGTTGACATCACGCCCAAGGCAAGGATGATGGCCTCGCCGCCGCTGTTCGACGAAAACTCTCAGTTTTATTATAACCCCCGACCGGCCATTCCATCGCCACCGGATCCTCTGTCGGCAACTCCCGATCCCGGCTCGTCTCTGAGCGACTATGCCCGAGGGTCGACATCCGAGTCATCCTCGACTAATTCGTCACACTACTCCGACGGCGGCCACGTCGAGTCACAAGGCTCTCTCATCCTGGAGAAGCTGGAGGAGAATCTGGCCCGCAGCTCGCGCAGCCCGATGTGGGCTTCGGTCATCGATGAGCCGCCGCGTCGGTTCCTGATGTCGTCTGCGTGCTTGCAGGTGGTCAACGCCAACACCATCAAGGACCGATTCTTGTTTTTGTTCTCAGACATTCTCGTTATCACCAAGCCTATCATGCATGAGAACGGCAGCTTTGTTGATGCGCAGAAGCCGATGTTTGCCGACCGACGATACATCGTCAAAAGCATCGTCCAGATCAGCCAGATGCGGTTCAATGCAGACCGCACGGATCTGCAGACCAAGGCCAGCAACTACAGCAGCACGCCCCGCAGCCAGTTGATCCGCGGCTTCATCTCGCACTTCAGCACCGACATGGATCAGGCCGTCTCCGCTTTACTGTCTCAGGCGAATCTACACAGCGACCCCACCGTCCTCGGCCACTTGATGTTCAAGACAGTCGATCTCGATCGGGCTCGATTGGGAGAGTATCTTGCTCGGCGGACGTCCAAGCTGGTCCTCAAGGCTTATCTGGACAGCTTCCACTTTGTGGGCGTGCGCGTCGACCGAGCGTTGCGCGCCTTTCTGCTCTCGCTGGTCCTGCCGGAGCCGCCGGAGCCGCATTCCAAGGCGCCAGGCAACTCCGCATTCAACTACATGATCGATGCCTTCTCGCACCGTTGGTACGAGGCCAACGCGCGCATCGTCGTGTACGACAAGGATCTCGCAAATCAGCTGGTCCATGCTCTGCTGCAGCTCAACGTCTGGATGCACGGCGGGTTGGCTTGTGAGCCCGGTCCCACCGCATTGCCGCGGCGGACTATGGCTCCCAAAGACTTCATCAACGCTTTCCGCCAGTTCGATCAGCGTGGGCTCATCGCTGATGAGACTCTGGAGGCTGTCTTCAAGTCTGTGAGAGAGGAGCGACTGTCCCAGGCCCGGATTCCACACGGTGTCCCCGATGTTCCGATCTTGCTGAAGCGGCCTCTGCCTGGCCGTTTGATCTACAAAGTTTCCTCCGATCCCATTGTCCTCAGGATCCCACAGGCCGACCCCGATCTCGTGATTCACCTGTACGGCCAAGATCTTGTCTTCGACCCTCCGCGCATCTCGTTCTCGCGGTCCGGAGAAGCCTCCTTCAGAGTCACCGCGACGTCCTTGGGCACCAAGACGATGATTCTGTGTCGTGGCGGTCCCAATGCCCTCAAATACTCGGGACTGCCTCTGAGTCATCCGTTCCTTGTGGAGCGTGCGTTCATGCGCAATACATTCGAGATTGCGTTTCTGAATCACCACGGACTGAAGCGACGGTACATGTTCAGCTTCGACGACCCGCTCATTCGCCACCAATGGGTAGTCTCGCTGCAGCGCCAGCTCGACAGTGGCTCGTCGATCTCGTCCAGCTCGCTGTCGCAGCTGTCCCAGAGCGTGCCCAAGTTCCATCGTGCGGCTGAGATCATGGCTTTGAAGGCTCTCCAGCAGACTTTGATGGGCTGTGACACCACCGACGCCAACGCTCCTCCGCCAGTCCGCTTATCTGTGCAAAAGCTTCGACCGAACGGGTTGTCTCGGCTGGACGCCAATGCGTCTTTCCGGTTCCCTCCGGAATCTCGCTTTGTCGATCACGAGCAGAACCCTGCCCAGCCTGGGCTCCATATCCGGTCCAAGTCGCGCAGCAAGGTGTATCACAAGGACGGTGCGGGCAGAAATGAGCTCGAGCTGAACGATGTCGGCGATGCCGAGGTTCCAGATGAGCACGGCGAGCAAGATCCCACGGCGCGTGTCGATGGTCCGCTGTGGACATCCCACGAATTGGTCCTTCAATGTGCACAGAATAGTTCTATCGTCACCGTTCTTTCTTATCTGCAAGTGGGCGCTCCAGAAAACGGATTTCATTAATCGGATCTGGTCAGTCCCTCGCTCTAGTGTGTGTCACCCAACAGAACGCTCATTTTTCACTCAGCTATTCTATTATTCCCTCTCCTCTGTGCTCTCATCTGAATCCATGTTGTGCAAACCGCAATTTATACGTGTTTAATATGTACCTGCATTATCTAGACGTCCTGCAGCAATCGCATCGTAAGCTAATTACAGACCACTCAGCTTTGTCTGTATTTGCCGATTCCCGACCTCTCTCTCGGTTCGCCATCAACGCAATCACCACTGTACCTTAGATGCGCCCTCGGCAGCGCTAACCCCACACTAATATTTCTGTCGTCGGCGCCTGTCTATCTATACCGTATACGCATTACGCATCGCTCCATGTCCCGGTCCCGCATCCATGCTGATGCGAACACCCGGCTGGGCAAATCATGGTTCGACTACGAGAATTCCCGGATCGATTGGAGCTCGCCTGAGAGATGGGAGATCGTACGCCGGTTGGGAGGCGGAAAGTACTCCGAGGTGCGAGGCCTGTCGCGGTGCGCAGGTGCGGGGGAGGAGCTCATCTTTCGCGCTTCGTCTTTGTCTGCAGGTTTTCGAGGGGGTGGACATGGCCAATAGCGACCGCTGCGTGATCAAGGTGCTGAAGCCCGTCGCGGCGAAGAAGATAAAGCGCGAGATCAAGGTCCTGCGTAATCTGACCGGGGGGCCGAATGTGATTAGTCTGTTGGATGTCGTACGAGATTGTACGCTCGCTTTACTCGGTTTTGTCTCGCGTACTGACCACTGACGATGGTTTGCAGCCTCGGGGCGATATCATAGTCTCGTTATGGTGCGGAGAATCATTCCGGACGCTCATTCAGGTTCGTGCTGACTGTCGTCAGGAATACGTCGAGAATGCGGACTGGAAACGGTTCTTGTCTGGGGTGACCGAGTCGGACGTAAAGCATTACACCTTCCAGCTTCTCATGGCGCTATCGTATGTCCACGAGCATGGGGTTATGCATCGGGATGTCAAGCCGGTGCGTTCTGCACGTCAGCTCCGCTTATCTCGAGACTGAGACCATTTTCAAGGCAAATGTAATGATAGATCCCAAGACCCGCAAGGTGAGCCATGTTGACCTCGATGCAGAGTACGACCGGTTTATCGTCGTCTGCAGCTACGGCTGATCGATTGGGGCCTGGCCGAATTCTATTTTCCTGAAACTGACTTCGCGATCCGGGTGGGTTCGCGGTATTACAAAGCCCCAGAGCTATTGGTGGGCTATAAACGATACGATTACAGCCTGGACATGTGGAGTGTCGGGTGTATGTTTGCTTCGATGGTCTGGATATTTTTGCTCATCTGCTGCGGCTGCGTGTTCTGACCTTGGCATCGCCAGATTTTCCGCAAAGAGCACTTTTTCCGTCAGTCGTCTACCTTTCGACTCGAACGCGTCTCGTAACGGGATATTGATCAGGTGGTTCCGATAACGACGACCAGCTGCTCAAGATTATGCGTGTTCTGGGGACAGAAAAATTCGACATCTATCTCAAAACGTATCATATTCCCTTCGAGACTGAATCCGACGCACTACTTGCTAGGTGGGTGTGCCGTTCAATCTGCCTTTCTGAATCTCACGTCTCTAGTTATGGCAAACAATCGTGGACTCGGTTCGAGACAGCAGAGAACCGGCATCTCTTGCCGCCTGAAGCGCTCGATTTCCTGGACAAACTGCTCCGATACGACCATCAGCAGCGACTGACCGCACAAGAGGCCCAAGCTCATCCTTACTTCAGTATGTTGCCCACCAGCTAGCACAGCCCCTCCCTGAGCCACGCCAGACTCGGTCCGCCTTGATGCGGTGTTGGGCAAAGACTATGTCAGTGATTCTGGGTTTGCTTCTGCGTAAATTGCCGATGGTTCCTATGTAGCCTTAAATGATTATGCCCATGTATGAGTAAGTACTTAGTGTCAGCTAGATGCACGTTTTTTCTGTGCTTGCGGTAGATCACTGGCGCAGTCCCAATATGGAACAGCCGCAAGTTTCAGGCATGGGCCTATGACATGCACTTTCAATGAGTTTTGGCATCCTAAATACCAGCAGAACAGGCGACACGGCTCCATCTCATATCGACGACCATGGCTGACCGCTCCCGCACATCGATGCCCGTAACAGCTAGCACCAACAGCTTCCGCACTCGCAGGCACTCCGAGTCGGATCCGCTCCAGCCATCGCTTTGGAGCCGACACCGCGAGACATCCGTCTGGGTCGAGCACCAGAGCTTCGCCTGCCCCCGCGGCCAGAAAACAGAACAGTGGGTCCTCGACCAGCAGTTCTTCCACACCTACGAGGTATCCCTGCGACCGGATGGTGGTTCCCCTCCGTGGCAGCGCCGGCGGGCCGAAGCCGAGGCTCGGCTCGTGGCGGCGGCGCAGTACCGCCGGGACCTCGAGCGGGCGCGCAAAGTGCAGGAAGAGCTCACGCGCATCCAAGCGCGGATCTACCGCAAGCTGGCGCTGGACCGGCAGATGGCCGCGGCCGAGCGCCTGCACGCGTCCGTCAGCCAGCAGGAGCGCGAGAGACGGAAGAGGGATCGCGCGGACCGGGCTGTCCGGGAGGCCTGGGCGCGGTACGAGAAGGGCTGGGAGGATATCAAGGCTTCGGGCGAATGCTCTGGGGGGCAGGGCCGCCACCACCTTGCGTTCGCCGCACTGCCGTGGCCGGTGCTGTGCGTGGCGCCGGGTTTGGAGGATCTGACGTCCAGGAACGTGGCGGAGCTCTTGCTCGCACCGTGTCATTCGCAGAGGCTGAGCGTGAAAGAGCGAATCCGGACGGCACAGCTCCGGTGGCATCCGGACAGATTCCGGCGCATTCTGGACAAGATCAAGCCATCGGATAGAGAGGCAGCGGAGAAAGGCGCGGTTTTGGTTGCCGGCTGTCTGAATGATTTGCTCGCGAGAGAGGCGTCAAAGTCTCCCTAGATGACGATTTGAGTACCGCAGTCCTTGCAGGCAAGGAATTGCCCCAATGTAACCAAGCAACAGCAAATACATGTATAAGTATGTACGCCTGTCATCCGTAAATAGCAATTACATCCATTATACCGAGAAGCGTGACTGAGCTGACTCTGGACCCAATTCTGTTTCCGTCGTGAAAACTGTTTGAGCAACATATTTCCACAACTCAGATGGTTTGTTGACCCTGGAAAGACTGTGAGAAGAGACCGTTGGCTGAGATGAATATTCACGTCTTCAAGGTTAGTGGGAGGTTGTAGTCAGCTGGATGGTCCTGCCACTCTTCAGGCTGTGTTTCATCGTCGATGCCGAAGCCTAATCTCCAAGTGATCCCCATGTAGCTGCCGGATCTCAGTCCCAGAGTGCACCTCCATCTGACGGCGGATTACCTGTTTGTCACGCTTGCCACAGCATTAGTTGGAGCAATACTAACAGCCTCTTTCAGACTTACAAGTCAGGAGGGGCGAGGGTGTGATTCTTGAGTCCGGTAGACTGGTCATGCCGTCAATAAAGAGAGAGAGAGTTGCTCCAAGTAAGAGACTGCTCGCCTTGATCTCCTTGTCGATTTCGACGTAATTGGTGCTCTGCCCGCCAACGACCCCGCAATATTGTTGCCTCACATCTTGGTGGCCACCGACAACAACGGTTTTGACGCCTTCATGCTTTGCCATTGTGATCTATGCGCCAATGAGCAGCAGATCGTCAGCGCTGAAAGTGCGACGAGCTACTCACGCTGAACAGTGAACACGAGCTTCCGCACCGTCCGTTTGACATGATCACCACATTAGTTGGGTCGAAGAGGGCTTCCTCGGGCGGTGCCATCTCGAACGGCTGGCATTCATTGCCGAGTCGGGGACTGAATGTGTCTTCGCGCCCGTTGATGGTCAGATTGACCGTCGGCCTGAGCCAGTGCGAGTCAACAGAGAACGGGAGATGGGTCGCATTGTGCCAGTGGGTCGGGTTGTAGGAGAGTAGTGATTCCGGATCGCCGCCTTTGTTTACGGCTTCCACAATCAGCTGGGCCAAGGACGTGCGCGGATGCTTGTGTATAGCCCGGCTTGCGGCTCGGTGCTTCAATGGAGACTATCAGCGACATGAATAGGCTGCTCGCAAGGCTCACGTGTTCTTTGGTCCGACAATCTGTCAGAGATCAGAGAATGCTCAGAGTAACAGAACGACTTCAGTCGCTTACAATCCGATGCAGCCACTGTCCAATCCGTCAGTTGAAACATTCCCCTGCACCAGTGTGAACTCACGTGAGCAATACAGATATACCCTCCGCCATTGTTCGACTGAAGTGGGTCAGTTCGCAGTCGAGATGCCAGAAGCCTTGACGCACAACGTCGACAACCAGCCGCTCTGCGCCACCCGCCTTGAGCGCCTGTAATCCCAGCAAGAGACTCTCCATGAATTTCTCGAAACTGGGCGCGGAGAAGCTTCCCAGAGCGAGCACACCGGTGAGCTCGTCCTCGAGGAGATAGAATTGTGCCACGGAATAGCTTTCATTGAGAGCCACCGGCGTCGGAAGCATCTGTTCCGGGAGATCGGCATTGATGAGCGGAGCCAGATCCAGCATCTCGTTGACGGCGTGTCGTTTCCCACGCATCTTCTGCTGTTGGAGAACAGTTGGAATGGGCAGCGGCGGCGCGAGAGAATGTTCCAACACGGCGGCGGGGTCGTACAAGTCGTACCCGTTGCTGCTCTTCTTGGCGACACAGTTGTTTGCTCGGTAAGAGTTCGAGTCAGTAAAGTTGCTGGACGCAGAACCGAACCGAGAACGGTAAGGGATCTGGGGCCCTCAGTCGCGATTCCACGTTCGACGGCTACCGCTCACCGTGACATGCTCGATGGAGCTGCTGTTGACAAGCCTGATAGTGAGTTCGACGGAATCAGTCAGAGGGTGAATATGGGTCGCAAAATTGCCCAGGTTGTACGACCAGCCGCCTGCGACCCTCTGATAGTTAGAGAAGAAACTATCCTCCGTCAGAAAATCCTTTATCATCTAGCTTTGGGACCGTTTGACGCACAGATTTTGGCGGGTGCCAAAGGCTTGATATCCACCGACCACTCTCGCGCTGCTGTTCACGGCGACAAACGGATCCTGTCCGTTTATCTCCAAGACTTCGGCACCTGAAAGAGACTCCAGCTGTCCCTTGAACGGACTGGAAAGAGCCTGTTGCCAGAAATCGATCTGATCGGGAAACTCGGCTGACGCAACGGTGAAGGCCTCTGGCGCGATGTGAACGGCCTGTGTACCGTCGGCAGAGGTCAGAAGAACGAGAGGTGTTGGAAGATAAGTGACATAGAGAGCTGAGTGTCGAGGGTTATCAAGTGACCAGCACGAACGGAGCGCCTCTCACAGTCGTAGCACATGTTCAGAACAGCACAATGTCCATCGTTGAGACGCCTGAATGAGCTGTAGACGTCGAAGTGGAGAGAGAAGTCAGAGTCGTAGGATGTCTGAGCAATCCGCGCGAGGTCGGCCACGATGTCTTCGTGCACTTCATCCTGGAACGGAGCTGGGGCAAGAATCTGGTAGTTTACCGACGTGTGGAAAGCCAGGGTCTTGTTCAGGGTATCAAGCGTCTGTCACGGTAGCCTGAACACGCGTGGAATTGATATCTGGAAAGCCATTTACGCTAGCTTTGACTGCTTCGTCTACGGGGAACGAGAACATGCAGGCGCGTGCCTCGGCCGGCGACACCCATTTCTGCCCCGCGATCGCTGCGCATGGGTCCTTCTCCACCGGAACCGAGAGGGAGGCGGAGACCTCGAGTCCGGCTAGAAATAGGGTGCTGAAGACGACCAGCATTGCCTCGAGATAGCTTGGTACAAGTAGTAGCAGTGACAGCCGACTCGAACCTGAGAGTCGTCCGGACTCGGAACACTGATGTGATGATCAACTTCCATATGGGGCATCGATAGTTGTTTCCCTCCTGCTCTCACCTGTAGCTCGCGTTTGATCCCAATGGACGTGGATATGGAACCCGTAGCCTCTGGCTCCGATATACGCGTCGACGAAATACCTGATGCCCCTATTGTTCGAAAGCCACGATCACCCTCCCCTCCGCCCCGCGCGTCCTCTGTCCCTCTCAATCCAACTTTCGCCACTGTCGGCTTTGTCTATTCCGCTGAGATGATGGCCCACCGCTCCACGTCTCAGCAAGGTCATCCAGAGGATCCAGAGCGGATAATGAAGATCTGGGACGCGTTGACGGCGAACCACTATGTGAAGCGGGGCAAACGGATCCCAACGCGCATGGTCCAGCGCCATGAAGCCTTGCTAGTCCACAGCGATGATCTCTGGGACAAGGTCGAAGCGATACAACGTAAGCCTGAGCGTTGATTTAACGCGCGTTTGTTGAGCTCTTCCTAGATATGTCGTCGCAGGACATTGCAGAGACAGAAAGGTACTACGAGCAGCTTTCGCTGTACGTGTGCCAAGCCACGACGCGTTCAGCTCGATTAAGCTGCGGCGGGGTCATTGAAGCGACGCTTGCTGTGGCCCGCGATGAGCTTCAGAAGGCTTTTGCGGTCGTAAGACCGCCAGGCCACCACGCTGAGCCGGACGAACACATGGGGTTCTGCTTCTTTAACAACGTCGCCGTTGCCTCTAGGGTCGTCCAACAACTGACGCCTGTCAAGAAGATTCTCATTCTTGACTGGTATGTTTTCTTGGTGCTAGTTGTGCGCGATGCTAAGCGCATTCAGGGACGTTCACCACGGTCGGTGCCCGGTCCTCACTCTCAAATTCAGCTTGCTGCAGCAGTTTAGGCAACGGCACGCAACGGGCGTTCAATGATGACCCGTCTGTGTTGTACATTTCGATCCACCGCTACGAGAAGGGTGGTTTCTATCCCTGCGGGCCGTTTGGGGGCCTCCAATCCTGCGGCGAGGGACCTGGCCTCGGCTTGTACGTCCTTGTTTGCGTTTCTGCGTATTGGAAGTGACGAAGGATGGCCAGTTCGGTCAACATACCATGGCCAGAAGCTGGGATGGGGGATGCCGAATATCTGCACGCGTTCCAGCAGATTGTGATGCCGATCGCCATGGAGTTCGCGCCAGACCTGGTCATCAGTGCGTTCCTTGATCAACTCCGACGCTTGTTTATCACTATTCGTGTGTAGTCTCTGCTGGTTTCGACGCCGCGCACGGTGACGAGCTTGGAGAATGCCACGTGACGCCTGCAGGGTACGCTCACATGACTTATATGCTAGCTGGTCTTGCAGGCGGGCGAATGGTCGTTGCTTTAGAGGTTGGTGTGTTTCTTTCGTGTGAGGGCTTCCTTGACGAGAGCGGCGCAGGGGGGTTACAATCTCGACTCGATCACCAACTCTGCTTTGGCTGTGACAGATATCATCATGGGTGGGAGTCCTCCAGAGATGAAGAGCATGGTTCCCAGCGACGTTGCCGCCGAGACGATCTGGCTCGTCGCCCGCGAGCAAAGCAAATACTGGAAGAATGTCAATCCCAGAGCCTGTGAACCCGAGAAAGGCAAGTCAAGCGGCTGGTCCCGTTCTCCAGCTTGATGCCCTTTTTAGAGGTCGCCTCGGTGGCCCATTCCATTCTAGGTCAGTCGGGTACAACTTGTCTTTAAACGCGTCTCACGAAGTACACAGAGGTTCTCAAGCTGCATCGGCAATACTACATGCACACAGCGCATGACATGATGTCAGTCCCGTTAGTTTCACCCAGCTTGGAACAGCTCTTTGCTGCTCAGGTCATGTGCACGTGAGCAGTTTTCTCTCTCCCATCTCCTCCCACACAACACTCACTGGATCAGGCCGAACATATTTGGGAGTGAGACACTGGTGCTGCTTGTGCATGAATTGTCCGTGCGCCATTTCGTGGGGAAAGGGTCTGTTCTGATGCCCCAAACAGCGGCAATCTGCGAGTGGAGCTGGCGTCGTCTTTGACCTGCGAGGTCCAACTGGAGCGCTCTTATCTGGTCCGTGCCCGAGTATGCAATCGGACGTCAGCTGACGGATAGGGCCAGATCGATTTTGCCAAAGACATGCTGGAATGGGCCAAGGAGCAGCAATATGCTGTTTTGGACGTGAACATGTATCCCAAACCTTCAGACCAATCGGCGGCGGCACGTGCTTCCGAATTGAGGGGTCCTGCGACTTGCTGATCAGCTTTGTCTAGTCAATGAATGAAGCGCGTCGGGATCTTGCTACGTATCTTTGGGACAACTATGTGCAGTGCGTGACTGATTGACTGATCATGCAAGAGGCTGCTGCTGACAGCCACAGACTATGCAATGCTCAGACTATCATTTTGATTGGACATGGGCATGGATGTCGATATCTCATGGATCTCATTGATTCTCGTGGTGGGCATCTCGTTCACCGCGGAGGACCCTCTTTTTCTAACACATGTTCTAGCCTCGACAGTAATGAAAACAGTCAAAGCTGTGGTCCAAGTGATGGGCTATGGATCCTTGCGACCACCAAAGAACACGCCAGAACTCAGGCAGTGGTACAGAGAGGTAGATTCCGTGATCTCTTCATCCTGGGTAAAGTTAAACATGCCATCCAGAATTGTTTGATTGCGCTTCCTTCGAATCACGAGATCTACGACCCGGTCGTGAAAGACAAGGAGAAGCGCAAACACGGGACGCTATTGCCCGTGGACGAAGTCAGGACAGTCAAGCTCATCATCAAGGCCTTCCCTGCGATCAAAGCGTTTATCAAGGCGCAGACGTTAAAAGTATCATGATTATAATAGTATATGTACAGTGTATTCCTCCGCAGTCGATAGTGCTACAGTTTGCAACAGGGTATCGTGGCTAAACAAGTTCCGGCTCGCCGCGCAGAGTGGAGTACGCGTCCCCGTTGTGAGCCAGCTCCGTCAATTCTAGTTCGGATGTGTCCAGAATGGTCGACTGGGAGCCGCGATCATTCGGAAGCCGTTGCATATTGATAATCAGTCTGCAACCCTGCAAAATGCACATTTCAGGCCTCAGCAGAATTCGAGGCGGCGCATCACTGACCGATATTGATATACAAGACAGGTACCACGCATATTCGGTCATTCCGAAGTTCAAACTGAGCAGAGAGTAGATACAAGCGGACGCCGTCGTAGCTGTTTGCATTTGAGGGACCGTGGGAGTGGCTGGAGCAGGACACACTCACCGGCGAACGCGACATAAACCATGGAGCCATCCCGAATCAGCAGTGTCCCTAGACTGGTTCCTGCCCATTCTCCTGCCCGATAGCGATACACCGTCAATCCCAGGATTATAGCCTGGGACACCAGCGCCGAGATGGCCAGATAAGCAAAGGAGTGGGGCACCGACGTTGCCATTAATTCGGGTTTAAAGTGGAGCCCCGGGAGCGTCACGAACAGTCCTAGAGAAAATGTTGGCAACATGGCATATTGACGCCCATCGGAGAAAACAGGCGCACCTACTAGCACAACAACAGTCTCCGCGATCCATAGTAGTACAAATCCCCATCCGATCCACCGGTTATTCCGATAGAGAGCGTAGACCCGAGTCATCATGATAATTTCAACGCCCGTCATGGCCAGATGGGCGACTGCGACCTGCGCGACATACCACGCCCGGAGAGCGGCATAGCTGATGGTGGCCCCATTGAACACTTTGTCCGTAAGGATGCGATTGGACCTAATCCACGCGTCAAGAGGAGCCGTGGCGATGTGCAAAGTGTGAGCGCACAGGATTAATGCGAACGGAAAGTAGCGCAGGAAGACAAAGACGAATTTGACCCATTTCCTCGGTTTACTACGCTCGTGGACGCGTTGAGTGTCTGACTGACTGACAGAGGACGAGTTGTTGGAAAGCTCACGTCCAGATGTACCGCACTTCGTCATCAAACGTGATAAGGTATTCCCTGCGGGTTGTCAGTAGTTTCCGGTGGAGCTTCATTGCGGCCGCATTTACCATACGTAAAAAGCCAGGGCGGCCACTAAGTGCGTTCGGAGATGAATTGACGGCTCGCACGTGGCCTGATAGGAACTGACCTGCGGTCTTGTGTAGGTCGAACAAGAGTTGCGAGTTGAGCGAGGGGTCCAAAACCATCCTCCTCCTCCAGGAACAACCCTTGCAGAGACGACAGAGTGGGCAGCGGCTGTCAGGGAAATTCTGGGGGGTATCAAGAGGCTGATGTTGGTCACGACGTCACTGATTTGCTGTCACGTCGATCTATTGCCGCCGCGGCAGCGGCCCTGAGTTCATCCCGCGTGCCTCAAGCCTTCCTCCCTCTCTCTCTCCTTGGTAATAACCAAATTTTGCCCATCTCCCTCTCTCCAGGTCCATTGGCACATCTTTGGCGATCTTCCTTCTCGAGGGACACTCGAAGTACTACAGACGACGAGCACTGTCGGCTGTCAGAAATGATAGATGAAATGCCGGCACCAGCCACGCTCCGCGGCATACTTGCCTGTCCTTAGAATCTGCCCCTGCGCAGTTCAGTCTATGTATATCACGGTCGTCTTGCAATTCACTGCCCCCATTCCAATATGTCCCTCACAACGCTCCATTTTATTTGAGGTGGGAACAATAGGATCAGCATAATCAACGGTTTCACATCACGGCTACGGTAAACACCGCCCACCACGCACTATCCTTTTGCTCTTCTCTTCCCCATTAGTTACCTCTCAGCTCCAGCCGCATACCTGACTATGGCTCGCAGTCTATCAGAGGTCTTCTTCGGTGGCACGACGTTCTGTTGCTGCCTGCGCGTGCGACTTGGGGTGATGGTCATGACCGTGCTGGGGATGTTGTTTTCTGGGTTGTTCTCGGTGCTGCTTTGGTTTGAATTATCGTGTGAGTAAGTCACAGTTACGCAGGGACTTACCGGGCTCACTGTTTCTCAGCTTCGAAAGGCTTGTCGAGCAGTGAACGCACGATATTGATATTAGCGGGGCTGGTGGAAACACTCTTGTTTGTGTTCTCGATACTGGGGTGCGTTGCATGACTTTCCGACGCGGATGCTCATATACCTGGAATCAGCTTCGTCGGTGCCGTCGTCCGCAAACAACTATTCGTCCAAATCTACGCCTACTTCACGTATTTCCATGTCCTCGTCAACTTCGGCGTCGCTGCTTTCTTGCTGTACACTATCGTTCATGGGTCGCACTCGGACGTTGTTGCCGCTTGTCAAACAGCGCTTCTGAGCTCCGGAACTCAAGCTCAGTGCACAGGCATATTTCGAGTGGGCATAGACATCTACGCAGTGGTTGCCGGCGTCGTGCTGTCATTCGAGCTGTGTGAGTGACGGCAGTCCCTGCTCTGTCCCGGCCTTACAAGTCGCGTAGATGGCGCGCTGATAGTCACCCGCTATCTGAACCAGATCAAGCGCGAGAAGCGGGACGTGCGGGCATCCCGGGTTCGACAGAGCGGGTTCAAAATGGGGTCTGGAGCTCGCTATGCCACGATCAAGGACGATGATTACGATCACATTCCCCTCCAATCTGGTCGACCTCCTTCATTCCATGCTGCAGCGCGAGATGACTTTGATCCATACCAGGAGGTGCAGGGTCCGGACTATCGACATACCGCGTACGATGGCATGCCGGGCCATGACTTCAACGATGCAGAACATGAGAGAGACATCTCTGCAGGGAGGTTACCATGATGATGATGATGATTTGTACTGTGTATCTATAGATTCAATGGACTGTTGGGCTTGAATATTTCGTGCTCGGCAGAAAGTCAGAAAGTCATTGACAGGCGCAAAGTTCGCGTCCGTGGCCTGGCATCACATCAGGAATAGTCATGACATCAGTGATTAGGAGACACCACGCGTCGGCGACGCGTCTTCATTCACCACCAACATGTCTGAGAGCCCAGCCTTTGAATCTCTCATCTACCATGAGCGACAAGAGCCAGGGTAACGTCGGTCCCGGGGCAGTACGCCATGCGATAGCTCAATTGATCACCAGGTCCATGCTCTGTGCTCAGCATGCTTTGAATTCACTCCTGCGTAGGTGCGTTCTCCGATTTTACACAGATCGTGCTCAATTTTTGCGTTCCTCAGAGGGGAACTACTTTACCGCGCCAGATCTTTCAGAAATCGCGCTCGGACTCGACGAGCTTGAGGGAGGCATGAGGGAGGAGGGCACCGCAGCAAGGCAAGTGGCATTCTGGGGGCCCGACGCGCATTCTGATCCCCTCTTCTCTGCAGCACCAGTATGAACATGGACGATTCGGGTTTCTTTTCGGTGCAAGTTCTAGAGAACGCGCTGAAAGTTTGGGGACTGGAGTGTGTACATTCTGTCCCAACGCGATCTTTTGTAATCCCTGACCTGCTTCAGTTTAATTCGTTGGCGAAGCGAAGAAATGCGTCCATATCAAGACCATCCTGAGTACATCGACTGTCTGATTCGGTGACTCCAAGATTTGACTATTTACCCCAGGGAGCAGCTCGCTTTTGTGCTGAATTCCGAGCAACATTGGTACAGTCAGTCGATCTCCAATGGCACAATTCATTTTCTCATTGGTACGATCAGCCTTCCGTCGGTTTGCATCACACTGGTATAACCTCAATTCGTTCGTCGCGAAGCCGGAGTGGGTCTCTCCCCTGTATCTTGGTATGTCTAGCAATTAGCTCTACGATCGACTCCTGCTGAGATTGTCTCTCCAGGGGCTTTGTTGCAACAAGCAGAACGAGATGGTATGTCGAGGACATCGAGATTAGATTCGTTCGTGACATCTGAACGATGCCCAGGCTACTCAATATTCGTCGTCACCTCGACAGATCCAAATACAGGCCTGCCTCGCACCGAAGCCGACGACATTGCATTCACCCTGGGTGAATCGAGCTCCTCAGGACGGCCTGGTCCGAGCGGCCGATCCGCAGAGGATGAAGATCTTGAGCTCCAGGCGGCATTGCAGGCTTCTATGGCCGATGAAGCTGGGGTGCCGGATGATCGCAGCGCGGATCCTGTCGCTGCGAGCGTGGCCCGGAACAAGATGCTTTTAGACCGCATGAAAGCCGAGCAAGAGTATGCTCGTGGCCAGATGCTGCAGGACGAAGTGGCCGGAATGAGCCGCCGTGACGACACTGAAGACGAGACCGAGGAGCAGATGATCCGACGCGCGATCGAAGAGAGCGAGCGATATGCCGAGATGGCTCAAGGCGACGACGGGAACGCCGTTGCTCCATCTGCTTCGCATTTCGGGGAAGACGGATACTACGACGACGACGACGCGGAATTGCGTGAGTTTGAAACAAAAGCTAGTCGTGAAACTTTGTCTGACCGCCGATCTCAGAAGCGGCGTTGCGTGCTTCCCTCGAAGCCACGCCCGAGGGATGGTCGCTACCGGAACATCTCCAGGATCAACCTGAAGTACCTACTGCACCCGCACTCAGTCACGTGGAACTACCAGTGGAGACTGAGGATGCTCCAGCACAAGAAGAAGTCAGCGTTGAAGAAATGCGGAGGCGGAGATTGGCGAGATTTGGCTCATAGATCGATTGGGCGTAGTTTGTCTTTCTCATATCCAAATCCTACTCCATGGAGAATTTGTTCACATCAGTACTTGTTGGCTTCTATTTGCGGGGCTGTCATTGGTGCACGGTGGCGGAGCCGAATGCCGATCGCATTTCGTTTTCGTCCAGCGCGCAGTTCTTAGCGTCGTCGCCTTTGGCTTTCCTCTCGCCCTCGCAGAGCGAACAGGTTTCTCGAGTAGATTGGCGACAAATACACCCACGCGTCTCATTTGCGCCACTTGGCCTGCACGTCACACCTAACTTCACCTTCCACCTCGTGCCAGACGCGTCATGTTCTTCCGACGAAACCACTTCGAATTCATATGCGTTCTTTTCCTTCTGAGATGGGCCGCTCCTGCCTTGGCCGACTTCGACTGCCACCCCCGCGTGGGGAATCACACTTATGATCTTACTCCAGTGGAGGCGGAACGCACGATCACACGAGAGCGCAGCACACCCCCCACGCGAGAAGTGGACTCTGTTCGCTTCTCTCTATGCGCCGATTTGAAGAAGGATGACAAGTTGTCTGCAAGCGATCAGGTGCGTGTCTTATGGTCTCTGTTGGACATCGCCATGAACCTGAGAGATCCCAGTGCCCACCGGGGACGCGCGTTTGCCTCACCAAGATCAATCGCAAGCCTGATACGCCAGACCGGATAACTTCTGTCGTGCCTTTGGCCCAATCCGACGCCCTGAATCCATCCCTCAACGCATTACAGTGTCCGTGGATAGCTTATCGACCTTTGTAGGCGCTCGCATACTGACTTGTCATCCCAGCAGCAAGAGGCTTGTCAATATTGTTGCACGGCAGCACATATCCGCATCCCATCAACGTGACGGACTCCCCGCAGTCCGTGAACATCACGCTACTATGCGATCCCACCAACGAAGGCGAACCTGTATTCAAGTCGTACGACGGTGCGCGACTCGAGGTGGAGTGGTCGACCCGTGCAGGATGTGGCTTCAAGAGCGATAATGGGGGCGAAGCACCGCCGGACCACGAAGAGGAGAAGGAGGATCCCAAAGTGCCCTCCAGCTCCTCAGGGCTATCTTCCGTTGGATGGTTTCTGTTACTGTGCGTTCCTTCCATCTCTGGGAGCTGACCGCTTGTTCTGACATGTTGCAACAGACTGGTCATCGCATTTGCTGCTTATATGGGATTCGGAGCGTACTACAACTATACTAACTATGGCTCCCGGGGCCTCGATCTCATCCTCACCGTGATTTCTGGAACGAAGTGCCGTACATGTTCAAGGATGTCATATCACATCTTTGTGTTCGGCCGCGACGTTCGGCTAGTCGGGGAGGGTACGTTGCTGTGTAGATTATCCTTGTCTAATATACACGTCGGGTCTATCGATGTGTGCTATCGTCTGCCACAGGCCGGATTCACACTCGTTTTCCAGAACGCGATCTGCGTCGTCGAGAGCAATCTCCTCCTCGATCTCCACTGCCCACTCACTGTCCGATTCAGATTCCAGGGCTTCATCAAGTGCTTCGTATGACGCGGGAAGCCAAACGGGAGAAGGAACCGGCAACGGTGTTTCTTCCTCGATCATCTCTAGATCCTTGTCTTCAACTTGCTCATCGTGATCCGGGGAAAGCCGAAAGCCCTTGATTTCGAGTGCAGCGATGATTTTTCGAGCGTCAACCTGATACTGTGAGAAAAGCACCTTGCTTGGGCATGAAAACAGAACATACCCCATCTTCTGCCGCTCGCCAGACTTTCTTTCCTCCCTTCAGCGTCACATCTTGCTCGTGCAATAAGATTGTATGGAACAGAACGTCAGCGGTAAAATCCACGAGGATTTCTTGCAGAAGATGAATTGTTCGTTTCGTTATCGTGTGGTGCTCGCTAGAATATCGAATCAAACGTCTATTCACTCTCGACTGGAAGGGAGGATTCTGCACACCCAACAAGCGTCTCCAATCTCTTGAAGTTGAACATGTCAAAACCCAGTTTTGCAAGTGATTCCGGACCCAGACCCGAGTCCCGCAGGTCTTTCAACACACGATATCCTGCGTGTAAGCCACTGGGTTTGATGAGTACGTTGTCGCCTTCAGGCTCGACGCTCTGACATTCAGTCAGGACTGGCTACATCGGACATGTGAGATTGCATACGGTTCCGAGTTTATCGTATTTTGTATAAGTCTTCGCTCTGACTTTCGGAACGTAAACCTTAGTCGGTTTCCGACCGGGCTGGAGCCTGGATGTCTCCAGATTCGCTGCCATTCCTGAGGCCGCGGCCCGCCGTTGACGCATGCGCAGACGATTGTTGATCCGTCGACGGGAAGCAGGGCTCAACGCCCTAGAGTCGACAGGGTCCGGGGAGACAGCTCGGGACGAAGATGGAGATGGATCGCGCGACGGGTCAACGGATGTTGCGGGAGCTTCGTCTCTGAGCAGTTTGTTCAGCGCTTGCAGATGCAGCGTGTCTAGCACAGCGGGAATCCTCGCATCCATCCCAGGTTCATCCCGCTCATCAAAGCCGATGTTTTTTTCACGCCGCACTAGCTGAGCAGCATGATCTTCCTCAAAGGCAACCCACGCCTCGGAAACAGACATGGCGATGGGGAGATCGGTTCGACTAGCGTGCTCATGCGCTTGCGCTGCCGTATCCAGTGCGTTAAGATACGCACAAACGTCGCTTAGCGACTTGGATGGTATCGACTCCGCGATGAGGTCTGGTCTAATGCGCGAATGTACAGCGAGCGAATGGAAGAAGAGGTCGATTTCATCGGCAGTCCAATGCGCGAACGGAGTTGATTGGCTGACGACACCCTTGAGATGTTGCCGAAATGATTTCAGGTGGTCATTGTAGTACTGTTGATAAGGGATGGACATGAGCAGTGAGAGGGCATCGAACTGGAAGAGCAGAAGAAGCAATTCCGTCAACACTTGTCAACAACACGTCCTTATGCAGAACGCTCACATTGACTTGGAGCCAATCGTTCGAATACGCGACCTGAAGAAGGATCGAGTCAATTTCGTGCTTGAAAATGTCGACCTTGCGTACGCTGCATCCATTTTGACGGTTCCCGGACGTTCAATGGGGGACTACGCAGATTTGCCAATTCCTTGCGGAGAGTCATGATGGCAGACATCGCTACCGTCGGTTTGCGCCCGTTTTTGTCGATGCTCGACGGCGAATCTTACTTTGGAATCAGCTATAGACCTAGTCGAATTCCAAGCCAACACTACTGTCCTTCCCGATGAATTCATTGCCCATCGGTTGGGCATGATCCCTTTGTTCAGCTCGAACTGCGACGAGGCCATTCGCTACAATAGAGTGCGTCTGACGTTTCTTTACTATTTTACCCGATTTCATCGACTCCAGGATTGCACATGCATGACATCTTGTCAGTACTGTTCCATCCGACTGAAACTGGATGTCTCTTGCAATAGCAGCACGACTATGGACATAACGAGCAACCATCTGGAGATTGTTGGCTATCATTCTCATATGGACGACTTCTCCGAAGGCGAAACCGGTGAGGAGGTGACTAAACGCGGGGAATACTTTGGACATCCCGTGGGCAAAAGTGCGTATGCTCATTCGATTCATGCACACATTTCAATGATTGTGAAGATGATCCTGACGCCGAACCGGTGTTAATTTGCAAAATCCGGAAAGGACAAGAGTTGAAGTTACCTGTATCGCGAAAAAGGTCATCATCTCAGTGCTAGTGTTATCTCGTGCTAATAGTCGTCAGGGCATCGCCAAAGAGCACGCGAAATGGTCGCCGTGTTCAGCGGTTTCTTTTGAATATGACCCATACAACAAGCTTCGACATACATCGTACTGGTTCGAGCAGGACGCGCAATCGGAATGGCCGTTGAGCGAGAACGCTGCAGAGGAGGACATGCCGCGTGACGACGAGATGTTCGACTTCAATGCTCAGCCTTACAAGTTCTACTTTGAAGTGGAGACGGATGGCAGTCTTGGGCCGAGGGAAGTCGTGATGCAGGGGTTAACGGAGCTGCAGAACAAGTTGGCCAAGATCGTGCTAGCACTGAAGAAAACAGATCCTGATATGATTACGGGAGAACGTGCAGACGAAGCTCCGCCTGCTGACCATTGGGGCGGAGCGCCTGGTCCTAGTGGCCCTGGTGGCGGTGGAGGTTGGGGCGGTGGGACCGGTGGAAATACTTCGACGTGGGGCGCCAGCCCTGGTCGTGGGAACACTGGTGGATGGGGTGGTGGCGGAGGGGGCTGGTCTAGTCCCAGCCAGTCCGGTGCCGCAGGGTGGAATGTTTGAGTCATAACCAATTTATATCCTTTTTGAGACAACAGGCGTATTATGTGACAAAGCAGTGATTACATGTCGGAATGGTAAGCGGGGTGATAATAGCGCTCCTCCGCTGGTCCATCCCACGTTGAAGCTCTGTGCAAAGTCGGAAATTCGGGTCGTGGCGGGAAGCAGGAGTCTGACCTCAGGGTGCGATACATTGCGCCACTCGGCGCTGCGAGAGTTACGTCGTACGACGAGGGCTCGTACTTGGGCGCATGACTTTCGGAATGGATTCCCTCCGTCCTCACTGAAGGATGATACGGCAGAGGCCAGTGGCGGTGCTGATCTGCCTCGACTGGAACGACAGCCTTCGCTGGGGATGCAACGATGTCCGTGGGCAATGCATTCTTGAGTACGGCACTTGAGAGATCGATGAGTCGAGAACAAGGTGCAAATGTATTCTTACAGCAAGGGTGGCACGCTCTCCCATCGCGCCTGCACTCGATCAAGGACGTTGATGAAGATCGCCACTTCAGCCATCAGGTCAGCCTGCGTCTGATGGGCGGCCGTGTCACCGCTCTCGTAGCGGGCCCGAGCGTCCCAGATGCCAATCGTGAGCATCGCGGCGCTGAGTTGCGCGACAGCAATCATCATCGGGATATTGCTCCATCCCCGACGGAATTGAGCGTCCACGACCCGGGCAGCCGATCGCGCCGCACTGAGACAACGCGCGAGGGCATCCGGAAGAGATGATGGAGTGGTGCAGTCGGCGGGGCGGGGCTATTCGAAGGCATTTTGACGGGCGAAATGAATGCACGGTAGATGAGCATGCGCGCCAGCCAGTATGTTCCCTCGAGAGATGCGGCCTGATTGGATAATTCGTCGTCCTCCATGTCCGCAGACCAGCGCACTATGTAATGGTCAAGTAGAGGCTATGGCAGCTATAAAAATGTCGTACAATACTCTGGGACAGAGGCCATCCATTCGCTCAATGCATTTTCGAGCTCGGCAACCACGTCTGTCATTCGTACTTTCGCGATTCTGCCTGTTCAGTCTTGTGTCGATATTGATGGTACCAAACGCAGATGTAATCTTACCAAGAAGCGCTTGAGGATTGTGGATCGAATACTGCGGTAACGATCATGACATAGAGCGGGAAATGAAAATCGATGAATGACGCACCACCGTCTTGACTGTGAAGATAACAATTTGCGACAATCTGGTCCAAAGGTTGAAATAGGTGATCCTACAAGGCACATTCTTCGGTTGAGTGAACGGCGGATCCGCCTCCCAATATTCGTCATCGACCTCCAGGCAAGGGTCGAGATCGAAACTGTAGTGGCTGTTAAGTATGATGGACATTGACCGACTCAATTGCGTACTCGTCTTCTCCCACTGAAAAGACATATAAAACAGCGTTCTAAGCTGGGTGAAAGTCACATACCTGCTGGTGGGCGACCCAAGATTGCACTGCCGAAACGGTCATAGGCTACCAAACACCAGAAAGCTCGACGCCAAAGCTCTTCTTCGGCATTCGGCTCATGGTTGTACAGCCGTCTTCGATGTATACCGCGATCTTCAGCCTTGCGCAGAGCTAATGAGATCACAATCCAGGAAACAGCATGATTGCCTCTCTGAACGGAGGTGGTCAGACATGGGACAAGGGAGAAAAGTGTAGGATTTACAGAACTCCGCAGATAGGTTGATAACAAAGAGAGTGACTGGATCTCTTCCAAGCTCGGGGGAAGAAACAGACTTGGCATATGGTTGTGGACCCCTATATAGCATCAGTACGTTGAATAGTGCTGTGGCAAGAAATCCTACTCATGGCTGCCGAGTGGAATCTCCATCCTGCCCGAGTCCAATTCTGTTCTCCATCTGCATCCTCGGGGGACAGGACCGCGATGTTGTTGGACCATCGACTTGCGATAGCAAAGACGCCGAGACACACGCAAGTGAACCAGGGGCTGTGCTTGTGCAGTTGGTCGCGATTGTACTGTCGCTCAAAGGTCGGCTGGTGCAATAGTGGCAGTTGAGAGTTGACGCGATTGAAGTAGAGCTCTATGAGCTCCTGCGCCAAGGCCGGCGATGGAAATTCCGAAAGAAGAGAGTCGACCATATCGGACGAGGGCGAATTGCGAGACTCATATTCCTGCTCCCACTTCATTTGGCTCATAAACAAGAGGGAGCGGGAAAAAACGAGAGAAAGACATACCGGCAACGGGCGCCAAAAATACGATCGCCTCACTCCTGAAGTCGCGCCTGAAGACACACCCAGGTGTTGGCTGCGGTAGAAGCCAGCTCTCGCAGCTATTCCCATGGTGCTACTTTCGCCGAAGAACCTAGCAGCGTTGTCGACGTACGGTCTGCGCTCATCCTTGAGCCCGGTGTCTAGCTCATCCTCCGACGATGTACCCTCCGACGATGTTTCATCAGAATCTATCGTCCGAAGAACGTCCGTTGAGAAGCGTAAACTTGTGAGCGGGGGCGATGATTCGATGGCAGGGTTTCGAATTCGGCGTCTGGAAGAAGGCACGCTGTCGGGGTTTTCTCTCCAGGAGCCGCGAGGGATGGGAGGTCCGAGTTGAGCGGTGAGATCGACCCCTGGATGGCGTTGGGCGAGCGTGACCTCCAAGCGTTCGAGTCTGTCTTCGAGATTGGTGATATACCTGTTACAGGCTGTAAGCAACCAGTGACCGCGAGGCTTCGGCGCCCGGATTGGAGATTGTGACGCGAAAGAATGTACTCACGCCTTGGGCGGACCGCGAGGCGTTGATGCCTCTCTATTCTGAGAGTGAGTGTCTACGTGATGCGCAGTATGGCGGTGCGTACTGGTAGGTGCAGGTTTTGTTCTGAATGCGACAAAGCGAACAAATGTGATCCGTCAGGGATGGGCCGTCGCATTTGGTTTTCCGGCGCCGACATGCATCGCAGGCTCGGGAAACATTGCGCCGAGACCCGGCTGACGGGTTGCGGGCGCCCGAGGTTGGCACAGGGTGCGGAGGCAAGGTCGCCGTTGTGTGCAACATTACACCAGTCGCAGGGTCTCGGCAGATCGGCATTCTGAATAAGCGGGAACAAACTCTTCCTGCCCCATGATACCACTTCGTCAATTGATGCAGCGCTCGTCTACCAGGGCACGAACGTTCCCATCGCGCTTCAGGCGTTCTTATGCCAACCTTAACCGACCATCGCCGTTCGCTCTCCCGCGAGAAGATCAGCGAGAATTCGAGGAATTACAGCGCACGGCCCAGGTGGCTTCTGACGAGGACATGGGATTCGAACTGCACCCAGACGCGCGAGTACCTGTGAAGCCTGAATTCGAGGGGGAGGTCAACCCAAAAACCGGAGAGGAGGGAGGTCCCAAGCAGGAACCTGTGCGCCATTGGGCAGAGGGCGATTGGAGTTTCAAAGGCCGTGTGTCCGATTTCTAGCTGGTCTGCCCTCACTTTCAATTCCGTTCCGTATCATCCAAACCTTGCATCATCTAGAGATTACGAAATACACGTCAAGTCAATCCCCATTATAAATTTATCAAAGATATGGTTCAGACGGGTCTACCCGTCCGAAACATTTAGACCTTGCCTGAGATCATGCCTCGAGCTCGAATCTCAGCTCAACAAGGGTTATTACGAACCGGGTCAGCGATGAAGTGGACTAGCGCCGGATTGAATCCATCTCTCGAATCGCTTCGCGCTTCTGCTCATCAATGATCAGCGCAGCTCGAAAATATACGCAGGTGCGCATGTGAGCGCACCGTGCCTGATACAAAGCACACGTAGGATGGCGCGTCGCAAGCTGAATTGCAGCGCACATATCACTTTCCAGCTCCAAACTACGTATATTCTCTGTGAAAGCACTTAGGCAGACAGAGTACAATAAGACCATATCCCTCCCGCAATCTCGGCATCATTGTGCAAAACGGGGTCTTTCACTGACCGAAAGTCTATCACGCATGATTCACTCACACATTTTCGTACAAAAGAACAACAAGAGAGATTGCAACGTCCGCCATTTTTCATCGTCTGATTCCCCGCGGCGCCGGTGCAACACCACGACCACGACGCGCTGTATATTGGTGTTAGTAGACGCAAGAGCTGAGTAAGATCTCGCCACGGACCGTTTGCTAGAAAAGGGGGGCAATTTAATCAGTATCTGGAGTGTAAAACACGAGCGTTATGGCTCACCGCGCATGATCGTTGCACGTCCTCTGGCCGTGCCGATACCTCGTCCTCTCATCGCGTTCGGTCCGACACGTTTGAACCTGGTCGCTTCAGTTTCTTGAGCATCAATGAGAACATGATGCTCACATGGGCGCGTTCTGCAGCATATCTGGGACAATGATGAAACGAATCATGCTACCACGGATGTACACCTGATCCAGCTGGGAGACGCGACCGTCCCGTCCAGTCACCGTTATATCTTTGAGCGAGATGTTCAAGTTGTCCTCCGCTGATGATGCCGATGCGAAACGAAGGATATGAAAGAGCAGAAGAAAGGATTGTAGCTCATCAGTACGCCATACCGCGTGCCCGTATCATCACAGACGCACCTTCTGCCAACTTTCCACGATACAGCTGGCCGGTTTTTATCTCGACCGTGACGACATGTCCCAGAGACTCGTGCAGCAGCTTCACAGGTACTCCCAACCCAGCCATGACTTATTGACGCGAAAAAAGGGTGGTGTGTGTGTCAGGATTTTGGTGGATCGTGTACAACCTTCAGACAAAGAAGATTAGGAAGGCGGTGACAAGTGTCTGGTCGGGTGATGAACCTGCGCGTCGAAAAAGAAATCGGTGCAGGTGAGGGTTGAAGACAAGTTAAGCACTGGGTGAATCCACGTGACGAATCAGAAATCTGAGCTGAACGTTCAACGATCAACGAATTAACCCCGACCTCCTACAACTACGCTTGTGTACACTATCGACCTTCTAACCATCTACAACTACTGGCTCAGCACGTTCGAGACTCGATTACCAACTGGTATGGCCCGCAGGTACCTTGAAAATCGACGTATCCGACTACTCCTTCTCCCTGCTCCACGTGCATGCTCTCCGGATTCCAAATCCTCTGAAACCCCCGAAATCATGCTCTCCAGTGTTCTGAAATCTGTTTCTCGAGTGAATAAAAAAGGTCTGTCTCAGCCCTGTCATATGAACTAACCGTGCCGGCAAATTGGACACGCTGTCGAGATTTCCAGCAGCCACGGGTCGACGCATGTTGTATGGAAGCGATGACTTCCATCGCATGGCAATACGCGCAGTTCATCTCCCTCCTCGAAGTCGACGATGCAGATGGGGCATATGTTGTGACCAATCTCAGGCGGGATGACAACTTCGTCCAGTTCTTCGATCGTGGGGGATCCCACTTGACTGGTGTCGAGCGCGGTCGTTGGGCTCCCTGTCTCCTCCATTTCTGCCCTCTGCCGGCCCGCTGCTTCTGACCAAGCGGACCTAAATTTGACGATGGGAAACGTCTCGAGCATGGCACGAGTCAAGCCTCGCGCCCGATTCAGATCCGATGGCCGTCATGCATGCTCATCCGACGCACCTTTGGCTCTGCTTTGGCCGTTGCCGTCAACGCCCCCGCGGCGTGGGCCATAGCGTTCTGGGTCCCGGGCAGCTCGGATCGCCTGGAGAGAAGGGTTCAGCGTGCAGCACAGTCGGTCGAGATGCCGTTCGCTTACGCCTGAAACTGGGTGGACGCTGAGTGTTATGGAGGAGGTAGGGCGAAGGTGGAGAGGACGTACCAATAACGGCGCCCAGGATGAAGGACATGGTTCCTGTTACGACGTACAAGACGATCCTTGAAGCAGTCAACTAGTGCTTGACAGCTGTTTGCATTCAAGCACCTACATTGGGACACCGGGCCTCCAATCAGAATGGGCCACAGGAACCGTGGTCTCCAAGTCCACTAGTGACAACACAGGCATGACGGTACAGTGCAAGGACAATCCCTCGCTCAAGGCCTATTTCCTCACGCCGCTGCTGAACATCGAGTATGCACATTGCAGCCTCGAGGTAGATGGGCACGAGGTGGGGTAGCTGGAAGAAGGGTGTGTTGTATAGGTACAGTCTACAGAGATTATTATAGATATATATGTCTAGATAACGGCTCGTCTACTTTTTGCTCGTCTGCTTCCCCTTCATGAGTCGCGTGCGTTTGTTCATGTCCAGCTCGGCCTTGCGCAGGCGAACGCTCTTGGGAGTAAGCTCGACCATCTCATCGTCAGCCATGTACGCGATGTTTTCCTGTGTGGAGAGTTGATGGAGATCGCTGTGGACAATGGAAGACACATACCTCCAGGGTCATGACTCGCGGGCTGGCAATGACCAGCTTCTCGTCAGCCCCCGCCGCCCGGACATTCGTCAGTTGTTTTTTCAAACAAGGGTTGATGTACATCTCCAAGGACTTGGAAGACTCTCCGATAACCATTCCGGGATATACTGGATTTTGATCAATGACAGGGCTGACAGGGAGCATGAAATAAAGCACCTTGGGTGCCTGGAGGGATGAACATAACGCCTCTTGCCTGTAAAGGAGCGATAGCGTAAGCGGAGGCTTCTCCCAGCGCCATCGAGATCAGGCTGCCGTTGCGACCTGTTTCGATCGGGCCTTTGTACGGCTCGTAGCCCTTGAATGTATGGTTCAGCGTTCTGCCAATGATGTCAGTCCCAGCACAAGCGCAGCCACTGCGCGCACGGACCCTTGCCCATGAACGTCGTTCCCGAATTCGCCAGCCATGTAGCCAATCAGCCCCCGTGCAGGCACGTCCATCTCGATACGGACCCAGCCACCGGTGCCACCGGATGCGCCGTCGTCGGATGCAGCGCCGACGCCCATGTCGTCGTCGATCGAGTCGTAGCTCTTCATCTCTCCTTTCCGCTGCGTCAGCTTTTGCACCACCGTGCCGGCATACTCCTCGCGCACGACGATGGTGCATTCCTCCACCGGCTCCAGCTTTTCGCCCGTATCGGGATCTGTGCGCAGGACAGCTTTCGGGGGACCGATGAGAAGCTCGTAGCCCTCCCGCCGCAGGTTCTCGAATAGGATGCCCAGATGAAGCACACCGCGACCGCGCACTTCAATGGAATCCGATGTGGGCCCAGGCAGCACCGACAGCGCGACGTCCGTCAGAGCCTCGCGGTACACGCGCTCTTTGATCATCTGCGAAGTCAGTTTCGTGCCGTCCTGACCCGCAAGGGGTGAAGAATTAGCGTGTAGGACAACGGAAATGGTCGGCGGATCAATGGGGAGAGACTGCGAAAGTATAAGTCCCCGGCAGTTTCTCATCGGAAAAAGACTGACAGGAAGCGGCTTGGGACCTCCCTCTGGCCATGTCTTCTCGTCCGCGGAAAGCAGAGTAGCGTTCACACCTCCGCCCTTGATTCCGGCAATGCTGATAATTTCACCCGCACCAGCTTCGTCCCTCTCCACACGCTCCATACCCTGTCTCCACGTTCAAGACTGCAAATGGCCAGAGCAGCAGAACACTCACGACTCGGACGAAGATCTTCTTGACTTTCCCTTCACCGACACGTTCTCCCTCGCTGTTGATCGCGATGAGCGAGTCGCCAGGACGAAGGACACCAGAGTGGACACGGCCGAGGTACAGAGTGCCCACATACGGATCTGGTCGAATTTCAGACGACCCAGCCTCAAAAGTTCACCGCAAGACCTACCACTCTCGATCTGGATTGTGATCATCGAGAACGGGTCCTTCGTTTCGCGGGACAGTCGAGGAGCGGGGCAGTGTTCCAAAACCATGTCGAAAAGCGGCTTCATCCCTGCGTGAGACGCGTCTGCGTCCTTCGGCATCGAGGCGAGGTCTGTGACAGCCCAGCCCTGCTTGGCACTGGCGTACAGTATGGGGTATTCCATTTGCTCGTCGGAGGCGCCGAGGGTGGCAAACAGGTCGAACAGATCGGCTTCCACTTGCGCAGGACGGGAGGTTGGCCGGTCAGATTTGTTGAGCACCACGAGAGGTCTTGAAGGGCTTAAGTCTGCAGTCTCGGGAGAGTGGTGAAAGGGACGTACTTCAAGCCTTGACCCAGAGCCTTAGAAAGCACAAATCGCGTTTGGGCCATAGGCCCTTCCGTAGCATCGACCACGAGCGCAACACCGTCCACCATACTCAAGATACGTTCGACTTCTCCGCCAAAGTCGGCGTGCCCGGTGTATCCACGATGTTGATGAGATGAGTTTCAGAGTCGGAGTCCGGTTTGTAGAAGACCGAGGTACACTTAGAGAGAATGGTAATTCCTCGTTCGCGTTCCAAGTCGTTCGAGTCCATGACACGGTCCGTATGTCCCTCGGACGATCCAGACTCGACGCCTGATGCCACTGAAGGCGCAGACGAGGAAGTCCTCAGCGTACCGGACTGGCGGAGAAGCTGGTCAACGAGTGTCGTTTTTCCGTGGTCGACTGGGAGGGAAAATGAGCGATGCAGGCAGCAGCAGGACAGGCTACAACGCACCGTGCGCAATAATGGCAATGTTCCTCATTTTGTCCATCGGCATGAGTTCCGCCCCATTGAGCCTCGTAGAGGAAAAGCATCTCCGTGGAGACCACCGGGGAAGTTTGAAGCATGGACTCCGGGGTATGTGACGGAGCACCGAGCTCACGTTCATGAGGGCAACGCAGTCGAGAAACAGTTGTCCGGGTTTGAGGTGTGGAGTCTACGCGACAAACGGGAGGGGCTCGTGACGCGTCTATACCGTGCTGGCCACGTCCTGCGTTGTATGACGGTGGACGAGTACTCAGACGGAGGCAGGTCAAAATTCCTCCGATGGCATCACGTCAATCAAACACCCGGGGGCGCCGGGCCGGCCGCTTGCACTCTGGCAACAAACTTTGACGCTGTCGGTCTAGATCATTGCTCGCACCTCGACACAGGCCAACTGTCCGGGGCTGTTTCTTGAATCTTTAGCCTCAATATCTCCCGTATCAATTGATATGCTCGATTTGTCGTCCTTGCAATGCATCCGGGCCTGTCAGGATCTCATGACAGGGCGCGCACACATAATGCTCTGCAAGAATCTAGCCGGACACTTCCTTTCTACTTCCACCAGGTGGGACTTATGATCTACTCCGGAAAGCCTGCGGCCAACCCGCAGCTTGACCTTCTCACCTTCTTATTCGGTACGTGAGGAGGGAGGCCCACCCACACCTGGTTGAACAGTGCTTCATCATGAACTCGCACAGACTCGCCACTTTCACTTGCCACGGATGAGACCGTGCTGCACGCAGAGGCGGCGAACCCCCGCAACCGCATCACTAAAGCCGAGGCGCGGGTTCTAACGCGCCGCATCGCCTATGTCCTGCGCACGCGGTTCGGGATTGGCGCGTCGGGGCCAGGCAAGGACGTGGTGATCGTCATTTCGACTGGGCAGGTGCGCGAGACCCGCTAGGCTCTTTCCGGTTGTCCATCAAGGAATCCAGGTCATACTTCCCATTCTGTTCTACGGCATCGTGTGTGCCGGCGGTGTCGCAAGCCTCGCTTCGCCGTCTTTCGTCCCGGGCGAGTTGGCGAGGCAGATCCGGCTCGGCTATGCCAAACTGTGCATCTCGTGCGAGCTCACCAGAGACACGCTGGAGGCCGCGGCGCAGCTCTGCGAATTCCCACTCCATCGTTGCCTGGTTCTGTCCTCGGCCGGTCCGCGCTCCCTCCGCGTGGCAAACTCGGCATCCAGCCAAAGTATCATTGGGACGTCCGAGCTGGACTGGGACCGTATCACTTCAAAGGACGAGCTCGAAAACAGTCTTATATGCTTGCTATATAGCTCCGGCACGACCGGGCCGCCGAAAGGCGTCAAGGTTTCGCACACGAACATGACGGCCCAAGCGTTTCTTCCCAGTATCCTCCTTCGAGAACACTGGGAGAAAAACGGGAAATGGGACATGAGGACACTGGCGCATCTCCCGACGGCACATATTGCCGGGGTTCAGGTCAGCTCTAGGCTCACTGCTTCCAAGAACATATTCTCAAATTCGGTTGCAGGGGTATTTCGTGAACCCCTTCTATCAAGGAGGAACGACATTCTGGATGCCCAAGTTCGACTTCAACGATTTCGTCGCCCACAACAAGAAGCTCGGGATCACCATGTTCTTCACCGTCCCGCCGATCTTCCTGCTCGCGGCCAAGTCCGCTCAAGTCACAGATGAGTTCCAGTCGCTGAAGCTTGCGGTGGGCGGCGCTGCGCCACTGGGCAGTGCTCTGCAGCTCGGTGCCAGCCGCAAGTTGGGGGTGTCTGTGGGCCAAACGTGGGGGCTTTCGGAAACGACCGGCTCGGTCTCGATGAGCGATGTTAATTTCGATATCGAAGCGGAGGCTGGCAGTGTCGGCAGACTGCTTCCTTCGATGCAAGTTCGGTGCGTGCTTCGTTTGGACCGCCGCCATGCATCATTGACACGTGGATAGCATCGTAGACGAATCAGGTAATGATTGTGCCCCCGGTGTTCCTGGAGAAATACTCGTCAAAGGCCCGGTCGTGACAAAGGGCTACTTCGATAACGAAGGGGCAAATAGCGAGACCTTCCAAGATGGGTGGCTCCACACGGGCGACATCGGGCTCTTCAAGGGTGATCTGCTGTTCGTTGTGGTACGTCAATCGGCCGTGATGCGACGGTCGTCTCTGAAGTTGACGTATGTAGGACCGCAAGAAAGAACTGATCAAGTACAAAGGCGCGTGCTTCGGGCGGCTATCTGCTTTCACCATATGCTCAAGCACACGTGACAGGTCATCAAGTCGCACCTGCGGAACTGGAGGCGCTGCTCATTTCTCATCCTCGCATCGCCGACGCCGGTGTCATTGGGGTCTACAGTGAATCACATGGCTCCGAAGTGCCGCGCGCTTATGTTGTCGCCGACCAGTCCGAGCTGAGTGCTGAGGCAATCCAGGACTTTGTCAAGACGCGCGTCGCCGGTTTCAAACAGCTCCGTGGCGGGGTCCAGTTTGTGACGGCGATTCCCAAGTCACCATCCGGAAAGATATTGCGCAAGGAGCTCAGAGCGCAGGCAAAGCTCTGAATATTGATATTGATAGCTCATTAATCAATTGCTACGGTGGCTTCTTTATGACTGGTGCATATGGCAATCACAACAACAGCCCAGACGGAGAGGACGAGAACGAGGCATCCCCCGTTGCGTCATATACGGTGCGCCCGCGAAGGATCGTCTTGCGAACCTTGCCTCGGAGGGTCAGTCCCTCGTAAGGTGACATCTTGTTCTTGAAGCGCAGATCTTCCTTGGTGACCTGCATGGGGAAAGCACGTGAGCCTCCGGTACGCGGCCCTGCGCCACGATTCGGCTCACCGTGAATTCCGCATCTGGATCCCATATCACCAAATCGCCGTCGTACCCAACTCTCAGTGCGCCCTTGACGTCACCGAGACCTGCGTGGAGAGCGGTTTTGCGGCTCGTCCAGTCGAGTATCTGGCCGATTGAGATCCCTCGTTTGGATCCCTCCGTCCACAGCAGACTCAGTCCCAGCCCAAGCGTCGAGACCCCGCCCCAGGAACTCATCCAGTCCGCACTCTTCAGCTCGGCAACGCATGGGCTGTGATCCGAAACCACAAAGTCGATGGTCCCATCAAGCAATGCCTCCCACAGCAATTCGCGATTCCCACTTTCTCTGATGGGCGGACAGCATTTAAACTCTGGACGTCCAGCTGGTATGTCGGCAGCAGTCAGACACAGGTAATGGAAGCACGTCTCGACAGTCAGATTCAGTCCCGCCGCCTTGGCTGCACGAATCACAGGCAGTGCAGATGCTGCAGATAGATGCACGATATGGCACCGCAAAGATGGATGCAATTTAAGGTGCTTGATGATGAGAGAGATCGCATCTGTCTCCAGTTTTTGTGGTCGCGAATCAAGGAACGTCTGGTACTCCGTGGTCAAGCCGGTCAATTCCGCTGGTTTGTCTGGAGCGTCGTCAAATTCCGCGTGGAACATGAACACCGTCGATGATTCGTCCTGCGCCCATGTTGATTGAAATTTGAAATACCATCAGGTCCTCCATCAAACACACCTGCAGCACATCCATCGCGGTTGATACATCCGATTCAGAGACACACGGGAACTCCTGGCCACGCTAATGAGTGGATGATATCAGGAAGAAGCGGGATGTCAAGCACCTCGACGCCACTTTCTATGAGAAAACACTTGAATCCCTTCACACCTGCGGCAACCAGCGCCTTGAGATGTGACTAGGATCCATTATTCAATGAGCGGGCTGTCTCAGACCGGAAGATACAGCAGTTGACCTGATTGCCAGGGATGACGCCACCCCAGAACCCCACGTCAGTAAAGCATTGGCCCTGAGCAGCCTCGCGTTTGATGGCCAGATTCTCTACAGTCGTTGTCGGCGGGATCGAGTTCAGGGGCATGTCCACTAGAGTAGTCACACCTCCCGACGCGGCTAGAGCCCGTGAGCGCTTCCCCCAAGCGATTATAAATTTAATGTGGCTCTAACCGGCTCGTGTGCCCGTCCAAAAGCCCTGGGCGTTTCGTGAGACCAAGCATCAGAGATCGGACCCAGGATGCAGACCTCCCAATCTGTTCGTCCAGGTTCGTTGAGATGGACATGCGCATCGACCAGGCCAGGGATGAGAAGATGGTCTCCAGCATCTATCCAGTTCGCGATGGAACTTCTCTCACGCCATCCGTCCTCGATAGCTGTGATTTTGCCCGATGCAGCGATCGTAATCGTTGCAGGGCGAAGTGAGCCTATTGAAAGCAGTAAATGAGCGAGCGTGCACGCTCAAAGTCTTCTTGACAACGCGCCTTCTAAGAGAACCCTGCGACCGGTGACGACAGTTTCCATAGCCTACCAAATCGAAGGCAGTGGCGAAGAAGTGGACAGATGGACAAGATGGGATCGACCAACCGGGACTGGTTGCGACGATCGGTGTGGCTCCTTGACGCGAAATGGGGAATGAAGAACAGCTCGCGATTAGCGCAAGGGCTTGTGTCAGATCTCTGTGCTAAAGCACTGCGAAGCGACAATACGCGTCAGAACGTGATCACCGATGGGGATGATCATTTGTTACGCGAGCGATCCCGGGTACGCGCGGTAAGTTACCTCGCATCGCCTGAAACCCGGAATGTCATCATCGTGCTCACACATGCATGATATAAAGATGCCAAATGTTCAACAGTCGTAGCGCTGTCCCTGCTCTGCTTCCCAATCCTCGAACATGCTCCAGTGCGAATCGCTGCCAGCTAGCCCTCGTCGACTGCCGCCTGTTCCTCGAGTTCGATCGCTGCCTCCCATCCCCAGTCCTCTCTCGTGCAAAGCCTGCCATACTTGCATCACATCCTCTGCTGCTCTGGTCCCCCTCTCAGCTGTTCGTCCACATTCTCGCGTCTTGCCACCTCCCCAGTCCGAACATGCATGCGCCTTCTAGATCCCTACAGATTCGCGTACTTTTCGCGGTTTTTCGGGAAAGGCGTCCTTGTTTAGTGAAACGTGCGTACCACTCGCGAAACCTGCCCGCGGAGTCTTCTCACGCGCCGCCCAGGTACAACGTCACTTTACTCAGCCCCAAAACACAGCTTATGCAAACTGGCGCCCACCTGCTCTCTGTGCGTCCCGGTGCACACCGCTTGGTCATGACACTGACGGCATGACAGGAAGTGCAGTGCGGAAGCTGCTCGGCATACCTGGGATACAAAATAATACGCGCGGTGGAAGAGACCGAGCGGTGGAAAGAAAGCTCTTATTTGCTTGAGTTGGCGGAGTTGACCACCCATGAACCGTTCCACCTCCCCCAAACACCGAAACCCAACATTGCCCCCTAGCCCTGTGGGGACACCAGCTCTCTTTTTTTGGACAATCTATTGTATTTATATTCACACCACAAGCATCTGTACCATATCGCATACGAAACATGACAGCCTTATCTCAAGTCCAGCATTATTTGATTGACTTTCGAACAAAACGTGGCAGACCTCAGATCGCTGAGCCAGACAGAGCCAACCTCTTCGTTACGGTTTCGGCCGAGGAGAGGACGTATATTTGTATCCGCAGTTCGGGTTGCCGGCCGCCGGCAGTCCCGGGCAACGGAGCACTTAAATAGAGGTTTTCCGCCAAATGAATCCGGTGCTTTTTAGTTCAGGTGCATTACCCAAGTGCTTGAGCTGTTTTAGGTTTGATAAACCCATATTAGGCTCAGAATGAGGCAGAATCATTCAATTTCCCGCCTGAGCTGGTAAACAATGCTTAGAATAGAATCCTCGGCACGTGGGACTCAATATGTTACCCGGCCAGCGCCGGCGAGCCATCAACATATGGTCAAACTAGGTTAGCCGCTTCGGATCATTGATTCGACAGATGGCTGTGCTGATCTTTAGCTCGAATCCATTCACTGATTCTGTCAGCGGCGTGGCCGACCTCTACAACCTCTCGAGTCGACGCATGACTGTGCGCAATGGCTTCGCCCTCCACTCCGGCATCACTCGAGGCGCTCCTCTCGCCAGGACCTGAATCCCGAAGACTTTCCGATTAGCAGCCGCGCCCGCTGGGATTCGCGACTCGGTTGCAACGGAAGCAGACTTCAACGATGTCGAGCTTGACGACGGGAATTTTTCCCCCGTCGCCCTCACCTCTGGCATGGCAGATGCGGACCTTCACGACAATTCAGATGGCGCGTCCGGTTCCTTGGCTGGCTCCTCAGATTACAACAGTTTGGTCCATGTCCTCGTATTTGTCGCGCTTCCAATCGACAGAATGCAGGTGTCCTTCGGTCGCAGAGCGAAGATATTCGGCAACGTTCGGCTTCTATAAGCACCATCACTTCCGCTAACAACATCGTATACGACTTGCACGACGACACTCAGCAGGGCACTAGGGAGCATCCTCACCGAACTAGCATAGATGGACAGATTCGGTTACAGCAGGAGTTTGAGAGGAGGCACAAGGACTCGGATGCAGGTGCTGAGCGTGACGACGCTACTGTCATAGATTGGGGTGTGCATCTCTCCCGCTCTATCCGTGTTGAAAGGAAATTGAAGGGTATGAACAGACTTTTGGGGTGCTGTGATCTCAGGTGAGGACTCTCTAGAGCCTGGTTCAATGTCTCATTTGCTTAGACTACCAGCAATTCGCCACCGACCGGCCCGAAGAGCTGGCACAGGCCATTGCAAAGGGGATACCGAACACCCTACGAGGCATGATGTGGCAGTTAATGTATTCAACCACGCGTCGAATGTGAATTCTGGTGCTCACTGCCGATTTACAGGGCCGCCTCCAAAGACCCGGAGCTGGAGAGCACGTATCTGAAGTTGCTCAAAGAAAGCAGCACACATGAGAAGTCAATCACCCGAGATCTTGGCAGGTTGGGGCTCTCTTGCAAACTACCTGAATAATCACTCATTCTGCGCCTAGGACATTTCCCCATCACGACTTCTTCACGGACGGGCAAGGTATTGGGCAGGAGAATCTCTTCAATGTGCTCAAGGCGTATTCGATCTATGATGAGGCTGTCGGTTACTGCCAGGGCCTCCCATTCGTGGTTGCCATCCTGTTGTTGAATGTCAGCTCCTTCGGAATGTTTCTTGGCCGCATATTCATCATTTCAGATGCCCGATGAAGAGGCATTCAGTCTCCTCGTGCGGCTGATGCATGTGTACGATCTTCGCGGTCATTTTCTTCCGGAAATGCCCAAGCTGCAGCTGCGTCTTGTGAGTGCTCCTGCCCTCTTGTGGATCCGTATGCTGATATGTACCAGTTTCAAGTAAGTTTATCTCTGAACTCCAGAATGAACGCAGTCGACCATTGTAGTTCGATCGCTTGGTGGAAGAAATGCTGCCTGTCCTTCACGTGCATTTTCTCCGAGAAGGGGTGAAATCAAGCATGTACTGCTCGCAGTGGTTTTTAACGATGTTCAGCTACCGGTGGGTTCGTGAACCAGACCTCGGCCGCATGTTCTGATCGACCTCAGTTTTCCGTTAGAAATTGTGTTCCGGATATACGACAATTGCCTGGCCTCAGGAATCGAGGCGATATTCGGCTTCAGCGTCATGTTGCTCATGAAAAGCGAAGCTACTCTACTCTCCCTCCCATTCGATAAGATCTTGGACCACCTGAACAACCACCTCTTTGATCCATACCAAGTGAGCAGTCTGGCCGCAGGGCTTACGTTTGACCTACCTCACGCATAGATCGAAAATGCGCAAGATGACGATGGGAAGCCGGTGTACGAGGTTGAACAGTTCGTCCAAGATGCAGTGTCGCTTCGCATTACCCCTTTTATGCTGGATTCCTACCGGCACGAGTACGAGGATCTGTTGGTGAGTTGGTCTCTCTGGACGGCGGGGCTTGTATTTTCAACGTCTGGCCAGCGTGAAACAAACAAGCACGCAATTGAAGTCGACGAGCTTCGAAACAGCAACCGAGTCTTGTCTGCTTCCGTGAAAAAACTCGAATCCAGTCTGGCACAACTCAACACAGAGCATGTGCAGGTGCTGGTCAGTGACGCCGTCCATTTCCCCACATGCTTGATGATATCAACAACTGTCCAGAATGAGCTCGTGAAAGCAAGGCTCAGAAATGACGAACTCGAAGGAGAGCTGGTCCGTTATAAACTGTTGTACGTGTCACTCATTCTGCAATTCATTGCACACTCCCTGACCAGACCCAGATATGCCGAGGCTATGCACGAAAACCAAGATGCACAATCGTCACAACGGATATCATTTGCTGGGCTTTTCAGTAGGAAGAGCAGCTAGACGCTGTCAATACCCATTCCACATATTGTATCTCTAGCTGTAATCCTGAATCTGAGTAACACCGCCACCGGATATCAGGGAGAAATCCGGCCCGCCTATTTTTCAAGATCATCCTGATGACATGATGATGATGCTCATGTTCCGCCACTTCTACACTTCCCCCGCCTAGATTCTGGAGAAATAGAGAACGCGAAGTAGAGACTGGCGCCGCAGAATATGCATCTGCTCGCGCGCTGCAGACCACCCCTGCGCTCCACACGCCTGTCGCTCACACAACGATTTACGACCGCCGCCAGCAATCCAAAGCCCAAGCCTAAACCCTGGCTCGTCTTCTCTGGAATTTTAGTGGGATCTGGACTCGCATTATATGCATACAACCCCAAAGCTGCACGGCACGCAGCCTTCGCAGGAGTGCGATGTTCTCGTGTAGTATATGCGGCTTGCCTGGGGGTCTTGGATTACAAAGTATGTCTCTATAGGCGTGTAGTCTATGTGGGAATGACACGACAAGTTATAGGCGACCTTTGCCAGAGCATATGCGTCTGAAGAAGACCGCCTACAGTACGTCTCTGAGGTATATCGCTCCTTGTGGCACAGACCAACCATGAACCCTTACAGAGCTCTGTCCGAATGTCACTCGCGCTCTGCCAGCCATGTCCTGAAAGCGCTGCTTGCAAATGGAGGGATATTCATCAAAGTACGCAGCACAGTATAGACAGATCATGTCCGGTCTCCGAACGAGTGCTAGTTGGGTCAACACATGGCGTCAGTCATGGTGCTCCCCCGCGAATGGACATCAGCAATGCGGCCATTGCAGGACAAATGCGATCCAACCTCGTTTGAAGACATTGAAGCTCTCTTTCGCTCCGATGTCGGAGCGTCTTTGAACGATCTATTCTGTTGGTGACTCTGACTGACGCTCGTTCCACACACTCAGCCCCTACAGATGATTTCAATCCGGTCCCTATTGGCGTCGCTTCTCTGGCTCAGGTAAAGGCGTGCTAACAACTCGATTTGTCATGCTAACATCAAGAAGGTCCATGTTGCCCGTGATCGCAAGAGCGGCAGAAGAGTTGCCGTCAAGATCCAGCACCCGCATCTGGCAGAGTTCTGCGACGTGGATATGGCTGTCGTCGAGTCGTCGCTAGGCTGGATCAAGTACTGGTTTCCAGACTTCGAATTCACGTGGCTGGCCGATGAAATGAAGATCAATCTCCCCCTGGGTCCGTTCCTTCTCGGCGCTCTCCTCTGCAGGGTGCTGATCGATTCGGTGCAGAGATGAATTTCATCCACGAGGCTGCGAATGCAGAGAGAACGCGGCAGGATTTCGAAGGAGTCAAGACCACGCTGTATATTCCGGAGGTTCTATCGGCCACCGAGCGTGTTCTTGTGATGGAATTCATCGAGGGTGCTCGCGTCGACGATCTTGCATATCTTGCCAAGGCTGGAATCAACCGTAATCAGGTGGCTCTGGAAATTGCTTCCATCTTCAACAGGATGGTTCTGATAAATGGATGGTTCCATGCAGTAAGTGAAAGCCAGAACACGCATGTCCAGATTCGCTGACCCAGTGACTTAGGATCCACATCCCGGTAGGACTCTCTTCTTAGCTCCGAGTGCGGTTCTTCATCCGGAAAGTAGGCAATTTGCTCATCCGACCTTCCTCGCATGGCTCGCATTCCACACACAATTTCGAAGTTGTGTTGCTCGACCACGGGCAGTATTTTGACTTGGACCCGCAACTGCGAGTAAACTACTCCAAGCTCTGGCTGTCATTAATAGCACCAGCGACACCTGCTGTCGTCTCGGACCGAAAAAAGTATGCCGAGCAGGTTGGTAACATCACGGAAGATTTGGTGGGTTTCCTCATCCTTTGGCACCAATCGCAAATTCACTTGCCATCAGTATCCGGTCTTTGAGGCAGCTCTTACAGGCCGAGCTGCATTGCAAGGCTCGTACGCCGGAACTGAACAACCCGAGTCCTTCAAGCGTAGCTCCGGGCTAATTGAGATGGCTAAACAGACCGAGGCCGAACAGCAGGCCATTCGAGATGCGGTTTCGTCGCAGGAGGGTGTTCTCCTCTCAGTCCTGCACGTGTTGCGACGGGTTCCGAGAAGGATACTCATGATCTTCAAGCTGCAAGTCGCATCTCCTGCGCCTCTAATGTCTTCTGATCAAAGCTCGGCTAGAAATGACCTCACTCGGCATCTTGATCATGCTCTGGCGACCACACATTCGAATGCGAGTGACGAGACCTCGATGGCCCACGTCTAGCTGACCTGTCTCCAGGTTCGGATATACCTCATTTCTGCACAGTACTGCGCCCGTGCTGTGTGGTTGGACGACAAAAGACGAATCAGCCAAGCGATCGGAATCCGGGGATCTCTCACGATATCTTTGCTGTGGGAATATGTCCAGTGTTGGTGGTCAGTGGCCCGCCCTCTCGGTGTAGTTATCAGCATCTCATCTCTCCACGCAGGAGGTATCAAACTGTGCACACCAGGTTCAGCCTGGCAGAGTTTGCCCTCGACGCTCGTGCGTTCACAGTCAAAGGGCAAGCCTGGGTCAAGGGCCTGCCAGGAGGCATCCGCGGAGCTCAGGCTGCCGCTGCAGGGTTGGCGTAGTATACATAGTACATATTTCAAGTGTTGGTAAGATCCCCGACGAAAATATCTGTGCTAGGCACTACATCTCTTTAACGAGTTCGTCAATGTCGTCAGAGCATTCCTTCAGTTGTTGCCACTGGTGAGTGCGTGCGGTGAGCGCGCGAAGGCACCAATCTTGCAGAGAGCACTCGCCTGATCCACCGTGAGTGATATCCCTTTCTTTCCTGGTTTCATGTCCCCACTGCCCTGAGGAGGGGGCTGAGTGACTCCGTAAACGTCACGGCATGCCCCGCTCACCTTCTCAACGTAGAATTCCCGAATGTCGATGAATGTGGAACCCTTGAATTCCCGAACTGTGACGCGTTTGGTCTTGCCCAGTTCTATGAATTTGCTGCCATCCGGAGAAGTCTGAATCAACACGTCATGGTCTCTTTCAGGGGTCGAATCCTGCTGGAGAGACATGAACTAGCGACGGATGTACTAATACTGCTACGCACAGGATTGGGATACTTGGGTTTCTTTGCGGTGGGCGGCTTGGATGTTGTCTCTTCCAGGTCCACTTTGGTTTTCTACGCGCATTGGGAGATCGCATGATATGACACGGGCGTCGAGAGTAGAACAGCACGTCAGAACATACCTTGGGAGCCTTGGAGTTCGGCTTCGAGGATGTAGCAAGAGATTGTTCCTCCTCGTCTGAGTCATCAGCTAGCGATTTTCGTTTTGGGGCCATCAAGACAAAAAATTTGGAGGCAGTCGCGTTCTTGCAATAGAATGTGGAAAATTGTGGAGATAATTGGTAGAACCTGAGACGCGTTCAGTGGCTGTACATAGCGTGTCTATCACGTGCTTGCTTCCCCGGCGAGTACACCGCGCGGCCAAAAAGTTAGTTATACTGAGCTTATATTCCCTCGGTGTCAGTCCCATGGGTTGGAGATACATAGACGGCTCAAAATCGAATCTAACCAGACAATCCTCATTGCGTTTCAAAATTTGAACCTCATTACCAACCGTTTTACCACATCCTGGGGTCGAATGCGCCTATTCCTCTTCATTTACGCGGCAATTAGAGTAGCCTTTTGTCCGATTGAATACAATAGTCTTACTTACTGCGAGTGTATGACCCATCTCTGACTTGGCTCGGACTCACTCCCGGAGTGTCCGCCCGTGTCAGCGAGCACGTGCTCTTGAGCCCAAAAACTGTTGCCTTAGCCGTCTTTCGCCCTCATCTTGTTGGATCTCATCTCCGCTCTCTTCGTCGCGGAGAATGAAGATCCTCCACAAATCCAAGAAGGCGGTGGCTCCGGTTCGCTCCTGCTCTGATATCACAGTCAGTGTTCTAATCTGTGCCTTTGCAGCCTTCGCAAGTCGCGGAGCTGATAACTAGGCTTGTGAATACGCCAAACGACGATCTTTCACGAGTGCTTGGGGAAATCGACTCTTGGAAATGGCCCCGCTCCGATTTGAATGCGTGGATCAAGGTCCTGAACAAGTTCGACGCTCTTTTGGAGGAAATAATTCGCGACTACGAGGTGGACAAATTACAGATGAACGTCTTCACGCCGGCCACGAAGGCGACGCTGTGCGAGATTTTGAGATTCGAGAGGCTGCTGTTGGAGAACTCGACGAACAGGAAGATGTTCCACTCGTATGATGTGCGTCTGCCCGTTCACTTCGCGCGTACGCGTCTCCTCCTGACGACATTTCGCCAGCGCTTGAACAGCTTACTATTCACATCTGACCTAGATGTCCTCATTCTCGCTCTCAATCTTCTACTTCGACCCTCTCAACAGTATTCGGCGCAACCCTCAGTCTCGCACGCGCTCAACATATCGACTCCTCGCTTGCAGTCGCTCTTCAAACGATGGCCCCAGGTCCGCGAGCACGGAATCAGTCTGGTCGACCTAGTCACTAGTCAAGGCAGTTCTTCCATCGACCAGCTACCTCTGGAAGCACGCGAAGTGCATCTCAACTTCTACCGAAAAGATGAGGGCGTGAGTACCGAGAAGGACAGCGCGAAGATGGAAGTCGACCTCGATGCGTCGCTACAGAGTCCCCTCCGCAAGCCACCGACGGCCACCGTCTCGAACGCAACCAACGTCCACATCGACAGCGCGGCTGTGCAGAGCAAGTCAGATGTCGCCGTCCTTGCTGACATGGCCGACAAGCACTCCATCCCGGACACTGAGAAATTCGATCTTCTGTGCCGCATTCGCATCGCTCAAGCTCTAGCACCCGGGAAAGAGGTTGAGAGAGAAAAGCTTGTGATCGTACGCCTGCTGTCCATTGCCATCTTTGCGCACACACATCCGGAAAGCCAAGCGACCACGTCGCTCTTTCTCTATGAGCCGGATCTGATCAACCATATTGCCGAGCTCCTCCAGACCGACAAGAACGTCCCCGTTTCCGTGCAAATAGCCGCGATTGCAGCGCTCGACGCTCTGGCACACTACCGCAACAAGATCCAGGAGGTCCTCGCAGCTGTCAATGCAGGTGTCAATCACGGGGTGCTGATGGCACTGATTCGAAAGACGGTGGCAGATGTGGCCAGTCCACAGTCGACTCTGCCCCATTCCTTTGCCGAGGCATTACTGTCGTTTGTGACCTTCATTGCGTCCCATTCGTCTGGAGGTAACATGGTCGTCGGTGCTGGCCTGATTCCTCTTCTGATACAGCTGATCGAGAATCGCTTGCCGCACCGAATTCCGCTGGTGTCGAAGACCATGCAGCTGGTCGACAATGTCCTATACAGTTTCAATAACGCATTCCAACTGTTCTGCGCGTCTCGTGGTGTCGAGGCTCTGGTTGAGCGCATCGAAGTACGGCTTCTTGCTCTGAGTAGTCCCAAGCTGATGGTCACTCCTGCAGTTCGAGATCGACTTTGACTTGACTGAGTTTGCTGACGAAACCAAATCGCGCGGCGTTCACAGCACGCATAGTGAGTGATAACGTCGATCCCTTCACAGTGATTCAACTCCCGCAGATGACCTTCCCGTTGCGCGCGGCGCTGTTCTCAAGCACGTGCTCCGCTCTATGCACCGAATGATGCAGTCCTCTGGCACTGCAGAAGGCCTAAGAGGACTGATTGACACGACTGTTCTTGCGTCGATTAAGAAAATCATCAAGAACCGCGGGCTGTTTGGTCCCACTGTTGTGCCTCTGGGTTCGTTGCCTAATCTGATCAAGTATCCCAAAACTCAGTTCATGCAGCAATCAACATGATGGCCACCTTCATCCACAATGAGCCATCTTCGTTGGCCATCATCCAGGAGGCGGACCTCCCTGAAGTGTTCTACCAAGCGGTCGAAGCTGGGCTGGAGCCCGCCATTGAGGTCATCCAGGCCATTCCTAACGCCATTGGCGCTTTGTGCTTGAACGATGTCGGCACTGCACAACTTGCCTGCCACCCAAGCATCATTCCGGCCATCTTTTCTATCTTCACGTCCGACGCCCACTTGAAGGTGCTTCTAGAGAAGGAGAACGCCGTTCTGATCGGCACGACCATCGACGAGCTCATTCGACACCATCCGTTTTTGAAAGAGGCCGTATTTGACGCACTTCAGTCCACGTTGCAGAAGATTGAGGTGTTGGGCGATGCTTACGAAGCTCCTGCAGACATCCGGCAGTGGTACAAACTCGTTGCTGCGGATTCCAAGCCGCCAGTTGATGTCGCCATGGAAGATGTGCCGATCCCGGCACCTGGAGAGAGTGTCCCGGACGATGACGCGAGCGACGAGCCATCCGCCAAGTCTCACGACAACAATATAGTGTCTTTCATCGACATCATCCTCCGCGTAAGAACATCTCTTTTTCTACTCTGCGAAACTTACTCACAGCGCATCAGTTTATCGAAGGGTTGTTCCAGCACACTCCCCACTGCAACGATTTCATCAAGTCTGCGAGTGGATTGGAGCATCTTGGGAAACTAACCAGTCTTGCTTGCGTACCTTACGATTTCGCGAACAGTTCCACGTCCGACTCTCTGGTCCAAGTCATACGGACGATGTCTGAGGTGGCCACCGACGCGACCCTTGCTGCTTTGTCCAAGTTCGTTCGAGATTCACTCGATGCAACGAAATCATTCTGGGAATCGACCGAGGATCAGTCGAAACTGCTGTTACTGGTTGATCCATCTGGTCTGTCCACATGTGGCTCTCGTAGTCCGACCACTAACTGACTTAACACCAGAGGAGACTCAGACCGAAGCCAATGCGATGTTCCGCAGCCTTGTCACGCTTCACATCCGGCTCACGTTGCTCTCCGATGTTTTCACGACAGCGGGATTTGCCCACGGACGTGCTGCTATCTCGCTGCTGCAGATGTTCATGAGCCATAGTACCAATGAAACTCTGAAAGGGCTCGGTTCGCTCCACCGCGTCTCAGTGCTGGAGAACATCCTGCTCAAGGCGGGCCTCGTCGCTCGAGGAATCGAAGTTGAAGCCACGCCCAGCCCGTCATCGCCTGAAGGAAGCCCAGAACAGTCCCCGGTTGCTCTGCCGGAAGCTAGCAATGGCATCCCCAATGGACCAACGAGCGCAAGCGGCGAGCAGAGCGCTCCGGTAGCGGCATCCCCAGTCCCAACGCCAACGCCATCGCCAGCGGCCGGTGGGCGGCTACAGCAGAATGCAGCTGCGCTGAAACATCTGACGCACGGACTACCCAGTTCACTGGCCCCGTTCTTCCAAGGTCAGATCGTATCCCCCGTAGCAAACCGTAGTTGTGCTGAAAACGACGACAACTTAGCCATGGTCAAGATGTTCCACTCTCGGAGAAACCCAGATGCTACGCAGAAGAAACAGATCAACGAATCTTCTGCCACGATCGCCGAAATCATCATACAGCATTTGTCCGTCCGGGGTATTGGTGAGTTTTGGATATTGTTTGCTCCTTGCACATGACACTGATCGAAAGTAGCCAACCCATCTTCTCTCTTTGCCTACTACACACTAATGCTCGGTCTCGTGACGATACTGCTGATTGACGGTGAGGGTTCAAACAACTATGCTTACGTCGTTGCTTATTTGTGCAGAACGTTCGACCAGTAATACATTGCACACAGTGCAGGTCTGTGCGCTGTACGACGCTGGCGGACTGGAGAATCTGTTCGATGTCTGCCGCCTGTTGGTTGCATCTATCGAGTCGATTATCCCCATCCGTGAGGAAAACCGGAGCGACGCGCAGAAACACGAATTGACGCACGCCTGTGGGGCGCTGAAGGTGGCTCTGCACCTGATTCATCCACTGATCTCGTCCAAGCCGATTCTGGAGTCTGGGCAAACGATGCTCCTGATGACGCGGGACAAGAAGGACACCGAGAAGGGCTACTTTGAACCGCATAACTTTGTGGTGCGCCTGCGGCTTGCTGCATTGCCACTGCTTCGGTCACTGTGGGAAGCTTCGTGGCTGATTTCCGCCCCGCTGGGCCTCAGCCGATCGATTGTCCAGACTGTATTAGAGCTGACCAATGGTGATGGCGAGGAGATCAAGGAAGGACCAGTTGATGGTCTACCTGCTGTATCGCGGCATCTGGGGGGTGTCGGTGTCGACGAGCAACGAGTGCGCCAGCTGATGGATATGGGATTCCCACGCTCTGCAGCAGAACGTGCACTGGCCCGCACCCAGAACAACCTGAATGCGGCGACGGACCTCTTACTCTCGCATCCCTTCCCCTTGCCTCCTGATCCGATTCCGGAAGCTCCCGCCGCTGCTGGCGATGTCGATGCGGATGATGCCGAGGAAGACGTCGAGGACGAGATGGAGGATCCTGAACATACGCCGACGCCAGCTCCCGTGGATGTACCTGTTGTGGAGGCTCAGTCGGAGCCTGAGACACCAGGCAAGAGCAATGAAGAATGGCAGAAGGCCTTGGACGAAGCTCGAGAGCCGCTTCGGGCAGGGATCAGTCGGCAGGCGCTGCTTCTGGTGGACGAGCATCTGTCTTTGATCTTCCACCTCCATGCTGCGTTCATCCGCCCGAATAATTCACATCAGCAGCAGGCTGTGCGAGATCTGGTCGACGACATCAAGGACTTCTCTCCATTCGCATACGATGTGCAGGAGCAGCCTCTGGCCAACCGATGCAGATTGCTCGCTCTGGTCTTGTGCGAGACTCCGTCGTCGTTGAGCCCGGAACTGCGCGTGACGCTAATGGACAGTCTACTGGCGCTTCTGCTCAGCAATCCGGTCAGCATTGATCCCGAGCGGCCGAGCATCCCTCGCTGGCTCGCGGCCCATCTGTTGGTCACAGAGGCCCTGTTCACGCTTTCGGAGGAGCCACGGGCCATCACCTTGCCCAAGGAAGGCGAGCCGATTCCTCAGGAAGTGCTTCCCATTGGACCCAGCCTTGCGGATGCCAAGACCATCGTTTTTGACTTCTGTCTGCGCCTGTTGGCCATCCCCGATCTACCCAACGATGAGCTGCTGTCGACATTGCGGCTGTTTGTGCTCATGACTCGGAATCACGACACTGCGATCTCCTTTGCGAAGCGCGATGGTCTGGCCATGCTCTTCACTAGGCTGCGGTCGAGTCCGGTGTCCGGTAGCTCGTCGTACATCGCCACAATCTTGCGGCATGTAGTTGAAGACGCACCCACGGTGCAGGGTGTCATGAAACAGAGCATCAAGAACTACTTCTCTCAGCCTCGCACTAGTGTCGTCGAAGCACACACGTTCGTCCGTAACTGCAGCGCGATCGCTTTGCGAGATACACAGCTATTCATCTCGGCTGCACAAGATCTGTGCCAGCTCGTCAGCCCATATTCAAGCCTGCCTCAGCTCAAGCTGAAACCGCAGTCGCCCGAGAACAAGCCCGCCCAGGCCGACGGCGCCGAAATGCAAGTCGATGCAACACCGAGTAACGAAGGAATCGAATCAGTCGTGCATTTCCTTGCAGCCGAACTGATGCGTTCCACGAAGCCAGAGCTGCCGGAGACGCAGTTGTCCAAGGACCAGATCCAGTACCTGTGCTTCCTCATGCAGTGTCTGACGGAGCTCTTGTTCTCGTATGACTCGTGCAAAGCCGCGTTCTTGTCGTACTCTCCCAAGCGCAAATCCACGGCAACGCCCTCCAAGGAGTTTTCGAGCAAGCTGCGTTCTGTCACACTCAACTTCGTCCTGGCCGAGCTTGTCGTGTTCGAGACCATCAACCATCAGCCGAGCTCTGACGGCTACGATCGAATCACAGCATGCAACTGGGCGATGTCCCTCCTTGTGGCTCTGTGTGTGGACACGTCTTCGGGTGCAGACGTCAAAGAGGTCTCGGCCGAGTTGACGGCGGTGCGCAAGTTTGTCCTCGAGACCATCAATCGCGCTATCAAGGATCTGCCTGCGGTGGACTCTGTCGAGGCGCGCTACGGACGACTGCTTGCCCTGGCGGATCTCTGCCACCGCTTACTCACGGTCCGGGTCAACACGAACTCTCGAAAACACCAGGAAGAGACCCCCACGCAGGTCGCCAAGATCATGCTTGAGAAGAACTTCGTCGCGACATTGACCACCGCGTTGTCCGACGTGGATCTCAACTACCCCAATGTTAAGACCCTGGTGGCGAGTATTCTGCGTCCCCTGGAACATCTGTGAGTCTGCGCCTTTGTTTGCCCCCGCAGTCCTGTTCTTACTGTCCCGCAGGTCCAAGATCGCGATCAAGATGAGTCGCACTCCGACCAAGGGCAAAGGCGCGCTGGACGGACTGAAGGACGACGAGGTGGAGAGTGTTTCGTCGGAGGATTCTGAAGAGGTCGAAGATGAGGAGATAGACGACGCTGGCAGAGAGGAGACACCTGACCTGTATCGCAACTCGGCGTTGGGCATGTACAGTGGGGTGCGTTACATGGCGCGCTGTATGCTTTGGCCCCCAACTGACTTTGACCCAGGAAATGGACGATGTGAACTTTGCAGGGGACGATGAGATGGACGAAGACGAGGAGGATGACGAGGAGGACGTCGAGATGGACTTTGGCGAGGAAACAGGCAGCGAAGACACTTCTGAAAGTGGAGATGAGGGCGACGAAGAGATGCAGGACCAGACTGGGGACTGGGACGCTGATGAAGACGAAGACGAGGATGAGGATGAGGAAGGCGAAGGCCCTCAACTGCAGTCCGTTGGCGATAGCGAAGACGAGGACGAAGCTGAAGAGGACGAGGAAGATCCCATCCACCACGATCTCCAGGCCGAAGCCGAGGAGATAATCTGGCAAGGAGATGAAGTCATCGCTGGTGATGAAGTAGACGAGGATGAGGATGCTGGTGGGCCGATCCAGATTCTACCTACCGAGCAGGACGACGAGCCCGAGATGGTCTCTGAGGACGAGTACGTCGAATCTGAACTGACCTTCTTCCGTGAATCTAATCGTGTGTCCAGATTTGGTGGCGACATCGGTGTCTTGGGTGGTCGGGGCATCTCGGCCGAGGACATCTTCGGTTTCGGTGACACTTTCTTGAATGCGAACGGACGTGATGGACCGGCTGGACTGTTTGTCCCACGTAGGCATCGAGGTGTGATGCTCATGACTCTATTTGAAACACAATATTGACGCTACTCGATAGACGAAGGCCTGCAACTGTTTGGCCGGAACCGGAATCCACCTGCGGCCGTTCCCGAGACCACGACCCATCCTCTGCTCCTCGATGCATCGTCAGCTGGTCGTGCGCCCGCCCAATCGGGTCGGATCAGTCGCCAGCCTCAGCGCTTCGTCGCAGGCGGCCCCGCCGATCTATTGCAGACTTTGGAAGATCTGATTGGTGGGGGTGCAGTGCAACTGTTCCAGCACGTGATTACTCGCAACGGGCGCAATGGCGTTCCCGAGACCATTCGGCTCGACGTTCCGGCCGGTGCGTTGAATACGTTCATCCAGCAGCGGAGGGTCGGAACCTCAGCTGCGCGTGCGATGGAACGTCCGGCTTCTTCGCGACAGAACGGGACAGCGCAGACTCCTGCCGGCCGAGACCTGGAGCCGATGATCACTCCCAACCGGTGGGCCGAGGAAGTCAAGATCCTCCACGGCGATTTTGTCATGGACCGAGTCGCCAAAGTTGGGAATCATGTTGTGCTGGCGCTACTTCCTGCTGCAATTCAGGCAAGGAAGGAGGCCCAGATTGCCGAGGAGCAAAAGGCGAAGGAAGACGAGGCCAAGAGGATTGCAGAGGAAGCCAGAATCGCCGCGGAGGAGGCCAACAAGGCGCAAGAGATGAAGGTTGAAGCTGAAGATGCTATCCCTGCAGTAGCCGCTACTGAGGAGACGCCCGCCGCAGAGACGTCCACAGTAGAGATCTCTGCTGAAGAGAGCATGCCGATTGCGCCACCAGCATCTGGAGATGTAGACATGGCGGATGTGACCGAAGCCCCGGCTTCTGCTGACGCTGGAGCTGAAGATGGACCTAGCACAGCCCCAGCCCGCGTGACTGTCATGATCCACGGCGCGACGGTCGACATTACCGACACAGGCATCGACCCGACGTTCCTCGAAGCCCTTCCGGACGACATGCGCGAGGAAGTACTTAATCAGCACGTTCGGGACCAACGCGCCTCTCGTGTGGAGCGCCCGCCCGACTCGACCATCAGCGCCGAATTCCTCGACGCCCTCCCGCCAGAGATCCGCGCCGAAATCATCCAGCAAGAGGCGATAGAGCGATCGAGACGACGAACGGAAGCGGACGCAGCCAACAATGGGGCGCCGGCAGGGATCCCGGCCGAAATCGACCCGGCGAGCTTCATTGCTACTCTGGACCCGGTGTTGAGACAGGCTGTGTTGCTCGATCAGGAGGACAGTTTCATCCAGACTCTACCGTCGCACATGATCGCCGAGACTGGCGGGTACCGCGAGAACCGGGCACCGCGGCGGGGCTGGACATCGAGGAATCGGAGCGTGCCTGGCGGACTTGCTGCTTCTGGTTCATCGGGAGCGCGCAAGTTCGTGCCTCAGCACGACGCAATTCAGCTGCTGGACAAAACAGGCGTGTCTGTCCTCGTGCGGTTGCTTTTCTTCCCTCAGGTGCTCAAGAAGACGCTGCTGTTCAAGGTCCTAGTCAATCTGTGCGAGAATGCCAAGACGCGCACGGAGCTGTTCAATCTTCTGCTGAACATTCTACAAGACGGAACCGGCGATCTCGGATCCGTGGACAAGGGACTGGCGCAGATGTCTGTGCGCGGCGGTTCCAAGGCGCCGCAGACGCCCAAGTCGGCAGGAAAGCAGGGCAAGATGTCCGACTACTTCACGGCGATCTCCTTGCAGGACGAGATTGTGCCCGATCTGATTGCCCAGCGGTGTCTAGAGGCTCTGACTTTCATCGTCAGCACCAACGAGCTCGCGTCGCTGTTCTTCCTGACAGAGCATGAGCTTCCTGCTGGTCTCCGACGTGCCACCTCACGGAAGGGCAAAGGCAAGGAACGGCAGATGTCTCAGACGCATTATCCCATCGTGCTGCTGCTGAGTTTGCTTGACCGGCAGACCCTCTTGAAGACGCCGACTATCATGGAGAGTGTCGTCAGTCTGTTGGCCACCGTCACCAGGCCACTGGCTAGTGCAAAGGACAAGAAGACAGCAGCTGGTGATTCTGATCCTGGAGCGTCGGCTTCTACCACAGCACCGGCACCGGCTGCAGAAGTTAGCTCAGAGCCCAATGTTACTGCCGCTGTCGCTGGTGGCACTACTGCATCTGATGCTGCTCCTGCTGCTGCTACGGAAACCACCGGCACCACCCAAGAAAATGCTGTTGGTACAAAAGACATGACCATAGAAGCTGCCGAAGAACACATCCTTCTGTCTAATCCGCCCCAAATCCCTCATCCTGTGTTGCGACTGATCGTCAACATCCTCACCACCGGCGAATGTTCGGGCAAGACGTTCCAGCAGAGTCTTGCACTGATCCAGCACTTGTCCTACATTGCCGATGCTCGTGACGTTATTGCCCAGGAGCTCAAGTCCAAGGCACAGGAGTTCGGGCTGTCGCTGTATATGGATCTGGACGTGCTTGCGGACGAGCTCAAGCAGTCATCCTCGTCCTCCGAGGGCGATGTGCTCCTTGGCTCTATTGCGATCAAGTTTTCGCCAGCGTCGTCGATCCAGGCCAAGCTTCTACGGGTGCTGAAAACGATCGATTACATGTACTCGCCCAAGTCAGTCGCTGCGCAGGGCAATCTGGAAGATGCCGATGCGGACAAGGTGCAGGAGATCTACGAGTCGTTCCGGTTCACCTCTCTCTGGCGCCGGCTGGGAGACTGCCTGGCTGTGATCGAGGAGAAGCCAGACACGGAGCATGTCGCCACTGTGTTGCTCCCTCTGATCGAGGCGTTGATGGTTGTGTGCAAGTATGTTGGCACGGCCAAGTCTGCTGCCCGCATGTCCCGGACGTCGTCGGTGCCGCCGAAATCGCCGACGACCCCTCGAGAGTCCGTCGAGGACTTGTTTGTAACCTTCACGGATGCGCATCGCAAGGTGCTGAATCTGATGGTGCGCAACAACCCGTCCCTGATGAGCGGCTCGTTCTCCCTGTTGGTCAACAACCCGCGTGTGCTGGACTTTGACAATAAGCGCAACTACTTCACGCAACAGCTACACCGGCGGCCGCATACCCGAGAACACCATTCGACCCTGCAGCTCAATGTGCGGCGAGCACGTGTATTCGAGGACAGCTTCCAGCACTTGCAGCGCAAGACCGGCGACCAGATCAAGTACGGCAAACTCAGCGTCCGATTCTACGACGAGGAAGGTGTCGATGCCGGCGGCGTCACGCGGGAGTGGTTCCAGATTCTCGCCCGCCAGATGTTCGATCCGAACAATGCGCTGTTCCAGCCGTGTGCTGCTGACCGGCTGACGTACCAACCGAACAAGAACTCGTGGGTCAACCCCGAGCATCTGTCGTTCTTCAAGTTTGTGGGGCGGGTCATCGGCAAGGCCATCTACGACGGGCGGTTGCTCGACGCGTACTTTGCACGCAGCCTGTACCGGCAGCTGTTGGGCAAACCCGTGGACTACAAGGACGTCGAGTGGGTTGACCCAGAATACTACAACTCGCTGTGCTGGATCTTGGAGAACGACCCGACGCTTTTGGAGCTTACATTCAGCGTCGAGGCTGACGAGGTGTGTCTGATCGTCTGTTCTCACTTGCGTTGTTCTTACCAGACTCCGTCGCCAGTTTGGGGTGAACAGGATTGTGCCGCTCAAGGAGGGAGGTGAAGATATCGCTGTGACGGATGAGAACAAGAAGGAGTTTGTGCAGCTCTCTGCGCAGTACAGACTTTACTCGTCGATCAAGGACCAGATCGAAAATCTATCGAGCGGGTTCTACGACATCATCCCCAAGGACCTGATCACCATCGTGAGTATTAATTTGACCCATCTACAGCGCTTTCTGATTTTGTGTGCAGTTCAACGAACAGGAACTTGAGCTGTTGATCTCGGGCACGCCGGACATCGATGTGGATGAATGGCGCTCTGCGACTGAATACAACGGCTACACGTCGTCTGATCCGAACATCGTCTGGTGGTGGCGGGCGCTCAAGTCGTTCAACCGAGATGAGCGGGCGAAGGTGCTGAGCTTTGCGACTGGCACGAGCAAGGTCCCGCTCGGCGGTTTCACAGAGCTGCAAGGTGTACAGGGTGTACAGAGGTTCTCGATCCATCGCGCATATGGAGAGTCGGACAGATTACCGCAGGCTCATACTTGTACGCTCTCTCGCTTTCTTATGCCATCGCATTAAGCTGACTGACGCTCTCCTTGCAGGCTTCAACCAGATCGATCTTCCTCAGTATTCCTCATACGAAATGCTGCGCCAACAGCTCTTGCTTGCTATCATAGAAGGAGGCGAGGGATTTGCTTTTTCGTGATCACGCACCAACCGAACACTAATCTTGAACATAAACTCTCAATGTACAACCTTCTGCATACAATACATATTTCTGCTGTCTCCATCAATCACTCCTAGAGTGGCATAGCCACACCGGTCCACAGTTGTAGCCGATCCCGGAAGCATTACAACTTCCCCGCCCTTCCCCACCGACTACTTACATTCTCGTCGACATGAAAGCTTTCGTGGTCCATGAGCTCGCCCACCCGTCCAAGATGACACCCACGGCCAACTGGCCTGCTCCGAAATTGGGACCGGGCCAGGTCATGATTGACGTGTACTCGACCGGGCTCAACTTCTTCGATGTCCGTCCGTGGGCTAGAGAGTCGACAGAGATCACACCGCTCACTCCTGAAATTTAGATTCTGCAGGCGCAAGGTCGGTATCAGAACCAGCCCCCTCTGCCGTTCGTGCTGGGCTCCGAGTTCGCGGGCAAGATCGCGGAAGGATATCCGCTTCCCCCTGGTGAGTTGGCCGCCCGTCTCGTTTGCCGAGGGACTTTACTGAGCCATTTCCGGTCCAGGCTGCCCGTTCAAGCCTGGAGACCGTGTCTTTGGCTCCGCCCAGGTTTGCTGCTGCGACTACTTACGACGCGCCAATTGCTTATTGCTGTCGACCAGGGTACATTCGCGGAGCAGGTCGCGGCCAACTTGCACTCTGTGGTGCGGCTGCCGGACAATCTCACGTTCGATCAAGGCGCTGGTGCGTGTCCGCCCACAAAGCGAAGGACTGGCTGATCAACGGCGAATAGGACTCTTTGTCACTTGGCCCACAAGCTACGAGGCTCTCGTCGGCCGTGCTGAGATCAAACCAGGCACGTGCTACATCCCCGGGCTCACCGTGACGGCTCTCAATCTTATCGGTCTTCGCAGGCGAATGGCTGTTGGTTACCGCAGCTGCGGGCGGAGTGGGGATTGCCGCTGTCCAGCTCGCGAAGGGTATGTCGCCGATCCCCATGCGCCTAACGCAAATCCACGCTGACGAGAGTGCTTGCCAGCTCTCGGTGCCCGGGTCATCGCAGCGGCCAGCTCGCAGAGCAAACGGGACGTCGCCACCGAGTACGGGGGAGCCGACTTCACTGTCGACTATACGAACAAGGGATGGCAGCAGGACGTGCTCAAGATTACGGGCGGGAAAGGCGTGGACGTGATCTACGACCCTGTGGTGAGTCGACCGCGCTCATTGAGAATGTCATCGGGCTGAGCAGCGCACGTGTTAGGGAATGATCACCGGTATGCACGCGCTACAGACGAGAGGCCGGCTGATACAATATGTGCAGATTGCCTGAAATGCATCGCATGGAAAGGTCGGGCTATCGTCGTTGGATTTGCCGCCGGGGCCATCGAGAAAGTTCCCATGAACCTCGTTTTGCTCAAGAACATCTCGATCGTCGGCATCCACTGGGGCGCGTACCAGCAGAAGGAGGCCAGCCACATGCCGAAAGTGCATAAAATCATCACCGAGTGGGTTCGCTTCTCAGCGTCTTTTGATCACTACTGATTCAGAACAATCAGCTTGTTAAGCTCTAAGCGTGTCAGCCCGCCTGTGATTTACAAGAAAACATTCACGCTCGATACGCTGGTGGACGGACTGCATGCGCTGGAGACACGGGAAACATATGGAAAGGCTATCGCACAAGTCAGAGAGGAGGCAGCAGCTGAAAGAGCCAAGTTGTAATCATGTACATAGTGATACCTACCGTCTATCTCTCGGAGGTCCGCAGATTCCGTCACGATTGTCATCGAAGAACACCCTCAACGAGAGAAGGATTGACAGACATCTGCTGCGGAACTAGCCGCGACGGTGAACTTTGAAGTGAGTCCGGGGAAGCGTGGGAATTGTCTTCTTTTTGTGGAAGTTGCCTATCTACTACCCCATTCCGTGTGTCGCAACGAAGAATAGCGGTCCTCCAACCTCAAAGTTGGACACATCATGCATCCGAAGCAGTGCGATTGACACAGCAACCGCCAGCTGCTACCAGGGCTCACTCTCTCTGGGAAGCGGACATAAGTTCGGTCACAAGGTCCAACCCTTGCGTTGCTTTTAATGTTGTCGACCACCGGACAGTAATGTGCCTCTCCGTTGAGACCGCCCATCCCCACTTCTATGTCCACCACCACGTCTAGCGCTGCATCGAGTTCCGCGAGCAGTAGCGTTGAGCCGTTGGGAACGAACTCGACACTTTACTATGGTTAGTTCAAGCTCATTGGCCATCGTCGATCTTGCATCTTAATTGAATAACTTGCAGTACATACTATTCTTATAACGTTCATCTTCCTCGTCTCCATCGCAATCTTTGTCGTCCTCCGGTCCGTCATCTTGAGGCGAAGACGACAAGTCGCAATCGCCAATGGGACACATGTCTCAGACGATGACCTCGCCCAATATGAAAAGCCAGACGAATATGAGGAACCCCAGATGTACGATGTGTATGTGCAGTGGCAACGTGGTGGCAGCAAGGAGACCAGATGGGATATCTTGAGCGTGCGTCCCACTGCTCCGTCCATTCTGTGTTCACCAAGTGACGATTCGAGAAGCCCATATCTGTGACGGACCCTGCTTCCGCAGCATATCCAACGTGGGAAACACAGCCCATTCCAACTCCGCAGCCCGCCGAGCCGCAACTGACGAGAGGACGAAGGATATGGAACGAAGTGAAGGTGCATCTCGTCAATTTCATCCCGATATACAGCTGCATAGAGCCGACAAGATGCGACTCGTCCCTCCCCACAACCGTCTTCATGCCCGATGGTCGTAGAATGCTACAACTAGCAGTTCTACTGCACATGCCAGATCCTCTGCACCACTCCGGAGCGATGTCAGATCTTTGTCCCTCGGATGTAGTAACCGGCGCATATGGCGGCGACGAATGGGTGCCGTACTTTGAAGTGGGATCGCTGGACGCGGCTCTCAGCGTCACGCGTGTGGGACCCTCACATACCAAAGAGCAAATGTAACGATATCTAATTTTAACGTCTTGCGATGAGATTCCCGACCCTCGCACGAAAAAAAAAGTGGCCGATCGAGTCGGAGTGTGCCTGCATGGGCAAGTGAGAGCTGAGATCTTGAGAGATCATTTACTGAGAACGCGGCACATCTCCTGTGACACTTCAGGCACCATGACCACGTGAAAATATGTCACGCGTGACAGACCGCGTTGTCTTTTCATCCCCAGCACCCATTAGTGGCAGCCGCGTCGCGTGCTGCAACAAGAACACCGCAATATCATGGTCAGTTATCCTCGATCAGCAACGCGTATCAGTCATCCAATTCACTCTCTGCAGTCGAACAACGCGCAGACTCCGCGACGCAAGCGCCAACGCTCGCCCTCTCCTGGATCCTCTCCACCGCGGCCAGAGACACCCCCTGCCCAGGAGATCCTGCCGCCTTCCTCGCCTCAGACACAGTTCTCGGACACCGACGAAAGCCTCGACGAGCGCGACGCCGTCCCTGACTTGGACGACGAGGAGGGCGAAGATCTGTTCGGCGAACAAGTCTTGGAAGCGTACGTCGTTATCCGAATTCGTTTGCGACATTCGTATGGGGTGCTCATGTTAGCTTCAGAGACTACGAGCCAAACCAACTTCTCGACCAGTATTCTGATGCCGATATCAACGACAACGAGGACCTGGAGGAGCTCACTGCCGCGCAGCGTCGCGCCGCCGAGCGTAGGATGGACCGTCGCGATAGACTCGATGGACAGGGCAGACGCGCGGCGGCGCGTCGCAGAGGCCCTGGATTCGTTGACGACGACGACATGGATGATGGTGACGAGGACGAAGAGATGGTCGCGCGCATGAAGAAGCGTACGCGGCGACCGTACGACGAGCGCAGGGATATCGATGACATGGACGGTGTTGAAGGCGTACGTGTATCCTGTCTTGGCACGCATTCTTGAACCCATATCCTTCCAGGAAATCCCGCTGGAGCAACTGAGCGACATCAAAGCGAAATCGATCGTTGAGTGGATTGCGAATGATGTCGTCCGACGCACCATCGTCAAGCATTTCCGCTTGTTCTTGACCACCTATACCGACGACCACGGAAACTCTGTCTATGGACAGCGTATCCGGGCTTTGGGAGAAAGTGAGTCGGTTGGTTTCACCTCACGCTTTTGCTAATATATCTAGACAACGCCGAATCTCTCGAAGTGTCTTATGTGCACCTTGCAACGTCCAAAGCAATCCTTGCCTACTTCTTGACAAATGCACCCTCAGCCATGCTCGAAATCTTCGATGAAGTGGCGCTTGACGCTATTCTCGTATATTTCCCAGCGTATCGGAGAATCCATTCGGAGATTCACGTTCGCATATCCGAGCTTCCCTTGAGCTCGTCCTTGCGTGAATTGCGGCGGTCTCACCTTAACAACCTCGTCCGCGTAACCGGTGTAGTAACCCGTCGAAGCGGTGTTTTCCCGCAGCTCAAGTATGTTAAATTTGACTGCAAGAAGTGTGGCGCCGTTCTAGGCCCGTTCTATCAAGACGCGACTCGTGAAGCTACGGAAGTCAAGATCAGCTTTTGTGGACGATGCGAAAGTAAAGGGCCGTTTCCCGTCAATTCCGAACAGGTCCGGCTCTTCATCCGAGATGGACCGACGTATGCTGATTATGGCTCTATAGACTGTGTACCGCAATTATCAGAAGATGACTTTGCAGGAGTCTCCTGGATCTGTTCCAGCTGGACGACTGCCTCGACACCGAGAAATCATCTTGTTGTGGGATCTCATTGATAGCGCCAAACCGGGCGAAGAAGTGGTGGGCGGTGTCTCGCTGCTTGTTGTTACTTTCATTAATCGACGCAGGAAATTACCGGCATCTACCGCAACAACTTTGATGCGTCGCTGAACGCGAAGAACGGTTTCCCTGTCTTCTCCACGATCATCGAGGCGAACCACGTGAACAAAAAAGAAGATTTGTTTGCTGCGTTCAGACTGACGGAGGACGACGAGAAGCAAATCCGGCTGTTGGCCCGCGACGACCGCATCCGCAAGCGCCTGATCAAGTCGATCGCGCCCTCGATTTACGGTCACGAGGACATTAAGACCGCGATTGCGCTGTCTCTGTTTGGCGGTGTGCCGAAAGATATCGACCACAAACATCGTATTCGTGGGGATATCAACGTACTGCTCCTGGGAGACCCTGGGACCGCCAAGTCGCAGTTCCTCAAGTACGCGGAGAAGACTGCGCACCGCTCGGTCTTTGCGACGGGCCAAGGCGCGTCTGCCGTCGGTCTCACTGCTAGCGTGCGCAAAGACCCTGTGACTCGCGAATGGACGCTGGAGGGTGGCGCGTTGGTGCTCGCAGACAAGGGCACGTGTCTGATCGATGAGTTCGACAAAATGAACGATGCAGACCGGACGTCAATTCACGAGGCCATGGAGCAGCAGACGATCTCGATCTCCAAAGCAGGGATCATCACAACGCTGCAGGCGCGCTGTGCGGTTATTGCAGCCGCAAATCCGATCCGGGGCAGGTATAATCCAACGATCCCGTTCCAACAGAATGTCGAGCTGACAGAGCCTATTCTGTCCCGTTTCGACGTGCTCTGCGTTGTCAAGGACAGTGTGGATCCCGTGGCCGACGAGCTGCTGGCGCGTTTCGTCGTTGGCAGTCACTTGCGCAGCCACCCCAAGTTTGAGAAGGAACAAGATGAGATGGAGGTTGGGACCACCCTGGATGCTGATGTGAGTGTTGTCCGCATTTCACACGATGGACTCGGATACTAAACGGTGCAGATCATTCCTCAAGACACCCTGCGCAAGTACATCATGTACGCGCGGGAAAAGGTCTATCCGAAACTGCATGCACTCGACCAGAACAAGCTCTCCGACTTGTTCGCTGATCTCCGCCGTGAATCTCTTGCGACGGGCTCTTTCCCAGTCACCGTGCGCCACCTGGAGAGCATGATTCGGATGGCAGAGGCCAGTGCAAAGATGGCTCTCCGCGAATATGTGCGCGCGGACGACATCGACCTGGCGATTGAAGTCGCAGTCGGCAGCTTCATCAACGCGCAGAAGATGAGCATCAAAAAGACGCTGCAGCGGGGCTTCCGCAAGTATCTCACACAAAGCAAAGACCACGAGGAATTGCTCGCCTTCCTCCTCGGCGGGCTCGTCAAGGACAAGGCACGGCTTCACCAGCTGCAATTCCGCGAAACACCCAAGTCCGTCGTTGTGAAGCTCGCCGAGTTGGAGGCCCGGGCCAAGGACCACGACATTTTCGATGTCACTCCCTTCCTGCGCTCTCGACTGTTTACTGCCAACGGATACAAGGCCAGCGATGGAAACATCACCAAAGAGTTCAAATCAACCTGAGTGGAGATTACGCCTGTCTGTTTGTAAATCTAGTGTTTTTTTATGTATGTGTTTTTGGTGCATGTGAACGTGAGTTGGGATGCAAGGTTGTGCGGTTTACGCTGTAGGCTCCGAGTCTTCAGCCAGTGCCCGCTCTGCTGCAGCAACAGGGTCGGGATCTTCACCCAGTACTCGTTCTGCTGCAGTAACAGGGTCCTCGTCAGCCGCTTCGTCCTCCGCGATTTCTGGGCCGGGTTCAGATCGCAAACGAAAGAGATTTCCCTGCGCACTCACCAGCTGCATAGACCTCCGGGTGCTGCCTGAAGCATGTCTGCATCCCCTGGAACTTTTCCACGCAGTTGATACCCTTGGGTTCCTCTTCCGAAAACACAAAACACGAGAACGCAGCTCGGAATTCCTCCCCACACGGTCCGTGTGCCATCCCACCCAGACACGGGCAGTCCCAGTTGATTTCCCCCGTTTCGGGGTTGAAGGCGCCGCCGTTCGAGTCGCTCGTCGGTTGGGCTTCGGTCATTTCGGACTCTGAGGCATGCACTGGGGCGGGTTCAGGCGTCCGTGGCGGCTTCGCGTTCGGGTGGCCTGCAGGCCATTGTAGTCCTGCGGAAAAAGAGACATGTTACGCCAAAGTGCTCAGTGATTTCGGATATGGGGTACCCTGCAGTTTGTCTATGTCCTCCTTCTTAAACGGTCGGATGGAAATTAAGCCGGGCACGCCCACAGCGAGCACGGTCCCGGCGCCCGCTGCAAAAGCGCGTTTTGAAGACCCGGCTCTGGGATGGAAGGACTGCGAGCCGAGAGATTGCCTACAGGACCGGGCGAAACGAGCGAACATGTTGGTCAGCGAGAGGGAGAAAGTGGTCGGAAATTGACGTGATCGTGTTGTTTGTAAGCGATGCCCTTCCTCACCCGAGCCATTATCTTTGCGGACTCAGCCGCGGGCTGTCGCGGATCTTGTTCCCCTCTCTCAGCCGCAGACTTTCGGTGACCATGGATCTGGAGGTCGTCCAGATGTTGCATGTGCTGGCTACGGAGCCAGAGCTCGTCGTGCCCAGCGGGAAGTCATTACTGTCCATGCTGACCAAGTCGCGTTCGGAAGAACGGCCTCAGGATGGCACCGCGGCGTTGCATGCACGAGTCGAGAAGGTGATACACGGCGCCTTCTGGGACCAGGTATTTGTTCCATGCACGAAGATACTGCAGCAGCTCATCTCAATCGTGTGGTAGGCGCTGGAAGCGCTGTCCGACCCCACCCCGTCGGTGCAGATCGCCCGTCTCAAAGGGCTCTTGAAGGATTGTGCGCGGAGCGTTCCATCCAGTCTTCTGATATTGAAATTAATGAGTTTTTGGAAGTGCACGATACGCTATCGCCTCTGTTCCCTCCCAATCATCGCACCATCCTTACGCTGTCGTACCCGCTACCTCCGACGGCGTCCCCGCTGATTACGACGAACATGATCCTTCGGGAGGTTCTGGTCGCGCTCCGTCAACGCGCTGCACCCGTTCGAGACGCGGTGATCGACCAACTCATTTTGGATCTCGACGCGCCAATATCCGCCACGGTGACTGATACCAAACCCGGCGACTCGGACACCCAGTCGCCTGCCTCGGCCTCCCTTGCTTCTCTGACGATCAACACGTTCAAGGCGATCCTCGCGCTCGCAGAGAATATGAAGAGCGATCTGAACCAGGTCGTTTTCGGATCGCTCACGGAATCGCAGGTCAAGGAAGTCGTGCGGGAGCAGGCCACGAGCCAGGAGAGGCAATTGACCTTGCAGCTTTGGGGTGGCGAACAGAAGCTTGAGGAACTATGGACCGAATGGCTCGAGGGACTGGCTGATTCCGACCAGCAGAGACATGTATGGATCAGACGCCTCGGACAATCCCTGCGCTCAACGGACGCGCTTTCTTGCCCTGTACCTGGGCAGAACCAAAGTCCGGCAGAGAAACTACCGAACGAACTGCCTCCCCAGTTCTTCTTCGTGACAACGCGGCTTGTCTACGTGCAGAACTACATCCAGGCGCTGGTCGTCGCCGCGTCGTTGCGATCGCTCACCCGCTTACCACCCTCCAGCGGAGACACGATCGCCGAGGAATTCATGAACCGTGTCTGGATACTCCTCAAAGCCGAGGTGGACGACGTAGAGCCCGACGGGACGGGCTCTAAAGTGGTCAACTTCGCAGACGAAGTAGTGCGGGTGCGGCGACTGACGTCGTCCGTGGACGAACACGAGGAAGGGCTGCTCCGAGCTGCAGTCGACCGAACACTGCAGTACGGAGATCCCGTATTCAAGCTTCTCCAGCAGAGGCTGATCAACGCGCTGGCCGATCGACTGTGTCAAGCTCGAGATGACAGCCCAGGCTACACTGCCAACGGCATTCCTAGTCAATTACAGAGCGGTCGCGCGCAGAAACGACCGCGGTTGGAAGAGTCCAATGGCGCTGTCAGGGGTCCCCGCGTCAAAGGCTTCGAGGAACCGGTACTCGTGAATGCCGTCGAAGAGGTGTACAGCAAGCTTTCATTATATACAAACTGGGTAGATACCGTCTGGAATGAAGATTCTAGTTGAAATGTCCGTCCTTCTACTTGGTTCCCATCCAAGCGCAACCCAAATCTAGTAGAGATCCCTCTCGCTCAGAATCTGTCAAAGAGGCCGACCAACATGCTCTGCATAGCACCGTCTCGGATCGCCTGCAGACGAATAAATGAAGACCCGAACCAAACAGCAAATGAGCGGCCTCACCTCATGAATAGTCGAGACATTTTGTCCAACCGTGACGTCATCAACACCCATCCCGTTGGCGAATCCAGTATAGTTCTCAATCCCGTGCATCTTCACACCGAGCCGGACACGGATGAACTCGTACATCGGCTTGGTCCTGCCGAGATAGCAGCTTGCAGGGGTCGGGCCGCGCGTCCCAGACAGGAAGTCGCCGCGGATCTTGTGAAGGAGCATGGCGCCGCGGGTAGCCACCTTCTCTTGGAACGCGGGGATGCCGGCGAGCGCAGAGCCGGAGGAGCTACTTCCAACAAACTCGGTGCTCGTGAAGAAGCGGAGGAGCAGCGTCGAACTCGAGGCAGCCACCTCCCGCATCTGGTCAAAGGCGTCCATGGTGCTCGTGCGCTCCAGAGTGGCGGTCATGGTTCTGAAGACATCCTTTGTAATCCTATGAGGGACCAAGGAAGGAGCAAACGCCGACTCCATTTCTTGGTTCAGGATGTCCCGGAGACCCTCTGCAAACTCGGATTGTAGGGCCCGGACATCCACGGCTTGAAAAGATCAGTTTCTAGGCCGATGAAAAAGTAACACTGACAGACCTTGGCAGAGAACATAGAGGTACGAAGCAATGAGCATCGACAATACGTCCAGAGAGTTGATGGTTGCCCGCGCGGAAATCAGAGCAAGGGAGCTGCGATCGTCAGTTGCATGCACTGCACGACCATCAGAGCAGAGCAGACTGACTTGACTGCCTGATTGTGCATTTCCGCAGATTGGATGTGAGTGCTGACGGGATTGGCGAGGTATCCGAGCTCAGAAACATAGGCTGCAGCGGCAATATCGATGCCCTTGGCGAAATAGTTGAGGGATGGATCGGAGGCTGCTAGGGATGGAGGCAAGCCCCGGTTCATGGCGGGGTTCAATAGTTCCGTAGTCTGTGCGAATAATAGTTTGCCGATGTGATGCAGAGCCAGACGCGTCTTCTCCATTGCATTGCTGACCGAAACAGCTTGGAAGTTGCCACCTGAATACATTGTCGTTATCAACAGCCCCTGAAGGCTAGGACACAACCCACCATGATGAACTTCGCCGGTTTCTCCATCAACAAGGGGGTTATCCGTGGCTGGAAAAGGATAAAGAGATGATCGAGTCCGAATTGGGGTGAAAGCTCACTTGAATTGCATTCTTGAGTGACAGTCTTGAGTGCCGAGAGAATGTCCTCGATCTGCGGTCCCAAGAACTGGGGAGAGGTGCGGAGGGGATACCGGTCCTGACGAAGGGAGTACTTGTCGTCCTCGAGGCTGGTTTCTTCTTCGTGCGCTTGTGCAAGCTTGCTTCCCTCGAGCAGACGCCAGATGGTCTCCGCGCATTCGACCTGAGGTGGGGGGATTTAGGCACGTGATCGTCGAGAGTGGTACGGCGTCATATGCTCACCTGACCAGGATGAGGGCGAGCAGTGGAATGGATGAACGCGTCGAAGGAGGCACGCGTGCCGACGAGTGCCTCGGTGCCCATGGCTGTGCAGATCTGCGCAAGCACCGCCAAATGGACGGCATCATTCAATGCCAGCGACGCCACACTCGCAGAGAATGCAGTTCCATTCAAAATGCCTGGCAAATGATCAGATTCGGCAGGAGCCGAGATAGAAAAGCGTACCGAGCTGCTCCTTCGAGGCTAATGCGATAGGCTGGATGTTGTGCGCCAGAAGGGCCTCACGTGATGAAACCATCTTGCGTGAACCGAAGGCAGGCGGCCCATCGAAAGCGCGGATCGAAGGATTGCCGACTGGAAAGGTAAGGTAAGGCCGAGTGCAGCGGGCAGCGGAGCGATCCAACCTAGCAATCCTGCCACGTACGAAAGAGGGGATAAATCTAATTCAAGGTGATAAGGGGGAGCAGCATGTCGCGTTGCTTGTCAACTTACCACCCGAGGCCGAGATAGAACCTCGCAGGGGCACAGCCGGAACCACATTGGCACACAAGACTTGATTGATTTTGTCGATGAGCTCCCATCGCACGCCCGAATGGCCGCGGATGAGAGAATTCATTCTGATCAGAATGGCACCGCGGACCCAGCTCTCGGGCATCGTCGTCGAGCTCCCGGGATCCAGCAGAGGAAGCAGCACGGGCACATCCTGCGATGAAGGAAGAACCCCTGAGAAATCGGCGCGTCAGTCCACATTCCGAACAAGGAAATATGTCTGAGACACCGCGCACCCGCGTGTTGATGCTGGAGAAGCGCATTTCCAAGAAGCAGCGGCTGGTCGGTTCGCGTGTCCGCTGCGAGCGATTCAATGAAACGGCACGGGAACTGAGATGTCCGAGCGCACCGCTGCCACCGAAGCCGGTGCTCAGTCCATAAACGCTAACTCCTTTGTCGACCTTGTCCGTGATAACGGCGCGACTTTTGGCAACGCGGTCCTGCATTCGGGGGTCAACGACCACGGTCCATGAGAAGAGATGCAGAGCCAGACCTGGGCGTCCGCGTGCAGTTCGATCTCAACACCAATGTCGCGCGCAGCGGCCGTCACGGCAGAAATCGACAGCGTCGAGCCGTCGACCTGGACGGTGCGCTTTCCATTCCTGGCGGGGATATCAGCAATCAAACGCGTCGCGCTCGGACGCGTAGACGCACCGATAGGCCTCCAGCTCCTTCTGCCCCGTCAGGAAAGCGGAGAGCAGGGGCAGAGAGGACGTGTGGTTCCCGTTGGCGAGGCCACTGACGGCAGCGGAGAGTTTCCCGGTGGTGTCATTAACGACCATGTTGATGGGTAGGTAGGAGGAGATGCACGAAAGAGCAGACAGGAACCCCTTTATTATAGAGCTGAGCCGGGATAGATCCGTTTTTTCGTGTCGTCATCACTTGCTAACGTACTGTATCAGAAAAAGATGGATCACACTAAGGAGGCGAAATACACGCAAGTGAACCAACCCAATCTACGTAAGTTTAAGCCGTTCTAGCCTCCCGAATCAGACGCAGCCTACATTAGTGGAAGGTCCAACGCAAAACACATAACACATACGGGGGAGCAGCACAAAATCGTCGGGGTGCGGGTGCTGTATTTGGGAAGCAAAATGTTGGCCGGCGGTGATACAGAACATCCCAAGGTCCGTCCGGACAGCAGTCCTCGAATTCTCTTGATAAACGAGGCGACTTTCGATATCAACGCGTCCGTAATTGCTCGAGTGCGATTAGTGCCCGGCTCGGCACCTTATGATACTTAAGCTTGACGTGGCTCGAGGACCAGGGTGCGACCGAAATTCAAATATTCGCATCTGCGGGTGTGTGCGATTGAGATCCGGCAACTTGTGAGGGGCCAAGCATACCAAGTCTAGGACAATTTTTCACGCGAACGGACATCGTGAGAGGGATCTGTGCCGCGGGAGAAAGGAAGCCGATGTGGTGGCCAGTGGACTCTGGAGGACATCGTTAAGCTTTATCCCTGTGCCGTTGCCTCATCATCATATGCATCAGCGCCAACGGTGCCGTGGGAACTCGAATGTCAACAATGACAGCGCTAGTCACGTGACTTCTCATTGAGTGATCACCGAGGGCGCAATGGATGCCTGAAACAACACCACACAACGTTTTGACCCATCCTCAATGCCTCGTCGAGATGAATACACAGTCATAGGCTCCGGCTCAGATGATTCATTTGACGACGATGAAGGTCCGCCGCGCAAGGGAAAGGGCAAGGACAAGGCTGGTAAACGCAAAAAGGACAAGGGGAAAGGCAAAGCAACAGACTCAGCATATGCATGGGAAGCGTCGTATACGCGTTCTTGGGATACTGTTCAAGAGGATGAAACTGGGAGTCTACAGTCAGCAGTCGAGGGGTGGATGGCACGCGGCCGAAGACGTAGGTACGTCAGAGGAGGACATCTCGCATTCTGTAACTGAGAACAACTTGCGTTTAGGCTATTGGCACCCACGGCTGTTCGTCGAACTATAATTCGCCATTTGATTTTGGTGCTCGATCTTTCCTCTGCTATGCTGGATCGCGACATGCGCCCGACACGATTCGACCTTATGTTGCAATATGCGCGAGAGTTCATCGTCGAGTGGTTTGATCAGAATCCCCTGGGTCAAATCGGCATCATTGGAATGAGGTCTGGTGTGGGTGAGCGCTTTGGAGAACTCTCTGGTAGGTCAATGTTGGCCTTGGACTTTGATACCTCCTCAGATCGTTGCAGGCAATCCTCAGGACGTCTTGAAATCCATCGCTGATCGGCATAGACTGGAGCCTGCTGGAGAACCGAGTCTCCAAAACGCAGTTGAGCTTGCCAAGAGCAGTATGAGGTGCGTCAAACGAGCTAGCCCGACACCATTGAATCAGCTGAACGGATGCTCAAAAGTCACCTACCCACTCATTCTTCGCGCGAAATCATCATTCTCTTCGGGTCTTTGACCACCTGCGATCCCGGGAACATACACGACACTCTAGATGACTGCGTCACTAACAAAATCCGGATATCTGTGGTCGCTTTAGCGGCTGAAATGAAGATCTGTAGAGAAATGTGTGATAAAACCACTGGTGTGTAATCCACACTGTTCCTCCTGCAGTCTTCCTCACGTGCTTCTAGGCCAGTTCGGTGTTGCGCTCAATGAAGGGCATTTCAAAGACCTTCTCTTTGAACTCATCCCCCCACCTACACAACATGCCGCTGTAAAGAATGCCGCTAACGGGGCACCTGCCGCTGGCGCCAATCCTGCCGCGGACCTCATGATGATGGGTTTCCCTACCCGACTACCAGACTCGTCTCCACCAAGCCTTTGTGTTTGCCATTCGGAAATGCGAAGTGAAGGTTTCATATGCCCGCGGTGCCTCGCCAAAGTGTGCGACGTTCCAACGGACTGCGACATCTGTGACTTGATGATCGTGAGCTCACCGCACCTGGCTCGGAGCTACCACCACTTGTTCCCTGTCAAACCATATGTTGTAGTGCAAGTCACTTTTTTGATGTTTTTTGGCTCGGCTGATCGGCATCCTTAGAATGAATTTGGTTGATGCATCGCACTGTAAGCAATGCACTGGCTGCGCTCGACCGTTCCCCACGGTGGCACAAACTATGGCATTGGATGCATTGAGTCCTATAGGAAGATATCGTTGTCCTGAGTGCCAAGGAGATTTCTGCTCGGACTGTGACGTATTTGTACACGACGTGGTTCACTGTTGTCCGGGCTGTGGGAAATAAATAAATGTGTCGTGGTCTATTTGGCTGGCACGTGCACGTGTCTTGATCCTCTAATAGTCGCGGCTTTATCGCTTTCGGTCCCCTACAATGGCGCCAAAGAAAACCCCTACTGCGACCAGCAACAGCAGCAAAAAGATCACGGATTGGTTTTCGCGCGTGTCCGGACCTCAGGCATCCTCCATTCCTATCAGCTCCCTCGCGCAGATCAAACAGCCGCGGATTCCACCTTGTGCCGGCCAGGAGGCCATCCCCGTGTCGTCCTTCTCCTACCTGAAAGAATCCAGTGGAACTCGCCCTGTCATCATTGTCTCTGACCCATCACCGACACCCGCGACGCGCGCGACCGCTGCAGCCGTAGATTCCGTCCCCCCAGCGTCTAAGCGTGCCGCGGCGGCGAAGCCCATGTCCAAGGCCTCGAGTTCCACGTCTGTGAAGATGCCCCTCAAGCGAGTCACCAGAACAGACTCTGACTCAGAGCTCGACGAAGGCTCGGGCACTATCCGTATCCCGCACTCTCGGGCACGAGTGCAACTACCTTCGACCTCCGTTGCATCCGACAAAGAAAACATCAAGCAAAGGACGTCGTCTACACGCAAGAAACCGCGTATCTCGTCCCCGGATCCCGTGCCCCTCCTTCCCCCACTCCTGCAGGCCCTCGTGAGGTCCGGGTCCCCAGCAGCCAATCTGAGGAAGAGGAGCTGGTTCGTCAGCCCATCGCATGTGAACCGGACGCCATCATGGAGGACGTGGACCGATGGCGGAAAGATACAGTGGTGGAGTCTGACCCAGCCGTGCTTGATGACTGTGAAATGACCATTCCCGAGCCGCCAGAGGCTATTCCAATGGAATGCGAGGATCAGTCCACGACGCGAGAATGCACACCGGAACCGCGCGTATCTCAGCCGACTATGCTGACGACACCACAAAGAATACGCCCACATCCCTCACTACCCAATACGCCGGTGGCGTACACCGCAGAATCAAAGGCTGCAAAAATGATCGCGGAAATCCGCGCGCGAGCCCAGGCTGCTGTGGCTGCGGCTTCCAGTCCGGAGAGCTCACCTCAAATGGAGCTTCGTGAGCTTGATGATAGTGACGAGGAGGACTTTCTAGAAATGTATGTGAACATTCAAAATCGACATTGTAAATGGCTGACACCGATCGTCAATAGGCCTAAAGCTAGAGCTGATCCATTCATCGTTACCAAAGTCGAGTCCCCCCCACGACGTGAACTCCGTGAGCGAAAACAAGTCAAGATAGAGCGTTTATCCCCTTCTCCTCTTCCGGCCAAGCGGCGTAAGGAGCTTCCGTTTGCGTCCATCATCCGGGAGCATAAACTAGGAGAGAAGAAAGGCACTGGAATGGCGGCTGTCCGTCGTGCCGAGGCTGCTATGCGTGAAAGCACCCCCTTGTCGGTTGACGACTGGGACGAAATCGAGGATGATTCGCCCAGTTCCTGCAATAGCAGCGACGGCGTGCTATTGAACAACGTAGACCAAGTCAGACTCTTTGGAGAGGAGGCTGGCAAGGCAATCGGCGGCATTCTCGATCGGGAGCGCGCCAATCGCCAAGAGGCCCGGGAGAAACGTAAGATCTCTGGCGTTCCACTATGGGACCTCGCGCAGGTGCCAATCGATACAAATTTTTTGGTTCCCACCTTCCCGGAGTATGCCCGAAAGCATCCAGTTCTGGACATGCTGAGGTCCAGTATTAATCGAGGCAGTGAGTGCACCATGATCTTCTGGGGAATACGACAAACTCAAGTCATTCAGATTACAGCAGAGCAGCGCTGTTATTGAACTGCGATATTCTCTCGACACTGGACTTGGAAGACTCGACAATGGAATATCTGTTTGAATTGGGTGTGTGTGGTCTCAAAACTGCGACGCCTATTCTGAGTCGCCGGATAGCCATGGCCCCACGGGTCACACCGCTGACTAAGCCAGCCCTCAACGCCATGCTGCACGTTTGTCGGACTCGTGCCGTGCCACTGAGAACGCTCCAGATGGCACTGGTTCGTCTTGGAGCGAGCCCATGTGCTCTGCGCGATCTGGGATGGGATCTCTCAGCCACCAGATCTGAGTGTGGGGCAGAGCGCGAGGGCCCTCTCTTCAGCATTGTTCAGCTTGTGGCAGCCTCCGTCGAGTATGTCCTCGGACTGGGTCACCGCGATTGTGTTAACTGTTCGTTAGTTCCTTGCGTCACTCGCCATCAGTCATCCCTCACTTTATCATGGCCGTGCTGTTGATTGCGATGGACCCCGCGACGTCATCTCAGCTTTGTAGGGAGATAACGGTCATCATAGATCGTCTTTGTCACGCGCTGTCCCCAGAGCCTGACATCATTTGTGCTACACTGGCAGGTCTTATCCCGGCACAACTTCGCTATCTAATCTTTCCCTTCCAGGAAATTGATCTGTGTAATCAGCTGATTAAGTTCACGTCAGAAATTGAGCCTGTGAACCAGGCACGAGCGGTGTCTCTCGTAGCTGGTGGATCCAGACGGACGATGCGCGTCGCTCGTTGGCTCTCATATGCCATTCTGACCAACACCGAGTCGCTTTCACCTGTGAGTTCCCATGTTCTTGAGATGCTCCTTCTGAGACCAGCAGCAATCTTATGGGAACCTACCTCCGCTCCAAGTCCTCTTGGATCAAGCTATACTTCCAGATCGCTCTGCGGATGGCTCGCATGGAATCTTCGAATTGCACGAGGGCACAGATTACGTTGACCTTGCTCTGCATGTTCACATCCTTGGAGTGGCTGTGTCAGATGTTGAAGGCTATGTCTGGGCCGACAGGCAAAGAACCCTTGAGCTTGCGTGTACGAGTCCCAGCAAGTCTTCGTCGGCAGTCGAGAGCGACCTGACGATGGTTCGGGAAGGCATCGAGAAGTTACATTCCCGAATCGGTTCGCATTCTCCTTCCTTGGTTTAGTTTCTTCTGCTGATCTTCTTCAGTCGATACACGAGCGGCTCATCTTGATCGCTCTCGTGCCAAAGCGGCACTGAAGCAACTTTCGATGCGCATACACTATCAGCAGCAAGCAGCGATGCGATCCAAACTCAAGGGCAAGGCACATATACAACAGTACTTCAGGCCATCGTAGCCCCGTTGACGCGGGTACTATTTACTATACCTCTTACTTCTAGTCTACATTATTCATCTTCGATCTTCATCTTCGAACTGCATTTTACACTAGCTAGCCTTACCATGCAGTAACTACTTACTATACTTCTCATGGTCACTGTCCTGATGGATCAGTTCAAATCCAATTCAATGTTCCACTGCTGAGATCGACTGGACTGCTCTCGAATCTCCTCCGCAGTCACATCCTGTTCGATATCCCACTCGGGGCTCTCTTCTCGGCGTGCAGTCGTCTTAGCCTTGCCCGAGGTCGAATGAGCACTCAGGTGCTCCAAAGTATTCGTCGCATTGTTTCGGATCGGCTTCTCAAAGGCGCTCTTGATATTCCGTACCTTGACTTGCCCAAAGCCAGGAAGATTCATCAGCTGGTCTGATGTCGCCCTGGAGATATTGGCGAAGCTCTGACAGTCGCATTATTCGTGCTGAGCGCATTGTGACGGGACTGACTGACACCAAAAGCCGTGCGCAGAGATTCGACATCCGTTTTGTTGACCTTGCTGATACTCGTCAAAGAGGCCCTCAAAAGGGAATCATAGTCTTTGTCGACGCGCTCCTTGATCAGATCGGGAGGCTTGTGCTCGAATTGCTTGAGAGTAGATAGGTAGTGGCCGGCCTCATCGACGCTGGACATGAATTTCTGTCAAGTCTTGCGGTGATCAATAAGAACGTACGAGAATGCCACGAGAATGGTTATTTCGTTGATCAGACAAACCTGGCATACGAAAGTGAAGGGAGGAACGACGTTCGAGGTAATAAACGCAGTACTTTGGTCAATTCTCGAATCGGATCTCGATGTTCTGTCTGTTCTTTTGGAGAAATCATCGTGTGAAATGCTGTCGCAACTCACTACATCACACATTACAAGAAGGATTCTCAGCGTATACATATGACGCCCAAGTTTTTCGATCCGCGTGTGGATATATTCGGGATGTAGGCGGTGGTACTTCAAACTAGCGCCGGGTTCAAAGGGATAAGCACAAGAAACTTGATGATCACCTCAAGAATAGGACTCCGGTTGTGCGTCCAACTTGGTAGTCGCATGGAATCTCGCCAAATTCCTTCGAAACGTTTTTGATGGCTTCAAGAACAGGATTGCCTCTCTGGACTGGGCTGACAACGATGGAATTGCCACTGGCAGCAGGAATGACGACGGGTGGTGGAGGCATCGCAGCTTTCGAGGGCGGGTTACTGTACACAGCCACATGACAGCGTCCACTGTCAGATGAACACGAGTCGTCACGGATTCACGTGATAGTCACATGCCCGCTTGAAGTCACACCCAACTTGCATTTGTGTGTCTGTGATCGATCACTCTCCTTGCTTTCTGACCACAGTCATCTACGACCGAGCTCGGATACGCCCCAACCCTCATCATAGACTGCTACGCAACATAGGGACTACCAAGTTCACGGCCGGCCCAGTGTGTTTGAGATGTCAGACGGGCGGTCGGACAACAAGTTGTTCAGCCCTGTGAAGTACTATCTGCCGGAGACCTTCTCTCAGGAGCGCAGGCTTCAGCTCAGGCAAGCATTGGACACTAATGGTGGACGAAACACGAGCATCAATAGCTGCACGCATATCATCACGAACTCGGCACGCTTTCAGGGTTGGCAGAATGTGACGAAGACCGTGAAGGTCGTCAGCGTACGTCCGCATGTTGTTGTTGCCCATCCATATATCTGGAAATAGTATAGGATGTCTGGGTTGACCGTAGTCTGGTCTTCGGCGAACTGCAAGGGCGAGTGACAAGTTCGTTGGCCCCATTGCAATGCGCTGAGACCCGGCTGTTGTTAGCGAGCCATACTATTCGGCAGATCCTGTGAAACTCTTCTCCGGGGTGGTTGCAAGTGCGTCGGGGGTGCGGGTCTGTTCTGTTCTGGTTTAAACCGCCATTGACTGGATTCCAGGTTCTTCCAGGTGACCTAGTGGCCATGGAGGCGGGAATCAAAGCTCTCGGAGGCCAGTGGCGTCATGGGCTCACGAGAGACGTAACCCATCTCTTCGCGACATCTCCGGACTCGGATAAATATGCTGCCGCAGTCAAGCACCGGGAATCTACACTTTTGAAGATTCTTCTGCCGCATTGGTTCGACGATGTTGTGCGTTTTGGATGCAGAAACCTGTTGACCGGCCCTTACGAATGGCCGAATCCGAAAGCTCTCGAGAAGCAGCCATCTGAAGAAGCCATGAAAGCCGAACGTGGTCTGTGGAGATCGTCGTCTGAGAAGCGAAATTACTTCAAGACAGTAGAATGGAAGACCGGCGACGATCCTATGCTTCCAATCCCAGATGACAGGCAGCACGAAGACATCTGGAGTGGTCGCCAAGTCCTCCTCAGCCATGATCTCGAACTCTCGGATCAACAGCGGATTGTGGTCGAGGACGCTATCAAGAACACCCGTGGTGTGATCATGGCTTGCTCGTCGACGGGCTCTGAGCGGGACGAGGAAGAACACAAACTCGTGTCAAAATGCGATGTGTTCGTATCACAATGGAGATCAGGCAGTGCTTTTTTCCGGGTGCGTGTCCTAGCGTGAGCTGGTTTCCCAATCTCACCATTGGTCAGGCCGTTGAAGACGGAAAGATCGTCGGGACCCTAAACTGGATCTTTTTTGTCATCTCGACTGGCACTTTGACCAGCCCCATGGATAGGTTCCTCCATTTTCCAACGCGGAAAACGCCGCTGGCGGAAGACTTCTCAAAGCAGGTCATCACGATCACCAACTTCACCGGCGAGACACGTGATTACTTGAAGCGGCTCATTCTCTCTATGGGTGCCAAGTTTACCCCAAACATGGGCCCGATCAACACGTTGATAGTTGCCGCCCAGTGAGCCTGAGATCTTTCGTCCCTTTTTCAGTCGCTCACTAGTCGTGTGACAGTCTGGGTGGGCAGAAGGCTGCCAGAGCACTGTCGTGGTCTCTGCCGCTTGTGAATCAACTGTGGCTCGAAGACTGCTTTGCCCAATGGAAGTACATCAGCCCGTCCATACACAAGTATATCGACTTCCCGCCCAACGTCGACTTTGCTCGGATGTTGGGAGAACGGGGCACGCTGGATAGCATGGAGGATCTCGAGAAGGAGGAAGAGGATGACATCTTGGCAAGGAGCAAGCCCGCGAGCGTTAGATCTGCTAGCGAGCGGAAGCCCCTTGGAACGGAGAGCAGTATCAAAGAGGTCCAAGCGTTGCTGAGCGCACAGTCCAGGAAACTGAGCGACCCTCGGGTTGTTTCAGCTTCGGTCAGTCCTTCGAAAGCCAAGCCTGACAATGGTGCGTCGAGAATGTTCCCTTCTTGACGCACATCCCATATCCTGTTACAGAGAGCCTGAAGCGGAAGGCATCGACATTCGATAAGGTAGCTAACAAAGTACGAGAGGAAGAGGATGAACCTGCGCCTCCCCCCAAGAAACGGGTCAAGGCGGACAAAGTGACTTTCGACGATGTCGCTGCAAAAAAACCCATTGGATCTAAACGCAAAAATGTGGTAACGCCTGTCGAAAAGCCCACCAAAGCATCGTCTAGCACACTTAACGACGTCCCGGCACCCAAGGTCGACAGTGTGACTCACACGTCTCCGAAAGCCGGTCACGGGGACCAAAAGTTGAACAAGAGTGGTCAGCCGCTCGAGTTAGCCCCAATTCTGGCAGCACCTGGTCCTCGCACTTCATCTAACACAACGAGAAGGACGAAACAAGCGCAGCCCGACGAAGGGGAATCGGAAGTGGAGAGCAAGGGGGATACTGATGTAGAGATGCTACCGCCTTCGACCTCGAAGGGTAAGGGCAAAGCAGCGAACACGAGCAAATCGAAAAAGCTTGACAAAGGTAAAGACAAAGACAAAGACATCGGGACGCCAGCAGTCAAAGAAAAGGGAAAGAGCAGTAGCGTGTCATCGAAAAAGTCGAAGAAATCAGAAGAAACAAATGAGGACGTCGAGATGCCTCCTCCGAAAGCCAGAAACAAAGTCATCAAGCCCAAGGAGCCGAAACAAATGAGGAGCAAGTTTCAGGTCGTAACGACGACGTAGAGATGTCGCTACCCGCTCCCATCAAGAGCAAACCCAAGGCCAAATCCCAAACGACAAAAAGGTATGGGGCTGTCTGCCCGAGTATCTTATAAGTGTTCAATCTTCAAGCGCTAGAAAATCGGTGACGACTGTCAGAATCGCGACGACCCAAGTCATCTTATCTGATGCTGTTAACAAGGCGAGTTCCACTACTAATGTTCCGGCCAAGCCTGACCATTGGGAGCAGAATCTAGAAAAGTTGGGCGTCAAACTGACCCAGAAAACCTCGGAATGCACCCACCTTATCGCAAAGGGTTTTGTGCGAACCGAGAAACTCATGTGTGCGCTAGCAGCAGGAGCCTACATCGTGTCAGAAAAGTGGGCAACGGATTCAATAGCCGCCGATAAACTTCTGCGTAAGCTTTCTTCAGTCGCAAGTTCATTGTCTTGGTTGACTCGTTCATGCAGCTGAAGAGAAATACCTGATCAAAGACAAGGACGGCGAGGCTAAATGGGGCGTTAAACTCATAGACGCCATGGACCGCGCGAAAGAACTCGATGGAAAGCTCTTTGAAAATCATATTTTCTATGTCACACCGAAAACTGCGGTTGACACCAAGCTTCTCAAGACAATTGTTACAGCTCAAGGCGGAAAGGTGTGTTTCCACGTGTCGACGAGTACGTTAGCTGACGATGCTGCAGTTGAACGTCCAAAATCCGACTATACGCATTCTGAAAGGATCCGAAAACAAGTTTGTCATATCTTGTCCGGAGGATATCTCGATCTGGCGCTCATTGGCGTCTGATTATCCCATTTACTCACACGAGCTTTTGCTCAACTCTACATTGGCCCAGCGGATCGATTGGGACAATCCAGCTTATCGCATTGCTGGCCCGGCATAATTATCATTATAGTTACTTATTTTATGACGGTTTGGGCAAGAGCAGATACTGTATCCCTAGCGCTTCACTGTAGCACTTGCTGCAAGTAATTGTGGTTGTTTCACATAATATGATTATGTCAGCAATCTAACTTGTCTAGTACTTACACCGCGTCGAGGTCTGTCGACCGACTGCTTATGGATGGCTCGGACGACTACTTTGGCCAAGACGAATTCGAACTTGACCAACAGACTCTCGATGTGTTGAATTCTGAGGAACGGAAGTTTGCGTTGTCGCAGATTCCTCCCAGACGCGCACCCGTACCTGCACCTGCACCACCGCCATCCAAGCGGCAGAGAACGGACAACGGATGGAAGGCGACTGCGTCTCATGTGGATGAGAATGACATACCCGACATTGTCGTTGGTCGGGACGGGGCGTACATGGTGCGCGGCCCACCGCGGCCGCCACCGGCTCAGAGTACCTTGAGATCGACCGCGGTCACTCCAGCGGCCCAGACTCACGCGTCAATCGCCTCTGCAAGCGGGAACGCTGCGAGAAACATGCGTTTCAATGCCTCGACACGGCCAAGCGATGCGCCGACCGCGTTTCAGCGCGCGCCCTCTGCACAACCTGAACCTCCCAGCGTACTCCCACCTCCGTCGCGAAGACCTGCCGACGGCGCCGAAAAAACGCAGCTGGCTGAACTCGACAACTTGCGAGAACAGCTTGTCGAGGTCGGGATGCCTGCGACATCTGTCTTCACCAGTATTGACGATCGTCCAGTTACAAAAAGAGAAAGAGAAGTACCAAGTCGAGCTCAAGGAGGCCGTCAGAGAGAGGATGGCGAAGCAGGGGGAGGTCTCCGTGTTGAGGAGAGGTATTGAGAAGGTGTGTTGTAATCGCTCAGCATGTCCATGCTCATTATCTCAGACAGCTCAAGACCATGCGTCCCATGTTGCTAGGCTGAAGGACTCAAAGGAGGCGGCTGAAAGTAAGCTAGCAGCCGCACAGAGAGAGGCAAAGGCCGAGGTGGAGCGGATGAAAACGCAGTTTATCTTCAAGGTGAGCACAGCTGCTCCAACTCGAACCGTGATCGATGTGCGTGCTTAACGACTCAGCAACACGAGATGGAAAGCACTTCTCGAAAGCCGCCGATGTCTACACGCGCGAGGCGGATAATGCGGGACATTCCGTCTACTCCACTGCCCACGCACAGCGTCCAGCGGACAAGGACACAGGAAGATTTGCTGGAGCAGTCTCCTGTACCTGTTCGTTTCGCGCCCCGGAAATTGCCTGACAAGTCGAAGAAGCCGCTCAAGTTGATGGGGTTCCAGAACTCATTCGTGGACGGCACACCTGTGAAGGCAGCAATCCGGCTGACAAAGATGGGGGAACCGATAATCGAGAAGGAACTTCCCAGGCCGATGTCGCCTTCTAGTCCCATCCCGTTTCCACGAGAGTTGCAGGATTCGATGGCCGCTGAGCCATTCGATGAGCCCATGAACGGACTGGGTCCCGACCTGGAGTCGACGGTCGAAGAGATTCGTTCGATATCGGCCTTCAACTGGAAGAGCGAGGTGCGTCAATTCTACCTCGTGTGCTGCATACTAGGCTGAAAGGTGGACAAGTTAACAAGAATTCTCTTGACTCACTGTTGCGCCAATCACGCGTCACCTAGCTTGAAACTCCTCGCAGGACTGCAACCTTCGAATGAATATTCGGAGACAGTCAACTCTCTGTTTGAAGTGGCTGCTAGTACATCTCACTATACAGACTACGAAGGGTCTCTTCCATTGCTCTGTCAAAGTCTAATCTCCATGATCAAGATCCTGAGCACATCTAGTCTGGTCAGGATTCGGCGCATTGATCACTGCGTGAATACTGATGACCGGACAGCTGGATCCCCTTGCGATCTTGCTCGATCTCTCATCTTACCTGTGTTGCTCACTGCCCAATATTGCTTCTTCTCTGCTCTCTTGCCAAGAGGATGTGCTCGATATCCTGTGCTCACTAATCAATGCCCATCTCAAGCCGGCGCAGTGCATACCATCATTGGCGCAACAGACCATCGGCTTACTTGAGGCTTTGTGCTGGAATCTCACCGACGAACAAGCCGAAAGGTCGGTGCTTGGCGAGACCATCATCTTCTGGACGCATTTCATTTCCACGTCAGATTCACTACATTTTGTCGCCGGCGAGATATACTTCTCCTATTGCTTGACTCCCTGCAGCCGAAGGAGTCTCTAATATGTTTCACACGGCTGCTGGGCACATTGGCCACTTGTAAATCTTATCGTCCTGACGATGTTACCGTGGAACTTCCTGATGGCGTTACAGTTCCTAGACTATCACGTGATCTCATGTTCTCGGCAGACAACGACCAATCCTCTTTGGCACATATCGATCTGTTCTGCTCGCATCTGATCCACAAACAAGTATGTGGTTTACCGTGTGTGAACCTCTGACTGAATTAAAATAGTCTCAAGATATTCATGGCAACATTCTCCAAATGCTCAGTGCCTTGTCCATCGCTCACTCTGACATACCGGCCTCTTTGGTTTCAAGAACTTGCTGTGTTCCATCAATAGTTCTTTTTCTTTCAAACACAACTTCGATCCTTTGGGAAGGCGACGAGGACGTCATCTCCGACGAAGACTTAATCTCGAGGTCTGTGCGTTTCCAAGTCCTCATCAAACAGCGCTGGATCTGCTAGCCAGATCGATCCAAATCCTCTCTCACGCAATCATCCTGTTTCACCATCTGATGTTTGACGTGGAGCCTGGGTTCAACCTTCGGGATTTGCTGCACCACCCGCCGTCTCGTTCATTCACCGGAATCTCCCACATGTTCATCGTCACATTCGGTCGACTGTGCAGTGACGCTCCCGACTGGCTCAATTCGGCAGATCAGGAGACGATGGCGGTCCTCTCAGGTGCGCAATTCTATCACAGCTGACAGGGACGTACTTGACCGGAGGCGCCGTAGTCATGGCGCAGGACCTTCTCGATCTTGTCGTGGAAGGACCGGAGGTCGATGCGATCGTCGCTGCATACCAGAGGGATGCTGATCAGGGCAGTATGACTCAAGTAGACGATATGGAGGCAGAGCTTCTGGGGACCTAATCTGGTGCGTAACATATCTACTTATTCCCCTTCGGCGTTTTTGATGTTGTTTTCCGTCTGTGGTATCATTTTAGTGATTATTCAGTCTAGATGGCCAATCGACACGCACCTGTCGACAAAAGCCTTTCACCCATTGCATTTTCTTCTTGACAGCTCTCGAAGGTCTTGGGGCATCCGGTCCCGAGAGACGCCGTAGAGTCACTTCGCAGGTCTCGGCGCGGTGCTTTGCGCTCAGTCGCTGTACGAAGCGATCGACCGTCCGGTTGTCATCCCTGATTTTCGACTCGACGATACTGCCTGACGTCACGTTCAAGCTCTCCAATCCATATTCCTCCAGCCACAGGAACCACACGCATTCGTCCCAGTCAGATGAGCGGGAACCCAGAAACGCTCGCTCGCTGCACCACAGACGATAGTCACGCGATAGTACCACAGGCGTAAGGCTGGGGATGGAAAAGACAGACGCCGGGAACGGAGAAAGCAAAAGTGGCTTCTGTATCGGCTGCCCAATCTGAGAGATGAGCGCGTCGTACACCTGTAGAATTACTGCTGCAGGACTTGCAGGCCAGAGCATTATCGATCTTGTAGGGGCGAAGAACCTGGCCAAGTTGAGAAGCTGGGCGGAATTGTACTGTTTACTTGAGGGAACAAGATGTAGCCATAATTTAGACAAAGACGGATGGCTTTTCAGAGATTGCAGGCGAGCGATGAGAGAGGGAGACTGGTGCTCTGCTGTGATCAGAACCAAAGATATGGGCCCTACCCAGAGTTGTATTCTGAGCCTTGTCATTCGGCACACTGCGCTACTCACCTCGCCATCTAGAAGACCAGGAGACTAGGATGCTCAAGACGTCGTCGCTATCATGCATCCAGGCGCAAGCAGTTATGTCCGTCTCATCCCAGCCGCCAGACGTCGGAGCAATTATGAAGGGTTCGATCGGAAAGGAGGGGTCGAGCGTTTGAAATCCGAGCCGCGAAAGTCTCTCCCTGGTCGATAGAAAGTCGAGGTGCGCAGCCGGCTCTTCCCAAGATAAGCGACGGCGTGTTACCGATAGACTGATAGAGACAACGCACGAGAAACAGCGTCCAAGTGGTGGGTAATAGATTTGCGCGCTATGTAGAAGGGCTTGAACAGAAGCGTCGTGGTGAAGACAAAGCAGAGGAAACAGTAGACAAGCAGGATCCACTTGAGCGCAAGAGTCTTCCACGAGCGAGAATGAGCTGGATGATGATCTTGAATACCGCGTGTTGCATTGAAGAGCGCGAAAAGCGTGGACGCCAGATTGTTGGATGAACTGGAACTTGGTAAAGTTGGCGATACAGGTGTGGGCGATGATTGTTCCTTGGTGGAAGGGACAGACGGAGCGGACGTGGACGCGCGGAGACGTTTTTGGGAGCTTGCAGTTGAAAGATGGCTCTGAAGCTGCCTGAGCCGGGCATCCTAGTCTTGGGCGGGAGAGTCATGTCTAGTGCGAATAGTGCGGTAGACACGAAGATCTGTGGCTGTGCGACTGATCTGACCGGACCAATCAATCGTCCCGTGATGCCATTACCGCAAATATCTTTCTGCACTAAATCCAGCACACGTCGGACCATTCAGCCCTGGAGTTCGAGGATCGGGCGTTCCTAGCTTTCCATGCACACAAATTCATATCATCGCTCGCTGCTGATGGACTCCATCGTTCTCGCTGTCTAGCAATAGAGGTGAAACTGCTCTGGTGAAGGATTCGAAAGAGCATTGCACAGGCGTGTCGCGATCTATCTCTGCACCCTCATTTCCGACCTCGAAGCCTGGCAAAGTACTTATACTGCTTCCCAAGCATGTTTGACTCACGATCCGCATCCCTCATTCTCCATGTCGTACACAGAGAGGCGCGAGGAGGGTCAGCCTGTTCTCTGAAGCTGTCATGACTGGTTGACGCTCTAACGGCCGTGATACAGAGGAAGCGCAGGAGCCATGGGCCGCACCTCTTTGGACTGTTTATGTGGATGAAGCGGAGAAGTACGATACTGCCTTGGTCGAAAGCTGGATGAGTGACATGGATGGAATGCTCATTTTCGTGCGTCTCAGTATTTTCTAAGCCTCGGTCCTTCTCACTTGTCTCCATCTAGGCCGGTCTCTTCTCCGGAGTCTTAACGGCCTTTATTGGGGTCAGTTTTGGATCATTGTCCCCCGACTCCAGCAACACGACCAACGCACTGTTGATCACGATAACCCAACAATTGGCGGCTTCGGCAACCAGCAGCGCCCAGCCGCCCTCGTTTTCCGACCCCAATGCGTCTTTCGAGGCACCCTTCGTATCTATCGCCTGCAATGCGTTGTGGATCATCAGTCTTGGCTTCAGTTTGACGTGTGCACTGCTCGCTACGCTTGTGCAACAGTGGTCTCGCGAATTCCTTCACAAAACATCGATGTATTCAGCGCCTCTCGTCCGAGCGAGAATCTTCTCGTTTCTGTACTACGGGCTGCGCTCTTTCAGGATGCATATAGTGGTGGAGGTCCTCCCTCTGCTCTTGCACGCATCCATGCTCTTTTTCTTCGCCGGTCTCGTGGCTTTCTCTCTGCCCGTGTGCATGCCAATCGCGTGGATCGCAGTTGTCATGCTAGGAGTGGTTTCTCTGGTCTATGCTGCATTGACTATTGTCCCACTCGTCCGTCTGGATTGTCCGTACAGGACGCCTCTCTCTCGCTATCTGTGGGGTCTTTTCCATGGCTTACACTCCCATTGGCGTCGACTGGAGGCACTTTCAGAAAAAATATCCACAGGCTGCCCTCCATCAGGTCAAACCTACCCGGAGTCCGCCGATGGCGACAAAATTGCTGCGCGCGAGATCGCCCATCCCTCGGTTCACGACAGCGGTGTGGACATAGATGAACATCTTCCTACGATGCCTGAAAGCAACTCAACTGTATCGTTTCCTGAACCTCATCCGGGGATGTCTGCGATCAATCTCAATGAAGCAGAAGACTTGTTTGCTCCGGATATCGAATCGCATTCGACCTGCTTCTACTCGAACGTTCCAACCGAACCTTTGACACGCGGCCTTTTAGACATGGACGATGTGCGCTACGACTCCACATTCCGGCCGGCCGGCTTCCAACCCATGGCACGTTCGATCCACGCTGCGATCCGCAGCCTCTTCTCTAGCTGGCAGAACGTCGTGCAGATCGGGAAACGTCGCGAGGAGGCCGTACTCCCCACTGTTCTGTCTATCGAGACGATGCCCAAGGCCATCACACGTGCTGCAATGGTTCGGACCACGGAGCAGTGCTCAAGAGATTATCGGGCGCTAGTCTGGAACTTGAACGCCCTGATTGAGCATGCCGAGCTCCAGCCCTTCGTCGAAGCTATTCCCGACCTCGTGTGGGCCTCGGACACGCGCAGAAGATCTGTCTATGATCGACACATCAGAGAGCTATCGCTGGATCCTCACGTGCGGTTGGTGAAGCGGATCTCAGGGCTGTTCGAGAGCTGCAAATCGAGCCTGCTGGACCAGGACGAGCTCAAGCATCGGTGGATAGTCTGTTTGAAAGCCATCTGCGCGATTGGCTCGGTCTTTGCCATGGCCGATGAGGAACGGACGGACGGTCACAGCCGGCTGGCTCTGGAGATGAAAGAGTTTGAGCAGGCACACGAGTTTTCCGCTTGTTGGAAAGGCGGAGCTGACATCGAAGCTGTTTCTATCTCTGCGCGAGCCATGATGCGCTGGGCGCGGCTGTGCATCCTGCAGACTGAACTGTGCGCTCGGGAAAGCGAGCTCCGCCGCAAGCAGGAACTCGGCCACGGATTAGACATCATCTCCCCGTACGCGTCGGAGCTGTACGAGCTCTATTGCGATTTCATACAAGTATCGCATGGAGATGAGCGGTATCACCCACCTTTTCCCGGAGGCGGCGATCTCACAGAGCAGCACCTGAACATGATCTCAGCGCTCGGCAAGACTGCGCCATACATGATTATGTTGGACTACCTGTCCGCATCGGCTCTGCTGCCCGTCGAACCTTATCGTCGAAAGGATGTGGCCTGCCTGCTCGATGTCGACACGAGCATAGAGCTCGAGACAATCCAGGGATCAGTCGAATTCCAGCTCGACCATGTTGCTTCCAGTGCGTTTGGGAAGGCGAATAGCCCGACGAACATAGATACGGTTTGGTTCGATGAAAGCCTGATGAAGCTGCTGCACCTCTGGAAGCCGTCTCTCACCCTTCCGATGCCGATCTCCTCCGGCATAATCACCCTCCTGAATTTGGATCTGGATGATCCCAACTCAATCATCGTCAAGGTTCTCCGTGCAGACAAGACATTCGAACGCCGTCTCTGGTCGGGCTTCGTCGAATCTCTTTCGGTCCAAGTCTGGGTGTCGGAAAGCATCTTGACTGCGTTGTGGAGTCTCGCGTCGCTGCGCTCGACGATGTATTCTCCGTCTTCTGACCCCACCCTCGTCCAAGATCTCGAACAGATCGTGGATATTTTGTCGAAGTGGATGCGACGAGACCTGGGGCATCTGCCATTCGATCATTCCCATTCTCAAAATGAATATTTTGGATGCGATCACGCTCGAATCGGAGGATGGCTCAAGCGAGAAGGTCTTGAATCACAGAATCTTCCCGAAGGACACCGCAGTCTCTCTGCCAGACATGACAGCCAATGACCACAACATGCAGTCGCTCTATGTTTATCCTGAACTCTGTCGCTGCCTGGCCGGCCGCAAAATGGAAGCCAGGATGTCCATCATTGCCGAATTCCTCGAGCGATGCGCGACTAATACACGGTTCCACAAGCGGCTGGAGACGTACCAAATGCTCAGCGGCGGGTTCCAGACAATTCCTCGTGCACGTATCCATCCGAATATCCAACGTCGTCTGGCCAGCGCCATCAACCAGATCTACGCTGTCGGCGGAGATCTCATGCGTGGGATAGTCACATCCGACTGGTGGGATGTGTATGCTGGAGACGAGGACAAGATGCCCTGCGGCTCATTTGCCATCGATCTGGAGCAAGGCAAAACACTGCTTGTTGACGTGGGCATGTTCTCGAAACGGACGTCATGGATCGACGATGGGGCAGCATGGAGAAGTTTGCAGGGCACTTTCCGGACGTACGTCGGCTTGAATCTAAGCCAGGCCGAGAACAAGGACGAGGATGGCGATATGATTTCGAAGAGGGTCAAAGCAATCCTCGCAGGACTAGATAAATCACGCCCTTCGGATGGCGAATCGGAGGCTGGACCCGTTCCCGGAGAGTGGTAGTTTCGTTACATGACACCTTGTGAAATCGGCATGCGCGCGAGTCTAAACCCACCGGACGAGTAAACAGCATCGGGTGTTGAATACCAAGTTCCGTTGTTAGTGCAATTGTGAGATCTACATTCTTTGAAACGGTGCGGCTTCCAGGAACACTTCTGGATGTGCAATCGCGTGCTTTGATGTCTCCGAGTCCAGGCGAATTTACGACATACGAAGTGATGTTATCGTTGACGATGAAACAGCATAGAAAGGGATCGGCAGAGACCACAGCGCTGCCCCTGCAGTCACCACAGGGACGAATCACTTGCTGGCAGTGAACTCTAGCGAACGGAGACGAACAGAGATGTCATCGTGGCAAAGGCCACCAGTGATTGATTGATGGGGTCGGGATAATATGTATATAAGTGGCTTTCAGCTCCCAACCAATTCCAGTGGATCTGTGGCTTCCTTTCGACGATCTCTGCACGATGAGTATTCCTCCGACTCCCCCTTCTCCTGGTGTCGGCGTCCGACGTAAAGGCCCCAAGATCCTTCCACGCTTGCCGCTTTCGGCATTCTCTCCACCCAACTCTGGCACATCTGAGCGCTTTCCATTGCCACCCAGTCCGAGCGCCATTCACCCGGAGCTCATAATCGACGCGCATATCCTCTTGGCTGGTGGGGATCTCTCGTCGTGGCGGAAAGAGGCGGGATCTGAGCTGAGTGGTCGTATCGGTGGAGTGGTCGTCGGACTGCCCGAGACTGATCCCGAGAAATTTGTCGATGGGTATGTTCGTGGACCTGGTGGACATATCCGAGCAGACATTGAATCTTGCTGCTGCATAGATTGGCGAAGGAATCTGGAATCGATGTTTTGGCGCTCATGGTTCCTTTCAAACTGGAGGCGCCTCCGGCTCAGCTGCCCTCCTTCAAGTTCCCAATCTCGCTTCGCACAACCTTCTCTCAAGCGGATTCAGCGACCATCGCTGGGCTGAACTGGGCGCTCAGCCAAGGACGCCTGTGGATATCGATGCCAGTACTCTCACTGAAGAAGGTTTCGAGGGTTTCGAGGACCTGCTTTCTAAAGCCGTTGCTGGGCTCGACGCAGTCCCTCCGATAATCATCTGTCAGTCATGCTCCACCCATTTCGAGCTTATCTCATATCTCCTTCCAGCGAGCATTCTCCCGCCGCCTCATGACCTGGAATTATCCATCGTGAAGCTCATCAACCACCCCACATACCGGGCGTTCCAAGCACAGACCGCTGCGCTGTCGCTTTTCCCAGAACTCTACGTGAAATTCCTGCCCCCGATGTGGGACGCGCCCACACCGTCCACGCCTTCCGACGGCGTGTCTTCGGATGACTCAAACTCCAAGCAACAGAAAGAATGGAAGCGGCGCGTGAAGATGTATCGTGCGTCTTTGTTTGGTGATTCCTGTGTCGCGGATTGATACTCACTCTCGGGATCAGTTGGGCCCGTCGTCGAGGCCTTTGGATACCAGCGCATCATGTTCGGTTCGTCGCCATCCCCAGCGTCAACCAGCCCCTCCGCTGCTGGTGACTGGTATGATATCGCTAGGGAGTCGCTGGCAGAATTGGGTGTTGAGCAAGAATTCGTGGATGCTGTATTTTATGGGAACGCCAAAAGAGTGTATGCGTAGTTAAGCATGTGTGATTATATAATTTTGTTTTTCACAAGCCTTTCCGACTGTCCCCGCTTGAGCCCGCAGATACTGTTGTCACGCAAACGCGTATCCGCAATCAGCATAAACGCGTTATTTCGGTGGGTGGCAGTGGCAAGAGCTGATGTGATCATCGATCACATGAGGGTGACCGAAACACCTTTGTCCCATTCACGAACGCGTCGGTACCTGAAGCACCTTCTGGATGGCTTCTCATGGCCAACAGCACGGATATGGTCGTCGGAACGATGATTCCTCGTCAGTTTTCGCTCTGCAAATTCCACGAGCCTCTTTGTTCACGACTCTGTTATATGATCGCGTTATAGTAGCAGTCGAGAGTCGTCCCCCGTGCGAGTTAGTGCACTCCCTTGTCGCACTTCGTCCCTCATACAAATACTTTGATTAGAAGACCAAGCGCTCGTTTACACCGACCTCCGACGACGGCGACGAATGATCACCCAGCTTGTTGACAATGAAACGCCGCCACCTGAGCCCGCACCTATAATCCGGCAAGCTGTCGCATTCACCACGATGGCACCGGCGCACGGGATCAACTTTAGCAAGACACCGTTGAATACCTACAAAGCGAAAGTGCTCGAATCAACGAAGAATAGCAGTCAACCACCCAAGTTTCTGCCTGGTCAAGAGGTCACGCTCCCGCCTCCCGCGCCGAAACCGCGAAGAAAGAAGAACGCGCCGCGAGATCCGAACATCACATCCAAGACGTCCCGATTCAGGGTGGACTCGTACGATCCGGGGCGCGCTGAGCCTGCGCCGGTGGTGGTGGCGAGCGGCCCATACACCTCTGCGTTCCGAGCGGACGACTTGAGCACAGGGGATGGCCAAATCATTCAAGAGGACCCTTCCGCTCCCAAAACATCGAGGAAGAAGGCGAAACCGGCAGACGCGGGCGGTGCATGTCGTAAGCCGACAGCTGGGAAGAGCAAGGGGAAGGCCAAGGATGTAGTCTCCAGGCCCACATCGAGACCTACAACCCCTAACATTGCTCTTGAAGAGTCTATGGACGTTGGACATTTTGCCAGAGATAGCTCCTCTGATGCAACACTGCATGAGCAAGGATCGGTGGGATCGACCAGCACACAGCCCTTCGCCTCTTCATACTACCGACGTGATTACGACAGACGAAAACAAGTTGCCGGGCCGACTCGCTCTCGAAGATCCGAGGAACGGCTGGGCCGATTGGTCACGGTCCTAATGGAAGATCGACGGAACGACATGTCAGATGATCTGTTGGTGGAACTGCGACTCAACTTGCGGGATACCGACAACGTAGTACAGGATGGCTACTGGGCTGACTCTGGAGAACTTGTGAGTGCGGCGCTGGGATAACTATTGATTTTCATTGTCTGCAGTGCCGCACTCTACAGGCAAGCGCTGCGCGAATCGATGGTAGCTGATCTAGTCTTCCCGCCCATTCATTTCATTGATATTCGACAGGACCAGCGAAAGTTTTTGCCCTTCGAGACAAATTTCGACAGCCTATCCTCAAAGTCAGTCCGGACAATGAAGATGACTGGGTCAGTGCCAATGTGGCCGTGTCGAATGAACGGACTGTGAAAATGATCATTGAAACAGTGAGTCCGACGAACAAACAGGTGGGTGTGCTTTTTTGCTCAAAATCACCACACAGCTCCCCCCGAATGCATTCAAGAAGAGACCCATGCCGGACCCATCACGCACGGAGTACCGCATTGAAACTTACAAGTCGCCGAGAAGGTCGTACAGCCAGCGAGATCGACAACGTTCGCCAGACGATGAAGATGAGGACCTCCGGAGGCGTTTACCTGATAGCGCGCACAGTCCTAGGGACTTAATGGCCTCTGGACAACGAATGCCTCAGCCATCCCTGGCCATGTCAGAAACTGGACACTACGACTCCAGCTCTGAGGACGACGACGAGGACGAAGGCGTTGATCCTGAAACATTGCTTATATAGGAACTGGACCCTGATATATAGTAGGTCCCGCAACGTGGGGCAGATCCTGCGGGTTTCTTGCGGTTCTCACAGATTGCAGATTTGTCAAAGGATGGCTCGATCAGTTTGTTGGTCAACGACTCGAGGGCGGAGCCGTGATCGAACCTGTGAGTGGATGACGGACAAGATAGCCTGCTCTGTTTTCTCATGAGCGCCAGGCAACACGTCACGAAAGCACTCGGATACGATCTGTTGATGACGGATGATCTCGCTATCGAGAATTATCTCCCATACCATGCAGAAACTATGAAGGTGATGGGTGGAACTTTACCGGGCGGAAGGCCCTCGTCGTCCCCATGTCCAATTGGCCGAGCGAGTGGCTGACGAAGAGCCACCCACCTACCATAACAAACCGTACTTACAACTAGTCAAAGTGATGCGTGGCGCTGGCCTAGAGTGGTTGCAAGAGCATCCAGAAGATAGCTAACGGCGATAACTAGCGGTACTGTCGACCAATCTGATAAGATATTAATATCGGCTCCGAATTAGTATCCCGAACAAACTTGTTCTCAACGTTATTCCAATACGTTACTCAGACCACAACCTGAAGCGTATGAGATGTCGCCGGGGTCCTCGAATGCAGTCTCGATACCACCGACCCACGACTACACCGAGGGAGCGTCCGCGATAGACATCGACGTAGCCGTGGCCAACAACCGCAGGTCCCGTCGCGAGTCTCAATACAGCGCGTTCCACGACGAAGACGGGGATGGATCTATGTTCAGGTACTCTTTGGCTGTCCGCTTCATATTCGCTAGCTTTAATCATATATTGTTCTTCCAAGCGGCCCAGGTCATGCCGTGAATCCGAGTAGCGTATCTCGGATGTCGCACGTCGCTCCGGGACGCAGGAGCACAAGTTGGTCTCGCACACGACGGAGGAGTATGGATTCGACTTCAAGGAAGATGGGTCGCAGGTCAAGCATCGACAGTCGCGTGTCGGGAGACGATAACGGTTCGGACGTTGAACGGGAAGAAGGCAACGAAGATTCGTCATCTCATCAAGACCACGCCAAACGGGCCCAAATTCATCCTACCAGTCGACCCAGCGTTCTGGGCAATCTTGCCGGTCTTTTCTCGCGTGCGACACCGACGGATCCTTCGTCACCACGGCATAGACCATCGTTGGGCTCTCTTGGCCGACAATCAAACTCGAGACGCAGCCGACACTCAGATGCGGGTTCTGAGCATGCTTTAGATACAGACGACGAGGATGTCGAGGAGCGATGGGGATACTCCTCTGGAGAGGAAGGCTTCTCGTCAGACGAATCTGGGTCCGGGCGGTCTATGCGGACGACCATATCGGTCCCTGAGAGCATGGACTATCTAGACTCTGCGCCGCCGTCTCCAAACCTCTCGCAGGGCTTGCCGCTGCTCGCTTCGGACCAGATTTTTGGTGGCGAGGCGCGCATTGATATGGATATGGCGTTTGCGCTTCTGGACGAGCCGCCGCCTGGTCCGCCCAGCCGGCAGACGATATACATCGCTGACGAGGACAACACAATACGTGTCATTGGCTACGAGACGATTCAGTGGCGGCAATGGCTCTGGCGCTCGAGCACGGTCTTGACTCTCGGTGCGCTTGGACTATTGGGACATTGGTTCCCCCAGCTATGGCTGAGATGGGTTGCTCGAGAAAAGGCGTTCACGGAGGCAAAAGATGGGTTTGTCGTCATTGAGGTGCGCTTGACAGTCTGGCACGCTTATCCAAGCTCACATCTGCTGTAGTCTGCGCACCGGGACATCACGATGTATCCTCTCCAAATTCTCGACTATCCGTACTCTGCCTCCACTGTCTTCTCTGAGCCCACTTCACCAGGACAATCAGATCGACTATCTTCTCTGGCAGTAATTGACTATCGATATTCGCGGTTCGCGCTAGATCCCAGGACCGGTCTCTTTGCGATGATACGGTAGCTCGAGCACTTTCGTTTCACATTCGGGGTTAATATTTGTTCAGGGACTGGAGGGACTCCTCGTGGACCGGGACTTCGCTTGTCCAGAGCGGGATCGACACACCTGCCCGACAACAGCGACTGACTCTGTTCGGGAAGAACGAGATAGATATTCAGGCGAAATCGACAATATCTCTGTTGGTGGATGAGGTAAGCGTCATTCCTCACAATGTGATGCTGATTCTTGACGCATCGTCAGATCATACACCCGTTCTATGTTTTTCAGATCGCGAGCATCGTCCTCTGGTCGATGGACAACTACTATTACTATGCGTTCTGCATCTTCCTCATCTCGATCATCAGCATCACTACGACCTTGCTGGACACAAAAAAGGTTTCTCGCGAGGTTTCACTGTCAGACTGCTCGGCTGACCGCGTCTGCAGACGATTTCGCGAATGAGCGAGATGTCACGATTCTCCTGCGATGTAGACGTCCGGGTGGACGGCCTCTGTATGTTCTGTGCGCTAGTGTTGTGAGTGGCGACGCTCATTGGATCTGTAGGGACCACCCGGGACTCGAGCGAGTTGGTACCCGGAGACGTCATCAACCTGTCGAGTTCACAGATGTCTCTCATTCCAGCGGATCTGTTCCTTCTTTCCGGGGATGCAATTGTCAATGAGAGTATGCTGACTGGGGAGAGTGTTCCAGTCAGCAAGGTGCCCGTCAAAGACGAGGACCTGCTCCGGTGGCTGGACGTCAAGGAAGAAACGGCCAAAAGCTTCTTGTACGCTGGCACTAGGGTTGTCAGGATCCGGGGTACGTTTTCTGCCGATGGCAGTTTGTCTCAATCGGCCTTGGGACTGGTTGCTAGAACGGGTGTGTCATGGCCAGTCTAACGGAGAGTCTCGGTCTGAGCCATCCTGTAGGGTTTTCTACCACCAAGGGTGCGCTCATCCGAAGCATGCTCTATCCAAAGCCTATCGGGTTCAAATTCTATCGGGACTCGGTTCGGTTTATTTTGGCTCTCACTTGCATTGCCGGTATCGGGTTCTGTTTCAGTGCTGTGCAATTTGTCCACTTGGGGGTATGTGCGTTTTACACATTCGGTGCATCTCGCGCTCACCCTGCGTAGATTGGATGGCTCACTATCCTATTCCGGGCCCTGGATCTCGTGACGACCGTGGTTCCACCCGCGCTTCCGGCAACCCTATCCATCGGCACAAGCTTTGCCATCGGCCGATTACGCAAGCTGGGCATCTTTTGCATATCACCTAGCCGGGTGAACGTCGGTGGCAAGGTCAATGTATGTTGTTTCGACAAGACAGGCACTTTGACTGAGGACGGTCTCGACATCCTCGGTGCCCGGGCGTTGGACCGCAGCGGGCAGCAGTTTGGAGAGCTGCTTGAAGATGTCCATGACCTGCCGCTCGGAAAAGACCGGGCGACGTTCCTCCACGCCATGGCAACATGTCACTCGCTCAAGATGGTGGATGGTCACGTAATCGGCGATCCGCTAGACGTCAAGATGTTTGATTTTACGAGATGGACTCTCGAGGAAGGTCGTGTCGCGGGCACGGGCGTCATCAAAGGCAAAGCCGGCGTTGTGCTGGAACAAACCGCCCTTGTACAGACGGTGGTCAGACCTCCAGGGAGTGCCCAGTTCAAGCTCGAGGATGCGCTCAAGGGCTCGACCAAGGTGAGTTTCCGGATGCCTTGTTCAACACCACCGGCTAAATCAACCAGCGTGCTCACTTCTTGGAACTCGGCGTGATCCGCACTTTTGATTTCGTCTCTGCGCTGCGGAGGATGAGTGTCGTTGTGAAACGACTGAAAAGTTCGAGCATGGAGATCTATGTCAAGGGCGCACCCGAGGTGATGGCTGATATCTGTGATCGCGATTCATGTCTGTGCTACTCCCGGATTGGTCGTCTATGGCTGACATCATCCTAGTCCCCGACGACTATGAAGATCTACTGTCGTACTACACAAAGCGAGGATATCGTGTGATCGCGATTGCCGGGAAAAGCATTGACGGACTGACCTGGCTGAAAGCGCAACGCATGAAGCGAGAGCAAGCTGAATCGGGACTGCGATTTCTGGGGCTGATCATCTTCGAGAACAAGCTCAAGCCGGGGACCACACCAGCCATCACTGCTCTGCGCTCTGCACATCTTCCCTGTCGGATGATCACTGGTGACAACCCACTCACCGCTGTCAGCGTTGCTCGAGAGTGCACCTTGATCCACCCCGCCGCGCACGTGTTTTCGCCGTCGTTCATCAGGGGGTCCGACAGCACTGCCAATTCCAGTATCGAGTGGACGTGCATGGATGAGTTATCGTGGAAACTAGATCCTTTCACTCTGAAACCGATGACTCCTCCGCACCATACTGTCGATCCCGAAATGCTAGAGTATCACGACTATTCTCTCGTCATCACTGGCGACGTTTTCCGCTGGTTCATCAACTATGCTCCGCTCGAGACCTTGCATCGTGTAAGCTATCCGGTCGACATACCCTAGAGACTCTCTTGCTGAATCGTCCTCCAGATGTTGGTCAAGACACAGATCTTTGCTAGAATGTCACCCGATGAGAAGAACGAAGTCGTTGAGCGACTGCAAAGCTTGGGGTATACTGTGCTCATGTGTGGCGATGGAGCGAATGACTGTGCTGCACTCAAAGCTGCCGATGTTGGCATCTCGCTTTCAGAGGCCGAGGCCAGCGTCGCTGCACCATTCACAGCCAGTACTCCCGACATAGGATGTGTGCTCGAGGTCATCAAGGAAGGCCGAGCATCCCTTGTCACCAGTTTCAGCTGCTTCAAGTACATGTGAGTTGTATCTCTGCTCTCAACTCTTCGTTTTCCAAACCCACTTGCAGGGCTCTGTACTCGATGATCCAGTTCACCTCTGTCACTCTGCTGTACTCTTTTGCCTCCTCGCTGGGCGATTTCCAGGTCCGTGCCCGCTATTCGCTCGCCGTCTCCAATTCTCTGATTCGCTAGCAGTTTTTGTATATCGATCTGTTCATCATTATTCCCGTGGCTGTCACGAGTGAGTGGTGGTGTGCTTCATGCTCTGAAAACGTCGCCGATATGCCACAGTGGCTCGCACGCTACCGTATCCGAGAATTCACACCACACGACCCACGGCGAGTTTGGTTTCCAAAAAGGTTCTGGCGAGTCTGGTTGGTCAGATCCTCATTACAAGTGGTGTTCAGCTGTGGGGTTATGTTTGGGTTAGACAACAGCCTTGGCAAGTTACACTTGCACTTCATTGATGGCTGTTCTGACATCAGGGAGTAGGTACACCCCACCGCCACTGCCATCAGATCCGGCCAGCGGTCATCAGCTGGAATCGACCAACTTCGAAAATACGACGCTCTTTCTGTTGTCCAGTTTCCAGTATGTGCTGGTCGCTGCCGTATTCAGCATCGGGCCTCCGTATCGGAAATCAATGTGGACGAATGGTGAGTAATTTCCTGATCGGAGTTGGTTGCGCTCAACAGTTGCTCTCCAGGGTGGTTGATGGCCTCGACCGGACTGCTGACGGGCATAAATGTTCTCGTCCTGTGGTCGCCGCCAGAAATCGCAACAAGTCTCCTGACACTGATGCCCCTTCCGTCGGATGCTCGGATCGTGTTGCTTGTCGGCGCGATCGTGAATGCGGTGCTGTGTTTGGCATTTGAGGCATGGGGTGCTGGTCTCCTGGCGTCGATGGCAGGGCGAATTTCACGAGTCTTGCAGCGGTGGAGTCGGGTCCGACGCAACGGAGGGAAATTGTACAAGGCCGTAGAAGGTGGCATGGGTCTAGAACCAGCGACCAGCCGGCTGTCGTGATAGTTTTGGCCTGACATCAGCTGTATGTAGCAGGCTCGGTTTATTTAGGAAATGATCATTGTTGTCGTTGTCAAGGATAACACCATCCATCTCTCCCTCTATCCGTCTCCCCTCCTCCTTCTATTTCGACCACTCCGCCCAGGGGGCACTTCCAATCTTTCTTTCTTAACCCACCGAGAACCGCAGGAACGGGCTCATCGTCCTCCCCTAGTCAGCCTTTTGTCGACGCAATCATGGTTTCTCCAAGGCCCAAAAAACTGGCCATCCTCTTTCTTTTCCAATGCATGTTCCTCGCAGCCAATGCAGCACCCGTTGTCCGGCAGCGGGCTGCGCCCACCGCCGCCACGACCGTGATGACCACATCCACCACCGATACGTGCGTTACGGTCTACATCTGTCGTGCTCATACTTCCCTCATGTTGCATCTTCAGCGTCGCAGGACAGATGACACAGACATGCGTTATCACGCTGACTCCTGTTACCGGACCTAACGGAGAGTCCGAGGTTCAGGAAGTGCAGACATGCACAGTGACTATGAACGGAGCCGGCAGCAACAGCACCAGCAGCACAGGCAGCACAGGCGGCAGCAGCAGCAGTGGCACGAGCAGCCAGGGCGGGAGCGCTAGCAATGGGACGACGACGACAGCCGCTGCATCGGGTTCGGCGAGCACGAATGGGTCCAATGCCGGATCGAGCTCTACCGACACATCGTCTGCGACTGCCAGTGCAGCAGGAGCAGCGGCACCGTCGGCCTCTGCCGCCGGCTCGGGCTCAGCAGCTGCTCCCTCTGCCACTGACTCGAGCTCAGCGGCCGCCTCCGCTGCCCCCGGCTCGGTCTCGGCTGCCGCTCCCTCAGCAGCATCGTCTGTGGCGGCCTCCAGTGCGTCTTCGACGGGATTGGCGGACGGCGGGGCTGTGAGCGTCGCAGTGCGTGGAGACACAATTCTTACTCGTTGTTGGCACTGATTTGACATTTCCTATCAGGGCGTCTCGGCTGTTGCAGCACCTACCGCATCTGCATCTGCAGCGGGCTCGGCAGCATCTGCGGCTGCTAGTGGTCCGGTGTCTGCGGCCGCTAGCGGTGCGGCGGGCGTTTCAGCCAACGCTGTCTCTGCTGTCTCAGCGCCGTCTGCGACCTCTGCCGCTGCCTCTCAGACGACGGGCGGCGCTGACGGTTCCAATGGAGCTGCTGCGGCCGCCTCCGCGTCCTCTTCGACCGCTCTAGCGGCGTCCGCTGCTGCCGAGAACCAGGCCTCTGCATCGAGCTCTGCGTTTGCCGTCCCCGGACAAACACTGCAGGTGCTGCCGATTGGCTTGGGCGTGTTCGCCGGTATCTCAGTCATTGCGCTGATTGTGGTTGGTCTTGTCACATACGAGCGTACCAAGTATCGCAAGGTATGTGCTATTCGGGTCTGTTGGTATCCAGGTGCTGAGATGCGTGGGATAGGCGTTCCGTGCGAGGAAACTTGCGGAGACGGGTGCAGGGATGGGCTATGGCGGCATGTCGTGAGCACGTTTCAGGTTGACTAGAGATTGACTGCTGACTGCCTGCAGGCAACGCTGAGGGGAACTAGCTACAGAGGGCGCTGTAACATACAAGCAATGATCTCTGTTTATTTCAAGTTGACTTGAAAGGACATCAGCGGTGTACTCTTTAGAATCTCTTTCGGGCGGACTTTCTAGTGTATATATTCTTCCACTAATTTTGCTGAGGGTTTGCGGGCCAACTTCAATGCAACATGCTTCACCGATAGATTATTACAAGGTACGTACAATACAGATAACATCAAGAATCAGAGTCCGAGCCAGCAAAGGACGTGAGCGGAGAGGAAAACGACGGATCGAGTGATAGTTCCGCCAGTGGTGGAGTCGCAAACAGGCGGCGCGCGGACATCATCCTGCGCGCTGGAGGAGAAGCGCAATCACTTGCTATGGAGGACAAGGGCGACGACACCGGAGATACCACTGGATGCAGCACAGGGAGAGGAGAGTTGTCACTGAAGATGGGGGACGACGGTGGTGTGTCACGTGCAGTGTCCTTGTTCGACGAAGAAATGCTGTCTTCTTCAGGTGTCGAACTCCATCGGCGACGGGCGAAGCTGAACGGAGTGGGTTTGAACGAGCTCAGAGGCAGCGGCGTGACTAGAGATTTGTCATTCACCTCCTCCTCGACCACGGCATCGTCCTCTGGTGTGACCGGCGGTGCCACATCCTCGTCCGACGATGAGCTCGAATGAGAGAGCAAGGGACTCCCGCCCCATGCGTGAAGCGCATACGTAAGCGGGTTGGGTCTGGCAAAGAGTTGGCCGCCCCGAAAGCCAGAAGAAGGGCGCGGAACCATTTTCCCGATTCGACCCATCCTCTTGCTTTGCTGTCGGTCAGGGAGATCCAAGTCGGCGCTGGACCGCTTACGAGCAGCGAATTCGTCATTTCCATCTTCATCCCCTGCGACTGCGCGAACCCTGCCTGTGCTCTGCTCCTGGCGTCGTCTGATTTGGTCCCGCCCTTCAGCCCTGGCGGCACGTGACAGCACTGGGACCACCGACACTGGTCGAATCTCTCCCTTCCTCGGCCGACCTCGCTTTCGCTGGACTGGCTCGGCCTGTGTGACGGGTTCGTGCTCAGGCTCAGGCTCAAGCTCCGATCCAGAGTCTGTGTCCGAGTCAGAGCTCGATTGCGAATCCAGTGCCATCGGTAGTGATTTGCGTGGGCGTCCACGTTTCCGGGGAGCCACCGATAGCACAGCGACTGGCGCCGAAACTGGCAAACTGTGCTTCCGGGGTCGACCACGACCTCGTTTGACAACAAGTAAGACGGGCTCCGTTTTACGTCGTTTCAAGGGGACGTCCTCTGGCTCCACCCTTGGGCGCTTCGCCGGCCGGGACGGCTCGGGACGAGCCTCTGCCGCTGCCGCCGCCGCCAGCTTACGATCCAACACAGACAGCACCTTGTTGTTGAGCCCACGACGTGAAGCAGACTCAACTGGGGTCGAATCCTCCCGAGGGGTCGGTAGATTGCGCTGAGGTCCATCAACAGACATCCGACACGGCCAGGCTTGCTCATAAATGGCGAGATGGCGCAAGCATCGTGGACAGTCCTGTTTGTTGGTTTCAAGCCCCCACACTATTTGCGAATCCACAGAGATCACTGGAAGCACGTTGCCACACGTTGAGCACAACGGAAGAAGTTCTCCGTCGGGCCCACGTGGTGCTGGCTTAGCCGGAGCCTCGTCCTTCACATCAGCCGCTGCGGGTACCGATGCTCGCGCTCGCACAAGCTTGGGCTCGTCTTCCTCCTTCTTGACAGTCGACTCTTTGCCTTTAACCGACTTGACAGGCGTTGGGACCTGGGAAGCATGTGCTTGATTCACAAGGCTTGATCGTGTGAAACGCTTCGGGGGTGTGCTCGTGTCTTCCGAGGGCGGCGGAGTCAGCAGTTGTCCTATCTCGGCTCCCTTGGCCTTCCGGCGGCGAGTCGACATGAGCGAATGAAGTGGCGTGGAATGTCCACTCTCTAGGGAGGTGAGATCGGACAGTGATCGGGTGGTGTGAGCGGGGGACAATGCGGTCAGACTTGAAGGGGCTGGAGACGCTGGGGTCGGCAGAGATGACGGACCAGCGATCGAGACAGGAGTCGGCAGGGATGATGGACCAGCAATTGCTTGAACAGCTTGGATCGAGGTGGACGGTGCTCGTGATGACGGTAACGATGTCAGTTGCGAAGCACTGTCAACTTCAGCAACCAACTCGATCGTAGCATCCTCGACAATGGGCACCGCGACCTCACCCTCCTCCTCCTCACTATCAAGCGAATGCTCTCGTGCAGGCATGACTGCATACACACCTCGGCGCGTCCTTCGCTCATTGAGATTTCCACTGTCATTGCTCTCCTCTACTCTCGGAGGACCTGAATCGCTGTCTGAATCAGACTCGGAATCCGAGCTAATTGGCGGGTCTTCGTCATCATGGTCGGGAGCATATCCTCCTCTGCCTCGCTTTTCGCAACTTTCACAAAGACAATGTCGATTCTTCTTCCCGACTATCACTGAAATTAGTGGCGATGCGGAATGTAAGAGCACACTGACAGTATCCATTGCCGTAATGAGCCGTGATTTCCTCGCCGATAGCAATGGGTCGAAGCACGCGAAACGTGATATATCTCCCTTCTCGAAAGAGCTCGCAGTTGTTATTACAATCATGCTACGTGGGCACGGGTGTCAATATCTGGGAGGCAGGAGCGAGAGAAAATGCCCACATTGACAAAACGGGCAGGACCCAAGAACAGATGGTTCTTCTTCATCTGCTTCGAATGGATGACACTGAAGTCCCGTCGAATATCCGAGTTCCTCAAGTCCGTCCTCTTCAATTCCCTATCTTCCTCGTCCGTCAAGTTGGCCATGGATCCCTTCAGCTCCGTGATGACAGTGCCGGGGCTGAGATTGCGGGTAGCCATGATGCACAGCTCCGACTTTCCGGTCTTGTGGGCATAACGTGATGTATGGGCGATCTCGATGAGACCGGAGGGATGATACAGTTCGAAATACCGAGATGCATGTCTGGTAGTCGGTGAGCACGACGAGCCAACGAGAACAACAGAAACGCACGTAGCAAACGCGTTGATCTGCTTCTGGGTATATTCCTTGAGGTAGTACCGAATAGGAGAGCATCTGAGACATGGGCATTAGTTAGCATATACCCCGCAACCGAAAATGCGGGCGAACGCACTGGAGCAATTCGTCGACAGCATTCTTCACAACCAATGAGACAGGTCCTTTAGTAGCAACAAGCTGTAAATAAACACAAAAAATAGATGTGAGGCGCGTCGTCGCGAGGAGGAGGAAACCGGAACTGACGCGTCGAACAATCTTGAGGAGCCTTTCCGGGTCCGTCTTGGGGAGCCTCCGCGAAGCATCCATTTTATGGACAAGAAGAGGGACGGAGCCCGTCCCCAGTTTCTCCACGAGAAGATGGCTGAGAAAATCGTCGTCCTTCGACAAGTCACGCATGTTCATAATTTTGGTGGGACGCCAGAGCACCGGGCCTGGGACATATGAGAGAGAGGCCATAATAGTGGAGGGAGAGGGACGGATGTGGGCTTGCAGGTGGGCGACGGGTACAAAAGGGCCAAGATGGCCACAAGGAACCGCCGACGCACACTGAAGCAACAAATGAGTGTGTCACGTCACCCGTCACGCGCTTCATGACGCGCTGGCCCAATTTGATCGCATTTATGGATGAGTTCGCAGACAGGACGTATTCACAAGCACAGCAATTTATTTCCCCTCAAGGATAAAGAGTAATTTATAAAACAACTACAAGGAAAGGCCACCGCGCAGACGGAGAACAAGATGGAGGGTCGATTCCTTCTGAATGTTATAATCAGAAAGGGTGCGGCCATCCTCGAGCTGCTTCCCAGCGAAGATCAAACGCTGCTGGTCAGGAGGGATGCCTTCCTTGTCCTGAATCTTAGCCTTGACGTTGTCGATTGTGTCCGACGACTCGACCTCAAGCGTGATCGTCTTGCCCGTCAGCGTCTTGACAAATATCTGCATGCCACCTCGCAGTCGAAGGACAAGATGGAGCGTCGACTCCTTCTGAATGTTGTAGTCGGAAAGAGTGCGACCGTCTTCGAGTTGTTTGCCCGCAAAGATAAGGCGCTGCTGATCGGGTGGGATCCCCTCCTTGTCTTGAATCTTGGCTTTCACATTGTCAATGGTATCCGACGATTCGACTTCGAGGGTGATCGTCTTGCCAGTCAACGTCTTCACAAAGATTTGCATGCCACCACGGAGACGAAGGACTGAATGGGAATCAGCCGCTGAAGTACATGAAACAGATCATGTACTGACCAAGATGCAACGTGGATTCCTTCTGGATGTTGTAATCAGACAGGGTCCGTCCATCTTCCAATTGCTTTCCGGCAAAGATCAACCGCTGTTGGTCAGGAGGAATGCCCTCCTTGTCCTGGATCTTGGCCTTGACATTATCAATGGTGTCGGACGACTCCACTTCCAGGGTGATGGTCTTCCCCGTAAGAGTCTTGACGAAAATCTGCATTCCTCCACGAAGCCGGAGAACAAGGTGAAGGGTAGATTCCTTCTGAATGTTGTAATCCGAAAGGGTGCGACCATCCTCGAGCTGCTTCCCGGCGAAGATAAGGCGCTGCTGATCAGGGGGGATCCTAGAAGTGAATGCAATTAGTGAGAACCTCGAGCGTGCGGGCGTTGCGCTCACCCTTCCTTGTCTTGGATCTTGGCCTTGACATTATCAATAGTATCGGACGACTCGACCTCAAGGGTGATGGTCTTGCCGGTGAGAGTCTTAACGAAGATCTGCATTGCTAGGCTGAGAGATACAATGAGCTTTCAGAGCAGGAAAGTGAGGCATCCACTTGCTGTGAGTGGTTGGGGAGAGAGCTGTAGAGAGTGGTTGCGATGTGACGAAACGTGACAGCTGACCGATTTGGCCAAGCGCTGACGTCATGAGCCATGTGAAAGGGATACAAGATTAAACAACGCGGTCGCGTATACCAATTAACAGTCTCCGTCAAGGCCATAGGAGGCCATCGGTGCTACAGATGTCCTGGGGCAAAGGTGTTCTCACGCCACATAGGACTGATGTGATCTCGCGTCGATGATATACAGTTTTAATGGTCGGTTCTCTGCCAACAGGCTGCCACGGGAAGGAAGTACATAGCGAATAATAGAATAAATCAAGACAGTTCGTGGATAAACAGTCTATAGGGCATCGCGAGGTACCGGAAGAGAGGATTATCGGTCAAAGTGGAGATTGTCCTTGACAGCCAATGTTCGACGCCGGGCCCGAGGATCCTCCATCACACCGGGAATCTCCCCATGTCTGGCCAGATGATGCCAATACAGCACATCACCAGGCGCTAGTGAGGGAAGAGAAGGCTCCGGCTGCTCCGCTGGCAGACCATAGCTCGGTTGGACCGCAGGTGGGACGCTCGAATCACTAGCCACAGACAGAGCCCGAAGGTGGACTGAAGATTGTAGGGCTCCAGAGTAATGGGGTATGGGACTAGGAGGATCCATGGAGAGGTGGCTTGCTTCATGCTGAGAATAGTAAGAGAAGACGGATGGATGCATATCGTCCTCCGAATCCAAGGGGGGAGTGGGCAGATACTCTGGGCCGCCCGACGTGACGGCAGAGCTTCTCACAGGATTCTCGTGTCTCGGCGCCTGGCTTTGAGAGATGATAGGACTCTCGCCTACAAGTACGTGATCAGTCGATGCAACGACACCAGCCTCGTTCTCGATGTAATGTCGCTCCGTCTCCCGAATCTCGCTCGCGTGAAATACAAATCGATGGCCATTCGTCGCCCGGCTAGAAGCGCTGACAGATGATGTGCACCTGGCGCACTGGATAAAGAATTAATGCCCAACGACAACAGGACGGTTGAGCAACCCACCGGGATCACGATCATATATCCAACACTCTTGCCACACCCATGACAACACAATGTTTGTGTGAGGCATTCACACGTTCTTGGAGGTTGAGAAGGGCAGCTGGGCAGAGGCTTGAGGGAATGGGAGCCGACGGCACTGTGTGCGGAGCAATTGACTGGTAGCGCGTCAGACGAGTACAGTCCTACGCTTGGGCGAAGAAGGAGAACTGCCTGAGAAAGGAACGTTCATTAAGCGAGAGAGCAGCGAGTTCATATTCACCTTCATACCGCGGTTCGTGAAGAAGGTACCGCAAGTTCTACAGTCCATGATCCAGACCTTGTGTGGGACGGGTGGTGGCGGGGCAGGATTAGGAGGAACGTAAAGTTGGCCATGCCAGACACTGTGGTGGTACATCTCTGGTATTACAACAATTGATCAAGAGAGAGTGGTGGAAGGAAAGAATGAAAGACGTGAATAAGTACTGGTTCAGAGTAAGTGGTGTCTTGAAGTACCTGCCTAATGCGGTTATAGTTCGGCTAATCAGTTCTTGGTGTCGACCTCCATTTGAATGAACCACAATCTCGCAACCTTGACGCGGTCCCATGCTGCCATTGCAGCGAAGAAAAAAGCAAAAAATGAACAGATAAAGGAAATACTGTTTGACGATGATGCCCGCCGGTAAATCGCCACCTTTTGTGAATTGAAAACATATTCTGAGAGGTTGTTTGTTAGGGAATTTTTGACTGGGTTTCACAAGCGCAAAGTCCAAAAAGCAGACGCTGCTCGCAAAAAGGCTACGGAGAGAGCGAAGCAAGAACGACTAGAAACCCGCAGAGAGGTTTGTCTCAAAGTCTTCACGCCGATACCTTTTCTCGTGCTTAGGTCAATGTAGCAACGCCGTGAACTACGCCAACGGGCGATCGATAATGCTGCGGAAGTCGAGAAAGCGTATGCTGGTACGTGCTTGTCTCTGCTCGACGACCTCCGTTGAGTTTATTCGTAGGCGATCAGGAGGAAGATGAGGACGACGATCAGTGGGCAGGAATATCTGAGAATCTGGTTGATAAGGGGAAAGGGAAGCTGATGGAGGAAGAATACGAGGGCGAAGATACACTGGCCACAGTTACGGTGGTTGAAGACTTTGACCCGGACACAATCATACATGGCCCCCGCACCGATGCCGAACCTGTCGCAGTTCCTCCAGAGTATCCAAGGTCCAAACCAGAAAAGGCTCCAAACCGAACGAATCCGACGCCGAAATTAAAACCGAAAATCAAATCTCAGAAGATCCGCTACGAAACCAAAGATGCCCGGAAACGCGAACGAACCAAGCAGCGTGCTCGACGCACGGAGAAGGCTGAAAGGGCAGGTGGGAAGGCATCGAAGAAAAGCAATGGAGGCCGTAGGAACGGGGGATCTCGTAAATAATGGTTTGGACGCTGTATCCTGGTTCCATGCCATTGTCCAGGTTGTCCTGTGGTCTCCCTTCCGCAGCTGTCTCGTGGTAAGAGACACTAGTCCTTTCCAGTTTGTGCGAAATGAAGTTGCAATAAGAACTGGTCATAAACACCTTACTGAACAGATCTGAGTCCCCGTGGGCGGTGTGGCTTTCTCAGCTCTGCTGTGGGGTGTATCAATCACGTGAATACAATAAGTCTAGACGTCTTTCACCTCATTCCGCGACCGTTCAGCATGAATTCTCTCTACACCTCAGGCGTGCGCCAGGTCACGTCTCTGCAAGCAGATTTGGAACGCCTAAGAAGCGGCGAAAACTCCCCCGCGCTTCTTGGTCTGGCACAATGTCTCTAGTGCTGTAGCAATAACTCATGGAACTTCAGGGCAGATTTCCGCCTCCCTAGCTGCCATGCACCGGACTGTTGATGATTACGACTCCATGGCCAAACGGGAAATGATCAAAGCGAAGCAAGAGAAAGCTCAAATGTGCTCATGTTCGCCGTCTTGTATTGACCTATCTCAACGTCTCCTACAGGCGTGTTCAGAAGTTCAGGACGGACTATCACGAACTAAGAACCCAGTTCGAGCAGATCAAAGCCCAAAGTGCCGCAGAGGCCAGTTGTTCCCGCTCTTCAGGCTGATAGCGCTGAAAGACATACAGTACGCTGCAGCTCAGCGAGCGGACCTTTTCACTGGAGCAGCATCACCGTCAGCCGCAGACGCAAGACGCCGTTTCCAGACGACACCGGCAGAGCAGTCCACATTGCATCCGGGCTTGCGACCGCAGGGAGACCAACACGCTGAATCCCCGTTTCGCGGACCTTCGCCCCAACCGGGCTTCGGCTCAAGAGAACAATACGCGCTTGACGAACACTCTTTCATCCAGAATACAGAGGCGCGTTTAGATGACTTTTTGACGCAGGGCAGAGAAGTGTTGGAGAACCTGAGGGACCAGAAGACGATCCTGAAGGGCACTCAGCGACGGTTGTTAGACGCCGCGAATACATTGGGACTGAGTCGTAATGTCATTGGTTGGATCGAGAAAAGAAGGTACGCGCGCCACTGACTCTCCGGAAAGTGGATTGACGACAGATATCAGCACGCAAGACATGTATATCTTCATTGCCGGGGCTATCTTCACGTTCTTTTGCTTCTGGCTCATCTGGCACTATTTAGGATGAACGTGGACACTTTTACTGTATCGTTTATATACCCTTACCCTGCAAGTATACTTGGGGCGGGTAAACGCTCGTCGAATGACCTGTCCCCATCCAACTGTAGCTTTATGCCAACCCCGGCTGGTACGCAGCCGTCTCCGAACGCAGCCTCCAGAGCCACTTTGCACTGGAAACCCGAACAGTGCATCGGGAGAATGTAGGTCGGGGCGGGGACCAGTTGTTCGGATAGAAAGCGGATTGTCGGCTCGATCGCGACGGCGGTATCCGGCGGTGCAAGATGGAGGCCACCGATTATCTGTCGCATTTCACGCCCAGGAATCGATTCAGCAAGAGGAACGAACCATGTAGATTGGCCGTGAAAATGTCTGCACCGCATCGCGAATGACGTTGACGATGCCAGCATGAGAGCAGCTGCAAAAATTTCAGCGTTTGGGACCGTGCAATATATCCCCGACTTGCGCGCTGAAGATGACCAGGCCCTTGCCAGCGACGTCGATGGCAGCATAGCGCTCGTCCAGAATGAGCTGAGGTGATGCGATGTGAGTTGTATCACTCGATTGTTCTACAGAAGAGAAAGTAACCTCGTCGGTTATCCATTGAGTTCCGTCCCACCGCTTTCCTCCGGGCACGCCCTTCTCGAAGGAGGTGGTTCGAGGTATCTCCCCGCTGATCCAAATCGAGCCACCAGCGACCGGGTGAGCCCCCGAGTGTTTCTCGACGGTCCCCCCGCAAGTAGCGATGTCAGTGAAAGACGGGTCATCTGGCAAGGCAGCAAAGACTCTCTCGTAGTCGGGCCCACGAGCCATCCCTCGAGATATGGGTCGGTCAGGATGGCAATCGACTACAGTCAATGATCGTTTCATCTTTAGGAAAGACAGCAGTCCGCCAGTATGGTCAGAGTGCCCTCAGAGAATCTCAAAATCCGCGCGTGTGGAACGAAGACCTCGATGCTCACAGTGCGAAGTGATGACGCGTGAAATGTTCTCGATTGGCACCTGCATCGCTTTGATATTGCGGACGAGCTGGTTCTGACTTGAGCTTGTATGGAGTGCCCTGGAGTTGGACTGACACTCTGGGAATCCGGGCCACAGTCAAAGAGAGTAGCATGCGCTGGTTCCCCGGCTATCTGAGTTTCCTGTCGTTATAGTTTGGGCTCAATCGTGTAGATAAGGCCACCATATAACACTGACAATAAGTGCAGAGAATCCATGAGCACCACAGCAAAAGGTGTCGAAGTCCAACACAGGAACTCCTTCCAAACATTTAGACTGGGGGCCCTGAACATGTCAAAGTTGGGTCCTGACCAGTCACGGGATGCTCGTGCAGAGGCGGATTGTTCTGTGAAAGATGCTGAGGGAGCTCATGTGTAAACCCAGGAGGCAGTTTTGTCAACCTAGAGAGATGTCATCATCGAATGTAATTGACAGGCCGGGCACGATTAGACCATTCGATGCAATTGTCGACAAGAAAAGTCACTGTAAGTCTGGCAGTACGATTTAGCTCTTGAGATGACTCGCAGCGGGTCCATGGTGAACCAACTTGTCTACAGATCTAGATGGCCTGGAAGATGTTTGTGACATGGGGGTTGAATCAACACGACAACTGGGGGGCTGTGCTGTTCAAATCCATAACCATGCAAGTAATTGTGTCATGGATTTTTCTGGAGGGACTTTGTAACGCCGCCATGTCCTTGCGGATGGCAGACTATCCTACTGTAAATGAGGGTTCGACTCTAGAATCCTATCGGTTATCGGTTAAAATGTTCTGTTAATGATGTTCATAAAGTGGGATGTGAGTACTGGGGTGATATACAGATGAGACGGTAGATAACACAGAGAGTGAGAGGAGCGGAGAGTGGACGGTGCGACACCTGGTCGAGCGATATCTGGACATGCCAGCGGCGGTAAACGACTATACTATGGGCACTTTGAATATTTGAAGTTCCCATTGCCCGTTTCTCATCCACAGACCATCGAATATTCGGCGGCCGCAGAGAAGATCCACGCGGAGGAGCCCCAGCTTGCGGTTGTATTCTGTCAAACCGGGGGCCTCCTTGCACCGCAGTTTGAAAGCCTGCTGGCACCGATCCCAATCTGGCTCTGACGGGAGCTGTGCTGCAGCCGCCTTCTTCTGATACTTGCTGTAGATCGCAAAGAAGACGTCGATGCAGCGCAAGCCCTCGGGACGTCTGACGACGAGAGACCCGACTAGAGGACACACGACCACTATCTCAGTAATCCGGTAGTTCACACAAATCGGCATTTCCCGGTCTTGTTGGGATAAATCCGCGAAATGCCGATGGCGGTTATCTTTGAGGTTGTTCGGGTCCTGAGGATCGAAAGCAATGTCAAAGTAGACTTTCGGGTAAGGAAGGTGCTCCCGTTGGCTAAATGCCACCAGAGGCCAGCTGAGTGTCACGGGGGCCTGCGCCATGCCTGACGAACGATCAGAGACACATCACAGCACACTCAGATTATCTCAACTTCGTTTGAGCACGGGCTTGGGCGGTTTGGGCGGATAAGATCGGTGTTCATCGTCGCTCCAAGGAGCGGCTGAGCAGAAATCAGCCGTCGAAGCTAAATCGGAAAACGTGGCATCCACACACCAGAGTTAGGAGCACTATATGCGGAAATCAGGGTCGGTCGCGGCTGCTCTGTGGCCGGCGGACCGTATTGGAACGTCTGTCTCTTCGCGCCTAATGAACGTCAGGGGGCTCTATCCCATCAGTGAGCTCGACGAACGGGAGCTCGAGACCGCTGATCTGGATAAGGCAACGCGTCGAGAGGCAGAAAGGGCGCACTTACGTGGGATTGATCCGCTGGTCATCGAAGATGCTCGTCGACGAGAGTGGCTTTGTCGTGGTGGGTCGTGAATGGAAGTGGGCAGCGGCGCAGGAGTCATGGATCGGGGCGCAGTGTCGGTCTTGGATGACCCTTTGAGAAAGGAGAAAGAGATTCTCTTCTTATCTCGGGGCAAGACTTCGGGACTGAGCTCGTCGGGGAGGGAGATGCTGCCCATCTTCGGAGTCGGGGGAATCTTATGTGATTGAGGCATGGCGGGGTCGTGAACGGAATCAAAACGAAGGAGACGATGTGCAATTAATCCTCGAAACACCAAGAGTCCTGGAATGGAAATTAATCAACGACATAAACGAGTAGTACCAGACCACAGACTCGGGCGATTAGGAGATAAAGAAAGTAGAGTGAAGGAGTCAGCGACTACAGTGAGAAGACCCTCGAGGCCCCCACCTGAGGCTTCATGCACCTTTAAGGGCTGAAGGTAGGACGCAAGGCCTTGACTGACACGAGGCGCTGGTAATGATATCGAGTGGTTAACGCCGAGGTGCCGGTCTGATAGAATATGCCCTCAGTTGACAGTCCAGGTGATACATGACCTGAAAGCTCGCTCTCCACTAGTGCTCGATACGCCGTCCTGTAAGCTGTGAAGCGGGGCTCGTGCCTGCTCGTTCAGGGTAACCTTCTCACCGCCGTTACACCGGTGATAGCAGTGAAAGTATGGAGGGCCCAAGGAAGACTGCGAGTTCATCAGAGCACGGGCTGGGCAGGTGATCGGCCCCTCGTCTCAAAAGAGCAAACGATAGTCCACCGCCCGGAACACACCGAGCCGGCTTGAGTTTGCCTGTGCAAGATGGCGAGATACCGATGCAGTCAACGATAGATTGACGATGGTGATAGCATAGAAAGTTGAAACTGGGCAATAGTTATAGATGCCACGACAAATTCGTCACGCGAAGACTCCGCCTGGAAGGACGCTCGAGTCGTGCTCGACAGACGAGGAAGACTATCAGTGGCAGTGCTCAGCCTGATGACCGCACGTGTTTGTCGCGATCGGACTCGGCGATCAAACACCGAAGTTCAAATCCCCGGGCCCGGGGTGTGGGGAGACCGGAGGGGTATACGACTCTCTCGCAGCAGATCATGTCTGGATACGACAAAACGCGCGGCCAACCGCAAAACCCCAGAGACTTCTACGAGTCAACCAAATCCCGTGTGTTATGCAGTTATGCAGTCCAGTCCACCTGTCTTAGTCCAACGAAGGAATCCAGAAGATACAATCCCACTTGGCGGAAAGTCCGCGCGGGTCGCGTCTGAAGGGCAAAGTTTGCATCATCACAGGTGTGGGGTCGTTGAAGGGAATAGGGTAGGCATTTGCTTTGCATGCAGCCCCGATAACCCTATCTTGCTGTCAGACGTGCCACAGCGTTGTTGTTCGCACACGAGGGTGAGTGAGTACACCAGGTCACCATTCGGTTTCCACATGGCTTGCCAGGCGCCAAACACCTCTATCTGCTTGACTTTGACGAGACGAACTTGCCCAATCTTGCCTCCACGCTCAACGTGGCTTACCCTGATGTTAAGGTAGGTTTCGATGTCATCCTTGCTCCGCGTTTGTGGCTGGAGTATTCTTCAGGTGACAACCCTACAAGGGGACGCAGCCGACGAGGCAGCGATAGAAGGTCTCTGCCAGCGTGCTCTGAAAGAAGAGGGTCGACTGGATGTCTTCTTTGCAAACGTCTGTCCGCCGTCCTAAGAGTTTGGTGGTCGTTCCTGATTCTCCAAAAGGCTGGCTTTGCGTCCAGAGAGACCATGGAGACAACCACAACAGAGCTATTCATGAAGTCGATGAAAGTCAACTCGTTATCGTGCGTGTCATTTCTTGGCGCTGAACCACTTGCAGTCCTTACATCACACGCTGCTACTAGGTGCTTTTTGGCGATCAAATATGGGTCCGCGGCTATGAAGATTGCTGATGCATCGAAAGGCAAAGAGCTCAGTGGGGGCAGCATTATCATGACCGCGTCAGGTTTGTGCATTGTGGCCTCGTCTTGCCTTCTTGCTCAATGCGCACAGTCGCTGGTATCCGATCTGGTGCTGGCACACTCGATTGTAAGTGGCCAGTCAAATTCTCACGCACCGACTAATCGTCAGCAGACAGTGCCAGCAAGGCTGCGTGAGTGCCTGAGTATGGGTGCATGCCAAAGCTAACAGACGGAAAGCGTCAACTCGATGGCCAAGACAGCCGCATACCAACTGCAGAAGACAGCCATCCGGGTAAACTCAATCTGCCCGGGTCTGATCGAGACAGGAATGACAGTGGACACGTTTGAGTATGCCCGCAAAAGGGGTGCAGATGCAAAAATCGGCCAACTGAATCCTTTGGGACGATTCGGCGTCGCCGAAGGTGAGATCAATCGGGTTTGCTTGCTTAGCTAACTGCGTTGATCGTAGAAATTGCACAGGCAGCTCTGTTCTTAGCCAGCGGTGAGTTTATGTGCCAGTTTGCGTCAACATTGACTGAAACAGCACAGACGACGCAAGCTACGTCAACGGACAGAACTTTGCGGTGGATGGGGGCCTTTCCGCTTCACACCCGGTCATTCCAGGACGCTGGGCCTGAGTGAACACCGTGAAAGATGCATGCAGAAATTCAACGACGGTATCAATAATACTGTGTAGTTTTTAGTTCACTTGATGTCGACAAGCTTGACCTCTGCACAACTGTGAGTGGAGAACAATGGAACAAGGTAGACCATACCGAACACCAGAGTCGAGTTCGGAGGAATATCTTTGCCCGAACCCCGTTTTCCGTAGGCCATAGGAGCAGGAATAGTCAAGACACGTTCACCTCCGGCTTGCATTCCAACAATACCCTCATCCCAGCCCTTGATCACTTCACCCTTTCCAAGGTGGAAGACGAACTGGACATATTAGACGAAAAACTCGAGACACACACTGACCATCACTCACAGGCTTCCCTTTCGTGTTCTGGTCGAAGACTTTTCCGTGCGTAAGCTTGCCGATGTAGCGCATGGACACAGTGTTCCCCTTCTTGGCAGTGGGTCCGGTCCCGATCTTGGTGTCCTTCACTTTGATACCACCAGTAATCTCGCGCTCGACCGCAGCTTTCTTCGTTTCGCCTTCAGCTTTGGGTGCTTCCGCCTTTTTCTTCTCTTTTTTCTCTTTCTTTGTCTCCTTCTTCTCGCTAGCCTCAGGAGTCTTGTCGCCTTTCTGCTTCTTAGCAGCCTTCTCAGGGACAACGACATCCTCGCGCGGGCGTTTAAGGTTTTTGGATGAGGCAGGGACGTCCTCCATTTCGTCCATACCGTCAAGCTCGTCAGCATCCATCTCGACGTCGGAGCTGACATCTTCTAGGAAATGGCCCTCTTCGTCCGAATCCTCATCGCCGAATGGTGGAAGATCGGTGCGGTAATCTGATATCGCATTTAGAGAGGCAGAAGGAGAAAATATGAACACAAGCCAGACCGATGTAGTTTCCAGTGAGGTAAAGAGTACTAGGGAAGGCGTAGTGAGCTTTTGACGCGCGGATACAAGAGGAAACACACTTCGGTCCTACAACCTCGAGCAAGTAGGTTTCCTCTTCCTCGAGAACGATGCTGGAGGTGAATTGCTCGATCTGCGAAGATGATAGGCTTATTGAGAAATAAATTCAGCATGCACCCGTTTCGACTGACCTTGCCGGGGGTCAAAGCACAAATGTAGGTAGTTTCTTGTTTGACATCCTCGCTTTCTTCCTCCTCATCGTCGCTTTCGGCAGGGGGCCTGTCAAGAGATTAGTTCTTGCAGGAGGGAAGCATTAGATTTGACGCACTGGTAGCTCAACTTCAAAGTGGTACGCGCCGACTGGTCCGCCAATTGTACACCAAGTGCAACATTAGTGATGCGGATTGAGGCGGGGCACTGAACGATGAAGGGCTTGTTAGGTGCAACAACACAACTCCTTGATGTACGTGAGCGGGCATAGAAAACCACGAAAAAACGCGTACCAAAGACCAGATTCCATTTTGTGCGCGTGGTAGAGTGCAGGCCGTCGTTCAAAAAAAAGTTGCTGAGAAGCGTGGGCTAAGCACGTGATCGGATGCCATACGGGGATACCAAACCACAGCTTGACCTCAATTGCAACGATGGTAAGCCACATATGCGCGAGCGCACGCGATATCTAAATCGCCTCTAGTCTAACGTACTCCGACCCTATCTCGCTGCTGTCAGATCAACTCTCACTGCTGCGTTGACGTTGGAGAACTTCTCGTCTCAGGTATGTGCTCTTGCCTATGTTAATCTCTTTTGCGTCATACCTCTCATCAGGTCGTCGAGCGTCATAACAAGCCGGAGGTCGAAGTCGGGTCTGTCTCAGATATGGCAAGGTATCCAGATAACTGACCCTGTTCCAGGAAATCGACCGAAGTGCTGCTCAATCCATTGACAATCTCTCGCAACGAGAATGAACGCGTTCTGATTGAGCCCTCCGTCAACTCAATCCGTCTGAGCATCAAGATCAAGCAAGCCGACGAAATCGAACGGATCCTCTGCCACAAATTCACCCGGTTCATGATGCAGCGAGCGGAGAGTTTCATCGTTCTTCGTCGGAAACCAGTGCCAGTACGTCCGGTCCGACTGCGCATCATCGTGATATTGACCAATGCCCTCTAGGGCTACGATATCTCCTTCCTCATCACGAATACCCATTCAGAGACCATGTTGAAACACAAGATCGTCGACTTCATCATCCAGTCTGTCGCCGTGTGCTCCTTGTCGCTGACGCTCCACTCATATGTATGTCAGATTCATGGAGGAAGTGGATCGAGAGATCAGCGAAATGAAACTCAGCTTGAACGCTCGTGCTCGTATCGTGGCCGAATCCTACTTGACCGCCGTGAGTTGTGTTCTAATCAAGGACGAGGAGGATCGCTTATTGACATCTCTATCAGTTCAACTCATGAGGTTTATGACATCCTGCAATCCACTTTGGTATTTCCTCAGTAGAACGTGTAACATGGAATGTATTTATTACGAGCAAGATGAAGGTCATTTCGACGTCGGTGATTGCCTAAAACGGATTTGCTCTGCACCATGAGCAAGGCGCGTCCTACAGCACAGACTGGCGTCTTCAAGGCGGATTCCATCAAAGTACGACCCCCAGAGGCTTCAATGCCTTCCTAATGCTCGCCCTCAGGATGTCGCCGACTCCCTCAACTTGCCTGCAATATCCGACCAGGTAGCATCCGCACTAGCCAGCGATGTCGAGTACAGATTACATCAGGTCATCGAGGTGCGCTTTCGTGCTCGGCCAATGGCTAGCTCTCCACCTCAGACGCGTATAGGAGGCTGCTCGCTTCATGCGTCACGGTCGGCGTACCGTAATGTCAACCACGGACATTGAACAGGCGCTACGAGTCCTCAACATAGAACCACTCTATGGGCACTCTTCGCACAACCCTCCGACATTCAAGCGGGCGCTTCCATTTCCTCAAACACCCGCCGCCGGTTCGGTTTACTTCGTCGAAGACGAGGAGATCGACTTTGACCGCGTCCTACGAGAAGAGAAGATCACCCTCCCAAAGGCGTCACTTGGACGGCTCATTGGCTCGCGGTCGAAGGCGTCCAGCCACTCATCCCTGAAAATCCGCCTGCAATACCAAGAGAGCTCCCGACGGACGTACAGCCTTCGGTCGCAAATGGGGTGGCTCCCGCACCGCCCACTGCAGCCACGAAGAAACAGGAGCAGCAATTCCAGCAGCAGCAGCAGCTGGTCAAGCAGGTTCTATCAAGAGAGCTGCAGTTGTATTATACGCGGCTCACTTCATCGTTGTTACCACCCGGTCCTGACGTCGCCAAGCGCGATGCGGCACTGGCCAGTTTGCGAACAGACGCCGGGTTACAGGCGCTCCTGCCCTATCTGATCAAATGGGTGGGCGATGGTGTAGTCAGAGAATTGAAGGAAGGAGGGATGTCGGAAATGGATGGGAAGGTGCTTGAAGTTCTGGTGTCTGTGACGAGTTCGCTTTTGGCGAATAAGACCTTGTTCGTGGAACCCTACGTACGTGATCCCACTTTTCACGAATTCTGTCATCTCTGAGTACCTGCGCAGCTGCATCAGATGCTGCCGCCCATTCTTTCCACATTACTGCACTCGTCTCTCCCGCCCTCTCACGCTACACTCTTGAGAACGTTAACGGCCCAGACGCTTTCGCATCTTCTGAGAGAACATTCTACGACATACCCGTCGCTTGCCCCACGAATCATGAAAACTTTGCTTCTCGCGCTCATTTCTCCAGGGAAAAGCAGTGGAACGCGACACGGGTCCATACGGGGTTTGATTGGGATTGGAAAAGAGGCAGTACGAAAGGGTCTAGTTGAAGGTGGCGGGGCGAAAGTGGTTGGCAGCGAGTATGCCGACGACGAGCTGCTTGTAGAAGCAGTCATGGTGAGCCTTGCTGTAGATCGCGTTATTCTCAGACACTCATCGAGAATCCACAGGATGCTTTACGTGTTCTGCGAGTGCCGTCAGATATGGAAGACTCGCTCGAACCGACAAATCCAACGGATGCTGCAGTGATCGACGAGCTGCAGTCCACGTTGGGCGATACTTCGCTGAGCGAGTTCGAGGAGACGGACAATGGGCACGGACAATCCTAGGATCTGCACCTTCTTGATCTGTGATTATCTTACAGCCGCCATCTGCTTTCGTACTGCTACTTCGTAACGCGTGTGATAAATGCGTACTTGCTATCCATGTCGCACCGCGGATCCCTGTCGAAGAGATGGTCCACCCCCGGGAGCTCCTCGTACCGCACGTCACCCTTGAGCTCTTGCAGCACGTGCACACATCCCGGCTCTGTCTCGGCGGCACTTTGTCGTCGATCGCGCCGTGGACAATATATACCGGGGGCAGCGTGAATTTACCCGACTTGATCGCAGGCGCGGCGGCGAAGGCGGAGCCGGGAATGCCCGTCCCCTCGAGCAACAGCTTCTCCAGAATGCCCCTGGGGAAAGAATCAAGCCTGGGACAGGTGATTTCGCGACGTGAAAGACGGACTCCTGCAGCATGTAGTGATAGAACACGGCGCGCGGGCTGTCTAGCGCCGAGAAGGCCAGCTTCGCTGCCGAGGGATCCACGAACGAGGCGACCTCCTCGTCAGGGATGACGCGTGGGAAGTAGCTGACAGGGTGCTGTTTCGTCGTCCAGAACGGGTCTGCGAGGTCGGTGATGGGATCCCCGAAACAGGCGGGGGAGGCTCCAGGCCGGATGCCTCGTATCCGATGCCTGTGCCCACGAGGAGGGAGAGCCAGCCGCCGGCCGAGCTGCCGCTCAGCACTATCTTGCTGGAGTCGACGCGGTTCCCGGTAGCTTTCGCAAAGGCGGGGGACTTGATAAATTCAAGCGCGGCTTTGCAGTCGGCGAGGATCCCCGGAAGACGCGTTTGGGGCGCCAGTCGGTAGTCTGGGGATATAACGCATATATTGTGCTTTGCGGGGGCAGCTCGGTGGTGTGGAGAGACGCCTTTGCGAGTGCCCTGCAGCAGACCGCCACCGTGCCACCAGAGCAGTACTGCCGCCTTGGACGTCTCAGTGGCCTGAGAGGGGACGTATGCATCGAGTGTGAGGTCCAGGCCGTCTACAGTGCGGAATACCAGCTCGATTGGAGCACTAGCAGCCATGGATGTGGAGACACAAGTGATGACAAACTCTAATCTAGTATGGTTTGCCCATAGGCCACGGCCGGTCGTTATCTTATCGTCAGCAACATGCAGTCAGGATGTCAGCCAACAACTGCTCAAGCCCTCTGGCTCAATGCCTGCTGCCTCAACCCGAAGAGTTCGATCAGATCTGCAAGCGAGTCATTTCCGCTGTCGAAGTGCACACAACACGCTCTCCCTCCTACCTTGCAGACGGGCCTGCTTTTGTTGCCGTTGAGTTTCGACGCGTTTCATGCCGGAGAAAGCCTAGGTGGACAATCAGATCGCGTGATATCAGAAAGTACCCACCCGCCTCATGAATGAGCTTCTTTTTCCTTTCCTGGATCTCAAGCACTTTGGATTCGACGGTGTTTTCGGCGATCAGCTGATACACGTGCACAGGCTTAGTCTGTCCAATCCGGTTCACTTGGAGAGCAGAGAAAGTAAAGTCAGCTGATATAAAGTGCGACCCTGTGAGAGAGAATGCACCTCGATCTATTGACTGCGATTCGATCCCCTCTTGCCACCACCTGGAAGCTATCAGTGGGCGATAGTAAACCCGGAGCTGGCGCGCACGGATCCATGCTGGATGACCGTCAGCGCGAATCTTTGATTGTTCCACCAAGCAGGACGCACAGATAAACATTGTTCGCAACAGTCAAATTCAAGCCAAGGGCCCCGGCTTTCAGGGAGATCAGCATCACCCTAGGATTCACCCCACTGGATGGATAAGGCCCCGCTTTGGCTTTGCCCTTCCTTCCAGGCCTGAAAAAGTCTTCGTCGTCATCTATGAAATCCGAATCGCTGCCAGCATTCTGATTGGTGTCTCCCTCCGACACAGGGATAGAGAACTAGAACCTTATGTAAGCACAGGACCCACGCCTGTCTAGAAGAGACTCACACGAGCAATCGTCTCTTCGCGCCGTTTGGCGGACATCCGCCCATCAAACCTCAGATACGCGATCCCGGCATCGTCCAGGCGCTCGGCAATTTTGTCGCTGGAAGTAACTAATATGAGCACGAACCAAACATAACAAGTACAGAGAGAACACACAGAAAGCTCGTGAACTGAGAGAAGACGAGACTTTTCTCTTGCGCTTCAGTCAAGTTCAACAATTGGATCAGTTGGTCAATCTTGGCAGAGGAGCCTCCATCTGCGCTGATGCTCTGATCATCCGACTCTCGGAACGGGGCCTGGGTGGCTTCCATCGGCGGCAAGGGAGCAATCACATCGGACATGGAGATTGGTCGGCGGTCCTGCAGGGCTCAGCTTGGACACGCACGTGCAACTAGGGACTAAACGAACCAGCGGGCACTTGGGATCTCTCGAGATCACCTCCGTGATGCACGACAGGCAGAAGATGTGCGAGCAGGCCGTGATCCGTGGCTGCTCCAGCATACCAAAGCAGATCGGGCATTCTTCACACTCTTCAATCGCCTGTGCGAGTTTGGCCTGTAAGCGTGCTTTGTCAGCAGTCGTGAGAACGATGGTCTGCGCGGGTCCATCCCCCTCAATACTGTCGCTAGCTTTCAGCTCGTCAATATAGTTTGCAGGAACGAGCCCGGTGTGAAGGACCAATTGACGCATACGCGTGAGCAAACTCAGAACGTTTGATTGAGCCTGAGGTTGCGTTAAAATGGCTTCTGCGAAAGGGCGTTGACAGACAAAGGTGTTGGTGCTGCGCATGAATGCCTCTACACGTGTCTTGGAAAGCTCTTCCACTTGGTCATATAAAACCTGGAGAGATTGGCTTATTTCTTAGCGCTGAACAAGACACTCACCCTTGCTTCTTCTGACAAAGTGACAGGCACGACGATCATTTCCACCTGGCCAACATGGTCAGTGATAGTGTATCGTTGAGAAGCACAATCAAGTTTTACTGGGGGCAGAGGGACAAGAGGTTTCCCTTCAGAATCTTGCATCTCCTTTGTGCGTCGAATGCAAATGTGGTTCATGAGATTCTGCAGTGCATCAGTAGTCGTTTCCGGGTAAAAGAACAGCCCTACCCGCAGAAGATCAGCCCCAGCCGGATCGCCGTCTTTGAGAGGTCGAAGCAACAGTCGCTTGAAGAAGTCTTCCTAAGGATGAGTCAGTCGGTAGCAGTTTCACGAGAGTGAATCGCAACATTGTCTAGTGGTTGACAGATTCGGAGGAAAGTCAAAAGCGAGCCGAGATCCTAGTATGATAAGGAGACTGTCGTTGTTCAATTCATGAGCACAACCTTGGGGGAGTTGATCTATTCACAATCAGTCAGCCAAGAAGAGACTCAACCTCGCAAACTCACGATAGGTGTTGCAGCTAGCACCCATCGCCTCTGCGCTTTCAAGGCACACACTGCTTTGGCCATTTTCGTCTTGGAATTGCGGACGATGTGACCTTCGTCTAGAACAACTCTCTGTGCTGTATCAGAATCGGGAGCACGATATATGCGTCGTGCACAGACCTTCCATGAGATGTCAAACAGAGCGCCATCGGATTTCTTCTTCTTCCTGCTGGGAGCACCTGATCCACGCTCGCTGTGCTCACCGCTGACCGTTTGATAGCTCGTGATCACAACATCGTACTTGCTGAGCTCGTCTGCATCGATGTCGCGTTTGCTTCCGTAGTAGACGTAGTATGTAAGCGATCCTGGGACGCAGTGGTCATCGATTTGCTTTTCCCAGTTGGAGATTACACTGAGAGGTGCGACTGCGTTGCCTTCGCTCAGCAAATCGAAAGTAGATATAAGATTGACCGACCAATCAGTGTACTGTTCGAATAGTCTTTTGGAACATCTGTTTTGGTAACCAAAAGGAGTGCCAGAAGAGTCAGAGTTTTTCCCTGGTATTGAATGTGAGTAGTCTGGGTAAGTGTCACACAGTACCCACCAAACCCTAGATTTATGCACGATTAGATCGAATAAGATGCGATTAGATCAAATGACCGACCATGGCATCCGCAATCATGGCCCCCCTTCCCAGCACTGGGGCTGTGACCTGGGGGGTCTTGGTGGCAAGATTATAGTAGTATGTCTATGATTAGTTCAGCGAGATGTGGGGTGCGATGTATGCAGCCCGCACCTGATTGCCATTTCGCTTGAACTGCCAGAACTGGACGGGTTTGTCAGCTTCTTGCGTTGGCAGCTTGGGGCATTCTCGTTCTATCGCCCACTGCAGAGCTTGGGACTGGGATCAAGCACAATCAGCGAGCACTCGAGAGCATGTGACAAGGCTGACCTGATGCTTGAGTAAGTCTACCCGCAACCCGCGGCCGATACCAGGAGGATTCGGATGCTCTGGCAGCTTCAGAATATCTTCCGTCGACAGCAGCTCATCCAACAGCGAAGCCCGGCGGGCCTCATCATCGACCTGCTCCAGTGTGCTCAACATCTTTTTCAAGTCAGCCGCCTTCCGGAGAGCCTCCTGTTGCTTCTGTAGAGCTTCTTGTTGCTTGCGTTGCGCCGCCTGCTGAGCTTTTGTCTGCGCCGCAGTCGGTCGCGACGGCCCGGCTGACGGTGTCGGCATCGGCATTGCTTGCGAGTAGGCTGGTTGAGCACCGCCCATTGCAGCGAAACCGCGCTGGCCGGGAGTAGCCCAAACAAGCCTAGGCTCGAGTTCTCGTCTTTTGTTCATGGACCCGTATATCTTCACATTTCTGTAGTTGTGTCAGCACGGGAGAGATTGCGTGTTATCAGCGGGCCCTGACATGTCTAGGACATAGATCTTCCTCGAAGTTGCCGTCACTAGGTTTCGATTAGTCTTCAATGAATTTGGAGCGTAATCCAACGAACAATTTCCTTGTAGCATGACACCTGCTCACCCTTGAGTGTGAGCCATAGAAAAAAAGGGGCCGACAGACCTTCGACGGTAATCAAGTTCATGTCCAACAACAGGGCAAGCTTCATCGCCACGTTCTTGGGCATATGCCCGACCTGCTGGCCTCCAATGTTGACGGCCCGGATGGCATTTGAGTCGTACTGATTCGTCTGTCCAAACAGTCAAGAGACCGGAGACTTAGGTATGATTCAGTCGGTCTTACAGGCTCCCGAAGCAGAAGGACTTGTTCTCCGGCACCAACAAGACCTGGTGCACATTAGCCTTGCGAGAAGCCAGAACTGAACAAATTCACCCCTGTAGTACTGGATGCCAACGATGTTCGTGCGTAGAGTGACGTACAGTTCGTCGATGTCGGCCTCCGGCGTTGACGACTCTTCTTCTTCCTCAAGAGCGACGCGCTCGATAGCACTTGCGCTAGAGGCACCCTCGAACTGAGCCCTAGACCGTTTTGGGGCGGAAGACAGAACCGAGCGTTGTGCGGTGCTCGTACTGGGAGTCGATGTACCCACATTCGATCGGATCGCAGCGTCTCTGGGATCTATCTGCCTTCGAGAAATGGCTGTCCGAATCTTGCTCTGGTCATGGACCCTACAGAACAACGAGAACTGAGTAGTCGACAAGGGCACAAAAAGTTAGATTAGATTCACGTGAGTTGATTGAATCCAGGCGCGCTGCTCAAGACGAGACGCGCAAGTTCAGAGAGGATCTGAGGTGTCACGCAGGCCCAGTGCCTCCATTCGACCGTTTCTCCTATTTCATTCTTGGTGTTTTTTCCGTACCGAAGGGTACCTTTGGGGAGAGAAGATGCCTACAGAGGGATTTAAAGACCTGGCAAAATTGAATAGCCTGTGAACTCACCCCACAGGCCTGGCATTTCGCATTTGGACTTTTGCTATACTGAGATCCGTGTCAGATGCACGACGTGCCGTATGGCTTGCTGGAGACGCACACCAAACACATGTGTGATCATTCTCGACGACCTTCCGTGTGGGAAGGTTGCGAAACGATGGCGTTGTCGAGAACCACGGACTCGGAGTCGCCACCGGCGTGACAAGTGCTAGGGTAAGCAACGCGATATGTCACGAGCACGCTATTCTGGTCACACACAATCATTTTGCGCTCGGCCCACGACATATTACTCTGACCTCTAATAACGATGGTTGATAAGTCGACAGCCTACGATCCGGATCAGGACCCTGAAGAACGCCGTGTTGTGCGCAAGGGATACCGCTCTCTGGCGAAAACTATTGAAGGTGTCTGGCACGCAATATCAGTCTCTGTTGTTCACTTACGCTCGTGGAAAGAACGCCAACTGAATCTCAATGAGTACTCCGCAGAAGACTTGACTAAGCATGTCAGGAAAGCCGATGAGCTGTTCGACAAGGGTACGATCCTACACGCTATGGCTCCGGTTGCCTCCCTGATTGTTCCACCGCATCATCACAGTCAAGGGGCCGCAGGAAGCGACACTGGACTCCGCGTTCCTACTCAAGGCATCAAACATGGGAGCGCAGAAAGCGCGCGCCATGAAGTCCGGCTCGGGAGGCTTCGACGTCGATGACTTTGTGTCGAAACTGGCGCGCATCATGGGAGGAGGGAGGATGAGTGTGGATGAGGATGGTGCATCATCTGAAGAAGAAGGGGAAGTTCCTGCGCTTGACTGGAGTCGGGTTGGGCGGATGGCGTTGAGCAAGAGTAGACGCGTTCCTGCCATCGGGTTTATGTATGTGCTTTGTCTTGGGAAACAGTCCACACAACTGATGCGAGTTTCTTAGGCTAGGACCTCTATCAATTGAGCAGAAACAGCGCATAGTGAAACAGCGGGAGAAGGTTGAGAAGGAAGCCGTGCAGGAGCGTAGGCCACAAGAGCTCAAGGAGGAAGACATCGCAAGATCGGAGAATGAGACTACGAAGAACGTCCTCACCGTCCGTCCATTTTTAGGTTAACAGCATCGTATATGGTCGCTTGAGCTCTTTCACAGCTCGAGACAATTCTGGGTCAGCTGGATGGGCCTATCAATCTCTTCACATTCGTGATCAATCCGAACAACTTTGCCCAGAGTGTGGAGAACATCTTCTACCTCTCTTTCTTGATCAGAGACGGCAAAGTTGCAATGGAAACGCAGGAGGACGGGACGGTGGTGATATGTACGGTGACCTGATCCTGTCGAGACTGGACTGAGTCTGTTGCAGGGGCTTGCGAACCGCCGAGCGACGAGGATTACAGCGCAGGTCTCAAGAAGCGGCAAATTGTGTTAGAGTTTGACAAGGCAACCTGGCAGGTGAGCATTGCGGTCTACAACCGGTGATACATTGAACACGCCCAATTAGCGTGCTATCGATGTGTTCAATATCACTGAGACCAAGATTCCCACACGCAAGCCAGCAGAGTCTGGGTGACAAATGGTATGGTTGAAAGACGGGCAGAGTCTGTGCTTATCCTGTGTATGTACTTTAATTCCATGTAGTGCAATATATAATTCTCAGGTATTACAAGATGTCATCGGATATGAGAGGGACTGACACCAAGAGGAAGCATCGAGATGTCCTGCAGTTGGATCTTTGGCCACGATGTGGTCTGAAGCTTTACAGGGTTCAGAGTTTGTGCCATGCAGTCCACAAACAGAACGACTCACGTGAGAATTGGCTTCTTCCACGGTCAGGAGATTCATGTGATCGACACCCTCCGTAGAATCCTTTGTTGAATCAGCTACAAGCCAAGGTTTCGATGATACCAACCCACCGAAAACGCGTCCAAGTCTCTGAATTGCACCCTGAGGTCCAAGGGCAACTGCGAAGGAAGAACTAGCACGTGGATGGTTGGGGCGTACGGCCTGTCTGCAGCAACGTTTTTGGCAGCATCCTACATGAGGTCAGATCATATAGCCCATGGAAAGCCGTAAGAACATACCGACGCAACGGACAGGGCAAGACGGATGTCTTGTCTTTTAGCTCGTGCATCCCGTGAAACGAGAATGTAGAACTCGAACAGACAGTCAACCAGATAAACCGAGGACTGATTGTCGAATAATGAAGCGACGGGGGTGATCTTCGAGAACGTCAGAGTGTGATGGATAGACGCCACGGATAAACCTACAGGACTCTCTGCCTCAGCATCAATGGTCCAGATCCGAGGATCACTGCCCGCGACAGTGGGTTTCCATCTCCAGTAATCCGCCTGTGCGTAAAGCCGATCTTCGCCGAGAGCCATCCAGAACATGTCATCGTCATCGCTCTGCTCTTCCTCGAGAATGAGGATCTCGGCTCCGTCGGCCGTGAGGGTTTTTCCGTATGCTTCAGCGGCCGTGCGTTCCGGAGGAGTCGATCCCCTGCCATGCCAGACATAGACTGTCTCGAGGATAGACACGCAATAACTGAATCCACTGCAGATATTGCGGATGTCGATGTCGACCTGATCGATGAAGATCCTGCACTAGATCAGCACCGTGCCAATTCAAAGAGGGGAGCTTTGTTTGACCCACACTCCATCCTTGGCTCGGGCGATATGCATCGCAGTGTTCTCCTTGGCCCAATGCGATCTGTTCCCCTAGATCAAATGGCAGGTTAAGAACTTGCAAGTCCATGTGGCACAGGCAACTTGCCTGGCGAACGATGAGCTGACGGCCCAGACACTGCACCAACTCGAGGGGCTCTGCGTTTTGGAAGGTGGGGACCTAGAAGCAGCATGAACGCCAGTTATTCCGGAAAGTAGCGAAACCAACCGTGACGGTCCCGTAGCGCTTGGCAAGTTCAGCGAGCTTGCGTTCCTCCGGGCTGCCGAGGATGCTGTTCTTTCCTTGCCAAGACCAAACCCTCGATTCAATCAGCCCGGTGGCACTCGATTTGCTTCGATGGATGATAGCAAGGACCTCTGTGTCGTAAAATGTCTGGACGAGCCCAAGTGGAGCTGCCGAGCTACCAGAGATAGAGAGTACGTCGACTTGGATCGTTTGGATCCCAGCAGGCGCTGGAGAAACATAGTTCCTCAAACAGCTAATGTCCACGCGAGGCAGTGGTGGATCCAAATGTTCTGCAGTTGCGTTAGCGGGCGTTCCCTGATCGCAGATCCGACCACTTGCTGAACGACACATTCGACTCCACTGCACTCAATTTCTTAGTCACGGCGGAAAGGTCGGCGAGTGCTTCGGCGACGGGCACCTTCCGGGTGAGGGTGGAGTGTGGTGTAGGATCAGGAGTCGCTTCTTCCTTGAGCGGGGGTAAAATGGTCGAATACCTGTCGTAAGAAGATTTGCGCCTTTCACTAGATGCAGGCACGGCGACTCTGGCACGTGCAGCTGGCGGCTCAATAGGTTTCTCTTCAATGACGTTCTTGGGCTCAGCAAAAGCCTGTGCTACATCCATAACAGTCGGCCGGTTGCCTGAGCTAGGGACCCGGCTGTGGAATGGGGCAGAGTCTGTCGACGCCAAACCCGGAAGAGCCCTAGGAGCAGCCGCTGGGCTTGACTGCGGTGCTGGGCTCTTCGTCGCAAGAAATGCGCCTGCACCTGCAGTCATCCCAGGCAAAGCCCGCCGAATTCCACTTGGAATCTTCCTTGGTTCTTCGATCGTCGGAGCTGAGGGCGCGGAAACAGGCTTGTGAGTTATGAGAACGACTGGTGACTTGTGTTCCTGAGCGTCAGGCTTGGGAGTTCTCAGAACAACTGATGGCTTGGTTTCCTGGACGTCAGATGCTTTAGAAGCAGTCGTATCGGGGGAAACATCTTTGTTCTTCCGCGGTTTCTTTGCTCTGTCTTTCGTGAGCTGATCGCAGATCAATCTACCGCAGTCTCATGGAGAGGGAAGACTGACGTGAACCAGTGGCCTGCTTGCATCATTTGTGCGCTTAACACCGAATTCGTCGACCGTTGGCGGAGCTTCGGGTCGTTTGGCCATTACAGGCTGTGCCTCGAATCGTTTGGCTATCGCAGGCTGAGCTTCAGTCCGTTTGAACATCACCGGCTGATCTTCCAGTTGCTTGACCGTTACAGGTTTAGCTTCAACTTGTTCGGCCATGACAGGCTGTGGTTCCACTCGTTTGACTATGACAGGCTGAGCTTCGGGTTGTTTCAACATCGTGAGCTGAGCGCTTTTGACAGGAATGGGGGCCGTCTGGAATTTACGTATGGGAGATGGAGAGGGTGGCGGAGAGGGTGTTGGCTCAGCGACGGGCCATCGATCGAGCACGGAGGATTTGCGTGCTGATGAAGGTCGAGACTTTTCTGGAGAAGGAGTCGAAACAGCGGAATCGGGGAGAGTGCTTTTCTTGACCATGTCTTGCACGAATCCACGGCCCTGCAGCCGACTGAGGCTGGGTGTCAGTTCCTTTGCAGCGGCGGTCCGACTGAATGCCGGAGAAACCGCACTCAATGGTTTACTAGTAGCCGCATATGCAGAAGCTCGCACATCGGGTTGAATTGGACGAGCCATTGGAGGAGGCACAGTGACAACAGGAGATTTAGTCACGGGCGCAGACACTGTCGGGCGCATGTTCACCGGTTGCGAGGGAAGAGGTTTCGGGCTCTGTGAAGGTGTCGTGGAGAGAGTGCGGGACACCTGTGAAACAACTATGGGGCTGTTCTTCGTCCCAGGGGTACTGAGTGTACGTTCGCGAACCCGCTGCTGGACGAGTCCAGCGACGACGGATCTCTCGGGTTTTTCCGGAGAAGGTGTGCTGCGTCGTCTTTCCTTCGACTCCGGAGTCCTAAGAAGTGGAGGGCTCTGTGTAGTAGAATGATCGACGACTTGAGGGGTCGAAGTTTTAGCAGTCATCCCTGGCAACGCTATGCCCCCGATTCCCCCGCGGCCAAAGATAGGATGAGGCGCGTCAGGGCGCGCCTGTTGGATGAATTGTGTCGGATCGTGAGCATCCGCCTGCGGAGCGTGTCTCTTGAGACGAGGACCAGAGGCTCGACCGCCCATGAACTGAGCAAGCGAGATGGGCTCAGGTCGACTGGAAGCGGAAGTTGTTGCCGTTGTAGATGCAGTGAGCTTACTGAGTGCGTCCGCCTGACTCTGCTGTCTTTCTATGCTTGATTTAGCTCGGTCCTCCGAGGAAAGGTCGTGCTGTTGTTATCCAGGACGGAGGAGTATTCATTGCTTTTGGCTGAGCGTGACGGATGTGAGGTACGAGATCAGAGCCAGTATTTGGGGCTCACATAGATCTAGGCTGTTTGTCCGACTCGCGGAATCAAGCCCAAGCCCACGACTGCGACGCTGTCGCGCTAGTCTAGATGCTGCGATCTCTTGCTCAAGCCGTCTTTGATCATTCCCGTAGGAATCATCACGAGAAAGCCCCTTCGCCTTGTTGACCCATTCGGAAATCCCGGGCGTGGCGCCTGCAGTAGTGTTGGAGGTGTTCATGCTGGACTGGGAACTGACAGTCGATGGCTCGAGGTCTCGTGACTTGAGTTCATGAGCTCATCACTCTGACACATGACTTTGAATGGCATTGCACTGCTTTGAGTTGCCGATCAGCATCCCCGGTAAGCGATTGTCACTCCTTCCAACGCACTAGTCCCATCCCCGAGACCGACATGGATGGTGCCCAAACGTGCCAACATGTCGCGTCGATCTTCTCCTCAGGCGATGTCGAGCACAGTCCTCTTCGCAAGTACAAACGGGTGTTGGCTTGGGAGGCCCGCCGGACACAACTAGACACCCTCAAGCAGCCACACAAAAGAGTGAGGAAACGCGCTTTCAAATCTACAATTCTGGATTTAACGAACAGATTGCGGCTTCTTTGTGTGGGACTTGCGAGGTCGCGCTGCATCGGCCACTCGTGTGCTTGCACTGTCCTTTCGCCGGCTGCTGGAAGGCGGGACATGCCGCCAGTCATTTGCGAGAATCGGACCATGCATTTTGTACGCTTATATACCCCTCATAACCTTGGGATATTGATCTAATGCCACTTGTTCAGTAATGGATGTCAGAACAGGATATTTGTTCTGCGTGCAATGCGACACTTTCATCTTCAGCGCGTTGTTAGACGAATGTCGCACATCTACATTGCTGAGAATGGAGGAGAATCAAATGCGTTCCCAAGGTATGCTTCAAACTGTCTACCGTGGTGTGATGCATAAGGTCCATCAGTCTCTCGGGAACGATATCACGCTTGGTCTCCATCCGAGCGGGATACTGCCGCATTAGCCAATGCGAAAACGATTTCGTGTCAGGGTCGGTCACTCGCTATCAGCCCTTTCTCTCACTAACTCATGGCAGGTCGTAGGGGTCTCCTCAATCTGGGCCAAACATGTTTCATGAACGTTGTGCTGCAATGTCTTGTCCATAACCCGCTGCTTCGAAACTACTTTCTCGCAGACAAGCACAATAATCGGCAATGCAAAATAGAGGAAGATTGTACGTGCTGCGAGATGGATAAACTGTTTGGTGAAGTGCGTGTTCTGTTCATATCCACATGTCTTCTGTTCATCCTGCCCCTGGCAGATATACGCCCCGAATCCGACAAGTGCGCACGGACCTATTTCATTCCTTGCCTCGACATGGCGCAAGTCGGCCGAGCTATCGGGCTATGCACAACAGGACGCCCACGAATTCTTTCTTTCTACTCTCAACCACATCCACAGCACGTCACGCGGATCAACAGAAGTTTCATGCAATTGCATCGTCCACTCGACGTTCGCAGGCTCGCTTCAAAGTGACGTCGTTTGTGCAAAATGTGGCAGTGCCACGAGCACTGTCGATCCGTTACAAGATATCAGTCTGGAGCTGCAAAGGAAGGGCGCGGACTCGGCAGCTCAGCAATCTGCCTCGGCATTCGAGAACACACTTGCCGCCTGCCTTAGACGGTCAGAAAACAGGTGTAACTCCGACGTTTGCTTATGAGAGCACCACAGCTACACACAGCCTGAAAAGCTGGGGCCGCAACAGTATAGCTGTTCCAAGTGCAAGACAGCGCATGTGCGTTCCCTCGCATCAGGTCTACCGGTGTCTGATCACGGGGACTCAGGAAGTCTCCAAACGACTGAGCATCAAGAGGTTGCCGCCCGTCCTGAGCCTCCAGCTGAAGCGCTTCGAACACAAAAGTTCCGACAAGGGACGGCGCGGAAATTGACACCAAGATCAAGTTTCCCGTGGTCCTCAATATGGCGCCGTATACGTCGTCATTTCTCAGCACCAGTAAGGAAAATAGCAGAGACATGTAGGTCACATCAGACTTCCAATGGAGGATACTTATCCAGGCAGGTCTTTTGTGTCAATCGACTATGACTTGTTCGGTGTCATTGTACACGAAGGGCAGATCAACAATGGCCATTATACATGTTATGCAAGAGCAGGGACGAGGTACGTGTTAAAAAATGTGTATCGACTGACTCACAAGATGTCAGTGGTACCGTTTTGACGATGACAAGTGGGCCGATTCCCTCATCGAGGTACATTCTGAACTTACTACAAGTCGCAGAGTCACACCCGCGACGCTCAGCAACGTGCTTGCTGCGCCGGCTTACATGTTATTCTATGTCAAACACCACCTGGATTACAAACCCAACATCACTCCAACCTATGTCGCATCGAGGGAGAAGGAGCTGGAGCGAGAACGGGAGAAGGAGAGAGAGCGGGAGAAGGAGAAAGCAATGGCCGAAGAGAGAGAAGCAAAGGAGTTGGAGGATGCTTTACTCGCCATAACATGAGGCTCGTACACTGCAAGCGCTGAGGAACTCGCATAGCTGCAATTGCAAATTCCGAGTACGGAAAGAACATTACCATAGGGAGATATGTCAAGCACCCGCAAACAGAGAGCCTTTTCAACCAAATGTCATGGATGCGGCGATACCAACGCGGATAGATAGCCTTGGTCCGGCTGATGAGGGCAGAAAAGTGCGCCTCGCGGGCCAGTGAGTCTTGGCTTCTATCGATGCCCTTGTGATAGAACTGATGCCATGCGGCATTCCGTAGAGTGGCTGCCTTTGATGCGCGCACGGGCATGATGCTGCTGCGTGCCCGAAATGAGGCCGTCGTGCTGGATGTGAGTGGATGCACGTCGGGAACTGGCGATGAGGCGCCGGAGTGGCTGGCGGAACGCATGTGCATGGTCACTACTGTTGGCTATGTCCAGTGGCTGGTAAGCAGCAAGCGATCCATCTATCCATCGCCGAACCGCCTAATCTCGCACGATCTAGGGCGATTCTGAGAATTTACAACTCCCGGCTCTGCCAAAGCGCTTGCAAGAGATACGTGTGGTGGAGGGTGTTGTTGTGCGAGGCTTGCTTGTTTCGGCCCGGCGGGATCTCACCCTTGAGGCATGGCACGAGGGAATCGCTGCGCTGCAATAGACAGTCAAAGGATGGAAGTGGCGTCGTAGCGAGGGTCGTGGGCAGACCTTGAATGAATAAAGAGCCCACTCTCCCTTTGTTTATAAAGGTCAAAGCACGCGTTAAGCGAATTGATCGAAGCTGCTATAAGACAAGGCCCGAGCTCACCCACACACGATAATCTTTATCCTACCCACCTTGACTCCCGACTCCTACGACGCGCCGACTTCCGCGATAACTGATGGCGTACCCTGTCTCTCGAACCCGTCAAGTCGGCGACTGCTCGCTTACGACCGCATCCGGATCACCTTCCACTCCCACACTGTCGGACATGGCGCACACCACCACCATTACATCCTCTACATACACAACCACCGCCCATCCTTGCGTTCAAGAGCTCTTTCGCTTCTTGTACACTCTCCCTGCGCATATAATCAAGAACCCGCAATTCTGCCTCACGACCAGTGTGACCCCGATTCCGTTCACGCTGGCAGCGCTCGGTCTCCTCCATCGGGCCGCGCACGAGCTTTACCCGCTATTCTGGGATGAGAGTAGGAGATCGGACACCGCAAGGCAGGTCCAGGACGTTCTCGGTAAGTTGCTCATTCCTGCGAGCGCTCTGGGCGGCGGGGCACCACATCCTACGTACTCACGCGACACTTCAGACTCTGGAGCCCGCCTGATTATCCCAACGACATGGCCTGGGATTGATGGCGTTCTATCCGAGCTCGCTATGCGTGATGCGGCGAAACGACCACCGCTGAAACGCAAAGCTGACGAGGCCACTGGCGCCGGGTCTAAGGCGGCTTCCCGCGACTCTGAGCCCCAGGCCAAAGTACAGCGAGTGACACGGGCCAGCGTACGAAACCAAACTCACGCGCCAACGGAATCTTCCGCGGAGGGAACATCTTCGTCATCCTCCTCGACATCGCCTTCATCTCCCCCAGTGCCCCACACGAAGCCTGCCGTCATACAATCTGCTCCCATTGCTGCGAATATCATTTCGAAGCGTCGAAGATCCCCCCCACCTGCTGTGCCGGCCAATCCGCAGCGGGTCAGCGCTCGGCAGAAGGAACAGCGACAGCCTCGTGCGGGCGAGCTGGAGGGGATCAGCAATGATGCACCCAGTGCATCCTGCTCGGCTGCCCCTTGCATGTTGGGCGAGCGAGGGAGATCGATATCCCGGGAGTCTACTGGGTCCAGTCGCTCGAATGATACATTGGTTGCCTCGAGAGAAGGCTCGGTGGAGACAGTCGTCGACGCGGATCCTGGAGTCACGCCCGATGAACCCATGGAAAATGCCGTCCTGGGAAAGACCTCTCAGAAAGCGGTCATTATCATCTCTGGGGACGGGAACGTCGCTTCAGTTGGGCTGGAGCCCGGGATGGTTACCCGCAGTCGGAGGAATCGAGAACCCGCCGTCAAGTCACAAGTGTCTCCCGCAGTTGCCAGGCCGAAACCATCTGGTAAACGCAAAACTGCGAAAGTCAGACCGAGGGACTAGGAAGAGCGAAATTCTGTGTAAAGACCCTGCCCACAGCCTTGTTTGTATTACTACCCCTCTCTCTCTCTCTCTGCGAGCGTATTACCACCACTTCCCCTACGATTTCTCGTGTACAGTATGGATAGGACACTATTGTAGATCACATCGTTATTAGTTATTTTATGAGAGCGCGTTCTGGCCTGGACGCGTCGGATCGATCAAAGCACGTGAGCGTGAATGTGAAGAGAAGACATGGTGACATCTTTTTGGCTAGGCACACAACAGATGCTCAGGGCGAACGAATACATTTCTGGGACAAGCTAGTGCAGCACCTGTCCAGCGCTGGGCTGACGGTCTCAAGGGTCGGAGAATTCGACCGGAGCCGAGTGATTAGATTTGAGTCGGCGGCTGTATAGATTCGAGTCGGCGACTGCAATTATGATATCCGCTTCGAGAAGTGCTGACAGGACCGGCTGACCGGTGGACCGTGGTCTGTGGCATGGAACAATCTTCTCCGAAACCTCGGCCACATGTGAGCAGATGCGAGGAGCAACAGATGAGGTCAGACATGCGATATGCGTTCCTTGTCTGCCAGCGGTGGCCGGTGCGTGCGCGGGCCCACCGAAAACTGGCGAGTAACGACAGAGACCACACAATGAGGCTCTGCAACAAATGACAAGCGACCCAGGATACAATGGTCGTCAGTGTGACAATCACAAAAGCGTGACGTCGTGACGGGCTCAGCCTGGCCGTCCGCCGATCGAGGCTCTCAAACTTGCGTCCTCCCCCCATGGCCTCTACTCGCCGGCAAGTCCCCGCTCCCTCTCGCCCCTCGGCCCATTCGGGCACACGACATGGGAGATGGTCTCGCGACTCTCTCCGCCGCAATCTCGAGGTCCCTCTTCTCCATGTCTGTTGTGGCTGCTGCTGACACCACCGCCTAGCTCATCGGCGAGCTTTCCGCACCCCTCCTACCCTCCACGCTCCCAATCTCTCCTCCCGCATCCCGTTCGGCTTCCCCTTCGCCATTGAAGCGGAAGGCTGCTCCACCGCCTGCAGAATCCAAGAAGCGCCTCCGCACAGAATCCGATCGGTCTTTGCCCGAAGAAGGCGAGCTTGCAGAGGATATGAAACCAATAGCGTCCACCTCAGGCTCATCGATGCCTCGACCTGCTGTGGCGAGCAACGACACAGCAGCTAATTCGGCTCGCGCACCGCCACTGCCGCCTGCCAGTCCTAGTACCGTTCCCGTCCGTCGGCCAAGGGCCGGCAAGATCTCTCTCCGCCTCTGCGACAACCTTCACAATCAATATCATAACGCGGGTCGTATGCTCAAATACTCCGGGGACGCTCGCTTCTGGTCGACGTATTCACCCTCCCACAAGGAGTACCGACCCCTTGCCAACCCTCCTCCACTGAACTCTCCATATTACAAGCACGGCGGTCTTATAGCCCGACTGGAATTGTTAGACGCTCTTGTGTGCTTCACGTATTCTATCTGGAACCGCGACTACAGCCGCCGAGTGTGCAACCGGGACACATGGCAAACGATCGAGGCGTTTTTGGTGTGGTGCAAGCAAAAATGGCAAAGCGAAGAGAGTACACCAGATGCGGAGAAGGCATTTTTGGGTCTGATGTGCGATTGCCTCTCTGTCCAGTCCCCGTTGTGTATTGACCTCCATATAGCTGGATGATTGAGGGTTATATACACGGACGCAAACTCGTTTACGGCACGAATCGGAGTTCAACATTGGAACGAGAGCTAGAGAAGACGGTTGCGGTAACAAGAGCATCTCTTGCCGCAGCTGCAGTTGAAGCGACAACCTCGGGGTCTGTAAACGGAAAGCCCGCTTCCAAGTCTGGTACTTCGCCCGTCATGCTTCCCTCTCCAGCCAGCTTAGCTCCGAGCGCCAATTCCACACCAACGAATCGGGACGGCGGAACACCCGGTTCGAATATAGGATCTGTTCCATCGGCTACCGTTCCGGCCGCGACGACCTCGGCGCCCTCAACACTGCCTTCCTCGTTCCTCCCAGCTGAACTGCGGCACATACCCATCCCTCCGCAGATTGCGGTTGCCCTGGATAATGTTTCCGTCGGGGTCAGCCCACGCCTGGTCGGCGAAGTCAAGTCGATGTCTCAAGAGATAGCGGCCGCTCAGTTCTGCTTGAACAACGCTCAAGCCCATCTTAACCTCCCCATTATTGCGCGCCATTTCCCAGTGACATTTGCGAGAATGATAGGAAGCACGCTGTCATTCAACGAGGAGCACGAACCTGATTTCGAAGATACCGAGGGCGAACTCTTCTGGCCGTCGCATAGTCTGACAGGTGAAGGTTTGGGCTGGGTTTGTTTGATGGGCAAGGCTATGATCATGGAATTCGGCAAGCCTTACTCGTATCGCTCGCTCGATGGTGTCGTCCCCAAACCAAAACCGGAAGAGGAGGCTGAATCGGGCGGAGCATTGCAGCCACAGACACGGCCGTCCGGCGCCACACCTTTGGGCTATAACTCCCCCCTGTCCATGCCGCGATAGGCATCTTCCTCATCACGCTCCCACCGGAAACACAAGATCGCGCCGTCTAGTCTCCAAGCACCGAAAAGCAGTCACAGGCATCTTATTCGACGCTGTTAAGCGATCGATTCTCTCTGCTCTGCTCTGCTCCAGTTCGCTCGCCGAATGGAGTGAATGTATCCCTAGAGGCTTGCGGGCTCGAAACGGATCCCGCATTCAAAATCTTCCCATCCAAAATTGTATACCACCATCTACTCGCATCACACATCAACTTGCATCTCCACTGCTCTGGTCTATCGTCGTTGCCACCTTTCCCGTACTTGCTTCTAATTTCTTCGCTCGGAGGGTTTATCCGTATTTATCCTGTACGACTGGTGGCCATCTCAGCTCGGTGACAACCAGCACTGAGCGGCGGGCGCTGACACTGGTCCAGTCATCTGTAACTGTGCTGTAACAATGGAATAAACGAGGAACGCGATGTAATTGTGAAACAAATGATCGGATTTGTGCGACCCGTTCAAGCCGTCCGTACATATGGCGGTTTCCAGCTGGGTCCCCAGTGTGAAAGCCACACGGAAGACACCGGACCTGCTGACAGAAAGCCTGCGTAAACGGAGAAAACATCCTTTCGCGTCGGCCAAGGCGGTAGTCCGAAGAGACACCGAGATATTACAGAGAAGGGAAACGAAATGGCATTCCGTCATATGCATAAACAGGCTCATAGATTGCATGCAAGTAGTGATACGGAGGGAAAGGCGCGCAACCACACCAAGTAAAGTCGCTGCCCCGGAATGCGGCGACTGACGAGTTTACCGGTTAGACTTGGCGACACGCTCCAACTCGTCCTTTTTCTGCAGAATGACGTACTAGTTAGATCGCGGTCATGAAAAGGACGTGATTTGTGCTTACCTTGATAGCATAAGAGTTAGACGAACCCTTCGCCGCGTTGATAAGCTCGTCAGCCAGGCATTCGGCGATGGATTTCACGTTGCGGAACGCAGATTCACGGGTCTGTAAGAGGGTGAGCATTGAACAAGATTTTCGTTTGAAAGTGCTTCGGCAACTTACACCGATGGTTAGCAGCGAGATCGACTGGTTGACTCGGCGGAGGGGGGAAACATCGACGGCTTGCCTACGGACGGTTCCCTGCGAACCGATACGGGTCGAGTCCTCCCGGGGGCCCGTGTTCACAATAGCATCCACAAGAACCTGACTAACGCGTCAATGAAACTCGTTTGTGTGGCCGTTTCGGTAGAATGCACCTGGATCGGGTTCTGGTCGGTGAGCAGGTTGATGATCTCGAACGCGTGTGCGACAATGCGGACGGCAAGCAGCTTCTTGCCGTTGTTGCGCCCCTTCATCATGAGGCTGATTGAACACAGAACATTAGCATAGGACACTGTGCGAAGGTACAGCAGACGGACCTGTCTACCAATCGCTCCACAATAGGCATCTGGGCCTTTTTGAACTGCTTCTTCGCATAACGACCGGCGGTGTGAGGCAGGTACACGGCGTGACGGGTTTGGATGTAGTCGGTCAAAGAGATGTCCTTCACTTCGACACTGCAGAATTTTTAACATCAAGTTTCCACAATCTCTGCCGCGCGAACTGACTCTTGAGTATCCCACTTTCCAAATAGCTTGACTTCCTGGCCGATCTTAGAGATATCCTTGGGGAGCGTGGTTGCCGACATTTTGAGGGTAGCGGGAGGGACGTCGGGACTTGTTGTATTTTGTTGAGGACGACTGGATAGAACCACGTGCCATCAGTGGTCGCGACTGGCAGCCGCAAACACCTCTCACTGCCACATGTCAATCGTTTGATTTCACGTCTGCACTTCCAAAAAAAGGTTTCGCTGGTACATACAGTAAGGAATGCAGTGATGTATGTTGATGATGCTATTATGTAGTCGTGCTATGCTGAATGAATTGGTCGAAATCAAGTGCGAGACTGCAGGTCAGGGATGTGCGTTGACTGGCGAAGGAACCTGGCCTCCATCGAGCGTTCAACCTGTTCTCTGAGTTGCCGTTCTTCTGCGACACGTTCTTCTGCTCGTCTACGGAATTCCGCCTCCTTGGCCAACTGTTCGATGGCACTGTTCTCGAGGCGCCTTGCTCTGTCCCGCTCCTTGCAGATATTGTCCAGGTCTCGTTGAAGCCTGCGACGAACCAGTCTTTCCGTTTCCACGATGTCTTCCAGCTTTCGTTTCAATGAGCGCATGCCAGCTATTTCAGCCACGTCTTGAGCGTGCCTTTCTTGCAGCAACTGCATTTCTCTCTCGAAAATGCGGGAATCTGATGTAGGACGACTGGGCAATCCCGGCGAGGTGTTCCGGGACCGGGACAGGGACCGCGGAGCGGTTGGAATGGACACCGGCTCCGTTTTCTCTCCCAGAGATGGTCCGATCAATAAAGACTGCGAGAACGTCCCGTAAACTCTTTGTAGCCAATTCTGCGCGTTTTTGAGGTGCTCGTCGGCCTTGGCTGCATTTCCCTTCCGACGGGCAGCTTTGTTAAGGTCCATCTCGCATCCCGAAAGAAGAAGAAATACTGGGTTGAGGTCATGGGTCGACGTGTCGGGCTGCTCAAACACTCAAGAAACGAAGCCCAGGGTAGTTAGCTTGGGCAAAACACAAAGATATATGCGGTCCACCTTCGAGCATCGCACTGAGAACGCTTCTCGAGGCTTCTGGATGAGCGATGTGGCGATAATAAGCTCCTACGGTCATCCAGTTCCCTCGATCACTTGATGTCATTCTAAGCAATTCGATGACAGATGCTGGTTCGCCTGTGAGCGTCTTCAGATCGAGAGAAATGGTTTCACCGCAGAGGCGCATGGAGATGACACGACTTTGAATGGATGGACCAGGCATCTCTATTGGACGCGTAGAAGCCCCGTGTTCAGACGAAGAAGAGACGATCGCGGGCGGAGATGTCATTGACTGTGAAATGGGACTATCGCAGGTTTTCAGCGAATGAAGGAGATGCCTAGATGGTGGAGAGCAATGAAGGCCTGAAGGGGCGCTGATTTCAATATCGGAGGTTGGGTTGAATCCAGTTGTGGAAACGAGAGTGTTGGAACGAGTGTTGCTTATTGAGGATACGTCCAGGTTGAATGCAGAGGGATTGACGACGCGATACTGATCAATAAGACACGGTTGCGACGCGACATTTAACACGCGGACTCCGTCCGCATTGAGTGCTAGCGCACGTCTCGCGGCTGCTGCATCTGACAAAGGATCAGTGGAATTTAGAGGTCCTGAAGGTCTAAGCAAACCAGCGAATTCGATAAAATCTGAGTTGTGGAGACCACGTCTAGGTATCGAGATAGGTCAGAGATTTCATTCTGTGCCAGCCCTGCAGACACCAGGAGCCTCATACATTTCACCGCAGGTCAATCCAAATATGCGTCGAAGATTCAAGGCTTCTGTTGTCGACCTCTCGACTTTCACGACTCTGCTGAGGGTATCTAACATAGTAGCCTGGATGCTCTTGCGGAGTATAGAATGATTTGACTATGTATACAGGGGAAGAGTGTGAGGAGCATAGAGAGGGCGCGAAAGATCGCGTCAACAAGCGTAAACTACACCTGACCCCCTACAAGATGTATCCAGAGTTGACTTTTCGATTGTTCGTCGCATCCGTCTCAGACGCTCCACGCGCAAAATTCTACTGTTATGCCCTAAGTCCCAAGACGTTCCAAGTAGCGCGTGTCGGGCATCAGTCTCAGCTGACCGCGCCCTACAAGGCTGTGTCTGATTGCGGAGCACCTATATACCAGTGCCGATGCATTCTTGACAACTCAGCTATGTTCTCAATCTCACCCACCATCATGTTGCGTTCGTTGTCAATTGCTGTCTTACTCACTCGCTCTGTGACTGGGCAGTCGTCAGTTCACCCACGAACCCGGTCTTCGCCAGTGTGACTAATGAACTTCGAAGGCTTTCGAGCGCCTGCCAGAGCGCACTGTCACAAGTAGCTGCCAACCCTGACGCCAATGCTTGTCTCAGTGTCTCTTCCCTTTTCGCTACAGTGCTTTCGCCCAATGCCAGCATCATTACTCCTGTGGATAATCTCCTCAAGTCTCTGTGCGCAGCAGCACCGTGCAGTAATGCCACCCTATCCGCCGTTGTGGCCAATGTTTGTGGTCCTGTTCTTGACTGGCCTATGTCTAATCATTTCGAATGATCAAGGTCACTAACGGGTGCAGCGCTGAACTGTCTATGGCCCCTAGCAGTAGCACCTCTTCAGCGACTTTGACGGCCTTGGTCGAGCAGTATTATCCCACTGTCAGGCAGATGGTATGCCTGTCCGAGTGAGTCGACTTGTGTCTGACTTGAACCCTTCTCACTTTTGCTCAGTTCTGGCACGAACTGTATCACCCAGACGCTCTCGAGCTTGCAAACTTCATTGGGCACTCTTAGTCTGAACAGCATCGGAACTGTCATTTCCAACGCATTCAAGTCGAACCTCCGTCTTCCCAGCAACGTCACCTGCACGGACTGCGTCAAGGAGGCGTACAACGTGCTCAACCAAGACTTTCCCAGCACTGGGTCCGCGCTGTCAACTAGCTTGCAAAATCAATGCGGCTCTTCTTTTACAAGTATATGAGACTGCTGTTCTTACCGAGAACCCGACTGCTGACCTCATCCGACAGATGGCTCGGCCCCGTCGAATGTGGTTGAAACTGCTACCAAGCCATCGACAAGTGCGAATCCTAGCAATTCTGCCCTGGTTCAGCTTGGAGCGTCGAGTGCTTTGGGTGCATTTGCTCTAGTCATCGGCGCATCGCTCCTAATTTAGATGTCTTTTGTAACTTGATCGTCGCAATGCACGGCCCTGATTTGGATCGTTGGCACGTCCAATACACTTGGTAGTCGGGTTGGCACAGGCGTCCCTTTCACTTTCTTCCTTCCACCTCAACAGGCTTTGAGTTCTCCTTTTCTTTCTCGCATCGTTCCCTTTTGTTTTTTCATTATGAAAGTTTCAACCTTTCTTACCTTTGTCACGGGAGCTGCCGTGGTTTCTGCTCAATCGTAATGCACACTTCGTCATCCGTGAACGGAGATCAACTTGAACTCATCTTGTTCTAGCCTCAGCACTGGGTGCTCCGAGACCTTGAAGGTACGTGAAGGACCGACGTTCTAGGTCTGAAGTCTCACCCCACCGCCGTACAGGGAATCATCTCTTCGCCAGATGCCGCATGTCTCAACCCGTCAGCGCTGCTGTCCTTCTTTGTTGGCAACGCGCAATCCGTCCCGGACACGGTCAACAACTGGCTTGGAGGGCTCTGTGCTGTCGGCACCTGCAGGTACGCTGGTTCTCCGTCACACCGTACGCTGTAACTAAGAGACCTCGTCGCAAGTAACGCATCCCTTGCTTCTGTAGCAGCCACCGTTACCTCGGGATGCGCCAGTGATCTGAGCGCATTCAATGTCAGCGTCGGAGCTGGGCTGCAACAGACCATCACCCAGATCGTGCAGCAAGTGTATCCGACCGCGCGTTCTATCATGTGCCTGAAAGAGTGCGTGTCTCCTTGCAGGAACAGATCCAGGCTTCCAGTTGATCCTCGGCATTGAACAGCAATGCATCCAGCAAATTTTGCGCCACCGAGATGCTCAGCAGCATCGAGACCCTTACAGGAAAACTGTCAGCCAGTAGCCTCAATCTCCAGACTATCTTGTCCGACTTGCAGAATCTTGTCGCCAGCGCGGCCAATTTGGCCTGCACCAACTGCACCAAGGCTGCATTCAGCCTCGCAGCTCCATTGACGGCACAGTTCCCCCAGGCCTCCTCCGCCATCGACACGTTGTGCGGCGCAGGCTTTGCTGGCAAGTCGATAATCTAGTCTTTTGACAAATGACCGTGCCGGGCTGACATGGGCTTGCAGAGTCGGCTTCTTCTCTCGCTGATGACGGGGTCAGTCAAACTGCTGTGAACGAGCAATTCGCTCTGGCGCCGATCAAATCTAGCGGTGCTTCGTCTCTCCAGCCCGTGGCGACCATCGTCCTTGCCCTGCTCTCCATGTGGGCTCTGTTGTAACGGATATCGCATTGTATCGAAAGACATTGTGCTTGGTGACCTGGTCTTCCCGCCGTTCTCAGCGAAGCGGTAGCTAGAAAACTTACAGGATACGTTGTACAATAGTGACACTGGGTAAACGACAGGTCGAGTGTAGATGCTATGTTGATGGTATGTAGATGCTTGTATGACGAAAACTGACTAGAAAGCGACTGCGTTCCAAGCGCGAAAGCGAGCTTTGCGATGAGTCGTGACGGTCATGAGGTTCGTTAATGCCCGCAGAGGCCTAGTCGAGCTGTTTCTCGGTTGAATGCTGAGACGCTCGAGGCGTTTGTGGGACGTCCAAAAAGGGAGGAAACCGCCATCCTGACTCGGCGACAACTGGGGTAGCCAGTCCATCTTCTTCGTCCCAATCTCCCTCTTCGCAGTCAACCGACCTGTCCGAACCCGGATAGATGAACGTCTCATCGTCATCGTCACCATCCTCCTCATCTTCTTCGTCTTCGTCAACCCAGGCGTCATCGTCCCCGTCCAACTCGTCGTCATGCAGAGAGATAGCGATCTCTGCGTCCGATTTGGAGACGGAGGCAAGGCCGTGTGGCGGGAACAATCCCTTGACAGGAGATCGCCGCTTGGCTGCTTTGCTGGTCCCGGATGGTGGCTTGTGCACAGAAACTTTCTGGCCCGCGGATTTTACACCGGGATAAGCCGGTGGATGCCGCTTCGCAACTGGCTCGGACGGAGCATAATGCTGCGAGGGCGACGGCGACTCCACGGAACGTGTGACTTGCGCCATACTAGCACAAGGCACCGTAGATTGGGGGAAAGGCACGCCGCCACGGATAGTTTCGTCCTTGCCAAACGAGGCAAGCCGAGATGGGCTCAGTACCACAACCTTCGCTGGGTGCGGGGCACCCGGATACGCATCATACGGCAGTTGGACGTCTAGTGCAGGAGGGCGAGCTGGCGATTGGGTTCGCGGGGAGGCAGGTCGGCCACGCGATTGCCCCGGTGACTGGACGAGAGACTAACCAATCATATCAATACCGTATTTCGGGGGAAGAGCGATGGAACAAATGAAACAGGGGATATGAGCGGATGCAAGATCGGAATTGCAAGACAGCCAAAATCTTCGATCGGGGGAAAGATGGGTGGGAATGACGTTGTGCTCACCGTGACTCGTCGGCGCTGAGGGAGGACATGGGTTTTCGGTCGCATGCCGTCAAGATCAGACCATTCGAACTTGACTGAGCGGAAGGAGTGGAATAAGAGCAGCCGTTGTTCCTAAAGTCGATTGCAGGATGAATACGTTGGTTGGTGGCACAAGCTCCAGATCTATTGCATACCTCAGTCATCTTGAGTGCTTCTATATCCTCCAGACGCTGTTCGTGCTCCATCTCTAAAAGTCGTTGTTTGCGCTGGGCAGCGCGCGACGGTTGTGGAGTGTCCATAACGTGGCGCGGTGTCGCATACAAGAGTAAATTTAACAATGCTTCGGCCGCAATATTCGCGAATATTGCAGTTGTGGTAGATTACAGACAGTACGCGTTGAGCACGGTAGCGGGAGAGTAGATTGTAGGAAAGAGGGGACGCAGAACAAATGCCAAATGCGAGGCCGCATTTGGTGCAGCGTGAATCAATTGTACATGTGATGTGATTGCAATAGTGTGTGACATAACGACCATCAGTCACACTGAGTACGTCATACGACGATGAGTGGATGGCTTGTGAGATTTACATGCGAGCGCGGACTATTTGCGAATGCGCAAGCCTGGGACATTGTGTACAGCCATCTCCTGAACACCCGACGTGAGACATGATGATCGATCCTATTTTTGCTAGCTCACCTCGGTTAGAGCAGTCGAGCGGGACAAGCCTGGGAACTGGTCGGCTGGGAGAACCACAAAGGGTTTCCCGTAGCATCTGGCGAAGATCTGGCCAGCAGCTTTGTAGCAAGCGGTATAGCGCAGAAGATAGTGGCCCGTTTGAGAGACACCCAATGTCTGGGTGTGCGAGTCAGAGCGGCCATCAATCAGGGACGGCATCACCAACCGGGAATAGGAAGTAGAGTTCGCCGGGGTTGTGAGGAGTGGCGTCGACGAAGTTGCAGCCGTACAAAAGATGGGATTCCGCGGCAGACTCGAGCACAGCATGTGTGTTGACACAGTGCACGATATCCGCATTTAGTGGAGGATGGATGGTGCGCCGTAGATCGAAGATCGGCCGATCATTTGAATCGAGAACGACCTGGTTCAACGTGTCGCGCCGTGCCTCGTAGTAAGTGTAGCCCCCGCCCGCAGCGTCAGCCGGAGACGGGATTCGAAACAGCTCTGCCGAGCAGCTGAACTGACGGGGGTCCAGTGCTCCAGCATGTCGCAGTCTGGCCATAGGAACCGGGTCGAGCGGTCGGGGTCGATCAGAGCCACTCCTGGAGGATGTGTGATCAGAAAAGGCACGAGGAACAGACACATTGGCGGCACTTTCTCGCGGCCACTGGGCTTTGGGCTTCTTCAAACGAGTACATCGGTGGTTGTCTGGTTGTGATGGTTCCAGGGGACGGATTATATAGCGGGCGTCCTCGGGCAAAGCCGTCTTCTGCATGTGGGAGGACAAAGCTTGTGGGACCGCGCGACATGCCTGGGCTAAAACAGTCAATGGCGATATACGGAGAGAGACTGTAGACCAAAACGTCGGGAACCACCGAGGAAAAGGCGGCCGCCGCTAATCAATTACGTTTCCAACGGACCGAGCCCAGGAGAACACGCGTCGGAAGCATCTATTGCACCAATAGAACGGATCTATGTCCATGCCATTCGTATAGAGTCTAAAGCATAAATACCGCTGGGATAACGGATGTTGGCCAAGAAACTACAGCTCCGAGATCGAAACACGCACATAGATTATATATCAAACCGATGGATGACCAGCTTCCCTGCGCGGGCCGAGATGATCCTGCGGTCGTCGAAAACGACGGTCGACCTCTCCACGATGGAAGCGGAGGGGGAGGAAACCATCGCTCCAGCGCCAGATTCAAGATCCCACACCCAGATAGATCCATTCTTGCCCAATGTCACGCATCGGCCATCTGCGAGAGCCATCGAAGATACCGCGCCGGCCGAATGATGGAGATATCGAATGAACGTCAGTTTTGGTGGCGGCGAAGCCACAGACGACGCTGCAGGCAGTGACAGTCGATACATCTGCAGGCTGGTCAGCGAATCTACCGGCCCCGGGACGGTGTTCCCCGGCGGCGACTCGCCAGGGCCAACGACGATCTGGAGGTTGAAAGGTTAACTCCTCGTCATCAGGGCAGACGGCAAAGGGAGAGTCACCCATTTCCCATCCGATTGCGTATCTTGGATGTGCAGCAACTTTCGACTCCACTGCTCTCTCAGGCACCGAAGCTTGTCCTGATCGATCCAGCCAGGCGGAACGTCCAAGGCACGGGCAGTGCGCGTCGATATCACCGTCAAGCTCGCCATAGGGTCGTGTGAAGAGGCAATGATCAACTCGGTGGCACCTGTGCACGCTTCATCAGGGATTCGAAAGACCAAGGAACAGCATCGTACCGATCGAAAAGTGCACCGGAAACACGGGCATTGCATATGTCAACACAAGTTTGTATCGATCTCCAGGTTGCGCGGATAGCACCAGGGATGTGGGAGGAAATGCGGTGTAAGTGGTCAGTGTTTGCGTATGCTTGACGGTATCGGCCGATAGGTCGTAGATAGACAGCGTGAAAGCCTCTGAGAGGCTGATGAGCAGGGGGTAATGGAAGACGGCCTGAATGATTGCAGTTGTTCTTGAGCTGGGACGTTGAGGGATGTAGGTGAGTTTGCGGGCCGTCGCCCGCGGATTCTGCTCGTCTACGGCGAAGACAAGAAACTCTCCGGTCGACAGGAACGCCGCGAGCTGCAGCAGCCGAGCCCGTGGGGCAGATTGATCCAGCGCAAGTGCCGCGATAGAACAAGGCCCTCGTGGTCCGCGAGAGTCGCACAACAGAGTCTGCTGAGACGTGGGACCACCCCCCGTGTGCAGGCAATGAACTTCTGGGCACATGCTCGTCTCGGAGGACGCAATAATAGTCGTAGAACCTGTCAATACAACATGCGGTGGCGCAAGCGAAGGCGTCGATCCTGGCTCAGGGGGCTTGAAGACACCTTCGATGTGTTCGGTGCGGCAGCGGCCTGTGCATAAGTTTGAGCGACATGACGCAACCGAAGCCCGGAACGCGTCACAAGAACCGACCTTTCTTCCAGTTCCAACTGATCCTAAACATCCACCGCCAATCTTTCAAGTCCAGCGCCTTCACAGCGCGCCCGGGAAGAGGCCTTACTTCTCTGCCATCACTTCTCCCAGCGAATCCCTTGCCGCCTCGCAGTCGAGAGCGCCCGAACACGCGGATATACTGAAGCAGCAGCAGACATGATCAATTCACCCCTGCGTGGTCAACGGACATTCTTTGCTCACTTGCTCGCGCCAAAGGCCGTTATCGAGTGAGATGCGTTGCCAGTTCTTGTTCACTGCCTCAGCAGCGCAAAGTTCGGACCATGACAGCTGTGAGAACACAAGCAAGATGAGCTCCTCATAGAATAAGTCGTCGAACGATAGAGCAATAGGACGCAGTGTATTGGCATCGATCTGCTGTCGTTTCGCGGGTGGTAGAAGAGGGGTGGGGGATAACGTTCGCTTAGGCATGATGAAAGAGAGAGAGAAATCTGCTGACATAAATGCTCTGACACATTTCATTCGTGGGTTGAGTGACTCTTGTCTCCGAAGTACATACATTCAATATATTCTACGTTCAACATTCAGCATTATATCTAGACAAGTATTCCGGACTCTGCACCAAATGGCTCGGCAATCTGCGGTACGACTAGCAGCGATGGAGTAGCATAGCAAGAAAACGAGTGCATGGTTAGATCAATGATAAGACCCGGCCACAGGGATTCAGTGGTTGTAAATTGGCGATTCACTTTGAGCAGCTAGCTCTTCGAAAAGATTCCTACCGACGTGCTTCGTGATAGGCGAAGAGTCTTCGAGACCGTCCAATATCCTGTGAGCAGCAGCTGTGTTTCTTCTGATGGGCGAATCGTCGAAAGACATCCGCATCAACGGACTGGAACCAAAAAGGCCTGCACTCTCGTCCAACGTTCCCGACGCACCAAACAACCAGCTCGAGGAGTCACGTCGTTTTGACGGGGTTTCGTGCGCGCGGATTGACCAGCCGCTGCTGCCTGCCTTGGGTGTCACGAAACCACCGGCCAGTCGCATGCCACGGGAGGGTGTCGAGAGAGGGTCGAAGAACGACTCCTGTACTTCATCAAGCGGATGTTCTGGATGAGCGGTCGGCGTCGTGAATCCGTTGTTCCAGCGACGAGTGCTGGGACGGGGAGGTGTCTTGAGTTCGTGGCGGCTGGTTTCAGCACAGCGCGACGGCGAGTCGAGCACCTGGAACAGCGGTGCATCATTGGAATGGTTCCGGACCGGTTCGCTATCCGTGGGAGCAAAGATGGGTTCTGGACTCGGTTCATCTTCGACCAGGTCCTCGGCCATGCCCATGCCTTCGACCGCCTGTGCGTCGTCCGAGTCGTCGGACTGCTCGACAATCTGACACTTCTGACAGTACCATGCATCCTCTTCCGGTCCCAGCGCGGCAATATTCGGGATGTTGAGGCAGTAGAGATGATACCAGATCTCACATTGGTCACACTGCACCACATTGTCGTCCTTGCGCTTGCCATGGCAGATACACGCCACGTCGTCATCATCTTCGTCTTGCTCTTCGCGCTGCTTCCTTCGCCTCAACTTGAGCGTGAATGCTCGAATCGTCTTCTTCGCATGAAACGCCTGAACCGCATCACCCGGGTCCGTCGGGAAGAATCGGCGCCCGTTGGCGCTGAGTAGACCTCGGCGGCTTCCGACAGTGCGAGGATCACTGACCAAGGATCGGCTGCAAGTGGCACCATCTTCCCCCGGCCCCCGCGTGACGGCGTAGGCCTGTCAGCGCCAGGCTCATATATGCGCGTCCAGGCAGAGGGGGGCAAAAGTTCCTCGTTGCTTGGCTCGTCGTCACTGCTGGAATCTTCAGCGTCTGTATCGCGATCCAAGAACTTTTTGATCGCGTCCAAGCGTTGCTCGGATTCCTCCGTGTCGATGCTCCTCCGCTCCTCAATGCGCAATCGCCAAGGAAAATCGGTATCCAGCCAGTTGGGTTTGTCCGACATCTCCTCCAGTTGCGCGGCATTCATTATGGCTCGCCGTTCTCGGGCACTGGGCTCAGTCCGCTTCTTGATTTTCTTTGCTGGAAGCACCGTTCCTCGCTTGGCAGCATCAGCACCCTGGGCTCGCTGTTCTTCAGTCGCTGTGTCCAAAAGCACTCGGCCCATCCCTTCAATGATCACAGGAAACAGGCGGGAAGGCTCGATAGCCGTATTCGTCAACTGGTTAGGTCGAAATGCTGCCAGTCGTTTACGCTTTCGAATCTCCTTGTCTGACAACGGCTCTGGTGGAGGAGGAGGGACTTCAGATCGCGCAGGCGCCGGCACTGGCGGAGGAGGGGCAGGAGTTTGCGCTGGTTGAGGCTGGCGAATCCAGTCTGCCGTGCGCTGCAGACATGAGCATGTCAGCTGCAAGCAATCGATGAAGGCTCACATAACGGCCGTATCCACCTGCCATTAAACTCTCCTCAAAACTCTCGTCCGATGTTTCCTGGAACAGCGCAAGTCGCCGTCCTTTGTGCGGACTGTCAACAACACCGACATTGGAGCGTCGATGTCCGTCTTCATCAGCTTGCGCTAGATCAGTTTCTGAGATAGGACGTTTGCCTCGTTTGAGATACTCTGGTCGACGAGCTTCCGTATCTTGGTAACGTTTCATCTGATTCTGAGCCATCGTCTGACGAAGACGCTCCATTTCACCCCCTGGAAGATCAGATACAGGTGCATTGGGAGGAGAGACGGCTGGAGAGATGGGAATAGACATGGAAGCTTCATCAGGGTGCCCTGGGACGGGGACTGGCATCGACTGGGACAACGCGTCCTCTTGAAGAGACTGCATAGGTCGCGATGATGAGGCGGTGCCTTGAGGTGTCTTCGCGACGAATGGAGAAGATAACGAGGCGAGATTGAGATTAGAAGGGGGCGGTGTGGTTGGACGAAACGAGTTTATTGAACTATTTGTAAGTGTGAGTCGGAAGCAAGACATCAAGAGAAAACGAAGAATGCATACGATGAACTTGATTGGGGAACGTGGAAAGCGTAAGAGCTGGAATGATATGAGGGCACACCATAAAGACCGTGGCATTACGCACTTGAAATGAGGTATCGCGAGGGGAGTGGAAAGATGAGAATCATAACGAGACGCGAAAGGACTGAAGATTAATCAAAAAGAGGGTAAGGTGAGAGAATGTTGCGGCGCACCTTGACTCTGGGGTCATGACCTGCTGGGCCGGGCGACCAGCAGCTCCTGGGGGCATTCTGCAGCAGATTAAGCAACTTCCCAGCATCATCGACCCGAGAGCACCGACATCTTCTGAACAGGCATTCCATACATCGGCCGACCCATAGACGCAAATGAGATGTAAGATCTGTGCATGCGTTTCAGTAAAGCAAGGGCAAGTATCGTGATGAAGTGACGCGCGTCTGGCCATGAGCAAGTGGAGACTCGGGGCTTTGGAAATTCAAGTAATGCCCCATGTAATCCGGACTGCCAGTCCGACACAATCAGCATCTCTCGTAATGTCGATATCGCTTATTTCACCTTTGGGGTGTGGGCAGATGGGAGCGCCCTGCAGGGAAAAAGGGCACCGGAGCAACTGCCGAGCTACCATATTGATCAGAAAATGGATATATTTTCTTTCTAAAACGGGATACCCAGGAAACTGGGAGGGCAGCGATTGACGGGCCACAGCAGGGTGGGGTGCCGGGGTGGAATTGACGCCCTCAGCTTGAGAAGACATGTGTAGTATCGTTATCTGAAATAATTTTTGGCTTTGTGGCGGGTTTGAGAGAGATAAAGGGCGTCGCAGCGTGAAGATGGGAGAGGGAGGAAGAGGGTGCAAGGCTCATGACCGTGTTCATCATTGGTCATTAGTTTATTCCCACGCTTGATCGTGATCGAGTTTTGCCATTGTTCAACAGCAGGTGATCAGTTTATTACACACGAATCTACAAACCAGTAGCTAATGGTACACTCAAAAAACAAACAGCTACAAGGCTCTCATGAACCGTTCAAAAAAACGGGCGAAGAAACGCGCCCTGCGACGCTCCGCCATGACACGAGCTTGTGCTTCCAAGCTGGCAGACTTTGTTCCAGGCCACCATATGAGATCCTCAGCTCCGGCTTCATAGACTATTTTGTATTTTGGACTTGAGATGCGCACAGACAGTCCTCTATCATCGACGGCGACATGTTGGTCGCCGAGCCGCCGGGTCCTGTCGATCTGATGAGATTGATGGAGAAAGTGATGGTGATGCGCACCTCTTGAGCAAGAGTCGCTCCTCTTCGATAGGCGGGATCCATTCTGTTGGCAGACGAGTGACATATGAGCTGACATACTCTCTCCACCGATCCCCAGCATTAACACTGGGATCATCGGCCCCCATCAGATGCACGCTGATGGAGCGGACATCTGGATTCCACTGCAGACGATACAAATGATCATCTTGTCCGACATGTCGCTCAGCCTCACGGCGATATTGCAGTATGTCTAGATCGTTGAGACCGATGCCGTCAGAAGCGGTCACGTGTGCGTTTTGCAGCAGCGTCCACAGTTCTTGGCATTTGTTGTCCCCTACAATGGTCTGCACTTGTTTTACAAGCGCTGTGACGAGTTTGTCAATGGTGAAGAGATGATAGGCCTGTGTGTGTGTTTGCGTTGCATCCACGCCGTAGATAGTCTGCACACACCTTGTCGCCGAAGAACCAGCGCATATGTTCTTCAAACGTCGCCGAATCAAGCTCGTTGTCAAACACCTTTTCACAAGCATCCAAAAGATACATGTAAACCACGTTGGGAGGTGATCCGTCTCCCTCCTCCTTCGTGGCAACGGTCTGGGCGAGAATCAATGTCGGACCCGCCGGATCATCCAACCCAAGGGATGTTGCGACAGGATTGACTCGCAACGATGCATGTTTTTCATCGGCAGTCGAGCACCGATGGCTTTGCACATGGCTAACCGCGAATAGAGCAGTTGCAGCAGACGCAACAGAGTATAAAATGTCGTGTTGGTAAAGAAAGGTCTTCTTGGGGCGATTCCCTCGCAGTGTGTATGCGTTGACTCTCTCAACCAAATTTCAACCTCTTCCGGGACCGGAGATGTTCCACGTGATGCTGTAGCGGATTGATTCTCCTGGACTGTGCGCAAAAGTTTCTTCGCAGGTCACCTGGTGCGACACCCGCTCCGTTGTTTAGTGAATGCGACGCGGAATGAACACTGCCCGTGGAGCGCCGTCCGCTTCGGGGAGGATCGGGAAGTTGGAGTAGATCTTCTTCCTGGATTCCATCGAGTGGCCCGCAAGCAGCGTTGAATTCGGCGGTTGGGTACATGCACAGCAACGGAACAAACCGGCGCAAGAAAGACTCGACGCTCCGGCGCTCAGCAGCACTGTACTGGCCTTGTGAGTGATCGAGGAAAGAATAGACCATCTTGAGCGAGTCATGGAGCACAGGTGTGTCAGCAAAGTTGAAGACCAACTGCGCCGGAGTTGTGCGAGCCCAGTGTCTCATTTGGGCACCCTTCGCGGCTTCGATATCGTTCACAAAGTACTTGGCCGTGATCCGCTTTTTGTCGTCGGCCTTGAAAGTGAGGCCCTGGTGGTCAAGACTCTTGTAGAAGTTTTTGGCATCCACTTCTCGCCACGTTTTACCCCATTCTCGTTGTAGCCGCCGCCATTCATCATCCTTCTGCTTCAATCGGGCCAGAACAACAGGGACAGCGATGCTGGGAGAATCTTGAAGAGCTTGGATGATCTCCAGACCACTGTCTCGACCGTAGACCTTTCGGATAATCCGATGGTACAGTGCCTTGGCCGATCCCCCAAAATCTGCTTGAAGCTTAAAATTGACTCGTTCCTCGGATGTCATCTCCTCGAGTCGCATCGCCAAAGGTTCAAAGTGAGCAATCGTCCGCGACATAGCCGCGATGTGCACGTGATATTCGTGACGTTCCTCCTCGCTCTTGTGCAGTGTGTCCTCAAACAGGTTCTTCCTATGTGACATGAACCCGGCGTCTTCCGATGCCCAAGCTGGATGTGAGACCCATTCATCGTTGAGCACCGACTTTCCAAGTTCGTCTCGTCCCGAACAGGCCAGTCGACTCTCCTGATTGAGATCAGTCGATGCGATAAAGCGTGCAGAAAGCTGCGTACACTGTCTGGAAGTCTCCGATAGCTGGGCCCATCTCCATCATCCGGTACATAAGCAGATGCAAGATCCGGGGGGCCGGTCCGGACACTGCCCGGGGGACCTTTATCAGCAGCGTCTTCAGGATCCTCCCATCCGACCAGATCCTTGAATTCCTGCATCAAATCACTATCGCCAAAGAAGGAATCCCGAGCGAGGGTGATCAATGTGGACATTCCGATGATCTCAGACGAAAACAGACTGAGCAGCTTCAACAGATCATCAAACATGTCTCGGGCTCCTAAAGCCTTCCTCGCACGGTCGAAGAACATCACTTTCTCCCCGATAACTGCCGGTAAATTCGCAGCAGCTGCAGATTGATGGAAGGTAGAAATGGTGGGTGGAGGCATTGACACTGGCGGGGGCGTTTGTCCAACGTAGCCAGAAAACGACGATGGGGAACCTGGTTCAGGTTTGTGGTTGTGCTTGGCCTTCTTAGCGGGCTGGAAGGGATTTTAGAGTTCCATCTCGACCACCGAACAGTGTGACGCACTCGGGCTGCCGGTTTAGGGACTGGAACTGGAGTAACATCCTTCTCAGCTCCCCTTTTTTTCCGCTTTGGAGCGGCTGGGGCCTTCTTCGTAGGCTTCTCCGCTGCGGGCTCGGGCAGTGGCCATGACGGAGTGCTCTGGGATTCGACCGCAGCGAATTCAGGCAGAAACAAGCGAAACTCGGTGAGAAGATCCGGTGCATCCTTGAAGAGATGCTGGACCTGAACAAACACGTGTGGCTAGATCCTGTATGAGGGACAGATTCGCGAAGTGACTGATGTACTCACGTTTTGCTTCTGCTCCTTCTGGTACGTCTGTAGGATGTCCAAAAAGTTCTTGTACGTATTTGAGTCATCAACGAAACGAGATTTGATTTTGTTCAGATATTGAATGGCATGGTTGAACTCCCCGGCGTGTTGTTGAGGCCTCTCCACTTGATTGCGGTTGTTCAGATTCCCAAGAAGATTGGCCGCTGCCGCAGTTTGCGGATTCTGATACGGCGGCGGTTCGAATGATGGAGGCAGTGAAGGCGGAGGTTGAGCAGGTATGTGATACGCCACGGGTGTCATGGAACGCGACGCAGGGCCACTGCTTAAAGGAGGAAGGACATTCGTCGAAGGACCCATTCCTGGAAAAGGCATAGCAATATTAGGGCCGAGTCCCGGAATTGTGTCTCGTGCTTGCATCCGATGCGTGTAGCCTCCGCTGGTGCTTTGTGTGGTCGTGCCCATGGGAGTGGTAACCGTAATGGTCTGGTCGTCTGCATTGGCGTTGATACGGTACCCGGCAGGCAGAAAAGTGTTGAAGCCCTCAATAAGCACCACATTTCCGTGGAAAAGAGCGGAGACGCGTTCGATGACTCCTGGGGTGTCGATGCTGGAAGGAGTGTGGTTAAGCGCGCGTCAAGTAGAGACAATCCCGACGTACACTTGGCCTTTGAAATCCTTCATGATATCCAAAAATTTGTTATAAACATCCGGCTCCGTCTCAAACTGTTTCTTGACTGCATCCAAGTATCCGAGGGCGTCCGTTACATTGAGTGGGCGATTGTTGCTTTCAGCGGGAGACGTGCTCGCTGGTCTGGGTGTACCTGGCTTGGGCTGGGGGGTCCTCACACCATCGCTGCGCGTGCTTCGAGTAATGACAGGGGATGGCTCGCGTGCAAGATTGCCCTGTAATGAGTTCATGGGTCAGGTTGGCGAAAGCCAAGGTGAAACACCGCCACTTGGCGCGAGATCAGAGTTGATCGGCGCCGACGCGCCGACGTATTGTTGATGTCATAGAATTTAACCCAATTCCCTCAACTCACGTATGAACTGCTTGCAGAGAGAGTAGTTCAAACCCGCCATTCGTTGAAGCATGCTTTCTCCTCCTTTTGTGGGGCTCATGGGCAGATTTCCTCGGCGGTCCCGCAATCCCAATGTTTTTCAGCTTCGCCTCAGTTCCGCTAGCAACTGCTCGCGAGGGTTTACATCTTCTCATTGTCTCGCCCGCCCTTCTGCGCTAGATGTGTCCGTCGAGCAATCTCCGGAGCTGCTCCTGACGCGTCGTGCTCAGTTATTTGTTGACGCCTTCCCTATCAGGATTGGAATCTTCGAGCAAGTCACTTGAAAGGCATGGGGGCTGCTGAACTTACTTGTCCCTCCTAGTCCACGCTACTACGTCGCTTTCGCTCGTGAAGAAGCGACCATTCAAGGCATACGGTCACAGCTCTCCAGTGTCAAGACCAACGGGTTTGCGATCGTTGATATCCTCCCTGCGCACAAAGAAGGAGGTGCCTTTGTCACTTTCGATTACACTTCGAAAGATCCAGATGCTGCACTGGAAACTGTTTTTGATGATGTGAAAAAGGCCGCATCACAAAATGGAGGACTACCCTCTTGGGAAGGTCGAAACTCGCATGTTTGGCTTGTGAAGGGAACACCTTGGATCGAAGTGAGGGTTATATGCATTGTCTCTCTGTTTTTGCCCTGAACGAATCGCACAGGACATGCCCTCCATTCCCTCGGACGATGTCAAAGTCGAGTTTGAAGGGCCGGATATTCGCAGGGAACGCCTGTATGAACTGTTTCGTGTAAAGCCGTTCTTTCATGACAGTGCTACTGTCCCTCATATTTCTCAGCCTTTTGGAAGAATCAGAGATATTGTCGAACCAATTCCCGTACCGGCAGGCACTCTGCGCTCAGCGACTATACGCTATGGCCGACATCGTTCTTCAGCCACAGCTCGGAATGTCTTACATGGTCTAAAGCTCACAGCACCGGGATCCACTTCTCCAACGACCTTATATGTCTCGTTCACGCGTCCGATGTCTCCGCATAAGGTTGTCGCTCGTTACTCACCTTGATGATTGTTAATACCGACGTAGATCCTAGATTGGTTGCTTTCTCATCCACGAATAGTTCTTCCCGTCCTCGCATTCATTCTCGGCAGTGTCACCTATGCTGTATGCCATTTTCTGTCGCCCGATGTCTGTTCTGACATCCGCAGATTTTCGATCCCATCCGGTCGTTCATGGTGCAAGGCAAACTGCAGGATTGGTTTGAGATACGAGGCAAGTCGCTGCATTTCATATGCAAACGTCTGATCGAACTTTCCCAGAATTCAGAATCTATCAATGGCTGCGCAACAAGTCGATGGAGTTCAAGTTGTTTACACCCGTAGCGCAGCTTTCTTCTGCAGACGAGGCCTGGGAAGAACGTCAACAAGTGGACTCGGATCTTAGAGCGTATCTAACCGACTGGCCCTCGACCATCACCTTCATCCATGGTCCCCAAGGCAGCGGCAAAAGCAATCTGACAGAAGCCGTACTGAAGGATGCTGACCGTAGCGTCTTGACGATTGACTGTCGGACGCTCCTGAATGCCAATTCGGACAGTCAGCTTCTCAAAAATCTCGCTTCACAAGTTGGATATTGGCCGTTTTTTACCTTCATGAACTCGATCAGTCACCTTGTCGATCTAGTCAGCGTAGGATTGATTGGACAGAAATGTGAGTCTCGCGAGCAGAACACCAAACATTCTGACAGCAGAACAGCCAATCTCAGCAGCACCCTCAACGAACAAGTGCGAGAAATGCTGGGGGTTGTCCGCGCGGCACTCAAGCAGGTTGGTGGCTCTCACCGACAGGCTGAGCAACGCCAAGTTCGCAAGGAAGCACGAGAGGAGCAGCACGCGATTGCGGATTCACTCAAGCGAGAGCGAATAGAGAAGGGCACCTACCACGATGGTCGCATCGACGATGTGGCTGGAACCGGCATCCCTTCGGAACTCGGCATCGGTGACGAACGATTGGATGATCTCGGCCAAGTCGCGATCTCAGCCGATTCTGACAAACGTCAGGTCAAGAAGAAGCAGCATAGCAGAGTGGAGATGGGGGCTGTCAAGGCTCTTCCAGTCGTCGTCATCAAGAATTTTGCGGCACGGAGCGGCACTAACAGTGAAATGTATGATGTTCTCGCTGAATGGGCTGCTGGCTTGGTTGAGAACCGAGTGAGTTTCAAGAGTGCGGCGTTGTTTGTCCTAATCATTCCATTCAGATTGCCCATGTGATAGTCATTTCGGATAATCGCGAAAACTCTAAGCGTGTGGCCAAAGGTGTGTAGAATCGAATCTGTGGTCGGCGCCGGCAACTAGAACCATCGGGCACAGCGCTTTCATCCAAACCTTTGAACACGATTGCCCTGTATGACGCTGATTCCAAGAGTGCTCTCGCATTTGTGCAGCGCAAACTGAAGGACGCCGATATCGATATCCATTATTCAAGCTCCGATATGTCCCTGATAGAGCGATTAGGCGGACGGGCCAGTGATCTCAACACGGTGTGCCCAAATTCCAACTCCGCGGCACAGTCTTGACTGATCGTTTTTCTCAGTTGATCCACAAAGTCAGCAGCGGAATCTCAGTGGAGGAAGCGATTCAAGACATTGTCACCCGCGGAGTCAGTGAGACCCGAAAAAACGCGTTCGGTGACGACGCAGAGGACGCGAAGGACCTGAAGTGGAACAGCCAACAGGCCTGGCATCTGTTCAAACTGCTTGCCCAACAGACCGAAGTCCCATACTATCAGACCCTGCTCGAATTTCCATTCAAGGGTGACGAGACGGCGCTTCGGGCGATGGAGCACGCAGAACTCATCTCAATCAACACCCGAAATGGTGTGCTAGTTGCTGTTTCTCGTGTAGACTGAGCGTGCTGACGTCGGAAAGGTCGTCCATCCACCATAAGGTCCGCACGGCCAGTTGACAAGTACATCTTCGGGCAGCTCGTGGATGGTCTGTGCTCATCTACTGATCTCGCCCTAAATGCCTGCTCACAATCGACAGATGCGGTCTTCCGAGCAACGCAAGACATCGCATTCAATGAGAAGCAAATCGCGGCTGCAGAGAGCGCAATCAAGTCTTGCGAGCAGGAGTTGCTGACACTCAAAGACCTTGGCGCCGGGGATCAGCATTGGTGGACTAGCAGCAGTGCTTCGACCATTCGCGCTCGTTATCTCTTCTCCAAGATGCACACTGCTGCCTCCAAGATCGAGAGTTGGGAGAAACAGAATACTGACTTGAAGAAGGCGTTGACCAAGGATAATTAAACCTCTACGACCATGGATTCGAGCTACCTACGAGTGTACATGTACCATCAATCTCATAACAACGCGTCAACAACACCGCTTCTGATCTGAACACCCATGTCTCCGTCTCGGGGCCCTGAATCTCTTCCCCGCCACCTTCATGTCACTCTCTCAGGCCATAAGGGTCCTGTAAATGTCGCCCGCTACGCGAAGGCTGCTGCCAAATACATCCTCACAGGCGGCCAAGACCGAATAATAAAACTCTGGAACGCCGACACCGGCGCCGAAGTCAAGGCGTTTGCTGCACATGGCTATGAAGTCCTTTCTCTTACAGTGTCAGTTCTATATGAGCTCTACTCTCCACTGAGAACCAACTCTTTCTGGCGCCAGCTCGCACGACAATGCCCGGTTCGCCTCTTCTGGGGGAGACCGCTCTGTCTTCCTCTGGGACGTCGCAACCGCATCAACTCTGCGTCGAATTCCAGGCCACATGGGCAAGATCCATGCTGTGGAATTCAATGACGATGCATCCGTTCTGGCGAGCGGTAATGGACTTGGTGTCTGCAATGCCATGCACCATTTGACCCGACGAATCAGGCTCTTTCGACTCAACTGTACGGCTTTGGGATCTCAAGTATATTCTCTTCCGGTTGAATAGCTCTGCCCTGACACATCCCAGAGCTCAGAACCGACAGCCGATCCAAATCCTGGATGAAGCACAGGATGCCATCCAGACCCTGTACGTTGGTTCTACTTACATAGTCTCGGGGTCCCTCGACGGTCACGTACGCACGTACGACCTTCGCATGGGAGAGCTTCGTTCAGACTGCTTGGGTCGTGAGCCAGTTCCGTGCATCGTCGAGTCACTCTTCGTGACTGTTTGCTAGACCCCGTCACGTCAGTGGTCCCCACGCAAGACAGCCAGACGATGCTCGTCACGACTCTGGATTCACACATCCGTCTCATGGATGTGAGCACAGGAAAGATGCTCAATGACTTCACTTCGCATGCGAACGAAGCATACCGCTGCCGGGCCTGTTTTGGGCACGGCGAAGCGAGTGTGATATGTGGAGATGAGAAAGGCGCGGTCTGGGCATGGGACCTTCTCGATGTGAGCGCTCATCGCACCGCCAAACACATCGCCGCCCCCCTCACATGTTGCACAGGCAAAACCGCTGCAACCCAATCCGCCACCTCGAGTGCACGACAAAGTCATCACATGGACTGAGCATCATCCTGTCATGAAGAACGAGATGTTCACGGCCAGCGCCGACGGAACAGTCAAGGTTTGGCGACAAGTAGAAAACGAATAGCGGATTAATACATCATGTTACATCGGATACTTGCGAGGCCAGATAGTACATAACACTGGCACCTCATTCGCATGAGAGAAGGGTAGTGGTCCAACACTCCCGGATCTCTTCATCGCTTCACCGCCGTGGATTCTGCTAGGTGTTGGACGCACCGAGAAACGGGACATGGGACCGACGTACCTCTCCGCGTAGCATCCTCCAGCAGTTGTGTATCGACATGCTCGGATGGGAGTTGCACGTAGCGCACTACCGAGCCCCGGATGAAGCAGTTCTTGACCGCCATCTTATATACATGCTCAGTCAGTAACAAGCGCTAGTACGTTGGGTGTGACAAGGCACGCGAACCATGTGCGGGTGGCGAGCTTCATCCAGGACTTTGATATTGTCTAATCGGATGTTAAGGAACCTTGGGGGCAGAGATTGACGCGTGTGAAGAACACATGAATTGCATGGCACACACTGGTCCACAGATTTTAAGACACCAGTGATGGAGAGGTCATTCTTCAGCTCGACAGTGACTTGCTGATCTGTGAGGGTTTTGAAAACAGAGAAAATGAGCTGAAAACGAGATTGGTCGTGGGGAAGATCAACAGGCTATCGCTCACGATACCATTGAAGATGAGCGCGCGAACGAGAGGAAGAGACTGAATCACGTGGATCGCGTCAAGCCAGGAAAAGTCAGTATTCCCGTGTAGCGATATGTAGTTCATGGCATTCATTGGGGTGGCAGGCGCTTTCTGACGTACAGACAAATACACGGAGTTTAGAATGTCAGCTACACCCAATTGTCGCATGGCACTAGGAGGATCCTTAGAGTATCATGGATGCATGGATTGGCAAAGGAACTAGCATGAGGGTCATACATAAGGAGAATCCTAAGTATTTTTGGGTGGTGAACCAAAGAATGCCTTAAGCGGCGTGCTTCTGCTTCCCAGTCCGCAGTTTCCTCAGGTAGAACTACAACAAGAAAGATATGATCGTTAGACACAACCCCCTCTCGAAAGCGATTCGCGCACCTCGAGCTCCTTGCCCTCAAGAATGTAACCATCTGCACGTCCGGACTGACCAGGGCGGCTGGAGATGACGGCATACAAGCGACCAGCGGCAAATTGGCTGTCCAACAGGTGGTCAATCTTGGCCTCTGGCGATACGGTGAATAACGAATCCGATTTAAGTAACTCAGCAAACCTTTCTTCTTGGCATCCAAATCACGCTGCGCATGGTTCGAAAGCTTCACGGGTTCGGCGGCGTCGGCGGCTGGGGCGGAGGATTTGCCCTTCTTGGTGACGGGCTGGGCGTACTGGGGCACGCAGTCAATATCAGCGACAAAAATAAAGATCTTCCGCTACTCACGTGGGATTCATACCACTGGCGGAAGGGGGTAGCATCAACCTGGATGATAGCGCTCTTCACGAGGGTGTTCGTGCGGACAAGCTCGTTGTTGGATGCATTGTAAACCTGGATCAGGTGAATACTCCGCAAACACCCCGGTATGATTTGCACTGACGACGCCGATAATCCTGGTCTTGCGGGTGACGTGCTCCGAGCCCCAGGCGAAGTTTCCGCTCTCCAGACGAAGGGCACGGTACTTGAGGTTACCACCACGCACACGGACGGTGTGCACACGCTTAGCACCGAGCTTGGTGTTGGCCGGCTGGCGACCCAACTCGAACTTTCTCTTTTTGCGGTAGTGGGCGCGCTGGGCACCGGTTTCCGAGCGCTTGTGCCGAGAAGATCTTGAAATACCTGGGAGGATAGTTAGTCCACTGCAGAGCGTCTGACCGGCCGATTAAGATGAGATGCTGCAGCACACGCAATCCCATTCCGAGTTGATGCAAAGCGACGTTGCAAGACATCACTTCAACTCGGTTTAGCGCCTCCTCATCAATACGCATTATCGTGGCTAGCACACATGCAATTCATCCTCCACGACTCGACAACGAGATTGCAGTCCGAGCGGAGTGACTGGGGTTGGAATACAGAGGTGCAAATGGTCACTCACCCATCTTGAAGTCTCGCCTTGGTGTTCACGAGGAGAAAAACCGAAACGGGGGACGGATTCGAGCGTTACGATCACCGTGACAGGATCATGTGCAACTATCCAGCAGCACTCGCGCTTTGTGACAATGATACCACCGCCACAGATCTGATTGACTGATAATCTAGTGCTGATAATCCATCTCGACACTTCAAGTTCTCGTTCTTGGACTCTCCAAAAGTTAGACCTGTTTGCACTTAGACGCATGCTTCAAAGACTATTATACTAGCTCTTGGGGCCCTCATGCAATCCACGAGTGGCTCTCGTGTCCGTCCATCGCATGCTTAAGGCGTGGCATGGACTATTTCTGCGAGCCTGGAGCAAGATCGACCTTACTTGCCGCACGCCTCTGTCTGTGACTTCTTCTCCTCTGCTTCCGGCCCAGCTTGAATCATGCCACTATTCAAATATCGCCGCTTCCCCCTTCGCAAAGCCCGGAAGTCCCAGAGCAATGCAGCGAGCACATCGCTGCAAGACGAGCTAAAATGTTTGGTGGAGTCGGTCTCAGACCCTGCAGACAAGAAGGTGCACCGACTGTATCGTTGCGTCGCAGTTATCCTAACTCGGATGGGGCCAGGCATTTGAGCTAGAGATGCGATCCTTTTCAGACCTGTTCTCGCGATTTCTAGCAGAGAAGTCCGAGGGCAAACAACTGTGAGTGAGATTTGCATAATCTATTCACATATTTCTGTGCTTGACTAATGGAAAGGCAATGGGATGAGGTCCAACCAGCAACAGTAGAACAGATAATTCCCTACACTGATCTAGAAGCCCCGACGGATCCCCAGCCCCTCGGAAAGCTGGCTGTGCTGAAAGTGAACGGTGGCTTGGGCACAACGATGGGTTTGTGCCGAGTATAGATTATAAATGGCAAGTGCTGAAGCGATAGTCAGGAATGAATGGCGCGAAGAGTGCCTTGGAGGTCAAAGGGGGGATGACCTTTCTCGACTTGACCGTCAAGCAAATTGAGCACCTCAATGCGACGTACAACGCGGATGTTCCTCTGATCCTGATGACTTCGTTCGCCACGCACGACGACACGCTTCGGATTGTCAGGAAATACTCACAGCACAAGCTACGCATCACGACGTTCAACCAGTCCCGATACCCCCGTCTTCTCAAAGACTCGTTTCTCCCATGCGCAAAGACTGCCGTCGATGACAAAGCGACATGGTATCCCCCGGGCCATGGAGATTTGTATATCGCTCTCAAGCAGTCTGGGATCCTCGACAAACTGATCGCCGACGGAATCGAATACCTCTTCGTCTCCAACTCAGACAATCTGGGGGCCGTGTAGGACGAACTCCGCCTCGGCTCGCCAGTCACTGACCCGCCTATGTGCCCAGGGTCGATCAGCGGATCTTCAAGCAGATGATCGATAGCAAGGCTGAATTCCTGATGGAAGTCACCGAAAAGACCAAAGCCGATATCAAGGTATGTCTCTCCAGCCGCGATCACGACACGCCTGATCGGGTCCGAGCAGGGCGGAACGCTTGTGAGCTACAGAGATTCCATCCGGCTGCTCGAGCTTGCGCAAGTGCCGCCGCAGTATGTCGATGACTTCCAGTCTGGTACGCGAGCTCTGCGCGGAGAGATATGTGTGTCATCGTTCATTCGCGTTTCAGTGCGCAAATTCCAGATCTTTAACACCAACAACCTTTGGATCAATCTGCACGGTAAGTGACTGACTGGCAGCGTCCCTTGGGCCTTCCATGAACATCTTGACACAATCTCCGTCTAGCTTTGAAACGTGTCATGGACGGTGGTGGCATGCACCTGGACGTGATCGCGAACTCCAAAATCAATGAACGTGGAGAGGCCGTTCTGCAGGTACTGAATCAGCTTGGCCGATCATCGAAGGCATCGAGATTGACCAATAGCATCTCCTCCAGCTCGAAACAGCTGCAGGTGCCGCAATCCAGCACTTCCAGAACGCATACGGAATCCGCGTGCCCCGCTCTCGATTCCTCCCCGTCAAGAACTGCTCGGATCTCCTGCTGATCAAGAGCAACATGTACTCGATCGAGCACGGCCAGCTCGTTCCGAACCCTGACCGGCAGTTCTCTGCCACGCCAGTGATCAAATTGGGGGATCACTGCAAGAAGGTTGCGCGTCGCTGCAGTTCAGACAATGACTGACTGAATGCTATCCGCAGATCCAACAATTTCATAGAAGATTCAAGAGGATTCCCGACATGCTCGATTTGGACCATCTCACAGTCTCCGGAGACGTGTATTTTGGACGTGACACCACCCTGCGAGGAACCGTGATAGGTACACTATCTCGGTTGTCCTCTGTTCCATTCCGCTCGCTCATCACAACCAAGTCGTCGCACACGAAGGGCAGCGGATTGATATCCCCGATGGCTGCATTCTCGAAAATCGTATGTTTTCTCTCATCGATAATACACGCGGAACTGATCATTGTCGGAAGGATTGTTGTCGGGAAATCTGACCATGGTGGCAAGTCCCTTCCATTCACGTTGCTTTTACGACAGCCGGTGATCGATTCGGCAGGATCTGTGATTGGTATATTGCGTGCAAAAAAAAGTCCATTCTTTCTACCGGATCACATCTACTTTCCACCAAAAGTCAATTATTCCTCGCGTGGGTATCAAAGTAATTAGAGTTCCTGCATCAAAATGTCAGAATGGGCACAATACAATAATCACGATAGACACGTACAATCATGTTCAAGTTTCCGGACAACAGGCCTAGGATGGAATAAGCAAATCAAGTGGAAACAAAACAGACGAAGACAACGCACGGTTCTCCAGAATACAACCGTCAGGAATGTCGATACGCTGGCCCTCGTTGGCGACGACTGCAGTCCGATCAGACCCATGCACAAACCACAACTGACAATCGTCACTCACCGATGACGGTCCCGCGCAATGTCACATTGCGCCCAAAGTAGACGTCGCCTGTGACAGTCAAGTGGTCAAGCTCAAGGATCTTGGGGATCTTCTTGAAGCGCTTCTGGAAGTTTTGGATCTGTTCGCCAGGGTCAGACACAGAGAAAGAGATGTCGGGGATGATCAGTGCTCGCCTTCTTGAAGTGGTCGCCCAACTTGATGACAGGGGTTGTCTCGAACATCCGGGCCTCGTTGATGACGAGTTGGCCGTGCTCAAGAGAATAGATGTCACTCTTGATCAGCAGGAGATCGGAACAGCTCTTGACAGGCAGGAAACGCTTGCGAGGAACATTGATTCCGTGAGCATTCTTGAAGTGCTTGATGGCAGCACCGGCTGCGGTCTCGAGCTGGACGACGGCCTGGCCATCATCATTGACTTTGGGGTTGATGATGATGTCGAGCTCCATTGCGTCCGTCTCCATGATCCGCTTCAGCGCTGTCATTGGCCGTGAGAAATTGGAGGTAGATTGATCCGACGGCAAACTTCACCTTTGAGGTCGATCCAGAGATTGTTTGTGTTGAAGATTTTGAACTTGCGCACGGACTTGAAGTCCTCGACATGCTCGGAAGGCACCTGGGCAACCTCGAGCAGACGCATTGAGCCTTCGTAGTTGATCAGGGTACCACCCTGTCATCGCTTGATCAACGAGGGTCACGATGAGCCAGAGGACTGCCACAACACACCTTGATATCAGCCTTGGTCTTATCGGTGACTTCCATCAGGAATTCGGCCTGGGTGTCAATCATATGTTGCAGGATGCTCTCGTCGACACTGAACAATTTGTGTTGTCAAAACAGGTACCGCAGGAACAGGAACAGTCAAGGAGAGAACGCACACTGCACCCAGGTTGTCAGAGTTGGACACGAAGAGATACTCCTTGCCCTCGGAGAGCAGCTGGTCGAGCACACCCGAGTGCAACAAGGCGTTGTACAGATCACCGTGACCGGGGGGGTACCAGTTCTTCTTGTCGTCATCGGCACGTTTCGGGCAAGGCAGCAAAGTCTCCTTGTAAATACGGGGGTAACGAGACTGGTTGAAGGTGGTAATGCGCAGCTGCTGGTTCGCGTACTTCTTGATGATACGCAGGGTATCCTCGTGCGTGTTGAATGACGTCATCAGGATGAGAGGGACGTCAACATGGCAAGTCGTGTTCAAGTGCTCGATCTGGCGCACGGTGAGGTCGAGGAAGGTCATATCGTCCTTGACCTCTAGCGCGCTCTTCGCTCCAGTCATCCCTAATCAAGTTAATCAGGTGATCGCACACGAAAGTTAATCATATTCACCCATAGATGTACCCAGTCCTCCATTGACCTTGAGGACGGCGAGCTTGTTCATGTTCTTCGTATCCTTCGGCTTTGGGAGATCGGCATAAGGCACAATCTGGCCATCGGCAGGGGGTTTGATGAGGTCCCAGTCGCTGTGACAAACCCTAAGCAAACGCGCCTCAGGGGGCGATGGAAACAACATACAGGTCGACGCTCTTGGCGCGCTCTGACAAATAGCGCGTGAACAGGTAGAAGAACGCCTGCATCTCGGTGTCGAATGCCTGCATCCACGTCAGAACGGGGAATAGGGAGTCAAAGACGAACGCACCTTCTTGGTCTGAGGATCGCTGATGGTAGCCACGAGGTGGCTAATCTCGTTGCGCATCGTTTTGGCGGCGACACCAGTGGTCGCGGTGCGGAAATCGATGTGGCTGGTGCCCCGGACGCGCGCGTTGAACGAATCAGCACGAGGCATCAAGGTGGCGTTGGAGTTGGCCATTCTGGACAAAGAGTGCGTGTATGAGGAACGGAGAGATTGGAACGCGCGCAGGGAAACAGTCGCACCTGAATGTGTGGAAAGGCTGTGTAGTTTTCGTGGAGATGAGTTGAGGAGCAGAGTGGGTTCGTGTGAGTGGAGTACGAGTACGATGACGCTTTGTGTTTGGAGCGGCGAGGTCTTCGGGCTCCTCACTTATGGGCTCGATCCACAGAGAGGAAAATCTGGGCGTGGTGGATGTTGTGGTCAAAGTATAAGTAGTAGATTTTCCGCGTGACGTGAGCATCCAGGCCCCTGTAACAAACGTTCGCATCTACAATTTATAGGTTCTTTCCCCCGATAGAAGTGCATCTCCGATCGCAGGCCTGACCTTCTAGATATGGCTCCTTTCGCTTACTCGCCGTGACAATCTTCGTTTTTCGTCCCACGCAGCGTTCAATCGCCGACAACGCGGGTTCCCGCATGCAAGGGCCATAATTCTGTACAGCTTGCCGCCCAGCATCACATTTTCGTCAGTTACAGTGCGTGATCGACCGCGCTCGGGACATCCTACGTGTAATCACATTTTGTCAAGGACTTGTGATGCTCACTTCCGTTCCAATCCGTGGATGCCTCATAGCTAAACGGAAATACAGCTGATGAATGGTCGATGACAGTACTACAATCAGAGCTTTGCTTGAACAGAGTGTGAGTGACCCTCATTCAGTTGTGTTCAGTGCCGACCCGCACGAATGTTCAACTTGAGTCAATGGTATTACTGAGTGGGTATTTATATGCACTTTCACTGACACTCTGCAGCTGAGTCCGGGACATGTCCCAGCCATTGGCAACATCACCAAAACAGAATTCAGTGCAGGAGGATACTGACGAAGTAGTAAGCAAGATACGTGCCGATCTGCTCCGTCCTTGCGGCGATTGACTGTCTTTGTCAACGCGCTTTGTCTCGTGTGCATCTGTCACGATTCTTGACTAGAAGTTGGCTATCGTGGTACGGCGCATCGTCTGGGCCTCAATAGTCTTCCGGGTGTGCCATGTCGTCGTCCATGTATCCGTCCGTAACAAGGCGAATGGGATGGGCATGTCGAATTGACTGAAGGGGGGAGCTCCGTGCGTTGGCAGGTGTGAGCGCAAAAATGATAAAATCCTGGTCAGCCGTCATCCTTACGCCTTGGGAGACGCTTTCTCTGACGCACCTTGACTATGAGATGGTTGGTACTGAAGCTCGCACAGGTCATATCGTCCCTACATCGCACTTGTCCTTCCCAGTTTACCGACACTATGTCCGTTGCCCCTCCCTCTGCTTCTTCCCTAGTGCTTTCATGCGGTGGAATCGCTTCCAGCTTGCCCTCTCCTACCGTCATGGTCCTCCAAGATGGCCGCGCATTAACTTCGAGATAGATCTGTCTCGCAAGGAAGACCCGAACTACAGCAGAATAGAACCGGCGACGCGACTTCTTGCCGGCAAGTGCATCGGGCGAAACCGCGCCATAGAAAAGGCCTAGCGAGGCGCGTGTTCCCGTCAATTGGATATGGAACGGTATTTGGTCAGCCAGGCAGAACGTTTGCACGGACGGGATCAAAAACTGCAAACGGTGTCAGTAGGAATCAATGGCCTGGGATGCGCGTGCGGCTTTCATGGCAAGTAATCGATTGAACCGCTCTATCTTGACGCACGGGTATCTTGACCTCCATCTGGTGCCATTCTGCTGGCGCTTCCTTCAGGGTCGTGAAAAGAGTTGGGTTAGGAAGTATCGGGCGGGCAGGTCGCGTTCCTACACGCTGTTGAGATTCTGAAAGCACCAGATTTGCGGCAGCCTCGCTCACGAGGTCGGAAGACCAGGGGGATGATGTACCTATTCGACTCGAATCAATCCCTGCGCCCTGCAGCGAGGAGAACATACGATTTGGATGCCGTTTTCCGAAAAGATAGCCGCCGGTTGCTAGTCCTCGTCACAGTGATCACTAGACTGTAAGCGGATTTCACCACTAGAAGCGGATTGCCCAAGCAGATCGTCTGAAACACGTTCACCTCGTGGCTGAAGAACCGGCATTCTCCTCGCGCACCTCGAATGTGGGTGGCGTGCGGAACAGACGGTCATGATCCGTGAAGGTCATGGGAAACGGGATAGCGAAACCGACTAGGGTGGGACAACGACCGGGACGACTAGTCCCCGCTGAGTCCCACAGCGTATGGCGTTGGTCAACCAGTTTTCGGGTTTCGGAGCCAGAATCGGAGGAAGAGAGATGGAGGTGGCAGTCCAGCTGAACCGAATATCAATGTAGGCCAATCCAAATCGGTTGCCAACCCACCTTGCTGGTGACGGACACGACCGTGTCGAGATGCTCCAGTTCAATCTCCCCAGACACGACCGAGTTTCGGCCGTAGATAGGCGAGTCGTTCTGTGCGTCTTGGTGCTTGAATATAATTGCAGACCCATCCTTGTAAGTCTTGATCAATGTCCCTGTCTCGACCCGGGCGCGTCCTGCACGAGGAGTATACTCGATACTCGAGTCGCCATCCCGGGGCAACGACGCATATGAAGGAGCAGGAGACGTTGGAGACGGTGCCGGGTACGCTGGGGGGTCAAGGTCCATGGGAGTCATACTTGAGCGTCGACATGGATAGGGAGATTGGCAGGACACGATCACATGTTGTGTGCCGATAAGTGATGACAGCGTGCGAAACGTGCTATTTCGATTATCTGAACATCCACCAAGATAGAATACTGAATATTGCTAACGGGACGACTGCGACATCCTTGACGTCGACGAGCACTCCCATCCAGAAACCCCGCAGTCGTGGAACACCCTGACTATCATAGCAACACGTGGCAAGTCGGTAGATCGAGCTGAAATGAATATCAATGCGACGTCGCTGTCCAAAGATGACAAAGGATTGAGACAGGATAGGCTTCTTCAATCTTGTTTTGTGGGAACCAGGGTTGGGAAGGTTCTCCCGAGGGTAGTCATCACTAGACCGGCCGAGATTGTACCGCAGAGGAGACGCGCGTTCGTTCCGTGTTTGTACTCGTCGCAAGTTTGCAAAAAGAACAAGAGCAAGCGAAAGAACGAGCAGAGGGAGGTAGACAGAAAGGTATATTCCGAGCTGATCGGGCAGGAGGCAAAGTGCGTCATTGTGTGTTGATGGCCCGAGAGACAACAGCTGCACCCCGGGATGCCGGATTCCCATTGCCATCGAAGGACTCTTGACTGTGACTTCACGAACCAGCTTCTTCTTGCCCTGGTTCACAAAAGAATGAGTGTGTTCACAGTAGTCGTGATCGTCTCCGCTGTACGAATTGTTCAAATTGCGCTTTAATCGCAGGCAACAACACACCTGAAAATCACCGCCGGCTCCAGACTTTGCAACAAAAAATCCGACGTCGCCCGACTAAGTGTGTTCTGGTAACCAAAGCCGAAGCCTCGTCGGATTGACCCTCGCTCCCGGTGAGGGCCACAGCTCGATCCATCAGGCCGATGCAAAGGAATGTGAGTGAAGAGTACGATGGGATTCGAATGAGCCGCTGCAACGGAACCTGTCAGTAGTTGCGCCGCACTAGACAAACGACAATTCCCACAGGCCGAGAAAGAACGAGTGAACTCGATAGGACCGCTCGGAGTTGACGGGGTCTCAAAGTAGGAGCGACCAGGTCGCAGCCTTTCCTCCTCTGCAAGGCTGGGCCCATCGAGAAATACGAGAGTGTGATTTGCGAGATGTTCATGATGATTTAATGGGCCGAAATGCGAGATGTATCGCTCTTTCGCGTGCTCAGAAAACTCCTCGGATGCGCCCAGGCTGTTCAAGTCAGAAATCCCGGCTCACTATGGTTTCAATTGTACTGACCCTGTGTCATGATTCCCCGGTATGTAATGTTGGGGAATAGTGGAAGGGCAAGCAAATATGCTCTTGAATCTCCGAAAATAGCGCTCGTATCTGTGCGAGAAAATGGGTCTCGCGGCGCAGACGGAGGTGACAACCTACTCCGCATCCGACATGGCAAATCTACCTCCGTCCATCATATCTATTACCGTCAATTTGTCACTGGCTCAGGGCAATCTTGTCTTCGATAGCCCACCTCCCAGGAACACAACCACGTCAGGCTTGAGCTTCAGAGACGCACGCCAACTTTTCCGGAGATTCAAGTCGACCAAGAACTGGGATATGTACGTCAGGACCAGCCCGCGATCAGGATACGACCGGTGGTCCAAGATTTGCGGGTCGGCAACGATGAGAACATGCGAAGGGGGGGAATCAAGAGTATCGGAGTCGGGCCAAGAGCATCTACGGATAGTCACCAAGAAGACGATGTGTTCGTACCTTGGACAGGACCTGAGAGAGATCGGGCACCGGCCATGTAGAAGGCTTACCAGACAGCAATGCCCAACCATAGAAGTCGGAGCGACTCAACAACAAAACGAGGCCGGCTCAGAATGTGCATTACAAACGTCGATCCACTGTCGTAATCTACGAAGTGGTGGAAGGAAAACACAGGCAAGTACTAAAACAGGTCACGCTCAATCGAATTCAAGCCATTTCATTTGACCCAATTCCAGCAGCCGTCTACCTGCTACAACAAGACGGATGCCTGTTGCCCAATCTATGCGTCTTTATTGTTGGTGATAAATACAAAGGTTCCTGCATGAAGTGCATTTTGGATTCGGAGGATGCAACATTTGATTCGACAGTTGTGCTTCCTCCAGTTCCGATACACATTCTCATACAGCACGCGGCACTCAATGGTGCGCCGACCCCGAGGCATGCTCTTCGCCGTGGCCGCCATGTCCGTGTTCCAGGAAAGGATGATGACCCTGCCACTTCGTCAAGAGTTGTTCTCCGAAACGTTGTGTGAAGATTATACCAGCAGCTTTCCACCATCTTGTCTGGATGGGAATTGGTCAGCAAAGAGCGACTTGCGCAGGATGAGAGGGTCCGTACCGTAGTCTGTAGAAGATGAAGAACCACATCGTGGCACCAATTCCTTTGGCGAGCATCGTGTAGCCCCGTCCGGGGAGATGAGGATGGAATCCGGGGGCTATAGAACAGTACTAAGTTGGAATTTGCGCGAATTGTGACGGTCCGGCGCACATTGAGGACCAGCCATAGTTGGGAATGCAAGGGTCCGGGCAAGGTGCAGATGTCAGTCACGTGTACCATGTGACACCGCTTATACCCGAGTTCCAATTTCCGTTCAGTGTTTTGCTTGCTCGTAGCGTTCTCACTCTCGACGCTCGACGCGTCGACCGAGCGAACATGGACGGTGGTTCTTTGAAGCGAAAGCGTGCACCCGATG